TAATAATATTTGTTTGATGCACCAATTTTCCCGTTTTTCCTACATTTTTCCCGGGTTTCTCATGTTTTTTCCTGGTTTTTCACATTTTCTGGCAAAACTCTTGAGAAAATTGAAAAATGACCTCGCTTAAGTACCTCCCAAGTCAAATTTCCTTTTAAAAAAATGACTATCATTATAAATTGAAGGAAACTTGCTTGTGAAAAAGTCATTCTCAATAAAAAATAGGGCGTAATAATTTTAACTAATACCTACATTTCACACATTTTTCCGTTTTTCCTCCGTTTTTTTCGGCTTTTCACATTTATTGAGAAAACTCCAGAAAAAATCAAAAAATGACCTCCGTAAATACCTCCCCACGTCGATTTCCTTTCAGAAAAGGTGCTACACGTAAAAATTGGAGCAAGTTCTCTGGTAGAAAAGTTGTCCACAAAAAAAAATAAATAATAAACATTTATGTAAAACCATAGGCTTCTTCGCTCCACTCAGAATCTAAAAGGGGTTTTTTTTTTTTGTATTTGTTGCTTTAAGTTTTTGTCATTTTCATAACCTATACCTACATCAGGTAAGTGTATTCATTTACATTTATTATATTTAAATTAAATAATTATTGTTGTATACGAGATAAAAAAAAAATTATTATTATAACATGTTAATTCAGATACACAACATATAGAATAATGTTTCGATATTATAAGTATTAGACAAAATATTTTCCGAGCTACCTAAATGAAATTCATATGTACGTGTTCAAGTTCGCAAAAATTACATTTTTTTTTTTTTATTTATTTATTTAACTTGCATCGTATTCTTTACACGGGACTTTGGAAAATGCAAATATTTGATTAATTTGTATATTTTCGTGTGCGCGTCTTTCTTTGTCACCTGTAGCAGTTTGTATTTTACTCCGTTATTATTCGTATAATGAAAAATGCACGTTCCACATAATATCACTTCAAGAATATAAACGTGCGAGACATAGTGTGCGAATATTATAATATATGTTTCAATGTTTGTAAATAAATTAAACCGTCATACTATTTAAAACGTTTGTCTACTATAATATTTTTGACAAATTGCCGCAGTACCCCGTCTTTATAATATGGGTCCACGTAAACTGCGCTCGAGTTTTTATCCATGTTAAAAAAAAAGTGTAATGTAAACTGCACCCCGTTTGATATTACCATATTTTATAAACCTTAAGTTAATTTTCTGTCCAAACTCATTCAACACTCACAAAAATATTAAAGTATTTAACATAATATGATTGTATAAAAATGACACATTCGGTAAAATCATAGTATTTGTAAAAATGCCAACCCGTTATCGAATATGACTATTGATAGTAATCACCGTATTCGGCATGTGGCATGTGGCATACCCTATCGATTTAATAACCAGTTAAGTCACGATAGCCGAACAATACGTGTCGTAAAGCGAAAAATTCTTGAAAATAATTTCAAATTTTAAGTTTCACAAAATGTGTCGACCTCGAAGTTCGAGTGAGGTTAAATGTCGATATACAGTGAAAACTTGCAAAGCATTTTCAAAAACAATAGTCAATGACAACAGAACAAAACGTAAACCACAACCATGAATCATTAAGTATTCAAAACCTTCAAAAACAATATTGTAATTTTAGTTTATTTCATTTTGCAAAAGTATAAAGCTATTAATTTTTTAAAATTTATTTGTACACAGTTTACATGTCACCTTTTTATACTTAATAAAAATTCAGGCGCAGTTTACATAATATGTGATTGTATGTTTACCTGTACCTTAGGCGCGCAGTTACAATCGCCGTATAATATTCAAAATGTTTATTAGTTACTACACAATAATTTCTGAAACGCATCTACTGCATCGCTGAACTTAAATACAGTTTTGTAGAATTGTTGCACCATTATATTTAAATTAATATTCGTCATTTACTTGAAATAAAAATAATAATTATTGTATTTCGTTTAACACAAAAACATGATACCTATTTAATTTTGATTATGTCTGTTCAAATACAATTCCCCTCTCAGAAAAAAAAAAAATACGTTGATCAGTTGTTCACTGGGAATAAATGTAAATCTGTTTAAACAGTCAATTTTAAAATCTATGTACAGAAAAAAAAAAAAACCACAAAGTTTCTTGTAGGATATATTAGTAATAAATATACGTACCTCTACATTAAAACTAATTAAACGCACATTACAATTAGTATGACAATAACGTCACTTGCAGATTGCAGTTTTTTTTAAAAAAAAATAATAAAATATTCCGTCTTTGTGTATAAATAAACGTTTATCATTAAACGAATTGTTTTTTTTTTTTTTTTTTGGAGTTGAATAGAAACTCGTATTGTCTTGATGTTCATTTAAATTTACTCGTACGACTTTGATGTATCACTAGATTAAATTCAACGGGACGGATATGGGGTATAATCTTTGTCGGATGAAGGAGCTTAGCGACATTTATGTCAACAGCGCGTCTGTGCTTTTGACTTTTATACGTTTATACGTCATGTTGTGTGTGCACGTCTGAACGTAAACGAATACATTACTTTGTTATCACATTCACAAGTGTAAATAAATATATCTTTGTTGTTGTTTTATTTTTTTCATTAAAACATATTGTGTATTTATGGTGCATGATCAAAACCACGCGAACTCTAGTATAGGTGATTAATGTTATAGTCGACTCTCACATTAGTGCATCATTATTCATTAAATTATATAGTGTAGTACGATAACAAACTTTTCACGAAATACCTAACTCGCGTAATCTTTTAAAAAGCGAAACGCAATGTGGTGTCTCCCTGCAGAAAGATCGAACTTTTCGAAAGTAAAATTGCACGCAAACGGAATAGGTAATGATACAAATCAAAATTCCATCAATAACTTTTTACGCGATGATATCAACATTATAATGAAAATGTCTAGTTATCGGTATTTGACGCGGATATCATAATATTATGACAACTTTGTGAGTAGGTATTATACGATATAATAATTTATACAATACATTATACCTACTCGTTTGTACAATATGTGACTTAAAGAAAATGTTTAGTCCTTGGGCGAATGTCAATTACCTACCTACTCAAATACACGACATCATGAGTACGAGAAAAAAAAAACCAAAAACCATCCAATTATTATTCATAGAACATTACCGAGTATTTTTTATGTTAATTCAAAGTTGCATCTTGATTTCAATGTTTTATTTATTTGCCACCGTTCTAGGAAACCGTTTGTGATTTTAAAATACTTTATTTTTCAAAGAAAGTACATACCTATCCCCGGAGGAATTTTGCATTCAACCAATATTGGACACCACTATTTGTATATATCAAAGTGACTTTTCTAAATTGATTAAATAAATGAGTGCGTGTATTTAATTTAACTTAAAACAAGTAAATATACGCCCGATGATAAATTATATTATGTTATTCGGTAAAAACAACAAATTACTTCATGCGACTGTATAGTAATAAAATAAAACGCAACATAACTCTATCTTTCAATATTATTTTAGTACTAGAATTAGAAAACTAATAGAATTAAATGAGCGGCCTTTACAATAATTGAACACAACCTTATGTGTGGGATAAAACTGTTTCTTATATTTTGCGTGTAGTAATGATTAACATAATGTTTATATTTTGGTTCAAATATTACGTATACATAATCACATAGGACAAACTAATGGATGATAAGTTTAAAAAAAAAAAAAGAACTGGCACTACTAGCTGCTGATGAGAAGTTTGGAAGATAGAATACATTCAATACAAATTAGAACTGTACGAAACGACGATTAATCATTTATAATGAAATATTATTCTGAGCTTATCAATTTACCAATATGTATCTAAAACTGCAAGATGTATGCATAAAAAAAAAAAAAATGTGTAATTACATTAATAACTAACAATTAACTATTATATACTGAAATGTTATTTTATATTAATCATACAATTATAGAGGTGTTATATTATATAATGTACACTAGTAGGATAAATAGGGCGGTTCTACCCCAGGATCAGGATCAGGATCAAGGAGTATCCACCTCCCCCGCACCCACTACCACGTACTCGTCTTATTATTTTCGTACCTACACCGTTATCACATACCTAACCTTTTCGTCTTACTGTTATCACATACCTACTGTTATCGTGTACAACAGCTGTAAACCACACTCCGACTCTTGGCACCATATATATTATGTATGTGTATATATTTTAATAAATTATTATTATTTTTCCAAATAATATTCTTCCTATGATATATATGTTCTGTGATCACGATAGTGTACATTATTACATACCATCATATTTATTAGTCATTAACAATACGATTATATAACAATANACACTCCGACTCTTGGCACCGTATATAATATGTATGTGTATGTATTTTAATAAATTATTATTATTTTTCCAAATAATATTCTTCCTATGATAAATATTCTGTGATCACGATAGTGTACATTATTACATACCATCATGTTTATTGGTCATTAACAATACGATTTGAATAACAATATTATTTTATAACGCGCAAATAATTATACAACGGATGTGCACAGGCCCGTATAGCGAGGGTCTGTAACGTCCTCCTCTCCGCCGCCCATCTGCTCTCCGAGAACGAAATATTATCTATTCATATATAAATATATTTATGTATCGACAGCAACGCGCAATGTGTTTCTCGCCTGTAAGAACCTGTACGATCCTGCATGAGTTGGTCTCTTGGCCCCCCCACCATAAATTCACACATTTTGACGTTCACAACAAAATCATTATTCGTCTCACAGTCACAATAGCATCAAGTCGTCTAACTCATTTCTCTAAATACAAATTTTTAGTGTTTGAAATATTTTTACAAGTGATTAAATATGTCGTTCAAAAAGTATGAATGCGTCGCACCGGTATCACCTCCGGATCTCACCGAATGTTCATCGTTCACTATCGATTTCCCCTCACGCAAGTTTCTACACGTGGGGCTTGATCCGTCTCAACACATAGTCATACTTGTAATCACGCCTTCGAGACACATAAATCCCGGGGTATTTACTAAGTCCATCCTTGCTTTTTTCACTTTCGCGGCGGTGTCCTCTCTGCACGCACCTAACCTACCTACAGGGAAACAGAAAGAAAAACCCTAAATTAATTCCCTCGCTATATGGTGTGCCATAATAAAAGAAATCTTACCTTCGTTGTCGAACCCCTCTATATCATTGATGGCTTGATATACATCTGTCAACAACGTGTCATTTTCCTCGTCTGTGGTCCATGCCGTTGTAGAAGTCGAGGGTCCTGCTTGCGGGGCAATAGTTGGCGGGGCGACTCTTCCACCAACGTGGACAATTCTAACGTGTGTATCGAGGTTATCTTTACGCGTAAATAATTTCGAACACAGAGCGCATTGAATTTTTATATTATCGCGAGTTTTAGCGTGACGGGTCAAATTATTTTTCGCATTAAAAACTTTTCCACAACCGGTGAAAGTACACTGGAACGTATTCATTTTTAAATGGTGAATAAAAATGAACAAATAAAAATAACACTGATAAAAATAATAGAGAAAAAAAATAAACGGAGAGAAAACTGGATACGTGTGTGCGGGTTTGTAGAATAATTACTACTAACGAGTGATCGCTCGGTCGTCTGTGACCACAAATATTATAATTCATTATCCATAATGTATGTGTGAATTTATTGGGGGGGNCAATTATGTTGTGTTGACAAAAATTGGTTATAACAGAGGGTAGATGGGCGGGGGAGAGGTGGTCAATAAAATTATAAGAAGAGACCAACTCATTCGGGTTCGTACATGGACTTGCAGGCGAGAAACACATTGCGCGTTGCTGTCGATACATAAATATATATATATATATGAATAGATAATATTTCGTTCTCGGAGGGTAGATGGGCGGGGGAGAGGACGCGAGCTCGCGCGCGCGGCCGCGAAATAATTCTTTGACCCGGTAGGTGGGCGGGGGAGAGGAGGACGTTACAGACCGTCGCTATACGGGCCTGTGCAGATCCGTTGTATAATCTTTTGCGCGTTATAAAATAATATTGTTATATAATCGTATTGTTAATGACCAATAAACATGATGGTATGCAATAATGTACACTATCGTGATCACAGAATATTTATCATAGGAAGAATATTATTTGGAAAAATAATAATAATTTATTAAAATATATACACATACATACGAGGCGTGTCCAGAAAGTAAGTGTACTCAATTTTTGTAGGCTTCAAAAAAATTTATTAAAAAAAAAAAATAACGTGGTTACATTAATATATTTGTGTGCTATTTTTCTACATAGTCGCCATTTCTTTCAATGCAGGCTGTGAGACGGCAGATTAATTTTTTTATGCCTGCATCGTAGAACTCTGCCGCCATCTCCTTTGTCCACTTGTCGACCGCCCCCTTCACTTCCTCGTCAGTTGAACATTTTTTTCCACCCATGTGCTTCTTCAGGGAAGTGAACAAATGGTAATCTGAAGGCGCCAGGTCGGGGGAATACGGGGGGTGGTTCAAAACATCACATCCAAATGAGTCCAACAATTGCTTCGTGACATTGGCAGTGTGGGGTCTGGCTTTGTCGTGCAGCAGGCAGATTCCGCTCGTTAACAGACCCCTCCTTTTATTTTGAATAGCTCTCCTCAATTTTTTTAGGGTCTCACAATACCTTGCTGCGTTGATGGTCTCCCCGTGAGGTAAATATTCAATCAAAATGATGCCTTTGTGGTCCCAAAACACTAATGCCACGATTTTTTTGGCTGAAATGGTGGTTTTGAACTTTTTGGTTGAGGGTGAAGTGGTGTGACGTCACTGTTCGGACTGTCTCTTAGTTTCAGGTCCTCAGATCGTCATGTACATTCGTACGGCCGTTTTTAAACTCCCTACACCACTTGTATACATTGGTACGGTTCATATGGCCTTCACCATAAACGGTTCGTACCTCATTAAAAATCTCATATGGAGATTTTTCCTTCGCAACAAGGTAACGGATAACAGCGCGGATTTCGCACTTGGCGGCAGACTCGATCAACATGTTTAACAAAAAAAAATCGTGCGACCACAGTTTTCAACGTACTGAACTCGTTCTGGTCTTGTTTTAAAGGTTAGGAGTAAAGCTATACGGCAGTGTAGCCAACATAGTAAAAAAATATTCTCTATGGCCGTGAGAGCCTCAGTACACTTACTTTCTGGACACGCCTCGTATTATATACGGTGCCAAGAGTCGGAGTGTGGTTTACAGCTGTTGTACACGATAACAGTAGGTACGAAAACAGTAGGTATGTGATAACGATGTAGGTACGAAAACAATAAGACGAGTACATGGTGGAGGGTGCGGGGGAGGTGGATACTCCATGGAGTGAGGAGGTGGATAATAGTTGCACCAGCACGTAGAAAAAAAAAAAGGGAAAAAAAGTGGGCGTGGTCTAAATAGGTCGAGTACGTGGTGGACAAACGATGAGGAGGTTGCGGGGGAGGTGGATACTCCTTGATCCTGATCCTGATCCTGGGGTAGAACCGCCCTATTTATCCTACTTAAACTTCCGCTCTGTGTAGCTCACTTTAAACCACGGAATACTACTCGGTGGTTAAATAATATCGGTTTTTTAATTTAGTTGTCGCCAAAAGTAATCTTTAGAAATAAACCTAGATTATAAATTGGCCGTCCCTCGGAACATAGCGCATTACTTTCTAGACGCAAAGGCAATCTTGTTAAAAATACTTTTCAAATGTATTTAGAATACCTTTTCAAATACTTGTGTAAATTGTATTCGAATACTTTCTTTTAAACGTATTAAATAAAATATAAATTAAAAGTTAGGTTGACTCTGAGCAAGGTAAATTACATTATTATTATAAGTATTATTGAGTAATAATAATATATTTTAAATAAATCATATTAACATGTCTTAAAATTACTATAAAATATTATTTTAGAAACATTTAAAATTTAAAATAGAAAAATACAAAAATATTGTAATATAATGGTAACTTGAGCAAAATCATTTTATATTCTGGAATAACAATACGATTAAAAAGTATTCAAAATGTCAAGAGAGTATTTAAATATCAGAATTCGTATATTTAAAAATATTTCGCAGAGGTTTGATATTTTAAACTTAATTATTTACTTCAGCAATTCACAAAAAATAATAATGTAACTAAAGTCAAAATTATAAAATTTAAAATCAATTTTAAAGTTCGCTTAATTAATAAAGAGTTAATTTAAAATGTCATTCAGAATTGTAATAAGTACATTTAAAAACCATACTTGTATTTTATAAAAGAAATCAAAGGTAACATTTTAATAGTGACGTAATGTCTCATACAATCCAATTTTCGTTTCAATTACCAACAGCCACCGTCGACCGTCTCGGTCTAATATCAGTTCCTCGCTCTTTCACTCCTTCAACTCGTCACTAAATACCTATTAACTATTACTATACTTACTAATTTTTTCTGCTTGCCTGCATGGACACCGTCATAAACTTCATTTCTTTTAAATTACTAGGTATCCATAAAAATAAAGGTCACTGTCATAATTCCTTTTTACACTTTATCCTATCTCATTACATCTCGTTCATTAATATCAATTTTCAGCTTATTTCTACCGCGATATATTTCTATATGTTTTGTTCAAAACCTTTTTCTACAGACACGTATAATACGTTCGGATTTGTAACTGTTATATAATATTTTCCTTCCCTCCAAATTGAACAGCAGCGTTATAACAATATTAAATAGCATAAAGGGTGTTATAGGTATAACAAATCCTGTGCCAGAGGTGTATCAAAATAACATAATTCCAAAAATAAACTCAAAACTGTAAACACTATAATTAAAATCGATTATTTTCCTAAATATTTGCATGTACCTAATATTATTAGATTTTATTATATTTAAAAATCTAAATATTTAAAAAGTTCGATAACACAAAATATTTTACATTAATCTGTTTTAATTTCATCAATTAAATTATAGTCCTGAAATATTTAATACAAACACATAACTGAAATATTCATTTTATTTAGATTCTATATACTATATTAAGTGTAACAATGAAGCGAGGAATAAATATTAGTACCTAGTTTTACAGATTTTTCTCTCTTTACAAACCACGTAATTGACCTCGTGGCAGTAATGTGTGCCTAATAATATATTATACGAAAATACAGAGGAATTTATAGTAAACTACAATATATTAATACATGACTCGGGGCCGAGGCTTCCTATATGTGGTCATCTCATCTATAGTACAGTTGCACAAACACGAACAGGAGACAAATTCCTGTGTATTTACTATCCAGTAGTACCTACTACCTGTACAAGTACCATAGCGTTTTCTTGGAATTTTCCTAAAATAAGAAGTATAAAAGAATTATTTTCAATAACAACACATCATATTCTGTACCTAAATTCACATCATCAACATGACCAAAAAATATAAATTAAATCGTACTACATTTCATTAAGGGTTGTCAAATAGTATAATTCCTTAAACATCTATCGAGATCTAACAGACAAAAAACGTAAATACGAGTATCAACAAAAATTAGGGGTAACGTGGAGGACACAAAAGTACGCAGCCCCTTTACCTCTAACTGCACTTAAAAGGTGTCCTATTTAACTTAATCTTCAAAAGGTACGCAGTCACGCTGAAGCCATTAAGTTTAACCAACAAAGACTTGAATGAATCCTACGTTTATCATTCCTTATAAAACCGTAGGAAAAACGGGAAAATAGGTACATAAATATTGAACAAATATTATTAAAGAAGATGTATAATGTATATGTAATTATTTTATCATTATGTAATATATACATTGTTGGCAAACCAACATTATCAACCGAGCTTCACTCAGAATCTTTTTTTTCTGTTAACAATGGTTATTCATTGCGTGCAGATATACATTTAATTTTCCCTCTACTACCTTCCCAACCTCTCACCTACGAACAGGTGAGCCAACCACGTGCGAAGTATGTCCGTCTTTTCTATGTTTAGACGAAAAGAAAACTAATATATTGGCCGTATTTATATTATATAATGTGTGTATATTATACATATGTGTGCCATTGTAAGAATTTTGAAGAAAATATATTTAATTTTTTTATTTGAATGATATTATTATTGATATTAAAGAAAGCAATGTTTGTTAAACAAATTGTTGGTTTGGCAAATTGATGAATAACGTAATATTATGTGGGAGATATTTAACTACTTTTAAACTTTACCCTATACATAAACCTACATGGCTACATATTATAATAGTTACGTCTTAGGTACTGTTTGGACTTAGCAGGATAAATAGTGACTACGTCTTATAATATTTTGAATACCTACATTAAAACAAATATTTATGAATTAATAATTTTATAAACTTCAAAAAAAAAAATTATAATAATATATAGTAGTCAGTTTTTATATTTTTTTTAAGTTTAGCTGTTTTGAGTTGGTTAAGTATTTTTAACAGTGCTAGAAACAGCAGTAGTTTTGCCACGTTTAATAATTTATCATTAATAAATAATAATAAATTCCATCAATCTTCCAAGTCCGGCTCCGAAAAATACATTTTAATTTAATTTAAGCTTATTTTAATAATATAACTATAATTGTTACCCGCGACTTCCTCCACGTAGAATTTTTTAATGCCTTCTCAACGGATTATTGGTGTAAATAATATGAATAATATAAATGGTGAACACACTCCAAACAGTCATAAATAGTAACACAAACTTAAACTATTCGTATTTACTGAATTAAAAAACAACACGACCGTTCTCTTCTGGAAAATATTCCTAAAAATTAAGCGGTTAGACCGGGAATCGAGTCTTTCGCTTGCCGGGAGATTCCACCACTGAAGGGAATGAGACTTTTCGGCACTGTCATTTCGGTGATAAATGAAAAATATATGTTACAATGAAAATAATTTTTTGTTGGTCATTTTAATATAAAATAATACATCTTTTATAAAGTAACTTTTTTAAAGTCGAATTATAATCTACAAATAAGAAATAATAATAATATAAATAGTTGTGTACGCAGGTGAAAAATAATATGTATAATGTGTATAATTAAAATATACTGTTAACAATATATTATATTATAGTCAAGTAAGTAGTGGCAATACACAGTGCCAGTGGCGAGCCCAGGAATTTTCAATGGGGGGGGCAGGGTGGGGGATGTAACAAATAAAAATCGTGAATAAAGAGTAAAACCGTTTTCACTACCCAACCCGGGCATGGCCGGTTTCCGCCAAAAATGTACCTTTCCATTTTCCGCCGATTCACTTTTCCGCCAAATCATAAATTGGTCAATATCCGCCATATGAAAAAATTTAGTCTAATATTTTAATAAATATTAATGGAGGACTGTATTTATAAAAATTATTAATTAGACAAATAAATAAATTACAAATCTAGAAAGTATTCTTTTTATGCATGTATGTCACAAATGTTGTTTATTATTTATTAAATACAAGATAAACAGTTGTTAATACTCATAACGATTGTTCTCCTTACCACAATTTTTCACACAAAAAATATTAAAAATATAATTTATTTTTTTTTATTACCTATTTTATAAATTCAAACTTAATTTTATTATTTATTAATTATCTATTATTTTATTTTTCAGTCGTAAGCTATTTATAACGTACCGTGATTTCCAAACAATATGATAAATTTATCGCTCATAATCGTATTTTCCCAACGATATTAATTATTAAATATCATTTTACTTCAAAAAACTAACATCATATAATTATTGTAAATTATAAGAATGTACTATAATATGATCTACAGACTACAGTATACAGTATACTTAGGTATACACCTAAGGAATAAATAATATGGCATTTATATCTATATCATTTATATCTATTTACATGTATTTTAAACACATTGTCCCACAGTTAATTTGTTCAAATATTAAAAACACATAAAATAGATTTTAAAAAATCTAAAACTCAAATCTATTGTAGTTATAAGTACCTACATGTTTAAAAATCAATGTTAAGGGTTGACTTAAATTTCGGAATTATAATTGCCTACCTACTAAGATATTAGAGTTTCCCTTTACGTGACCGATATTCACCACCCCCTATACAAGGTGGAAGATCGGGTCAAGTGGAAGTTTAGGATTAGGACGAGGATAGTCGATTCCAAATAGTTAGGGATGAAGGTAAAATAAAAGAAAAAGAAGACATACTCGACTATTTGTTTTATTAATGGAATACGAAAACTTGTCTATAAATTACATATTAACAAAATAATAATTTTGTTTTAAAATGACAAATGAAAACAATTTTAACTGTGGCGCGCAATTTATTATATGAAATTTGGATTCGTATTATCACTTATCACGTTTTACGAGGGAATATATAACTAACGAATATGGATAATATTATCAATGCCTATCAGCAATATACACGTAAACAATACACACAATTTTCAAAATTCAATTAACTCCAACTCTTGTATTTACAATGAATTCTATATGTTAGTTGTGTAATTAAAAAGTAAGTCACTCATTTATTTAAAACACCCTCTGTGTCACCAAATATTTTAGTAATATCGCACTCTTTTATAATTTTAAATTTTTAACTACTAAATCATTGAACTACTTTTTGGTTTTCTATTGTGTTCTATCATAGAAACGATGTCAAAACTTTACCAATAATACTCAAAGGAATAAAAACATTCCATTAAATGTATTTTAATTTTAAATGGTAGGTATTTAGGTAAACTTCAAATAATAATATTAGATAAATTGGTAAGCTTTCAACGAACTTAAATAATTGCAGTCTTTTTGAACACTTCAATAATATTTGTATTTTAACAATGAGTTATTAGGCTTATATTATGAACATTTTTAACTAATAAAATGAAAACATTTCTGGAGCTAATGATAATATTGGTATCTAGTTTTAACAACAAAAATAAATATCTAATTGTATTAATTTAATATTGTGGGTAGCTAAAATATAACTTACAGATACAAATTTTAATTTTACCAAAGTACCATATGTTTTGGTATTTTCTAATGATGTTAAAGTAATATTATTGAATATTAAAATTGAACAACTTTTCCTACTATGTACAATATTTTTATATTATAATACTTATGATAGGTATCCAATGTTATGTAAATTGGTTTACACAACAAATAAAGGGTTTAAGGAATAGATAATGTATTTTCCACAATTTATTATTATTAATTAATTGCTGCTCTGAATTTTATGCATTTTCATATGTCTGTATGATTATATTATAAAACAAAAATTATATAATAAAGCTAAATTTAACAAATTGGCTGCAACAATAAGCTGTTGATCATTCACCTATATTAAAATTTCTATTATAATCATATTATTATGTTTGTTATGTTAAATATCATAATTATAAATAGTTTTCAAATTTAGGAGAATCTATTTAAATAATACTCATAAAAATTGCTATAGTTAAGACTCGTGGGCCCCCACATGAACTTGCTCAGTATGGTCCACTATACACTTTATTATGTTATATCTATATAATATTTTGTTTTAAATAAATAATAATAACAATGTATTTATATTTTTTTCATAGTCAGGAGAAATTAATTACAAAACAAAATTTCATTAATATAATAAATTCTAGGGAAAAAAAATGTTTATGTTATTTGTAAAACATTTATAACTACATATTATTTAAAATTTAATACCTATATACAGTATCTACTAAATATTAAAAATGTTTGGAAAACAGTATTATAAAATATCTAGCACATTTTCATTATATATTTATATTATTATTCTATAAATTATAATTATATAAAATAATTCAGTTTTGATTATTTTAAAATATAGGTGATTTATCAACATGTTAACAAAATTTGAGACTAAATCAGCCCGGATTAAGGGCCTTGCATTTCATTCCAATCGTCCATGGATATTAGCTAGTCTACATACTGGTGTAATTCAATTATGGGACTATCGCATGTGCACCTTATTAGATAAATTTGATGAACACGATGGACCAGTACGGGGTATAAGCTTTCACAGTCAACAGCCTATATTTGTATCGGGTGGTGATGATTACAAAATTAAAGTTTGGAACTATACACAACGACGATGCATATTTACTTTACTTGGTCACTTAGATTACATCCGTTCTACAATGTTCCACCACGAGTACCCTTGGATATTAAGTGCATCTGACGATCAGACAATAAGAATTTGGAACTGGCAAAGTCGTGCTTGCATTTGTGTTCTCACTGGTAAAGCTAATGTTATATAACAATTACTGATATATTATAATATGATCTATAATAATAATACATATTTAATAATTTTTTATTCTTAGGTCATAACCATTATGTTATGTGTGCTCAGTTCCACCCATCTGAAGATTTGGTGGTTTCTGCATCNGTTTGGGATATTTCTGGTCTGCGCAAGAAAAATGCTGTTCCAGGTCCTGGTGGATTAGAGGAACATTTGAAGAACCCAAATGCCACAGAACTATTTGGTCAAGCTGATGCTGTAGTCAAACACGTACTTGAAGGTCATGATCGTGGTGTTAATTGGTGTTCATTCCACCCTACTATGCCACTAATTGTCTCTGGGGCTGATGACCGTCAAGTAAAACTATGGCGAATGAATGATTCTAAAGCTTGGGAAGTAGATACTTGCCGTGGCCATTATAACAATGTGTCCTGTGTTGTGTTTCACCCAAAGCAAGAACTTATATTATCCAACTCTGAAGACAAAACTATACGAGTTTGGGATATGACGAAAAGAACATGTCTCAATACATTCAGTCGTGAAAATGAGCGATACTGGGTACTTGCTGCACATCCAACTTCCAATTTATTTGCTGCTGGACATGATTCAGGTATGGTCATATTCAAATTAAAACGTGAAAGACCAGCATTTACACTGTTTGGTAATTTCTTATACTATGTAAAAGAACGTTTTTTACACCGTCTTGATTTTACCACACATAAAGTGACTACAGTCATGCAATTAAGATGCACTGGACGTGTACCTATTTACAGTATAAGTTATAATCCAGCATTCGATGCAATGCTAGTGTGTACAAGAAATACAAATAGTGAAAATAGTACTTATGATCTTTATAATGTTCCTAAGGTAATTTCTGAAAGTAATGTCTCTATACCTGAGAGTAAGCGATCTAATGGTTTGATGGCCATATGGATTGCCAGGAATCGATTTGCTGTTTTAGATAAAACACATATGTTGGCTGTAAAAAACATAAAAAATGAGATAACTAAAAAAAATGTTGGACCCAATAATATAGATGAGATTTACTATGCTGGTACTGGTTTGTTATTACTTCGTGATCCTGAAAATATAACATTGTTTGATGTCACTCAGAAAAGAGTATTAGCCCAAGCTAAAATTGCAAAGTGTCGATATGTTAGCTGGGCGAATGATGGTTCTTTATTGGCAGTTTTATGTAAAAACAACATTTATGTATGCAGTAGAAAATTAGAAATTGTGTGTACTATACATGAAACTTCTAGAATAAAATCTGGAGCATGGGATGATTGTGGTGTTTTCATATATACTACCAGCAATCATATAAAGTATGCCTTACCTGATGGCGGAGACTATGGAATTATACGTACTTTAGATCTACCAATATACATTACTAAAGTCAATGGCAGTCAAGTATTCTGTTTAGACCGTGATTGTAGACCAAGAGTTTTAAATATTGATACAACCGAATACAAATTTAAATTGGCACTTATCAAACGCAAGTATGAAGAAGTGTTACATATAGTTAAAAATGATCGGCTAATTGGACAATCTATAATAGCATACTTGCAGCAAAAAGGATATCCAGAAGTGGCGTTACATTTTGTTAAAGACAACAAAACAAGATTTTCTTTAGCTCTTGAGTGTGGTAATTTAGATATTGCATTGGAAGCTGCTAGGACATTAGATGATAAAGCATGTTGGGAACAATTAGGTCAAGCTGCATTGGTTCTAGGTAACTATCAAGTAGTCGAAATGTGCTATCAGAGAACAAAAAGTTTTGATAAACTGTCATTTTTATATCTCATAACTGGTAATCTTGATAAACTTAGAAAAATGATGAAAATTGCCGAAATATGTAAGGACATATCTGGTCACTACCAAAATGCACTTCTTCTTGGAGATTGTCATGAAAGAATAAAAATTTTAAATGAACTTGGCCACAAATCACTTGCTTATCTGACAGCCACTACTCACGGTTTAGATGCTGAAGCTGAATCAATTAAAGTAGAATACAAAGGTAACTTATCAACAGTTTATCCCAACGCAACTCTATTAAAACCTCCTATCCCAGTAACCCAAGCTGAATCAAACTGGCCACTTTTGACTGTGTCTAAAGGTTTCTTTGAAGGTGCTATACTAGCAGCTGGTAATGCTTCAGGACTCGTTGACACGGCTCTTGGTGAGGATATTGAAGAAGAAGGTTGGGGTGCTGAAGCAGACTTAGGTCTTGAAGGCTATATATCCCCCACCCATTCCGAGGCTGAGGAAGAAGCAGCATTGACAGCTGCTACCGTTGTAGAAGAAGGTTGGGATGTTGGTGATGAAGAAGTGGAACTGCCACCTGAGGTGCAAGTATTGAAACAAGACACAGATTATTTTATTATTCCACAAATGGGGGCTTGTCCATCGCTTGTCTGGTCAGCTCACAGTCAATTGACTGTGGATCATGTCAAATCTGGTGACTTTGCAAATGCATTTAAACTGCTCAATGAACAGATCGGGGTGACACATTTTCAACCTTTTAAAAGCCTGTTCATGAACATGTACATTAATTCGTGTGTATCATACACCCCATTACCAAGCCACCCATCATTATTTGTGTACCCTAACAGAAACTGGAAAGAGAACGGCTCTATTAACAACAAGCCCGTGTTAGACATAACATTGTACCAGTTGCTAAACGAACTGCAAGTATGCTATCAGTTAACAACGGCCGGCAAATTCCCAGAGACCATTGCCAAGTTCCGTTCAATCCTGACCTCCGTGCCGCTGCTGTGCGTGGACACCAAACAAGAAATATCTGAAGTCACACAACTGGTACATATTTGCAAGGAGTACTTGGTCGGATTGATAATGGAAACAGCTCGAAAGGACTATCCAAAAGCAACAGCTGATGACCAAAAACGGGTGGCTGAAATGGTCGCGTACTTTACACATTGTGACCTACAGATGACGCACAAAATCCTTACACTGCGGACAGCTATTAATATATTCTACAAAATTGGCAACCTTAACACTGCTGCGTCGTTTGCAAAACGATTACTGGAACTGGGACCACGTGCTGAAGTCGCCCAACAAGCTCGTAAAATGCTACAGGCTTGTGACCTAAACCCAACCAACAAGTTACAGGTGGCTTATGATCAACACAACCCATTTTCAATATGCGCCTACTCGTTTGTACCTATCTACAAGGGCAAAGAGGAGGTTAAATGTCCATTCTGCTCGGCCTCATATCAGCCTATACACAAAGGCAAAGTATGCAATATATGTCAAATATCATCGATTGGACGCGAGGTCACTGGACTTAAGATAACTATGGCCCATTTTCGATAAGAAAATGTTTAGTTTAACATATCCAAATTATCAATATTTAATTATTATTCCAGTATTGTTTTTTCCTATAATTTTTATTTTATATGTATATAATAATTTAATATTTTGTTGTTTTTATAGTACAATATGTATAAATCATTGATTATATAGTATAATCGATGGTATTAACTTGTTACTATGTACTTGTTGATTGAAATCTGTATGAAAAGTATTTTAATTAAATAAAAATGTATTTTAAATATTTTTGTAATTCTTAATGTGAATCATTATACCTAAGTATTCAAAAAAAATTTAAAAAACACTTCATAGTAAATCTCGTCACATGTTATACATAAAAGTTGTTTCTTTTTTTTTGTTAATACCCATAAGAAATATTTAGAAGATTTCAAAACTTTAGTATTCAATGACAGTAAAAAAACTACTAACATTAGGCGGTTAGATAATATTATTATATCTATAATCTGCTATTGTCTAATATACAGTTTTATAGATTTATCTTCTTAATTTCTTTCAGGTAACAATATTTTATAAAGAAAACATAGCAGTAAAAATAGTTTATTTAATAAACATAAATCAGTAGGAAATTGAAAATTATAACTTATCACTATCTACATAAATCATTATTATCAGAAATATCACTTGAATGAGAAAGTCCCAGGTTTTGTATAATTGATGGCTTTTTTTCTGTTTTTTCGTTTTTTAAATCTAACAGAATTAAATAATATCATCTAAATATATATTAATATTTGTATGATTACTAAAATTAAATACTATACCTGGAGAAGAAACTTTGCCTATGTGGAATTTTTTCTTAAATTTTGACATTAAAGTATTCTTTTTTTTATGCTCTATAGGCTTACAATTAATTTTTGGAGATTTATGTTTTTCTATCTTAATATCTCCACAATCAGAAACTTTGAATGATTCTCGAGGTTTACATAAATTCTACAAACAAAATACATATTTAATTTGTAATCTTTATAATTAATAAATATTGCTCGAGAGACCTCAAGCAAATCAGTGCAATAATTTCAGAATTTCAAACTTGATATTTAATACTACCATGTTACCAAAAAATAATTATAAACAAAAGGATCAGTAGAAAAATAGAATTTAGGATTATGAATAATTAGTATACATTTTGAAAGAACAAGCTAGAGAAGCTATTTTAGATTGGAGAATTTTACCTAGTAAAAAAAAAGCTAGAAAATTACTTAGAAAAATAGATTTTATTTAAAATATATGAAAACCAGAGAGCTATAATCAATAAATAAATATTAACTTGACAACAACTGCCAAAGTCCAAAGATATATATATATATATATATATATATATTGTTTATATACAAGATATGCTCTCCCTTTACGTACTATGCACTTAGACTTTGAGTAAGCCATAAATAACATAAAACCTTGACTAAATCAAGAAGGATTAAGAGTGAAAATAGGGGGTCTTGTACTCAATGGTAGTTTTTGCAGATTAGTCTTGAAAAAAAACCTACAAGCAGCACTAACAATTATAATCAAAAAATAAACGCAGCAAACACAAAAGCTTTAGTGTGTAATGTCCAAAAATATTTCATCAAACCAGTATTTTGGCCAAAAATATATTGTTAGAAACTTATTGAATTCAAAAAATATTTTGTCAGAACCATATTTGATCCGAAAAGTAGTTTAGACAAAAATATTTTGTGGTATCACATTAAAGGCAAAATAAAATTTAAAGTTTAAATCAGTGTTGCACTAATAATTTATTATAAGCAGTTGTTTATATGGTAAAATAGATAATAATTATCAACAATGGTGGATGGAGATTTGTTTAAATAGTTATTTCTATATAGATGCAGATTTTTAATTGGGCAGGAAGAAATAAAATACACAACTAATTTTTCAGAAGTTTTAGGGTTCCTACTTCTACTATTTGTTTCAAGTGGAATACATGGTATAGTACATATTTTTGTATTTTAATTAAAATATATTTTCTATAAAATTTGAATGTTTGAATTTGAAACAGTTATAAAAAAAATACTATAAACTGCTGACCTCCTCAATGCACTAATTAGATAAAATTTCATTTCAAAAATAGAGTTACACTTAGTACATTGGAGTGAAATTTCTGACAGAAAAGTTGCTCAGACATACACAAAAAAAAATTATACAACATACATCATATTAAAACTAAGAGCATGGCAAGATACCATGCCATGCTGCTCTAAATCTAAAAATGAACAGCATAATAAGCTAAGTTTACTTTCACAAAAAAGAAACTACTGACAGTAGGAAAAAATGTACTTAGTCACCAAAATGAAATAAATTGAAATGTATTTCTGGAGTCTAGCTTTTTATTGATTTAAAACTTTGATAGTTAATAAAAATGAAAAGATCCTGAAAATGTGGTAATTGAGAAAGTTACAAACAATAAGTTTTACTAAAAGAGAAATCCAATTAATGTGATAAAAGTAAAACAAACATCAATAGATGTTAGATAATATTGTTATTAATACATTAATTATTATAAATACATAAGCCAAACATTTAAAAAAAAAAACCAGTTACTTTCTATTAAAAACTAAAAAAATCATATTTTTTTATAGATCAATTCTAGGATTTAAGAACTAAAAAGAAAAAATTATTATTACCACTTGTTCATGTAAAATTGCACCATGCTCATCAATCTCAGTAGCAGAGTTATAAAACTCTAGCAATCTTTTATGAACTAATTCTTTAACATCATATTTGATTAAATCTATTAAATAGTTGTTTCTTAATAATTCATCAGCCTTGATTTGCCTGAGTGTCAATACAATGTGTATTTGATTTACATTATCAGAATGCAATAAAGTTTCAGAATACTCGTAATCTCCATCGGTCTCATTTACAATAATATTCATAGAGGCTTCTTGCCTTAGTTGTATTAGTTCAGAATAATCTTTGTCTAAACTTTTATCGCTTTTCCACCGATGACATTCGGCTTTTGTTTTCCCTGCATCTGCAATATCCATACAGCGAACTTCATTCTCACTTATTACATCAGACTTTTGCAATGATAGTTTAGAAGAGCACATAGGAATCATTTTTTCAATAACAGTCACTGTCTGTAAGTGGTTTAAAGACTCCTGATCCATATACAAATCGCACTGTTGATATTTATGATGTAAAACTGTAACAATATTTATATTGTTAATATCAGAATTTGGTTGGTTGAGAAATGTTAAAATCAGTTATAATATGATAAAGATATTTATATTATTATAACTATCATATTATATAAATATAAACAAACACAAATATAAAATATTATACTCAGGGATGAGCAAGATACTTTATTATAAGTGTTTAAATTCTAGATACTTATAATTATTTAATTAGCATACTAAAATAATTAAAGCAGTAAAAATAAAATAAAAATTGATTCAAAACATAAATAATACATAATTTTAGATACTAATAAATATACAAACAAATAGTACATAAACAACTGTATATGTATTAAATTATTTTATTTTTTTAACAATTAAAATGCAATCCAACTAATCAATAAATAGTAACCAAGTTAAATTGTTCAAAAATTATTATTAATAACAAAACCTGATAACTAATAGGTAAAATATTTGGGTCTGGAATTTTAGGTTTGTACAAATCATTATTGAGCTTTTTATTTAATGAAAAATATGGATGATGCATTCATAGAATATTATATTATTAAATGTGAGAGAAAGTAGTATCATATATTATATTTCATACAAATTATTGTTATTTTACATAATATATATTATTAAAATTAAATTTAAAGATATGAACAGAAGAATTTAATCAGTATTCAGTTTTTTTTTTTTGAAATGTGATTATGTGTTAAATATTATTTTTTTTTATCACGCTTCCTGTGCATTCATATTTATTATGGCCATAATATGTAGGTAATAAAAATATTAAATGGTAAATACCAGTGTAATAAACTTATTAAATGGATTAAAAATAATTTGATCAATATATTAATAATAAACTCTGTCGGGTAATGCATCAAAAAATGTTTTTGAAGTATCTGCAATAGCCCGGGGATCTTATAGACTTAAAACAAAAGTTATTTTGCCAAATTAAAGGCGACAAAATTTACTATGTTTTCACAAAGGGAATTTTTTTTGTACTTTCATAAAATAATTTTAATTTTATAAGCTGGGCAATTTACAAAGAAATAAAGATGCTTATAATACGTAATAAATAAGTACAAAGTACTTGACAGAAGTTGAACAATTTTAAAACATAGACAAAGAATAAAAAGCTAATAAGATTTAATAAAAACAAATCAAATGTGTTTTAAATTTTTAAATATGAATACTGAAAATGTCTGTCTGTGGAAACATAGTAGACATAGTTTGCTATTTTTTTTTTCAGTTTTACAAAATTCATAAAAAATATTAGATCATATCTATGAAACCAAAACAATTTAATCCAAATATCTAAAAAAAAATCAGAAAATGTTATATAAATAGCATAAAAATTGGTAAGATGTTTTCAACATTTATATTTAGAAAGAGTTAGTTTAAGATTTATGTAAAAATTGCAGATCTATACAATATTTTTAACTGTTTTACTAAAAAAAATCAAATAAAAAATAATGATAGTGTTATGGCTGTACACTTTCCTGTTTTTTTTCCCATGTATAATGAAAACTACAAAAAGAATTAAAAATTACCTCATAAATGCATCATAAGATTAAAATGCTACAAAAAAGCTCTCTTAACAATTTTTTAATTGAAGCTATTTTTCTGCTAGAAAAGTGTTATTTATATAAACAAAAAAACAAAACAAAATAGCACATATTAAAGTAAAACTAATACGTTTCTCAGTAATCTCAGAATCTAATAATAATTATAAAAATCACACATTATAGAACCAATACGTTCCTCATTGTGCTTAGAATCTAAAATAGAAATTTACCAGGTTCAGTTTTGGTGGTATTCTGTTCTGTTTGATATTCATTTTGAAGTATTTTGTATTTTTTTTCTAGGCTATTATACTTTTGTTTCCAACACATTTCTTGTATCTGCATAGGGTTATCGCCTGATTGAGATATTAACTAAGAAATGAAAATTAAATTATACCAACAAATTTCAAATAATACAAAGATTAACTCACATGATATAATAATTTATTTTTATGAGCTACATTACAATTAATTTTACAGTCATTCACTTCTTGGTAAATTTCAAAATCCTAAAAACATTAAAGTTAATTTTAAGTGAACACAAAAAAATAATTTAAATTTTTAAATTTAATTTTACTTGTGATTTATTCTGAATAGTTTTGCGCATGTCTTCTAAATTATTTTGAAGTTGAGTAATTTCTGTCTTTAAACTTTCAACATAATGTTCATTTTCAAATGAGTTTAAATTTGTGCACGAGTTTAGCCCATGTCGTCGAAAACAATGATATTTCAAATAATTTTTGTCCAAAAACATTTTCCCACAATACTCACATAGGGCTGCACACTTTACCTAAATAAAAATATTAATATATGTATTAAATTGTCCATTAAAATACAGATCAAATAAATTGCATAATATACATAAAACATACTTTGCCATTAATCAATAAAGTTGGATGGTTTTTACAATGCAATAAAAATTCAATAATCAACTGTGAAAGACGGAATATTTTCTTAGTTACACTCATTTTCTCAACATTGTAACTGAGGATACTAGATACAAGGGTTGACAAACTCTGTACATCAGTTTTTGAGATTATATCATCGATGGAAATTTGCTCTACAATTACATTTTTAATAAGTATGTTGAATAAGGTTTAAGTATCTACGTAGATTTATATAAGTAGAACATTTTTCATTCCCTGTTTGTCGATTGTTAGGTATTTAATAATTAATTAAAATTATCACAGACCTTAAGATATAAATTTACCTAATTTTTCCCAATCCACTGACTCACTGTATTTCTTGAATGCAAATTCAGTCTTTGTCGCAATAAACTCAAAATCTGAAGTAACTGCTTTAAGGAGATCGCCCATGACTACTTGGAAAATAATAACTTCAGTTTTTCCTATGTGGGCACCATTAAAATCATTAAAAACTCATCGTTAGGGCGCAATTAGAAAATTTAATTTGCACAAGATACAACTTGACAATCGCAAAAGTACTAAAACAATTATCCTTAATGTATTATTTACAATATCCCACAGAACTTTTCAGTGATGAATACATAATAATTCAATCCAATCAAACAATTTTAAATTTAACAATATTCTCGTTATCGTGTTAAAAAAATGATAACCATAAAATTATGTTAATAATTTTACCCATAACCGTGGTTACAACGTATGTTCCGCTGGCAATATTTGATAAGAATACCCAGTAGTTCCAAATTTTGTATACAATGTTGCCTATTGAACTCCTGAAACTCAACTGTTAATGGTTAAACAAGTTGCCTTAAATTTATTATAAATTGCCTATACATTTTGACAATCAGCGAGTAAGTCAATTCTGTGGAATATTTTTACGTCATCTGCATACAGTAAGAACTTCACCTGTTTTAAACTGGCAGTGATAGAGTTTACAAATAGGCAGAATAAGAGAGGACTCAGATGCTCACCTTGTGGCACCTCAGATGGAACTTTTACAATATCAAAACAAGTATTATTCATTATAACAAATTGTTTACTGCCCGATAAATAAGAAATTAGGCAAGTCAAAAGTGAGTTACCAATTCCTAAATTCATAAGTTCATTTGGGAGTAGGTTGTGGTCTACAGAATCGAAGGTTTTGGAAAAATCAGCCTATAATGATGTCAACTTGAGAGCATAGGCGTTTAAAATTCAAATGTCTGATTAAATTCATTAAAATCGCGTAAATGTTTTGTAGGTAATTCAAAAATAAATAAATGCAATTTTAGATAATTGTTTACAAGTATAAGTAAATCTAATTTTCAAACCCAAAATAATACTATCAAGTATGCATTAAATTTTCTTGATAGTATAAAATAAGCCTTAATTAGATAGGTAATCATTTGCATATTTTTGCAAAACAAAAAAAACGGTAGGTAATGATATCACCTTTTCTAAGATTTATCTGACCATATTTTGCGAAAGTACTTCTCTCTAGCTTTCTTTTGGTTTAATAAAATGTATAACCCCGGATTTCGTTCTATTTTTTTATCAAGCGTCTATATAGCCATCACGGACGCATTACGCTCCGGCACGTCACTAAATATGATTTGTTTTTTAGTGCCGTTTTTTTAAACTTCTTCTCATGCATTTTTGCGTATTTATTGCCTGCTACTTGCAGTTTTACGCATTTTAGGAACTACTGGACTCTCTTATCAAATATTACCACCGGAACGTACGCTATAGTTAACAATAGCTGGTAATTCAATTTGTAGTGTACTGTTGTTACAGTTGTCCATGTTTTATGAATTGAATTGATTTTCGAATACTGTAAACTGTTTAATTTTTTATATTTTAAATAAAGCTTATAATGCCGACCTGGAATCAAATTCAAAGCCAGTTAAGAAACCCTCAAAATCCAGTTGTATTTTTTGATATAACTGTTGGAAGAACGGTATTTGTTATTTTTAAATTAGTCATTAAATTTTTCAACTCAGTAAATATTAAATTTAAATTTGAAATATTTAATTGTACATTTGTTTAGAACATTTGTATACTAATAATACTTTGAAAATGTTTACTAAGTTTCATAATTTAATAAAATTTTAAATCTTAATAAGAACTTAAAATTTTTGGGTAATTGTATAAATCTCATTAAACATTAATAAATAATAATTGTGTAAGTTTAAATAAACTAATTACCAAGTTGTATTATGTTAAAAAAGTCTGTGGTAACTAATACTTTACCAGTTAGTTTCTATAATATAATATTTAGTAATTAGTTTTTTAATGTTGACACAGGTAATTATCACTTATAGCACTTTGTTTATGTCAAAATATTTTTTTATTAATTATAAATATATAAAATATAGGCGCACTTAAATTTTTTATTAACTAATAACAGAATAAAAGAAATATATAATCTAATAAAAGAAAGTTATTTCTTCCTTCAAGGAAATTGGTAGATTAATTATGGAATTATATGCTGACATCGTACCAAAAACTACTGAGAACTTTCGTCAATTTTGTACTGGTGAACATAGAAGAGACGGAATTCCATTTGGATATAAAGGATGTTGCTTTCATAGGATTATTAAAGATTTTATGATACAAGGAGGAGATTTTGTAAATGTCAGTATAAAATTTAAAATGTAATATGTACTATAATGTATATTATTATCCCGGTTTTAAATGCTCTTATTATTTGTGCTAATTTAGGGTGATGGAACAGGAGTAATGAGTATATATGGAGCAGATACATTTTCAGATGAAAATTTTAAACTTAATCATGATGCACCTGGACTTTTATCAATGGTAAATATATTTATTAATTCATATAAATACAATGTATAATATCATTATATTTTGTTTACTTAAAAATAGGCAAACAGTGGTAAGGATACCAATGGATGCCAGTTTTTTATCACTTGTGCAAACTGTAACTTCTTGGATGGGAAACATGTGGTATTTGGACGTGTCATTGATGGATTGTTGGTTATGAGAAAAATTGAAAATGTTCCTACAGGTCCCAACAATAAACCAAAAATACCTATTGTTATATCTCAGTGTGGACAATTATGATAGTTTTAAAGGAGTCAATTATTTTTATATTTTGAATAATACATGTGGTTTTTAAAAATAAAAAACCTAATAATAAGTTATAAAAATAATTTTGTATTTCTCAAATTTAATCCATTGTAAGTTTGTTTGAAGTAAACTCTGAAATTACCAAACTTAATTTTCATCAAATTTATATCAATCTATTTAGCAAGCTCCATGTGTTATTTTTAGGGCCGGATTTTCTGCCTTGGGACATATATGCTATACTCTACGAGTAGTCAAAATATCCATGACTGCCATTTATAACTTTATTAGAGTCTTTGTTGCTATCATTACCAGGGATGGGCATGAAATCTAAGTATCCGACTATCTAGATTTGAATCAAATTCTTATCCTGATTTTTTGAATTATCCAAATTTTCTATTTTTATCTGCCCATTTCACCCTATATCCTCTACCAATGCAAGACAACCAAATCATACAACTTGAAGTGATATCTAATAATTAATAGCACAAATATCAACTATAAGATTGCTTGTTATAAAACAAATTCACTGCTTGTATGTAGTGTATTCGTATTAGTTATAATATAGTACAATATAGGGATTAGAACTAAATAGTAATTATAACTAACAAAATGAGTCAAGAGATATGTCATCATTAATCACTACATTATTTCATTTTTCCCAATCTTAAATAATTTCCTTTCATTCTAGCATTACCAAAGTTTTAAGTTCCTTTTTACTATGTCTAGCCATTTCTTCTTCAGTCTACCCTGAGATTTCTTTCTTACCAGACTCCATACCATGAGTGTTGCTTCTTAGTTTCTTCTCATGACATGTCCCAACCATTGCATTGTCTAACTGATATTGTGTAGTAGAACTAAATATAATAGTATTAAATATTAATTAATTAATAATAAAATATTAAAGTAAAAACAAAATTAATAATGGTTAATACTCATATATTAATATATAAATTATTTAATTAATTAATGCATTGCCTGAATTATTATGAAATGTATATTGTACGATCGATTTCAAATAAAAAATTCATCGTCAAGTAAAATCAAAGTAGAACACAACTGAATATGAAGAAAAAAAAAGAAGAAATACACAACAAAAATTAATTGTTTTACATAGAAATAATTTATTTTTAAAAATTAATTAATTATTGTAAAGTTGTCATTGGCTACAGAAGTACCCTTTTTGAAAACTAAAATAATGGACAATAGTTAATTGCACGGGAGTGAAAACTTGAGTCATAGAGAAACATATCATTTTTGAAAACTTTTTTTTGGCCAATAATATGTACAGGCAAAGCCCCACAGGACAGCTAGTTATTTAATAAAATTATCTAACCATCTTATTTTTGATATCTATACTTTCTACATTAAAATAGTTTATGTTGAAACTTCACAAAATATTATATTACAATATATATTCTTTAAAATAATTAGGCTTAAAATGCTGAAATTGTTATTATAGGCATTTATTAAAAACATGTAAATGTTTTATAAGTAATTTGAAAAATAAATAAATGCAATTTTTGATAATTGTTTACAATCATCAAAATATGTTTCATCAAGCTTTGCTCATAACCATTTTTCAATTGCAATGATTAATCGTTGTTAACAGTATATTATATTATACCTATAGAGATATATATATATTTTTTTAATTAATTTAATAATTTTAATATTCCTGTGAACTTTACTATATATATATTCAAAGAAAAGAGAAAAATACATTTTTTTAGAACAATTATATTTTTAAAAGTATTTCAAATAAATTAGCATCAGGCGGAAATTTACATTTATAGATGGGTATCAGACTATGTTTTCAGTTAGAAAAGTTAGTATAAATAATAATCATTTTTACTATAATATAAAAACTTAACTTTATATTGTTAAATAAAATACTAAACTGTCATCATATTTTAACTGCATAAATTCGTCAATGGCAATTTTAATTTTTCAACTTTCTGCTGAAAATCTAATTTTCATACCCATAATAATACTTTTAAGTATGCATTCAATTTTCTTGATAGTGTGAAATAAGCCTTTGATAGTTAGAGTAATCATATTTTGTATATTTTTGCAAAACAAAAAAAGGGTACGTAACTAGAAAACCTTTTCTTGCATGCTCATTGTACAGGGGCTGCGCTTAAATTGTATGCCAAAAAAAAAAAAGAAAAAATATCCGAAATGCATGCTATCATTTACAGGGTTCTGTCCAAATTGCGTGCCGAGAATAATAAATAAAAAAAATATAGTGGTATTTTCCTTCCCACTTTTACAAACTTAAAATTTAATTGTTTTACACTTATACTGGTGTGATTAAAAATGTTTTCAATTTTGTATTGTTAATTAGGTATTTTTAATATTATTTTTACCTACTATTCAAACGTATTCACACGTATAACATCGTCAATATATTATGATTTAACGTTTTCTGTATTATGTGTCAAGTGTTATATTTATTTTGTTTTCGGCAACGCCGTATTTGATAAATTTTCTGTATACATTTTTCATTATTTTGAAATTGCGTTATCACTAAACTTAAATTCTTCTTTTTCTAATACTTCTCGACGTCTTTTATTTAAACTGTAAAAACACATTTTTACATATATATCACATTTTGCTTGCTTTAGGACATGAATTAGTTGAAATATATTAGGACTTTGAGAGTAAAACATGCTATTATCTATTAGAAATTTTTTTTTGTTTTTTTTTTTACAGAGCATAATATTTTCAACTAGTGGTTCCATGTTAACGTTGCAATGCGTATTAATATTACGAAACTTAGAAAACCTATTTGTTTTAATGTCTAATATAAAAATAATATCATAATCTATAGACTACAGAGTATAGTATACACTACACACGGCACTCGTGGTAATCTCGCCATTTTCTATTTTCAAAAATTATATACGGCACACAATTGTGTCAGAGGAAGGGACATAGTGCCCGGTTTTATAAGTCAAATGTTGATATGTGCCTATCTATTATTTAATTTTCTGGTTCGTTAAAAAGTTACTGATAAAATTGTATAATGTTTAACTTTATTATTTGCTGCTTTTACATCTAATATGTCTCCGAAGTTGATGTTATACCTTTAAAACCATAGGTACTATTTTATTATCAAAGGGCAATTTATTACATTTTATAACACTGTATATAATTATAAAATTTAATTTACAGACAAATCTTCCCTAGTAAAAGCACTTGGACGGCCAAATGAGTTACAACTTTGTTGCATCTTTTTATCGTTTAGACATTTAAACAAATGTCTCTTCTGTATAATTTTGATAATTATGTGAACCAACTGCTCATTTGTGTACTTTTGGCATCCTAAGAATAAAAATATTTATAGTTTAATTTAAGAGAATTCCTACCTTGGTATTTGAACCATAAATTAAATAGGCAATTATAAAGATGTGATTCATTTACTTAAATTAATAAAAATATTTGATCAATACCTACACAGTAGTTAAGAATATAATATAATATACATTACATCTATGATTAATTTTTAATAAATAGGTTTTATGTATAGTTAAACAGATAGGTAAAATCTATTATCTATATTATTTAAGACATACGTGTATTGATGTGTTACCTAAGTACCTAAGTAATAGTACCAATTATATTATACATAGATATGTTCCTTATTACATTAGGTATAATAATCCACATAATAGTATATTACATACTGTAATACTATAATAACTATAACAAAATTACCTTTTAAGTAATTATATTTTGTGTAAATAAATTATAGATAATTTAATTTACTTTTTTGTAGACAAATTTCTAAATTATTTTTTCTATTGTGGTTGTAGTTACCTATAATTGTATACTTAATATTACTCAAAGATTTGATTTTATTTTTGCAAAATAATAAGTATTAATAATTTCATTTTGTTTTTAATGTATTGTACTATTCTCATACATTGACATAATTATTAAACTCCAGTAATATTTTTGTGAAAAAAGTAACTCTTATTGTAATAAAGTTACTTATTCAAAGGTACTACATACTTTATTGCCCGGACCTTTAAAGAATGTTCCATCCTGAGAGACGCTTATCCGATTATACATTCCAAAATTACTCCTCTTTAGCTTTCTTTTGGTGTAATAAAATGTTTAACCCCGGATTTCGTTCTATTTTTAACGAACGTTAAACATAGCCATCTCGAACGTATTACGCTCCGGCACGCATTAAATATTATTTGTTTTTTAGTGCCGTCGTTTTAGACCTCTCGTGCATTTTGCGTATTTATTGCTTGCCTTACGCCTAAATCGCAGTTCTACACATTTTAGGAACCACTTGGCTCTCTTATCAAATATTGCCACCGGAACGTACGTTGGTTACACCCGTTACCCCATCACCGGTTATCATTACTTCACAAAATACACGTAAACACCAAACAAGTTACAAGTTATTATAGTACTGTAATTATTCTATTTGACGAATTTCAGTAAATTTAATTGAGAACTATTGCGTTTATAATGAGTTTTGAACGTTATTAAAGAATTAAACGGTAAGTCTAAGTATTATTTTTAATTATAACAATGTGAAATATAAATTTTTCAGCGACGTATGATTTTGTAATTTTAAATTTTCGACTTCTAACATGACTTATGTAACTAATTATCTTTTGGGTGTGTGTTGTACTCATACAGCAATGATGCCAATATTTTACCAATTATAATATCTATTTAAACACTTGATTAAATAAATTTTACATTGTGTTTGAGTATACCAAACTTCTAAAGTAAATACTTAATATTATATTGACTTTTTATTAAATAAACATAAGTTTTCAATGCCTATCTACTTAATAAATCATTGCGAAAAGTCCAGTTTACCATTTTAATAATCTTAAATTACAATTTATAATTTGAACTTTGATAATCACATTTTTTCAAACTAATAAATACCTACTTTAAAAAAGTAGGTATTTATTAGCATTTATTTATTGAATAGATAATAAGTAGGTAGTTACTGTAAAGATATTTAATATTGTACCTGGAATTTAAATCCATATAGTTTGATTACTGTATTAAATTAAATATTATTAAAAACACCCAGTTTTAAACAAGATATAAGACAAATTATTATTTCCTTTCTATCTTAGTATTAAATTATTAATTAGAGCCTTTAACTTAATAACATGTTATAATAGTTGTCAGAAAAGTGTCTCCAGTGAATATTATTAAATTAGAATTTAATACACATCACTTATATAGTTATATAGTATAAGTAAAAATAAAAGTCATCAAATAATAAATATAATAATTAAATAAAGTTTTTTTTATTTTGGGTACCTACAATATTATGAGACTTTTTGTAAGCTTAGCGAGGAATCTAGAATGTATTAGTTTTATTATAATGTTTATTTTTTGTGCGATCACCAACTTCAAGGGTAGTTTGTGATACCACGTTTTCTTTTGTTAGTGTATTGAGGAGTTAATTTATTTATTTCATTACAAGTTTTCTTAATAGCTAAGAAAAAACAACGGAAGCATGGGAATATTTACTTTAACATTTATATTAAAAATTGTTAGACGTGATAAAATGTGTAAAACATTTTTTAGATTTTTAAGCTATTTTTAGCAATTTGAAATGTTGATTTTTTTTAGTTTTTTATAGTTTTGTGGACATAATTTTTTGTGAAAACTCAAAAAAGCTCTAAAATTTGAAGCAAATTTCATCTTTACCTTGTTTTTTTTATGACACTATACAATTCTTAAGCAAGATTTTTGTCCTGTATTCTTTAAAATTCAAATTTTTGTGAGAATTGTAAGAAAAACAGCATTTCTATTGGTACTATTTTCTTATTTATGTGATTATAAATTATTTAGGCCACCAAAAATATTCAAATATTTCTCTGTAATGTAGTGATTGTTTTACTATGTAAATCCAAAGCTTCATAACATATATGATGCTATTATATTTAAATAAAAAATATATTGATATTAACTATATAAATATATTCTATATCTATATCTGCCAACCTTTTTTCTTTATTTCTAAGTAATTGTAAAAAGTTTAATTATGTTTTAATTTTTAATTTCAGTTAAATAATAAATACAAATATAAATATGTTAACAAAATTTGAAACAAAATCAGCCCGGATAAAGGGCCTTACATTTCATTCAAAGAGACCATGGATATTAGCTAGTCTACATACTGGTGTTATTCAATTATGGGACTATCGCATGTGCACCTTATTAGATAAATTTGATGAACACGATGGACCAGTACGGGGTATAAGCTTTCACAGTCAACAGCCTATATTTGTATCGGGTGGTGATGATTACAAAATTAAAGTTTGGAACTATACACAACGACGATGCATATTTACTTTACTTGGTCACTTAGATTACATCCGTTCTACAATGTTCCACCACGAGTACCCTTGGATATTAAGTGCATCTGACGATCAGACAATAAGAATTTGGAACTGGCAAAGTCGTGCTTGCATTTGTGTTCTCACTGGTAAAGCTAATGTTATATAACAATTACTGATATATTATAATATGATCTATAATAATAATACATATTTAATAATTTTTTATTCTTAGGTCATAACCATTATGTTATGTGTGCTCAGTTCCACCCATCTGAAGATTTGGTGGTTTCTGCATCATTAGATCAAACTGTTCGTGTTTGGGATATTTCTGGCCTGCGCAAGAAAAACGTTGCTCCGGGTCCTGGTGGATTAGATGAACATTTGAAAAACCCAAATGCCACAGATTTATTTGGTCAAGCTGATGCTGTAGTCAAACACGTACTTGAAGGTCATGATCGTGGTGTTAATTGGTGTTCATTCCACCCTACTATGCCACTAATTGTCTCTGGGGCTGATGACCGTCAAGTAAAACTATGGCGAATGAATGATTCTAAAGCTTGGGAAGTAGATACTTGCCGTGGCCATTATAACAATGTGTCCTGTGTTGTGTTTCACCCAAAGCAAGAACTTATATTATCCAACTCTGAAGATAAAAGTATAAGAGTTTGGGATATGACAAAAAGAACATGTCTTAATACATTTAGACGTGAACATGAACGATTCTGGGTTCTTGCTGCACATCCAACTTCCAATTTATTTGCTGCTGGACATGATTCAGGTATGGTCATATTCAAGTTGGAACGTGAAAGACCAGCATTTACACAGTTTGGTAATTTCCTATACTATGTAAAAGAACGTTTCTTACACCGTCTTGATTTTACCACACATAAAGTGACTACAGTCATGCAATTAAGATGCACTGGACGTGTACCTATTTATAGTATTAGTTATAATCCAGCAATTGATGCAATGCTTGTTTGTACAAGAAATTCAAACATTGAAAATAGTACCTACGATTTATATACTATGCCTAAAGAAAACTCTGATAGTGGTGTTGCTGCACCTGAAGGTAAACGATCCAGTGGTTTAACAGCAGTTTGGATTGCTAGGAATCGGTTTGCTGTTTTAGATAAAACACATATGTTGGCTGTAAAAAATCTAAAAAATGAGATTACAAAAAAGAATGTTGGACCTAACAATATAGATGAGATTTACTATGCTGGTACTGGTTTGTTATTACTTCGTGATCCTGAAAATATAACATTGTTTGATGTCACTCAGAAAAGAGTATTAGCCCAAGCTAAAATTGCAAAGTGTCGATATGTTAGCTGGGCGAATGATGGTTCTTTATTGGCAGTTTTATGTAAAAACAACATTTATGTATGCAGTAGAAAATTAGAAATTGTGTGTACTATACATGAAACTTCTAGAATAAAATCTGGAGCATGGGATGATTGTGGTGTTTTCATATATACTACCAGCAATCATATAAAGTATGCCTTACCTGATGGCGGAGACTATGGAATTATACGTACTTTAGATCTACCAATATACATTACTAAAGTCAATGGCAGTCAAGTATTCTGTTTAGACCGTGATTGTAGACCAAGAGTTTTAAATATTGATACAACCGAATACAAATTTAAATTGGCACTTATCAAACGCAAGTATGAAGAAGTGTTACATATAGTTAAAAATGATCGATTAATTGGGCAATCAATTATAGCATATTTGCAACAAAAAGGATATCCGGAAGTAGCATTACACTTTGTTAAAGACAACAAAACAAGATTTTCTTTAGCTCTTGAATGTGGTAATATAGATATTGCATTGGAAGCTGCTAGGACATTAGATGATAAAGCATGTTGGGAACAATTAGGTCAAGCTGCATTGCTTCAAGGTAACCATCAAATAGTTGAAATGTGTTATCAGAGAACAAAAAGTTTTGATAAACTGTCATTTTTATATCTCATAACTGGTAATCTTGATAAACTTAGAAAAATGACAAAAATTGCCGAAATACGTAAGGATGTATCTGGTCATTATCAAGGAGCACTTCTTCTTGGTGACTGTCATGAAAGAATTAAGATACTGAACGAACTAGGCCACAAATCGCTTGCATATCTGACAGCTATTACTCATGGTTTAGATGCTGAAGCTGAATCAATTAAAGAAGGGTACGAAGGTAACCTACCCACAGTTAATCTCAATGCAACTTTATTAAAACCTCCTGTCCCAGTAAGCCAAGCTGAATCAAACTGGCCACTTTTGACTGTGTCTAAAGGTTTCTTTGAAGGTGCTATATTAACAGCGGGTAAAGCTTCAGGGCTTGTTGACACGGCTCTTGGTGAGGATATTGAAGAAGAAGGTTGGGGGGCTGAAGCAGACTTAGGTCTTGAAGGCCGTATATCTCCCACCCATTCCGAGGCCGAGGAAGAAGCAGCATTGGCTGCTACCACTGTTGTGGAAGGAGAGGAAGGTTGGGACGTTGGTGATGAAGAAGTGGAACTACCACCTGAGGTACAAATATCGAAACAGGATGCTGACTATTTTGTTGCACCACAAATAGGTACTTCTCCATCCCTCATTTGGTCTTCCAACAGTCAAATGGTCATCGATCATGTCAAATCTGGTGACTTTGAGATCGCGTTCAAATTACTTAATGAACAGATTGGGGTGACCAACTTTAAACCTCTTAAAAGTTTGTTTATGGACATGTACCTTAAGTCGTGTATCTCTTATACACCATTACCGAGCCATCCATCATTGTTCATGTATCCAAATAGAAACTGGAAAGAAAACAATGCCAACAGCAACAAACCCGTGTTGGATATAAAACTGGACCATCTGTTGAATGAATTGCAGGCATGCTATCAGCTTACAACCGCTGGCAAGTTCCCGGAAACCATTTCCAAGTTTAGATCTATTCTGAACTCTGTACCTCTGCTCTGCGTGGACACCAAACAAGAGGTATCTGAGGTCATACAGCTAGTGCATATTTGTAAGGAGTATTTGGTTGGCTTGGTAATGGAAACAGCTCGAAAGGACCATCCAAAAGCAACAGCTGATGATCAAAAACGTGTGGCTGAAATGGTCGCGTACTTTACACATTGCGACCTACAAATGACGCATAAAATCCTTACACTTAGGACGGCTATTAACATATTCTACAAAATTGGCAATCTTAACACCGCTGCGTCATTTGCAAAACGATTGCTGGAACTGGGACCACGGGCTGACGTTGCCCAGCAAGCTCGCAAAATGCTGCAGGCTTGCGACCTAAACCCAATCAACAAGTTACAGGTGGCTTATGATCAACACAACCCATTTTCAATATGTGCCTACTCGTTTGTACCTATCTACAAGGGCAAAGAGGAGGTCAAATGTCCGTTCTGCTTGGCTTCATATCAGCCTATACATAAGGGCAAAGTGTGCAATATATGTCAAATATCATCGATTGGCCGCGAGGCTACAGGACTAAAGATATCCACAGCACATTATCGGTAAAATGAAATATGTTTAACTTTGAATATCGTTCCAGCTTTGATTTTAGTTTATTTTTTACTCAAAGTGTTTAAATAATTTATATATTTATATATACTTAATATATATTTATAGATATATTCTTATTGATTTATTGATACATTTATAAAAAAACAACAATAATAATAATATTAATTAATATGTGTTTATTGTAATCTATATGAAATGTATTTTATTAAATAATCTTCTTTTTTGTGATGTAAAGCCAATTAAAACAATCCTGATAAGCAAAAAAACCTCTCTACTCCCCTGTTCATTGTTAATGTTCTTAAATTAGAATTTCTGTAGTGTTTTTGTACATTATCTTTCTTCCTTATCTTGGAACCCCCTAAAGGTTTGTTCTTCTGTGTTATATTGCGATATTGTCCTAAACCAGTGAATTAATGTATATTTTACTCCATATGTGCCCTTTGCAACCTTTTCTTCATTATGCCTTCAACAGCATTAAAGTTTTTGATTTCCTTATTTTACCTTCTCTGCCATTATCTTATTGTTTCATTGATACAACAGCAAAAAATCATATCAATCTTATACAACGCAGATTACATTCAGATGTGTGTTTTCAAGGTTCATTATTAATAAAATTAATAACTTAGTGTCTTATCAAAACACTTTATTTTTGTAAAATATTTGATTAAAAATTTGACAAGAGCAAGTCTCATTATGTGAACTAATCTTATTAAACAATAGATTTGTTGCTTTTTTCATTTTAATAAAAATAATAGTTTAACAAAAATGTTAATATTGTAATTGTGATTGTATCGCAATTATTTATCATGTTAATTGAAGTTCGTAGGTAGAGGGGGACTAGTGGAACACTAATAAAATGCAGAGTACCGGGGTGCCACACAAATAATACTTCACTACTCTCCCCCCACCTAAACTTAAAAGTAGAATATCTAATTATATATCTTGATAAAGTATTAACGCTTTATTAGGTAATATTGATGACCATTAAATACATTTATAATTTTTGAATAATAGCTATAGAAATTTGAATTATAACACTTATAATAAAAACGACGGGCATACTTCGTACGACGGGTGGGCCACTGTTATAGGTGAGAAGACAGGATATTGAAGGGAATTTAATTTATAACTGTACACAACGATTAATCTGTACAAACGAAAAATGATTGGGAGCGAAGTAATATTTACGATTTTTGTCAAAATTCAATATTAAAATTCTTATGAAAAAAAAAAAGTGGGTACTATATTAAACTCAATTTATTTTTTTTTTAAACCACAAAGTATGATTTATAATGAGCCACTTGTTAAATTTTCAAGCATTTCTGTTTAGACTAACAATTTTATCCATAGAGTACCTACCAATTAAAAATTACGTAAAAAACTAGCAAAATAAAACTATAGATACCCAGCTCAAATGTTTTAAAAATATTACCACGTCTAGGAAAGATAAATATAAGTGTTCTGTATATATAACAGTTTGAAATCGGATTCTGATAATATTAATAAATGTGCTTAATTTTTTCGTTATTTTCTATACAAAAATAATATATACAAATACAATTCATATTTTGGTGAGTTCATGGCGTCAAATAATTTGTATTATACAGCACATACAAGTAATAAAGAAAAAGGGGCGAAAACGGCAACCACCCAAATTTTCGGCAAGCCGGTCCGGCGTTCCCCGTGTCGTACTAAGGACCACAAGCACCGCAGAGCCCCGTAGTTACCGAGCCCCACGTGCCAATGGGTTCGGCCGAACAGCCTATCTCATTGCTTTCCGTTTTTGGTCACGGACAACCTTCGGTGTGGTATGAGCTCGCCGAGCGACTGAGTAGGCACCAGGGAGATACCCCGGTTCACGGCCGAAGCCGCTTGCGAGGCCGTCCGACCTAGAGCTTTCCTCGAATCAGCATTTGACCCGTAACTAAAATATCACTCCAGTGACAGCCACCACGAAACCATTCCGCCGTCGGCAGGAACTCGGCCGAGACCAGAGGCCTGCCGACGTGACGGGCCGCCGACCCAATTGCTCGAGGCAGCGTGGGCTCCCGCCATCCCGTAGTACCGGCATTTGCATAGCTGGTGAAATGCTCGACCGGGAGCATCGTGGGGCCGTGACCCTCCGCTGTCAGTCTTCCCGGATAGGGGAGTGTCCCCGAGATCTGGGTGGGCTCTCACTGTGTCGTCAGTAGATTTTCATTGAGCTTCCTGTATTCTCATTTGTAGTATTTGGTAATATTTAATGACGCGAAGATGTATAAAGATGCATAGGGTTGCCAACTCTTCGGTTTGACCTACCCCTCTCCCGCTTTGTTATCCCCTGGAGACCATCATTTCCGTAGAGTTAGCCATTTATTTTTGAAACAGTGAAACACCTTGCATAGTACTAGGTACCTAAAGCTATAGATCTGCAAGATTACGATCAAATTACATCGTAATTATTTACAATTATTTTATTTTATTTTTGAAGGGGGCCGGGAGAAGAGAAAAAATATTTTAAAATAATATTAAATATATACGTAAATAAAAAAAACCCTTTATTAGTAAGTGATGAATAATTAATGAAGGCACCTATAAGGTTTTTATATACCAATACAAATTCGAATTACAAAACATCTGTTAACCAAATCGAAAATTTATAATAATTTAGACAGGTACTTAAAATAAATAAATTAAGGATATGCAAAAGACACGTAACTTTAGCTATATTACCTATATTACCAGATTATCTTAACATACTTTACTACTAATTCACATGTAAAAAATAACAACAAATATAAATATATATATATGTATATAAATTATTATTGTATCTGTCATCAAAAAGTTATAACGTATCACACAAATATATAAAAATAAAAATAATAACATTAAAATACCTATTGCCGATTCTAAATAATTTAAATTTACATGTTTCAAAATATTTAAATAGCTGGATTTTAGGAAAACGGTCAAAAATGTATAAACTATTAAAAATTTGAATACTTACCTAACTAAATACTGTTCAGTATACATATACATATTTAAAACAAATTTGAAATTTTGATCAAGTTATATTATTATGTCTTCTAAAGTAGTAAAAATCAGTGAAATAGACAGACGACTAGATTTAGGTAGTTTTGATTATTAACGATTCATGCTGTAAGTCCTGTATAACATTTTGTGGACGCCATTATATACAATATACAGCGTACTCCCGACTATCCGTGGAATAGGATGGCAGGATATCCACGGATAAACGAATTCCGCAAAATTAAATTTTATAATAAAAACTAAATTGGAAATTGAAATTGAAAATTATTATTACATATGTATAATTAAAAAAAGCATAATGTGTATTAATAAAGCGTATTTTACGTCGTTATCGAGTTATCGACTATGACAAATTCACAACCTAATTAAACCTATAATCATTTATAATGGAAAGATACAATACGTATATATTTTTTTGTATATATATAGGTATGTAGACGATTCCGTGGAAGACAGCGGATAATCGGGAGTACACTGTAGGTGTCTAATTTAACAGTAATTCAAAAAAACAAATAATACAAATTGATTAAAAATTAGTTTGTAAACGTATACTCTAAAAAGAAAACTATAATACGAGTACATAGGATATACACAAGTATAAAACTGACGTTTTAGTTAAGTAAGTACCTCCTTACTATTGCACGGATTATTAATTAGTAGGATTAAGCTAGAGTTGGTGACAGTGGTGCACACAGAGGGTAGAGGGAGGTTAGGGGGTAACCCCCCAGAAATGTCTTCCTTCACTAAATTTTGTTAAATCAAGTTTTACATTCAACAACATAATATCTATAATCATAATATACCATAGAATAAAATAAAATTTAATTTCATCAAAAATCATTTATTTAAAAATAATAGTGATAGTACCATGTACTTAATATGCACTATCCCCTCTCTAGGAAATAATTATAAACAAAACTCCCTCCCAAAAAAAACTCCTACGAGCACTGCTAGCTGGTGGTATTTTCGGTATACCAGTAAGTCAGCGGTGTTTAAAAATACCGGTAATGGAGAATACTGGTATATAGTGCAGTATACCGTAGTGCCGGTAACTAGGTACCGATCAGTTAACTGCCGTAGTTTCTGTTACTATATCGTGTACCTAAGCATCGTATATGTACGCGTGCTGATATAAGCTAAGATGGCGTTAGTGAAGCTAAAAGGAAAAATACCGCAGTACTCCGTTAGTTCTATAACATTTCATAGACAAGCGTAGCTATATCCTACAGGCTCCATATCGTGTCTAGTTCTGTACATCTTAGTCCGTGTTACATATTAAGTAGGTATTTAAAAATACCAATATACCGGTGAATATCGTTTAACTGATAAATACCGTATAATCGGTGAATTGCGTATAGTACCTAGTACGAACAATTAAAATGTGTTATTTAACTATAATACGCCTGTACTTATTTAATCAATAATTATTATGTGAATGTGTGCAAATTCAGCTTGTAGCAGTCAGCGGGTAGTTACATACAGTCACTACATTTCCCTATTTCTAGAGACTTAAGAACAGTTTCGGGAAACTTAAGGGAATTTTATACAAATTTAGGGAAATTGTGCATGTTATAATGCTTGGTCCTGGTTTACACGATGCGTAGACGCGTAGTACTCGTATTTGTCACTTGCAATCACACGTAGGTAAAATACGAATAATTAAGTACAGTTTGGTTTGATATTTAGGGGATAGTAATTATAGTGATAGTAAGAACATAACTACGGACTAAGATGTACCTACTAAGTATATCTTAATCCGTAGACATAGCTGTTATAGTAATGACTTATAAGTAATTATTAATCAGTAATGATAAATTGTATTTGATGTGTTTAATTTTTATCGTATATTGAAAAAAAAGCATATTAGAGACGAGGTACACACATTTTAAAACAATTTTTGATTTAATGGTTTATTGAAATAATTAAATATATGTCACTTAATTGTTCATTAAAAGTTAAATAAATATGTATAGACTACTGTTGTAGGTAAGAAGTTGGGATGGTAGAATATAGAGGGGAATTTAATGTATATCTGTACTCAACGATTAATTATTGCTAACAAAAACGATTCTGAGAAGAGTTTGGTTATACAAGTTTGAAAAGGCAGTGAATATCATATGTATGATTTTTGTAGAAATTTGATATATATATAAAAAAAAAAGCCGTCCTAGGATAATGGAGACGGGTGCAGTCACTGTTATAGATAATTTAATCTATACTTGTAAGCAACCATTGTTTACGATAAAACGATTCTGAGTGGAGTTCAGTTGATACAAATGCTTTATCAACAATAAATATGCCATATTATAATTAAAATAATTAAATAGGCTTTATATATTTTCTTTAAAATATTTGTTTAATGTTTAACCGATTTTCCTAGTTTTCCTACGTTTTTCCCGGTTTTACCATGTTTTATTTCGATTTTTCACATTTACTGGGAAAACTCTTGGTAAAATCAAAAAATGAACCCTTTAAAGTACCTCCTTGGTGAAATATCCTTTCAGAAACATTGCTATCATTTCAAGTTTGAACAAGATTTCTGGTAGAAAAATTGTCCATATAACAATAAAAAAAAATTTATATATATGTAAAACTATAAACTTTCTTCATTCTACTCAGAATCTAAAATACTACATAAACTCAAATTATTCTTGTTGACCACCAAGTACAAATTATAATGAACCTTCTGTTAAATTTTCAAAGTTTTTCAAAAATCCTTTCTAATCGCACGGCGAAAGTATTAGAGGAACCACTATTCTAAATTTCAAATGTGTACATTGAGTAGTTTTTGAGATACAGCGATTAGTGAGTCAGTAGTATTTGGATTATATATATATATAGATTATACTACTACTGAAGGATTTTACTATATTTATTTTGTTATTTAATTTTATTTCTAACATTTTAGTATATGTTAGGGTACACCTTAATAAGTATTAGTTTTGATTACGTTATTATATTCGTTATTAAATTTATAGCTTCCTTATCTTTTTTTTTCTCTACATATTTATCCCACCATATTAATAAAAATACAAAACAAATAATTTCGTGCAACATATTATAATCACTTTTAAAGTTCTAAAGTACATACATCAATTTATAGTTAGAGCATACACATTTTTATCATTTTTTTCTTTGGCTGGTTTTTCCACATTGACTATCCAATGAGACGAGCTCTTGGTTTGAAGTGTTTGGAGGACGTTTTTAAAAATAGTGTACCAAACAGTTCCTATGACGGTACACACGGCTGTTTCCATGTAATAACCGTTAACTATTATAGCGCAATCACCTCCGTTTGTTTTACACATCTAAAGCAAAAAGAAAAAAACTGAAACCAAACATAAAAATCCAGTGGTTGCAAATATTTTGTATGGCTAGCATTATTTTTACGCTTTTTGTACACAGTGCCGCAGCCAGGCGGGAGTATTCGGGGCACGTGTCCCCCCTCCCGGATTTTTTTTTCGTAATGCTGTAATGTGGTTTACATAAATATTAATAAAATTTATTATTAGTAGTACTATTATAAATATTATAAAATGTATTGGTTTATATTATTATGTGAAAAAAATATATTATGTTTTCTGACAAGACTACAAACTTTGTTTTAACATTACGTTTTTAAATTAAGAGAATAGAAATTTTAAGTGTTAAGAGAGTAAGGAAGTTATAAAATAACAGGTGATAAGTATTCTACCTTAACAAAACCTAGATAAAAAAAATTAAGTGCCGACATTTTTTTCTGGCTACGGAATTGCTCGTATGTGATAACGTTGGTAAGTAGATGTAGGTCACTATCACTGTAGATAGGATATAATAAAAAATATAGGATCATTTAGTTTATAAGTATACTGTATATTGTTGGGAAAGATAAATCATTAACCATAGGTACATACCTATATTATGCATTTTATATGTAAAAATATTTCTCCATAAATTAATCTATAGTGTAACTTACGTTTTGGAGATCTAAGGTAGAACAATTGTTAGCGATGGTATCAAATGAACATTTTTTGAACGTCAGAACATCAGCCATTATAAGCACTGTAGACGCCGAAAGTGAATATCCCAGGTTTAAAATGGTGTTCAACAACGTCATGTAAGTACCGCCAAACCTTGGGTCACTAATCCGTGAGAAGAAAGCTGAATACGCTATAACCATGGTATGAGACAGCATCTATAAATCCATTATTTGATAAGTAGTTACTTAGGTACTTATTTCGGTGAAGTATTCAAGTGAAATTATAATAAACTCAATTTACACATTATTAAATTTAGAATTCGATAAATAAAATACGTATGCAAGACCGGCGTTAGGGTAGGGCAAGCGGGGCTTACGTCCTGGGCCGAGCCTCTTTCAGAAGCTGGTGGACTCATCAAAAAGGATACTATAATTATTATTATTATTAATGGGAGTAAAATAGAAAAATAATATTTTTAGAAATGTAACGGTGTTTTTGTGAAAAGCACGTACACGCGCGTGGTCTTATCAAACAGCATTTCATTCAATGACCAATTGTAGGGTGTTATTACAATTATTAAGTGGGGAGAAAATAGAGACTAAGCTGAAAAAAAATATCTGGCAAAAATTAATTTATCCAGAGCCTCGCAGTTCATAACGCCGGCCCTGTTAAGATGTCACCATTGAGTTGATCATAAGTGTCTGTTTTTTTTTTTCAGGTTTTATGTGAATTTGGGTATAATTGTATAAAATATTAAATTATAGTACTTACCGTATCTACTAATAATACTGTTACTAAAATTGGAAAATAGTACTTTGGTATATTTACGACTCCGTTCGTTGTTATCAATGTAGGTGTATAATAAATTAACGTAGCATATACAATATTCCAAAATAACCTGAAATTAATAATTAATAAAAAGAAAAAAAAACCTAACGAACATACTTCACACGATGGGTGAGCCACTGTTGCAGATGAGAAGTTGAGTGAGAGGTGAAATTCAATGTAAATTTATACGCAAATATTTTCATTGCTAACGAAAAACAATTCTGAGCAGAGTTCGGTTATACAAGTTATTTAAAAGGTCGCAATATTTACAATTTGTAAATAATACATTTCGTACATTTTCCCGTTTTTCTCTCGTTTTTCCGATTTTTCCGTTTTATTAGGAAAATCCACTGAAAAATCAAAAAATGATATCCTTTAAGTACCACCTGAGTCGGGTTTTAATTCAGAAAAATGCTACGCTTAAAAATCTGAGGAAAATTTCTGATGGAAAAGTTGTTCACAGAAAAAAAAAATAAATATCATTGTAAAACCGATGCATTCCTCGCTCTGCTCAGAATCTAAAAATAAATTACTATCATACAAATATTATTAATAATTGTTCGACACACCTACCTACTCACTATCATAATTTTACCTACTAGTATGTATAAATAGGTACACTGTTGGTATAATTGGATTTTAATATTGTTTAAAAGTTAGGTATAGGTAAAATTGAATAAAAAATTATTTTGTACCTGATGCTGATCGCTTTAAGGTTTATGTTCATTAGTTTTAAACCCGAAGTGAATTTTGCTACAACCATGGGTATAATCATTTTTGCAAAGAGCAGTCCTGTCTCTATGACAACCATGTCGTCTTTTGATATACCGGCGTCAACAAGTTTTAATTTTGCCAGATGTTCTGATACGGAAAATGCTACCTATAACGCACACGTATGATATTTTCGATTAGTACCCAATACCTATTATAAGTATAGATACAATAATAAAATACAAAATTACAATATTTTTTCAATAGGACTTAGCAGCTAGGTCGTTAGGTTGATGTTATTATTTCAGAAGGGACCGAACGTTATAATAAATTATAGGTATAAGCACATTTTAATTTTTACTAGTAATTCACATTAAAAACGAGACATACGATTTTGGCACATCCGAATTTTCGGAACATAAACGAAATTCCTAGGCCGTTTGGCGAAACATATAAAATAGTTGTTTGAAAAAACTGCCTAATTGAAACCAGTACCAAAATTTGCTGTACAATTTGTACAAATTTGTAATCGCAATCTCGACAATTGTTCACATCCGTAAACGTGGTAAGGTAAATCGATTTTTCGTCTCGGATGCCAGTAACACGTGTCAACAGCATTCGCATTTCTTAATTTTTGTTGTAGAAAATCGAAACCGGTACCAAAATTTGTTACATAATTTGAAAAAATTTGTAATCACAATTCCGAAATTTGTTAATAAAATATAATATATATATTTTTCAATAAAACGTAAAATGTTTGTTTAAGGCGAAAATATTCGATTTTAATCGGTATATGTTCATACGTTAATCCATATTTAAATAAAATCGGTACGAATCAAACTGCTTATAAATGGTTTTTCAGAATATTTACATATTCTATCGCGATCGGCCTGACTTGTCCCGACCGTAAAGATTGCTAGATAATAAATTTTATAAAACACAGTACAAACACAACCAGTAACCTACAAAACTAAAACTGACGACTAGACCAGTGTTTCTCAACATAGGGGGCGCGATCCCTTCGAGAGCAACAACTAATTATTTAGGATTGCCAAAAATATAAAATATTGGGCATGTGTAAAATATATATTCAAGGGTTGCTAAAAAAATTAAATATTAATTTAGGGGGTCGTGGCAGTAAAAAGGTTGAGAAACACTAGACCACACAACTCCGGTATAGTCGGCGATGAGCAAAAAAAAAAGAAAAATTAAATAATAATCCACGATTAAAAATATAGGTATGTAGTCATAAATATTATTTAAAATGTGAAAAAACGTATTATTTACATTTTATAAAGCTGTAATGCGTTTTTGTGTGAGATAAATACTATTTTTATTTTGAACCAACATAGCTGGAGAACGTGCAACATATACAAAAAAAAAATAATAATAATAATAATAAATTATACGAGTATTGTGTAGGTATGTAGTACGTAATTCGAAAAAAACACCGCTGCGTATAAATTCGTCCGAGTCATCCGACCAATGTCCAGACTCCGGACGAATTTTCGACGGTAGTTATTAAATCTGTTAAACGCGCATATTATAATATGAATATATGATGGCTGTTTGGGTGTGAACAATAGTCATTTCGCTATAATATTATACTTACTGTGGATGTAAACAACGCTATTGCAAATATTCGGATACTTGGTAATTTTAATATATCCCAGATTAGTAAATAGTTTTGAAAAGTATTGAGTTTAACGTGGTCATCTTCTAACATGCAGTCTTTTTCTTTTTTAAATACAGCAATCAACGTTGTAATCACCATGAACAAAACGCCACATATGTTTAATAAACCTTAATACGGATAAAAAAAGCAAGTTGTTAAAAAAATAAAAATGATTCTAGCCATTTTTTCTTGGGTACAAAGATATATTTTTTTTAAATATTATAGGTAAGTGTCATTGACACGCAAACAATTTTTGTAAACACGGTATTTTAAGCATACAATCGTGTTTATCGTGTATTTAAACCGTGTTAAGTGAAAATTATATTAACTGTTTGGTAGAATTTGTTGGCTGACGTAAAAGCGCGGATGAATAAAGAGAGAACAGCAATACTTAATGTTTTTTTTTTACATAATTTAAAATGCTGTTTTCACGTTATTCTCCATAAACAACAAAGGTTATGTGCATATTGAAATGGTACTTGTGAAGAATAATTAAATTTCAACCAAGACAATTTACAATAACACTTACAGCTATTAAAAATTAATATATTATAATACAGCGTCAGGGCCGCATTTAGGGAGTGGCTCAGGTGGGAAATCGCCCGAGGCACAATTTTTTAGAGGCGCCGAAAAAACGGTTAAAACTTTTTTTTTTTTAATTTTGTGTTCAGTTATTTCCAAATTAAATTTATACGATAATACGAAGGGGGACGTACGGAAATAGTTGTAGCCTGAGGGCGCCAAAATACTAAATATGGTCCTGTACAGCATCATTATTTGAATATTTAAGAAATGTCCCGTACAATTTTTAATTGTAAGTATAATTTTTTTTTTCTTATGGTCGATTTTAATAGTTTTTGATATTTGTTTGCTCTTTTGGCATAGAACATGTATTTTTGTATATACATCTATAGAAAAAAAGGCGTGTCTATTTGTATAAAAAAAAAGACGTCCTAGGATGATGGGGTCGAGTGCATACACTGTTATAAGTAATTTAATGTATACCTGTAAGTAACGATAAACCATTGCTAACGAAAAAACGATTCCGAGCTGAGTTCTATTGATAGTGATGCTTTGTCAACAATATATATGTCATATTATGGTAAAATATTAAAATAGGCATTCTATATTTTCTTTAATAATATTTGTTTAATGTACCAATTTTCCTACGTTTTTCTTGGCTTTCCCATGTTTTTCCTGGTTTTTTACATTTAATGATAAAACTTCTTAGATAATCGAAAAATAACTCCTTAAAGTATCTCCCGAGTCAAATTTCTTTTTAGAAAAATTGCTATCATTATAAATTGGAGAAAAATGACTAGTAAAAAGTTGTCTACAGAAAAATATTAACATAAACATAATTTACTGTATTATAACGAAATATTCAAGACGAAAAATGTTCCTAATACAACAGTTCATAAACATTAAGTATGTTTTAAAATCCTGAATAATTATTGAGGCTATAATGTTTCCCTTCGTATTTCCTAACATAAATGAAGTGTTAGAGAGAAAAATCGGCATAGTTTAAATGTTTGTGTCCCTATTGAAAATTCGAAATAACGCCTATAACTTCAATGGGGAAAAATATTTTCTATTAAATAAAAAAAAAAAAAAATAGATCCCTTGCGTTTTAATAATAAACTTACTGTTTAAATGTTTTTACCCACTTACTTTTAATTGTCATTATACCACCTGTATCGGAAATCGACCGTAGGTATTTGTTGCAAAACTCTTCGGACGTAATCAAAACGAAAAACACGGAACCCATCATAATCCCAAATGTGGAACCTATTATCCCACACGTAGACGAATAACCGATGTTTTTTCTGCATACCAAAATAAAAGTTCGTAATAAGTAGGTAGATAGTTTTTTTATTTCTTTCTTCGAGACCAACTTTTTTAACATCGTCAGTGCCCAACCGTCGACAACTATATCTTGAGTGGCCGCCAACATTTTGGAGACGAAAAACACTGATACCAGCATTTCTATATTCGGTCTTCCTGTTTTGGGCAACCAATTTTCAATATTGTTAGCCATTATCAGGAAGCACCCTCCTGTTTAACACGTAAGGTTTTTTTTTGTGATTCAAACAACATTAATTATGGCTCACTATGCGTCTAGAATAGATAATTAACTAGATTGTGCTTGATAAAATATATGCAATGTAACAGACTAGATAAAAAACGAATAATGAATATACTGTACCTTTTGCAAATGTTTCATGTGCCTAGCTTATATTATATTGTAACATGATAATGTAAATACTATTGTGCAAATAAATTAGCCAGTAAGCTCTATGTGCTTAATCTTTTTAATTATTTGTCGAGTTATGCTTAATTTTAAACAACTCATCTTAATACCTTAATAATAGTATAAAATATTATGTAATATTGTTTTAATACATTGAATATTTAAAATGTGTAATAAACGATCGAATGTAACATTATATAATCACCAACTTCCAAAACAATAGCATCTGTTAATTACACGCATGGCCCTTTAGGAGCACCACACTCTAGTTGAATATATTAATTACGTGTAACACCACCTAGGGATGCCACATTCTAATACACTATGTCGCTAAAGTAAGAGGCCACGGATATCCCCTTCTTATCGAATTTATCCTAACCTAACTAAACTTCTCTCTCGAATTCAGTAGTTGCAGAACTGAAGACTGGCTGTTGCTTTTCTGATATTCCGGATTTATAACACATCATTATTGTCTATACGCCTGGAAAAGACACCAATAACTTGATTCCATGTCCTAAATGTCGTATTTATGGTATTAACGTTTACTTCAAGTAAATTGTACAAGTGCGCACATTGCGACGGTTAATCGACACTTATACCTAATTATTTTTCACTCCGCGTACATGAACGAAAATTTATCATAACCTACCTTTTTACTTTACTCCCCACATATTACAGCCAACGATCTTCAAGCGAACTTTAAGCATTTTTTCATATCAATGAGGTATATGTGAAAATTATTATATTCTTGTAATAGAATAGTATTTAAGACTTTTTATCAGGGCTAATAATTTCTGATGATAGGTATCGTTCGTTCATCTATAGGTATTCGTATTTAAATACACACATTTACGCGGTGGAATTGCCTTTGGGCGGTAATAACACGCCCAATACGGTTTTAATATATAGGTATAATATATTTATACGTCACAGGCTCACCTTTGGTTACTTACACACAGTGGCAACGTAGCATAATATAATTTCCTCACGATGCCGCCGATGATCATCGTTTTCAAAACACATACCACAACACACCAAACCACATTTCATATTATTATACTAACCGCTACTACCACCCTCCAGTGTATTTTATTTTATTCTACCATCAAATATCGCCTTATGCTTATAATTTCTGTTCTATTATATTGTTACGGAAATCCTAATGATCATTGTTAAATATAATAATGAAGTCTAAAATCTATGTGTTATCTTTTTTTATCAGATATAACAAAACGATTTACTTTATGTGTATTTTGTAAGAGTTTTTAAAAGGAGAATTTGCTTTAAACATGTTTCACTCCACACTAAATAGTTTTGTCACCAAACCACTAATTTAAGATGACAGCAATATAATAATATAGAAACTCATCTACTCTGTACAATTTATCCTGTGAGCTTCTCGTATATAAATAAAACTAAGTAAAGAAAACAATATTTTTTTATTTTAGAATACATACCCATCGAAAATTGAAGAGGTATGAGCCAAGATTTCCGTCTACCTATTTTGTGTATGTAGAGTGCGTCTACAAACGGGGCCCATAAGATTTTCAACGTGTACGGCCATCTTACCAAACTAAAAAAAGCCTAAAACAGAATAATTAATTATCAGATATAATAATTATTGTATAACAGATAATAATTGGCCAAATCAAAATCAAAGTAGATGTAATCTCCTTAAATCGCCATGAAAAATTTGTATTCAATATAAGAGACACTATTAGATGTGATTATATCACTATACAGTCCATACCTATTATAAAATATTTACCTGATCTTTGTAAGACACGTTTTTGTTACTTTGTATAATTATAGGTATGGCGTTTATTAGACCTAACGGCAAGCCTTGCATCGTGTACAATAATAACAATAAAAAAATGTTCGGCCAGTCGCCTTTTAAATTTGGTTCCTCGTCGGAAATCGAATCATTATTTGTCAGCGCTGTTTTCTCCGGTTCGTCTTCGTGTTTTGACGATGCCATAATAATATTATGTCAAGCCGGTAAAATATAATGTGCGAAATTTGAATAAGTGATGTAGTATTTGTAGGTACCGACGTACACTAAAGAAAACTAAAAATAATGTAAGCTTGTTCGTTTGTAGATAGATAGGTTCCTAATCTTATCGAAATTTTTTGACTATAAATATAATATACAATCTTAATTTAAGCACAGTGGTTTTAGTGATGATGTTAATTTGTTTGCATTTCTTGAACAAATACAAAATAGGTATTGTGTAACGATGTCTGTGCAGTATAAGCAATAAAATTGTATTTATTTGCGAGTTGTATAAGAATTTGTATACAAATGTAATCATATTAAATTTATCACATATTTTAGTGCGAGTAATTTGATAATTCAACATAGTATTTTTATATAGGTTAGGTTAGGTTAGGTTATTGAAAGCATAACTGAAAAAAAAACCAAGATGAAGTATACCTATTTGTAAGCAAACAAGTATAAATTTTTTTTATAAAGTTCTACATGATTTTATATATCATGTGAAAAATGTTTCCCGAAGAATAAATAAATAAAAAATAAGAGCTGATAACGGGAACGGATATGTTATAGGTGAGAGATTGGAATATAAGTTACATACAATTATTAAATTTATATTTATACTGAATGATAAGCTATTGCTAACGAAAAACACTTTCAAGTGAAGTTTGGTTATATACCAACACGTTTTCAACAATAATACACAATATTAGCGAATGAGATTATAATCTACAGCATAATTTTAATTATTTTTCCTAGAACTTTAAACAATTATTAAAGACCACAAATTTAATGACATTAAAAAGTCGAAACATCAAAATTTCCAAAAGAACAAACTCTATAAAATGGCTAAAATATCTGTTTGGTTCTAGTAAATTTGTACCAAAATAAAAATGAGAAATTTGCATTATGGAAGGTAGTAGAAAATATGATTTTTAGTTTACATCACAATTATTATTTATTATTTATTCGATAGTACCTACGTATATACTGTATAGCAATATTAAATATTTTACAATGAGTTAAACTTTGGAACGGTAAAATAATACAGAATATTAAATAAAAACTTAATCCATTCTGAGTTTTCAGTAAAATCGTTTTTAACATTTCTTGGTTAATTAAATTAAATGATAAGCTTAAATATACAAAAAAAAAATGAAAACGGAAACCGTATTTTTACGCTCCTCTCTTATTCGAACACTGGCTATATAGGTGAGTTGAATGTGTGGGACCGGTCAAACAGAGAAATATAAACAGACGAGTTGTAGGTGGTTTTTTAAAAGTAGGATTAGAGAAAACTAGAGGAAATATTGACGTTACAAAAACCACGAAAATCAATTAGGACCCGAAATCCATCACGTCAACTAGATTAATTAACCAATTTAGTACTGTTTAAACTACGATCAAGTAGTTACTACTTATTAAGTATAAGTGCTTCCACGGATTCGATGGATTTTAGAAGAAAAAAAAATTCCATGGAGAACCTGTTGCACTGACCACGTGTGTCAGCCGTGAAATGAAACAGCACATAAAATTATTAATCGTGCTTTTAACGACCACAATCGCGACCACTTCTGAGTACACTCTGACCAAGTATAAATTCTTCGGCCAATTTACGCATTCTTTCATAGCACGAGAAGATGCGTGCTTGGGAGACTGTTGAGCGAAACTACGAACTCAGTGCCAAGGATTCTGACACCTCTACCACGTGTTCTCAATGACCGCGAGTGTTTGGTACTGCTTGATGACATAATAAAATATTTTTGTTGGTTGTTGTTGTTTTATTGCAGTTGTTAAAAAAGAAAAATTAAAAAAAATAGAGAATGTCTACCACTTCGTATGCCTGCCTGATTACCTATATTATTATCTAACGAGAAATATACATAATTCATATTTAAACACGACGTTTATATTAGATGAACGAGTAGAAAAGTTTTTGATTTCTTCATTAAACTATAATTAAAACAATAATTGGTCTTAAATCTACGTATGTTAGAGTATATAATGTAGAGTATGTAGGATGTTATCGTAAAACTATATACATATATACGTGTGTGTTTTGGCAAATTAATTAAACAAGGTAATAAAATTTAAACTATATTTATCAAGTTTGAGAAAACCATGCTTTCAGTGTAGTATACACTTTCCAACATTTTTCATTTTTCGTTATGGTAAATAGCCGCGAATAACAGCAAATAAATAATGCCAATGCAGAAATCTATTCACAGAACATTAATTCTCCAAAACATGTATATTATTATAGATAGACAAGTTTGAATTTAATCCTTTATTATGTGCTATCTGTATCCGTACAGATAGCACGTAATAGGTAGGTACGTAATATAGACGTAAATTGACGTAAATTAATGACCCTGGGGCCATTCATTTATTCATTCAATTTATTGCCAATTGAATGCTCACTTTACGTGGTTTAAATCAGGGACTGGAACCTTTACGATTTTAAGGGTTTCGGTTTGGTTTCAGTTCTCAAAAATATAGAATTTCGTTTTTGGTTCTTAAAAAAAAAAATATTAAAGGTTCTACTCGAGTTCCAGTCTGTGATTTTTAAAAAGTTTCGGTTTTAAACCGGTCTTTTTCGGCACAGTTTTTTAAGGTGTCAGTCAACCATGGATGAGACACTTATGTTTTTATTTCGCCATGAAATTAACCAATAGGCCCACTTAACTTATAACAGAGCAACAAAGAATACAATATTTTTAATATAATATATATATTTATATCTTCAACATGCACAAAGGTCAAAGACAGTTTAATAATTTCGATTACAATAAGGGATATGAGTGTGTGCGGGATTTCCGGAATGTGTATGTTTTGATTATAATACATAGGTACAACGTAGTTGGGTTTCATTAATAAAGCCCATTGCGACAAGCACCATAAGAATAATTCAATTGTAATACTGATATCCACGGATGTTTAAATTAAGTACTAAGAGAACTCATTACAATTACACAATACAAAATAATAACTAGGATTGCACGAGGAATGCGATCGCTTGGAGTCTGACATTCTCAGTTACTCAGTACATTCACGAGACTGCCAGAGGATGGATTAGGGAGGTGTTTATTACCGGTGGATAAATCTACGATTTTATATTAATTATTACTACTGTTTGTTTAAAATATATTAACTATGAATTGGAATTTGGAACCAAAAAAACCGAAAATACCTCTTCATCAAAATAAAGGTTTTGGTTAATAAATAAATTATTAAGGGTTGTGATTTTCAAAAGGTTTCGGTCTTTAACCGGTCTTTTAAGGTTTCAGTCCCTGGTCTAAACCTACCTAATTGTCAATTATATTAAATTATATAATATTCCAAAAATAAAGAGCTGATGCTGGTATTAGGTATATTACGATAGATCATTGTTAACGAAACACAATCATGAGCGAAGTAACCGAATTTATTGTAAGTTTTTAAATTGGAAAATACGAAAATAAAACTTTTATGGTATAGTAGGTATTTTTCAGTATAGGACAATAAAATAAAATTAAAAAATATAGTAAATAGGAAACTATTTGTTTATATAATTACACGTGATTTATTTTTAAAAATACAAATTTTTGATAACATTTTTATTACTTTTTTCAATTTAATAAATATAATTTGTACATTTCTGATTTAATTGTGTGCATCGGTTTATAACAAAATAGAAGAGCTATAAATAAAACAAAACACGTCAATAAGTGGAAAAGTTTTGAAGATGCACAACAAAAATACACGGTAAGTACGGTTTAATTAAAAAAAATAAAAATATATATTGCCATATCTTGAAAAATAAAAATGTTACCCCCCCATTTTAAAGTGGGTTTCTCCATCATTTTTGAAGTACTTTTATGTAACGTCTGTCGGTCACATCCCCCAGAACACATTTTATATATTTTTGTATAGATCGTTCGCTATTCTCATAATTTAAAATGTGAATTAACTGATTTTTTTAAAAAAGACTTATTCGTGTCTTGTCGAGTATTTAAAGAGCATTTATGTACCTTCCTACTAAAAAAAAAAAAAAAACACTGGCCAGTGATCGGGTAATCTTTTTTTATGGAGCAAAATATATTATATTATGTAATGCGAGTACAAATAATTAGTGCAGAGAATTCAGTGGAGTCTAAAAACTCGTTTTACACATTGATACCAATTCTTGCTGCAGCCCGGTTACTATTATAAAGTCGAAAACCACGGTTGGATAGTGTTCAGTTCCACATGCAAACTCCGACGAAACGTACCCAACAAAATTTAGTATAAATGCCGCCGTACAATCGATTTTTAATGAATTAAACGTGTTCGGAGCAAACACTTAAATATTAAATATAACTATTAAAACATTTGACAAAACGGTTTACGACTGACCGCGAATACGTCGCATACGTTTTCTGGGAGCTTATGTTATAAGAACGACCGCGGAATTTTTCAAGAGAAACCTGCGACCGTGCAATTTTTTTTTCTCAATAACTAGTTTTTCTTGAGCTCATATCGAACTGATATAATACTGACCAAAACGTAATGTCCAGTACCGTTTTATAAAAGTGATGATTATAATTACGAATTGAATAATTTATTATTTTATGCGCGCGAATTGACGAACTTACGATTAGTTTTTAAACGGACAGACTCCCAGCACATACGTAGCAATTTTAACACTGTACAGCATGAATCTAGACGAATTTCAAGTAAGTGGGTCTGATCCGTATACAATTACGTAAAAATAATATTGTTTTATCTTATCGATATCATTATATATTCTGCAGATTGATTTTTGTTGATTTTTTATTTTTTTTTTTTCACAAATCAGCCTTTTTCTCGGTCAATATTTATTTGTATTTTACGATTATAGTCAGTACTTGAATTGGTAGGAGGGTCATAGGGGGGCAGATTATCACTTCTTTTTTACAAATTTTTAGCGTAACTTTTCTAATTTTTCTCAATACGCGTCGCCGAGGATGAGACGTTCTAGACTCGTTTTTTAATTTTATTGACAAAAAAAAAATGTTATTCTAAATCTTGTTATTAGAGCAAAAATAAAGATTTGATGTTAATAAATTTAATTAGTTAATATATAGAATATAGATTATCGCTGCTGCGTTATAATGACGAAATTTTACCGATCTTCGTATCGAGCTACATAATGATAACGTAACGTCACGTCGTAATTAACATCATATCTTATTTTAATATTTTTGAAACATTTTTAGACCTGGAATTGTTGTGTATTATCAATTTAAACCATATTTGTTATCTTACTAGTTATCTATTACTACTTTGAATGTATAATAATAATATACCTAGTTATTGTGTTTTGTATTCAGGATACAGATATATTGTACATTTTTAATCTCATATACGTTGGTATACCTATATATTTAGTACACGTATGTTTATTGTTTACTTAGGTATTCAATTTTTTTATTTGAATGTGTTTATATTTTTTCGTTATATAATTTATTACAGAAAGAAGATATCCAAAACGAGAGGAACAAGATATTGAATATTCATATCTAGGCATATTATTTATGGACATATTTATAAAATAAATAATTTTGTTTTATAATATATAAGTCTCTAGCGTAAACTATATGTATACCTGCCTAATACTTATTTCATACTTGTTTTAAATTTTAATTAAAAGGAATGGTTTTTTTTTTTATTGCTGTACAATGTAAACTATGGTGATAGTTGGGGAATGAAGCAGTGTTGGGTGGAAATATATATCTGTGATATGATATTGTAGTGTAGATAGTGAATATATTTGATTAATGAAAACGTTTGAAATTTGTCGTAAGGTAGTTGTGGTGGAATCCTACGGGTTTAGTTGAATTCAATCATTACAAGAAACGCTACTTTTTTTAGCTTCGTAGTACCCCTTATTTTATTTTTCTAATTCAGGCAAGAATAGATAAATACCGCCAGTGATAACATTTAATACGAACATTGTGCGAGGAAATATTGTAAATGCAATAATATTGTAATTAAAACATCTACCACAGGTTTAGTCGGTATTTCTTATAGAGTATTTCTACAGTTACCATAGATAAAGACAATTTTACGTAATAATTCATCTACCTATTTATTTCCATTATTTTTTACTGCATTATTCAAACCACAAACTATGTTATAAATGTTAAAAGGAACATTTAAACTTAAGTTAATATTAATCAAATAAGTTTACAAATTAACAATTTAACTTAATTTAGTTATAATTTATAAAACAATAACCTTTTAACATGTAAACTCGTCTCGTTTTTTTTTTAATTAATTTTTTTTAAACATTGTTTAATATTGTATTAAAATTAACTTAATGTTATATAATTCAAAACTAACTCGTGTATGTAGAAAAATTAAGTTAAGTTTATTAAATTTAAAGGTTAAAAGTTAAGATTAAATCATCAATATTAATTTTACATTTAACTTTTAAACTTTTTAATGCCCAGTCATGAGGCTTGTTGAAAAAATACATCGTAGATACTAACGATAATATAAATATTATATTATTATTTGTTTTTGTAATACACAGGTATAGACGAGTCTTCTCACAAAAGCATATTAATTTTACGAATAAGGTAAAATAATCAAATATTATTAATTATTATCATCAAATCATGACGATATCGAATGAAGACGATCTAACTGAGAATCTTAAAGAGAGGACATTTACCAACTTGTCGGAGAAACCGAATCTAAAAGGTGATCGGTTGAATTTCTGCCTGTTGACGTTACTATATGTCTTACAAGGTTTTCCAATAGGCTTGAGTAGTTCTATTCCGATGATACTGCAGAGCAAAAAAATGGCAACCTACGAAGATCAAGTAAGTTTGTATGCTAATACTTAATATTAAATTTTGTTCAAAAATAAAATAAAAAGTGTATAATCGAAAACCCTGCAGTGTTTTGCAGGAATCCTCTTTTTAAAAAATAATTGCATTTACATTGCACTCGATGTAAAATAATACCCGTGTGTAAGCAGACCTCTGCTACTAAAGCCGAATTCCTCCCTTCACCTATTTTGTATTATAGGAATATTGTTTAAAAAATAATAAATAATCGAATTCCCAAAACCAGATTAGTTGCTTAGCGAGCCCCGAAAGCAAATAATTCAAGTAGGTCTAAAATTTAAATATAATATATTATAAATATAAAAAAAAATCAATAGAAATACCTAAAATAAAATATTCTATAGGATATTTATATTGTAGAATGCGGTAGGAAGGGGTAAAAATGAAAAAAAATATCACGATTTATACGAATTATCAGAAATATCAGTTACTTTTGTGCTGTTTTTTTTTTTGAGGTCCACAAGCAATGTTTATTTTGTATGTAGGTAAAACTTACATTTTTTAACACATCTGCTCTTATGAAAAAATAAATCATCTGTCATAAAATTAAACTAAATAATAATTAAATTAAACCTTTTTATTTAAAATTGTCCAATATAGGTTTCTGAAGTTATTTTATAGAAAAACAATTATGTCACTGGCATTTTACAGTAGTGCACTTATAGTAAGTGTTTTGGCTGAAATATTTTCCCTTCGAAAAATATATGTATAAGTATGGTAGATACTGTGGGAGGAATATTAAATGTATTAATTAATTCTATATGTATTCAGTAATGAAAGTTTCTACCAATGCGTGGCCTAAAAATACGTACGCGTTTGTCTTTATAGTAATATTTCATATACGACCTTGTACGTTTAATTTTTGTTTTTATTCCATTGGATACAAAGAGGACTTTGAAATATCTGCATGCCATTCTTGAGTAGTAATTACAAGTTTCGAGAATGAATTAATTCTTTGATCAACTCGGATTCATGAAGTTTTGTATACCGTCAACATTTTTGACTTTTTTAGCAACATACAAATTATATTATATTTCATACGTCGTGTTTCAATATCGAGCGATGATTTTCCTCAATTCCTTCATTCTAAGTCAAAGAAATTATCGTTATCGGATCTGACGGACATTATGTAGCGGCATTAATTTCCGAAATAATAATTAATATGTTCAATAATATCCAATGCCATGCGACTGGCACTGGTAAAAAATAATCCGATTTGTAGGTGTCTTATGATTATGAATTTTTTGGTCTGTAGAGAAATATTATGTAAGACGGTCGCGGCGAAGAACCGATTTGCGTTATCTGTCGATACCGTCGCGTCTAACCCATATCGAGCATATAATACTATAACACAAATTCAATACCGATTGAAAAGTAACGGTAGAAGGGGTAGAGGGGCTGGGGTTATAGTCTGTACCAAGTGCGCTGTACTGGTAAAATATTAAATAAAAATATTTAAATGCGCCCGAACGGCTATGGTATCTTATATTCTTATCGTCCGTTACAGCTTGATTGGGTTCTATGCTCGTGCGAATTATTATTATTATTTCGTGTAGTTGATATGCTATAAGTTTGCGTATTTTGCGTACCACCAGAACGAGGAGTCTCGGTCACGTACTGCCATGCATTATTACAATACATACATTTAACGTCATCCGGTACGAGTAGAGAACAAAAAAAAAAAATGGTTTACATGTCTTGAGCGTAAAACATAATACATGTACCCACGTAAGGTTAGGTAAGGCATTTTTATTTTCTTTTGTTAAGTTAGGTATGCGATCTCAGTATAGGCTATAAACCACATTATCGAGAGACACGTTTATATTTATATTATCAACACAGAAATGCATTGGTTTTACTGCAATGTGTGGTTTTTTATCTGTCTATTAATAACTTTTCTACCATTAATAAATATTTTCACAATTTCAAAAATGTTTTAATATAATAACGCACGACGGCTGATATAAAAACTTATATTTATCGGATTGGTCTGTTCGATGATATACCTAGATTGAATTTTTCAAAAACGATAGTATTTTTACATTGTTGTAGGTACTAACACAGTAGATTAGTGACTATCGATTATCGTCGTGTACATGAAAGATAGAGTGATGGTAATTTTCACAACAGTTCGATAATTACTATCGCCCTGTTCACACAACGATAGTTTATCGTGGTAAATAACATATTTGTGAATTTCGCAACTATTTAGATTGTGAGTTTGTGACTAGGTTATGGGAACCAGGTTTTACGCGAATTATATTATCGTTATTAATACACACTTTAATAATTAAAACACCTATAATTATTTTAATACTATTAATATGATAAGTCGAAAGATTCATTTTATACGATACGTTTTCATAATAATATGTTATGTACTAAGGGCTAGTTTATATGAAGAGCGTTAAACGCGCGTTGACATTGACACGACTGTTTACATGGTTACCGATTTTACGCATTTTAAACGCGCGTTTTTACCGTAGTCAGTCGAGTGTTGACTGTTGAACGTTAAACATGGACGTTGCAGATGCAATTTGTACACGGATGCTATATTGTAGAAGACAGCGTCATAGACAAAAAGAAAGAAAATATTGGGTTCATCCTATTTTACAAAATATACTTACTTCAAGCCTTTACTTCACCCTTTATCCGAGTCTCAAGAGTTATGAACCTACATTTTTCAACTACTTTAGGATGTCAATTCAATATTTTGATAACTTGTTGGAGCTAATAAAGGATAACGTTAAGAAATTCATCTCCGTCCACTTTTGACAAAATTACAAACTTGTAACTTCTTAAACTTACAACTTTTTCGAAAAAATAATTGCACAAACAGAACGTATCGCTACGAAACGCACGTTGCAACTGAACACTTCAATGCTTATCTGTGTATATTTCAGACATGTTCTAACGCACGTTGACAATAAATGCGCGTTATCATCTGTACAATTATTAAGAAATTGTATAGTAATTGTAAACGCGCGTTTAACGCCTTTCATGTGAACTAGCTCTAAGTACTTATACGGGATTTATACAGGACTTTTCCTGAATGCGTGTTTAATCGTAGATCTTACACTGTTACCCTATAATAATACATATACATAGTCATTCAAATAGCCTAATGCCTAAAGCGATCAAATGTTTAGGGTCACGTGAAAAAAGTGAATGAATTACTAACATTTAACTATGTTACGTAAAAAAAAGTAGGTATTATACTTTTTATTAATATATTTTCATGAGAAATGTAATTTTTATAATGATATTTTTTGATGGACAAAGAGGAAAAAATTTAATCATTCACAAAATGTCTGTATAAAGAAAAAGTACTTTTCTGGATTTTATACAATATAATATTTTACAACTTTTAATGTAATTAATGTAATAATTATCTATCAGTGACATATTATTTATTATTTACGACTGTATTAAGAAAATGTAATAGACTTATATAGAACTCATTTTTTATCGTCATTAATAATAATACTAACAATTTTTAACGATGATGGTTACTTCAAGTAACTTACTTGTACTATAGATGAAGTAAACTGCATGTATGCATTGTAATTTTTTTTTTTCATGTTAAATTATAGTTTCCTACTGCATAACGAATTTGGATAATTTTAAAATATTTGTATCTATCTATTGGTGGTAGATACACCCGTACGTGAAGTAGAAACATATTGTATAAATAAATGCTAATATTTCGATAGTCTTAAAAAACCTTGAAATACCATTGAACATAAATCACAAAACCTGCATGACTTAAAAACTAATGACAAAAATACACTTAGTATACAATTGGATCTAGTAGCGAATTCAGGAAAGACAACCCCATCTATTAATACAAAAAAATTATACTATTTATTTACTGCGATATAAAGATGATATTTATTCAACTCCCTTTCCCCCGAATTTTCAATTATATTTAAATTGCGTACAGGATCTGTAAAACATATATAAAGGGTACTAAATTACATACCAACAAATATATAAAAATTGGAATTTATTATAAATAAACTAAATGTGTTTTTAAAAAATAAAGAATTACCTATATTTAGGGATGGCAATAAAACTTCGATACTTATATTAAAACATTGATGTTTGAATTAAAATAATCGATATTTTGCATCGATGTTAATTCTTTACCAATGTTTTAATTTCGATGTTTGCTTACCTTCGATGTAATTTCGATGTTGCTTTTCTACGATATTCACAAGTATTCTTATACATAATTGGACAAATTATGATTTCTGGAGTCTGAATGGTTATAGTTTATATTTGGGGTTTGATTTTTGGGCAATGTACCTATAGAAAAGGGCAATTATTTCCTCAATATTTCAAATTATTGATGATGTTTTTCAAATGTTTTCACCATTGATTTTTTTTTTAATTTTCTATATTCTCAACGTTGTTGGTTTGAAATAAACACATACATACTTCGATGTTCACAAAAAAATTGCCTTCTCTAGTGTATACTGATTTATAAAATAATAAAAAAATGTTATCTTTTCAGGCTTTGTTTAGTATTTCGGTCTGGCCGTATAGCATAAAAATTTTATGGGCACCGGTAGTCGACGCTCTTTATTCCAAATGGCTGGGTCGACGAAAAAGTTGGTTATTGCCCCTTCAAACGTTAATGGGTTTGTAATTTTTACTCGTATATTCCACACTTATCTTAATTATATTACCACGTAGTATACAGTTTTCAGAAAAAATCCGGTAAGGGAATTGTAGCCACAGCTGCCCACAGTAACGACAATAACAACGAAAAAAAAAAAGTTCACCCAGTCTAAACTTAATGCGGCACAAAAGAATTTGATGTTAAAATTGTAAATATAAAATTTAAAATCTTTAGTCGTTGAAAAACCACAGTGGATAGAAAATGCTATGTCAGATAGGTGTCACATGTTGGAGTAGAAAAGTTGAGTGTTGGAACGATAGTGCCCAAGAAATTTAATATGAAATGATGATATTTATGATATTTGAAGACAGATCAGTTTACAATAGTATGGTGCTTGTCCCCTTATAATTTTTCTGAAGACTGTAGCTCTCTACGTATTAACACTTCATCAATTATTCATTTCTCACTTTTATCGCTTAACAGGATTGTGTTTAATTCACATGGCCAATAACATAAACGAGTGGTTACCGGAGTCAGGAAAAGCCAACTTAAATATGTTGATAATTATGGTGTTTGTCATTAATTTATTGTCCGCGACACAAGATATTGTCGTTGACGGTTGGGCGTTGACGATGATGAAAAAGTACCTATGATAATCGATGCATTAGTGACGTGTAGAATACCTACTTTTTTTTGTGCGAGTCTTAGCAATAATTTATTGTTTATACTTTCAATCACTATTACTCTTATGAGTAAATCACTAATAAATCATAATTCATTATTACTTTAAACTCATTATTCTAAAGTTCTATATTTTTATACCTTCGACTATTCAAGACTATCCCACCAATTTCACACAGGCCTTAAAAAACCGTCTTCATCACGCCACTAACGTTGATGATATAATATTTTTATTGAAAATTTGAACAATTTTTTTACTTAAATATTTCTTGCAGACAGAACGTGGGTTATGCTTCAACGTGTAATTCCGTTGGATTACCGATCGGAATGTTTATCGGTTCCGTAAGTTTCATTTTGCTGGTTTCCAAAGAGTTCAATAATAAGTATTTACAAACTACGGTCGTCGCGGAAGGAATAATATCAATGGAATGTATGAAAATAATAAATGGATAAATAAACGTTATTTTAAAATGATTGCTTATGAAATCTGTTGATGAACGTTATTAACATTGAGGGATCTACGTATGAATTGACTTTTGCTTTAAAACATGATATACCAACAGGAATAATTCTAATAACTCGTAAAGTGGCCAAATTTTGATCATATTTTAGATTTCGAGCGTAGCGAGGGTGCTATTGGTTTAACTAAGATGTTTATTTATTTTTTTTTCTAGTCTGTAGACACATTTTTTCTTAGTAAACTTGCTCCGATTTTTACGTGTAGCAATTTTTCTTAAAGTTCAAGTTATCTAGATTGCACATTAGAAGACGTCATTTTTTGAATAAAAACATTTAAGTGGGAAAAAACGTAGGAAAACGTATAATTTCACGATTTCATTATTTTATAAAAACACGAATGACGTTTTTTACCAGAAAAAATGATTTGATCGAAAAATTAAAATATACTTTTTTTGATGACTTTTTGATTTGTTTTATTATGGTACCATTGCCATAATTTTTAAACCACCTTTGAGCTTTTAAGAAATTTTAATTTTTGGAACTTTTTTTGCTGTAATTCGGTTATAAATACACGTAGACACTTGAAACTTGATAATAATACTTATATTAGACTTACCTAGACGTAGTGAAATTTCCCCAAAATTATCGGACGACTTTTTTTTTTTTTAATAAGCGTTTTGAAATCAAATTTAAACGAAAATTGCAAAACAAATTACGACACTTCAAATTATGTATTACCGAACTGCGCTCGGAATCGTCTTTCATTAAGTAATGGTTTATCGTTGGTTGCAGATATAAATGAAATAACCTTATGTGTCCTACCTTTTAAACTTCTCACCTACAGCAGTGGCTGCTCCCATTTCCAGTATCAGCTCTTTTTTTTTGCTTTTGTTGGAGAGTAGAAGTTAAGAATAATATTCGTGCATTATTTTGTTAATATAGAGTATTAAACACTTTGTATTTCTTAAGGTTATTTATGGGTTTTCGGCGTCATGATTTTGGTGATCACACTTTTGGTCGGATTGTTTAAAAATGAAAATAACAGTGACGTATTGTCGAAAAACGATTTTGAAACAGTCAACGTTTGTCAAAATTACAACATATTATGGACGATTTTGAAATTGCCGAAAATGAAATTATTGGCTGTGGCTTTACTCACAGCGAGGGTGAATATTTAATGTTTTGGTATTTTGCAGAAAAAAATTATTTAACAATAAACGCCTGTCGATTATTATTTTTAAATATTATGAAATAATTCAAATGGTTTCTACTGGAATCGTTCCGATAGAATTAATATGTTGCATTTTCAACATTCGCAATATAAAAATCATATTTTTATTTTTTTTTTACATAAAATTGATGTGTTTTTTAGATCGGGTTCGCTGCTATGGACGGTGTCTCGATTTTAAAGCTAATCGATGCGGGGTTTCCTAAAGACGACATAATGATTTTAACAACAGCTTCATATGTCATAAAATTTACGATGCCAATATTCGTTACCAATTACATTACGGGCCCGAAACCGATTAGCTATTATCTGAAAGTAACGCCAATCAGGTATTAAAGACTCCAACGAGAATTAGCATAGAGCAACCGAATTAATTGTTTTATTGGTTTGAGCGGGAAAAAAGTGTTATTTCGATGTAGTCAATGTAGTTAACTGATGATGTGTCAACAATACTTATTATCCATTGGAGACGGATTTATTTAAATATTTCTATTTTTATCTTACGATTGCCATATGGTGGTGACAATAAAACGATTTATTATTAATTAATATAATCGTATGATTATTTAAAGTAAATTTAGTTAAAATACCTCTATTGGGCTTTTCTTCGGAATTTACTTGATATAAATCTCTCTGTCATGAATGTCATCACGTGTCATTATTTGTCAATTGTTGACACATATATAGACAAATACTCGCGCGAATGGACATAAAACGAATTACCACGATATATGCTGATTTATAATTTCCATAATACAGTGAACGCCGCTTATAAGATTCATTTTAGGACCAGTATAAAGTGAGTTTCATAACCGAATGAGCCTTATAGGTAAAATGGAGAAAGAAACTTTATTTTGTTAATTTAATTTCATATATCTTACTTTTAAACATTGAATTCAAGATATTATTTATTATTTTATTATTACATATTAATTTTTAAAAACCAATTTATTTTAAAATTTCACTAAAAATTTACATTTTCTATAATTTTTTTTTTACAAAATTTGAATCTCATAACCAACTTGTTTATTTAAACGTATTTAGATACGCGTTTGAAACCGTTCTAAACCATTTTGATCCTTATAAGCGATTGAACCTTATATTCGTTAGTCTTATAAGCGGCGTCCACTGTTTTTATAAACTACGATAATATTTTAAATAATCGCACGGGTGGTGACGCACGATGATGGAAAAGGTTATGCTGTGACTGTTAAAAAACCTTCCATTTTATATTATAATATACATACCCAGAGATATAGTTATATTATTAATATTTACGGAATCTTCTTGATTTGTGCATTTTTGTCCTCAGGCACGTCAGGTAACATCATAAGTATTCTTCGAAATTCGGATAATTTTAAATTAAGCATAGCATTTAGATAGAAAATAAAAAATCTTAGATGAAATATGATGTAAGCACCATTTTCACAAGAATGATGAAAATTTCCTTGATATTAAAAAAAAAAAATAATACGATTTGAAAATATATAGCAATCTCTCATAAACATTTTATTTTGGTACCTATACACAATAATTTGTAAACAATTTTAATTTTAAATTTTCCCCATTTTCGTCGATCCGGCTGGTTTATGTCAACTAGCTGATATAATTAATGATAATATATTTCCTACATGATACCTACTACGTTTCAGATTATTATGGGCTCTAGCATATGTCATGTTGATTTATTTCACGCCAATTTTAATTCACAAAAACGAAACTGCAGTTTATGTGCCAGTATATTATTATTTTGCATTAGGATTGGTTTTTTTAATAAACGAGGTGAGTTTTTTAAATGTTTAATACTTAAAAACAAAGTAAATGATTCTGTATAGATAAATCTTATAAAACTTAGTTTTTGATTTTTAGATGCTGAGTTTCTTCATGTTGTTAACGATATACGCTTTCTTTTGTCGACTGAGCGATCCCCGATTTGGCGGGACGTACATGACGTTATTTAGTACTTTTCTGTACTCGGGATTAATAGTGACGAACACTTTGGTTTTGAAACTAGTATCCATTTCGACTGTAAAACTATGTTCGAACGACAATGGCAACTATTGTTATACGGCAGATTTAGAAAACGTGAGATATTTTCTATTTAGGCGGATTTTTTATTCGGTTACTAATTCATGTTTAAGAGTTTAAATATTTTAAATTTTGTTTATAGTCGTGCAAAACGAACGGAGGGAATTGTGTAGTGTTTGTAGACGGCTACTACATAGCGATCGCTGTATGCATGGTCATTGGATTCGTTTGGTACGGCGTTTTCAGAAAGATCATAATAAATTATCAGTCGTTGGACATTCATAATTGGTTGGTACACGATCGTCAAACAACAATTACATCGGTCGATAAATATTAAATTAATATTAAAGTGTAACACGGTATTCAATTTTCGATGATATGTTATATTATTTTATAATTAAAAAAAAACTAAAACTCAAAATAATCAAGAAGTTGTATATTATATTATAATTTATATTTATTATGGTTTCCGATTCTAAGCATAACGACGAGGCTATCAGTTTTACAAAGATGTATTTTTATCTCGGAAGATACTTTTTCGATTAGTAAAAATCCTTCGATTTGTTCATGTTATATCTCAAAAAATGTCCACGTTTCGCTCGGTGGTATTTTGTTGGCATAGTTTTTCGAAATTTACATTATAATTTTTTTTTTTTTTAACTTTTCAATCAAAATTTTTTCTAAAAGGAAATCTGACTGGGTAGTACTTTAAGAAAACCATTTTTTAATTTTCTCAGGAGTTATTGAGAATATATTGGAAAAACCGGAAATAAAAAAACAGACAAAAAAACAGGAGAACAGGAAAATAGGTAAAATATTAAACAAATATATATTATTGTAGAAAATGTTAATGTATATGTAATTATTTTACTATAATATGATATACATATATTGTTGACAAAGTAAAACTATCAACTGAACTTCACTCAGAATTGTTTTTTCGTTGCTTAGAGATATACATTAAATTTCTGTCTATATCCTACATTCCCAACTTCCCACCTACAACAGTAGCTGTTATGTGCAAAGTATATGCGTATTTTTATCATAATTTTTAGATATTTCATTGACTGAATATGTTTGAATGTTATTTGTTTGTTCTTTTTTTTTGTTTTTTATTTTTATGGCACCCTCCATTGAGAAATATTATCTGTTTACAATTGATTTTATTAGGACCCGATTTTTCAATATTACATATTTTATTTATCAGAATATAGATAAACTTATTCAATGGATAAATTTAATTGATAAACCGGGCCTAAAATAAATAACTCGATAACCTCTGGGTAAAAAGGGTTAAGTTAGAAATTGCAAGTTTTCAAGAAGACAAAGACAATTTATTGTTTTTATTTTAAAAGCATAACATTTTCATTAAGAGGCCCGATGCATGTACGTTTTTTGTTAAAAAAAATGCAAAAAAAAAAACTGTCATGCCTCATAGGTCCGATTTCAATTTTTTTTTTTTTTTGAAAGACGGAAGACGTCTTACAACTCGTAATAAGATCCATTTTTCAATATTTTCATCTCTAACTCATAAATATGTCTTTAAAAAATGAACCTACGTTTTTAATTTCTTTTTTATACCATTATTTTAAATTAAATGAAAAATTGAAATTCAATGCGAGCTACAAAATATTGTTATTTATCAATTAAAAAAAATTATTATAATTATTATTTTATAGCAAAGTGAAATTGAAATATGCATTTTATACCTAATGTAGGAATTTAACCAAATTATACAAAATGCATTATTTTACTCATATTATCATAATATTATATATTTTTCAAGAAAAGTATAAAATAGTATTTTGTTAGTGATTGTTTTCGGTTTTATACCACGGTATTCGCGCCTACTGGTCGTCTGTTACCGATTGACGAAATTTAAATTTTGTACCGAGTTATATGTGTAATTTAAAGTATAGCAATATTCAAATAATAATAATATCTTATAAGATTTAATGATTTAATTACTTTACCTATTATATTTTCCATAGTTATTTTATTCTGCCTATTATATTATTACGATCGTGCTAAATCAATATTTAAAAATCAATAGAGTGATTTGATGTCTAAAATATATAAACCTGTTTTAAGTCTGTAGGATCATGTTTAGAGCGCTGCATGCATTGGCACAACTAAGGGGTGCTTGGTAGTGCTTCAGTACCGCTAGACTTTAATTTAGCATCCCCAGTTCAAAAACGAAAAAAATCGAAAAATAGTGTGAAAAAAGCTGCCCTTAGATAATGGAGACGGTAGCCATTATTATAAGTAATTTAATGTATAGTTATAATTGAATTTGGACTGGGGAGATCATATAAGGAGTCACTTTTTTGTTTTTCTCAAAAGTTTTCTCATCAAATGTGAAAAACCGAAAAAAAAACAACGGATAACCGGGCTAAACTTAGGAAAACCGGGAAAATCGGTACAATATTAAACAAATATTAAAGAAAATATATTGAATAAGAATATTTTAAAATATCGAATCTTATCGAATGACGAAATAATGACACGGATGATAAGATCCGTGTGTAATTTTTCGCACCACTTTAACTATCGACAAACGTTAATAAATTATTATTATTACGACTATTTGACGTTATTCGAAAAGCGTAATATATTTTAACGAATACCTACATTTCTTATATTTTCCAGTTTTTCCTCAGTTTTTTTTTCGGTTTTTCAAATTTGATGAGAAAACTTCCGAGAAGATCAAAAAGTGGCCTACTTAAAGTACATAAATATCTTTGTAAAACCATAAGCTTCTTCACTCCACCCAGAATTTAAAAACAGTTTTCTTTGTTTTACGTAGGGTTTATTTTTTATTTGACGTTTTTAGCAGAAACACAAATTATTTGTGATGATTAGTTATATCAAATATTAGATATGTAAAATCGACACTATCGTTGCAGTCAGATAGATAATAAATTCTTCAGTCAGTTCCAATGACTTCTGCTACGTGAAAGAGAAGCTTCTCGTCAATGGGTCGTCTAAAAAGTTGCCTAATGGCAAGTATGAAAAACAGCGTTTTACAGATTTATCAATATTATTAATATTAAATATTGAGAGAGATATTGTTAATAAAATTACTTCTTCAGAAATACTGAAGTATTCCAGTATTAATAAAAATATAATGCATTTAAATGCAAACCCTTTCGGGTTTCGAATCAACGGTGGAACATAAAATAATCAAAAGTACTCAGACTTTATTTTAAGGAATTTTTAAAACTGTACATAGACAATATTATTTTTCCTGAGAATATGTATATTGTCGATTTAAGAACGGTGGTAAAGTTAGAATTGAGCGAACTGACTTAGTTTCGAAATTATAGCTTTTTAAAGTTCTGATATTGTGTGGATATTGTATATGTTAAATAATTAAATATTGTTATCTCTATGGCATGTTTGTCGTAACCGAATGGTTATAAATACCTATTTTCATCCTAGGGTTCGTATGTTCACACTCGTGTCGAAAAAAATTGTTTGCGCCTATTTTTTCCTTTTTACCAGAGAAAGAACAAATTCATTTTATGAGTACCTAGAGATCCACTATCACTCGTTCGAACTATTTTAATCGAAAAATACCCCTCGATTTGTTGTGCAAACTTTTCTACCAGAAATCTTACTCCGATGTATCAAGTATAGCTTATTTTCTGAAAGGAAATTTTATATCCGTGGTAATTTAAAGAGGTCATTTTTCGATTTTCTTAGGAGTTTTCTTAACAAATATGAAAAACCGAGAAAAACTGAGGAAAAACGGGAAAATGTACGAAATGTAGGTATTAGTTGAACAGTATTTCGGCTTTCATTTTTCCTGTGAACAACTTTTCTACTAGCAATTTTGTTCCAATTTACAATGATAGTATTTTTTTTGAAAGGAAATCTAACTGGGGAGTTACTTTACAGAGGTAATTTTTTTATTTGCTCAATAGTTTTTCCAGGAAATGGGGTGACTCAGGACAGATTTTTACATTTTTCTTATTTTAATTTGAACATTTAGTCGATAAAATATCGAAAATAATATGTCATTTTCTTTAACTATGTAGAAACCATATAACAGAAAAATAATTATTAAGTGCATTAATGTTCGTACTTTTTTTAAAGTTGAAATTTTTCCAGAGTCTGGTTTATATACCCATTGTATATGGCTAAAAATTATTGCATACAAAAAACGATTCTGAACGGAGTTCGGTTAAATATTATTTGATAAATTTAAATAGAAAATCATATCAATTAATATCAAGGCTGACTAAAAATTAGGTAAAATTTATCTTCTATTTAACGAACTTTATTAACAATTTTTACTATGTACGCAGTATTGTATACTTACTGTACACTATGTCGAATCGAATCTAATCGGATCGACATGGAAACGAGTCCACGTACTATATAAGATCGGATCGGAACGAAAACAGAATTATGGTCAGTCGATTTAATCGTCCTGACTTAACTATCAAGTGTTGTTGAAGCCACATCCAAGTTTTCAAAACCTTTTTAAATTTTATTTGAAGAATGAGTGATATAAGTAGCGGAGAAGAACGCATTGTAATTACATTAGCAATTTCTGCTTTTAAAAAAAGAAAGAAAACCTATTTAACACAAAAGTCTATAGGTCCATTTAGTCAATAAAAAAATAAATGATAAGTACGGTATCCTTTAGGATAGGTCTAATATACATAAAGAATAATGTATTGGGTTTGTTTTTCATACGAATAAAATAATAAGACGAATACTGTGCACAGTTTTTATATTTTAATATGCATTAAACATGCGTGTCAACAATAAATAATTAATTAAATATTATATAGTAACAATAATTAATAATACATTTAGTTAAAATGCTTAATATTTATATAGTATGGTAGATAAGTACCTAATAATAAAAATCAATATGTAATTTACAAAACAAAGTTTAGTTTTGATTAAAAAATCAATTTATTGTTACCAAGACTCGTTTTGATTAGGTTTTACAATAGACTTTTACAATAGTCTCATCAGTACGTACCCCGTTTATTTATTTATAAAATATAAAATATTTCCATCGAATTTTTCATTAAAAGACAGAAAATAAACGATTCGGACGTTTTGTAAGTTTTATCATAATACAGTAGGTAGTTATGAATTTTGAGAATTGCGAAAAAACAAAAAAAATTGTTGAAGTACCTACTTAGAAAATAATGAAAATCGTATATGCATGTTATATATATACAATAGTTTTGTATATAATTTATTTAATCCTATAACTAAACTGATATCACGGTTTGTTTCTATAAAAATTAATAGCATTAAAAACATAACATGTTAATAGTAATAGTTAATAAATTTGTCACAATTTTTTTTCTAACAGATAACACCGTCCGTAGAATTTCATTTCACTATAACGGAATACGTATTTTTATCGTTTTTATCGTCTTCTTTGATTGGCGTCGGTGGTTTCACGTTGACCAGCCAATGCGATGGACTCTTGATTTGGAGGTTTTTAAGGATTTTAAAGAAAATGCCGAACCAAACGATTCCGATGACGGTACACACGGCCGTTTCAACGTAATAACCGTTCACTTGTATAACACAATCGCCTCCGTTCGTTTTACACGTCTAAACCAAAAAAAAAAAAAAATAATAATAAATATTTAATGAAAATATTAACAGTTTTATAAATATGCAAATAAAAACACTTTCGATCGTCAAGTGAAATTGCGTTTTTAAAAATATTAAATGTATAGATCGTAATTTTTTAAATAAAGCTTTACAAAAAAAAAAAAAAAAAAAAATATTAAAATGCCTTATTATATAGTATTCGTATACTACATAGGTAATACCTTACAGGTTAAAAAAAAAAAATGTATGTATATTAATAACTTACGTTTTGAAGGTCAGTTGTAGAACAATTGTTATCGGGATCGAGAGAACACTTTTTGAACGTTAAGAGATCAATCATTCCGATTGCGACGGACGACGACCACGCGTGCCCTAAATTCGAGAGGGTATTTAATAGTGTCATGTAAGTGCCGCCAAAACGAGAATCGCTTATCCGAGAAAAAAAAGCCACCGTAGAAACGCTCATGATATTGGATATAATCTGGAGAAAAAAAAAATCAATCATTCTTATATTTTTTTATTTGAAATATTTTCAAGGTATACCTTATGTTTTCAGGTACGGTTGAATTTTATTTCAAATTTTGTATAGGTATAGATGCACACAGTTTTGTAACTTTTCGGATTATCGATAAACACTTAAATTAATTATTAAACATAATGACGTGTATTTCATTAACGAGTTTTATTTTTAGTTTCTAAGTACTTATACCTATTAGTTTTATACCTGTGTTTTTTTTCTCGGGAAATACTTTTACGGTTAGTAAAAATTCTGTGAAATTTTAATTTCCACGCCATATCTTAAAAGGTGTGGATTTTTACCTCGATTTGATGATTTGAAATGATTTTCGTAATTCTCCATATTTCTTTTAAAAATATTAATTTTTACCTAATAACTTTATTGTTATATACCTCTGCAAAATGTTTAACGGGGCTACTATATTTTAAATATTTAACGAAATTTTCAGCAGTGCATCCCTAGGTCCTTTTTCTATTTGATTAATTTGTCCCCTTGCCACCTTGGGCAAGAAGGAAAAATGACTTCTAAATACTACTTAGCTCAGAATGGTTTTTCCTTTACAGTGATTTATCGTTTCGCACAGTGTATAAACTAAATAATCCTGTATATTCTATATTCCGAACTACCCACCCACAACAGTAGCTTACCTATGAGCAGCGTCAATTTTTTTTTTAATATTAATCAACACGTTTTGATCAATTATTTAAATTATAAAAATTATAATAGTTGGAATAACATTTTTCAACTCACGTCATGTATCGATAATATAAATATTAAAAGTGCATAATAGTACATCGGGACATCTACAACTCCGTTAACCGTGATCAACTTTGGCGTATAATAAACCAGCGCGAGAAGCGCAACGTTCACAACTAATCTGAAATATTTATAAATGTTTATACACAAATATACAATTCAATATATATATATATATATTGTACAGGTTGATCAATTTTCCACAAGACATTCCATTAGATAGATATATCTCGACAGCCTTAAAGTGTTATTACACTACACATTTTTTACTATTTCCAATAAGAAAATTCCGAAAAAATTAAACACTTTCCGAGATAATCAAATATCTAACGGGAAAATGATCAATCACTTAAATGTACGACGAACAATAATTTATTAGGAGCTATATAAAGCTTAGGTATAACAGTTGAAGATTAATATGTTTTGTGGTTTATTTAACGAAAAACAACAATAATAAACATAATCCCATTTTGAGACAAATGTCTAAATTGTCACCATTCTGGCTCACGTATATTTAATAAAACATATTTACTTATGGAAACACCTATTGTTAATACCAGGTTCAATTGATTTTTAAGCAACTTGCATCAAAATAATTTTGTTCTATCTCAAAAATGTCATGAGATAAAAGTGATAAAACCATCTAAAGTTTATTTTCATCTAATTTACCACGTATTTTATTGTAATTTTATGATTATCTTTACTCATCATTTTTCTCCGATAAAAAGTCATAATTAAATTTCTTTACTTTTTAAGTCATGCGTTTTAAATTTTTGAAAAATTTAGGAAAAATATTATTATTTAATAATTGTTAATGGTTTTATCTCAGAAAAGAATTGTACAGGTTATATAAATCAAATATTTCCCTGCGAAAAATATTCCTTGAAATATTCATATCAGACTTAATAAACTAAGACTACTTAAGAAATTATATAAGTTTTGTTACGTATGTAAAATAGGTAATTTTTCAAAAAATTGGCTCAAAACGTGCAAATATTTTGTACATTCCTAAAAAAACAAAATTCCTATTTCAATCTAAATCGAACCGAATGAAATATTTCGTGTTACCATTTGTTGAAACACACTATACCTATAATATAGACTTGTAGAAATTATTATTTGTGGTTTTTCTCGAATCAAAACTTACTTCATCTAAATAAAAAAATTTGAATACGCAACTATGCTCTCTACGGGTGATGCCTAATGATTGCTTAAAAATAACATGCAATAATAGCAGTTATATAAAAAAAAAAATACGATATTACTAATCAGATAATATTATGTAGACTTATATATTATAGTGTACTTTTTTTGAAGAACAATGCAGTACGTCAACATGATGAATATCATTACATGTGATAATATAATAAACTATTACAAGACTTTTGTACATTGTAATTAATAGTTATGGCGATGATGGTGACGACAGAAAGGTGAGCAGATTCAATCCGTGTTAATAAATTATTGAAATAGATATTACGATATTTAAAATTCGATAGTTACTAATCATGCTCAACATCATTTATAGTTTATATGTAACTACCCTTCACTCGTGTGGTTTACATTGCTGGAATTATTTAGTAACAAATTTGTTAAAAAAAAAAAAAAACTAAAATTAAAAAAAAACAGTAATTGAATAGGTACCTAACTAATAATCAAGATGAGCTATTCAACGAATAATATAATAATAATAATATAATATCAATACATTTGAGCTAATTAAAAAGGTAAAAGGGTTCAGTATTGTTATATTGCCATTTTTAGAGACAAATACGATTTTTTAGAGTGATAAGCTGGAGTAAAATTCACACACTACCATTCACACAATTTTATTTTTCACTGAAGTTAATTTATTGCTTATTATTAACAGTTTACTTTTTTAAAATAAATTTAAAAAAAAATACAAAAATATATAAATATTGTTCCTACAAAACAAAGATACGAAGTCAAATCATTTTTAAAAATAGGAGTATTAAGTATGTTTATTTTAAATCAATTAATTGGTTTAAATGTTTCAAAAAATGAATCGACACTCATTAACTTTAAGTTAAGTTAATTTTTTTTTTTTTAATTTCGATGTCTCACTAATACCTTGGTTGCATAAAAATTGTAAATTTAGTATCCAATTATGTTTAACGTTTTTTTACCATATCTACCAGTATATGAAATTTAGTTACAATTTTGTTAAAAAAAAAAAATACACGAATAAAATTTAATTTTTATGACCTCTGCGTTTACTATTGACAATCTCGAATGTCAATTCGAGGTAAGCATCAAAATTGCAAGGTCAAAGCAAACGCACTCGTTCATTAAATTATATTTAAATTGTATTTCAAACGTTAATATTAACAATTATTTAGTAATGAAATGATCACTAGACAATTTAAAATTAGTTACTTTATTTAAATTTGTATCTATAATTATTATTTACCTGACGGGTGTCGCCTTTAGATATACGCTCATCGGTTTTGGACCCGACGTGTATTTCGCTACGACTAGCGGTAGCACAATTTTTATTACGAACATTACCGTGTGTATCATCATGATGTTATCTTTCGATACGCCTGCGTCAATTAATTTCAAAATCGATACACTGTCAGTTGCTGCGAATCCAATCTGTCAATGTTATCGATTAAAATAATATTAATACAAAAAATTATTTATTTGGTTTAATATTGTATTCATTTTTTTTTTCAGCAATTCTATTAAATTCGTTTAGCATGGGTATCGTACAGTAAAGTAATTTTGAATGTCCGATAGCTACAGATAATATGATATATTATGTGAAAAAACTATAAATACCTAGTACAATGTCAACGTGTCATAAATAAATACAATTTTTATACGGGACCATATATTATTTTGAGCAAGTGGACAATTTTAAATATTCGGTAATCAATATCAACGATAAGAATAATATATATAACGAGATATACTATAATATGGATAGGTGCAACAAATCAAGTATATTTTTCCGTGCACTTGTTATTTCAATCCAGAAGCAATTTACACAACCGAATATTGGTCCGAAAGAAAAGCGCTATGGAAAATATAAGGAGCCACACAAAATCTAAGTGGAGAATTCGGAAAAAATGGAAACCGAGGACTTAAAAATTAAAAAGATTGTACATCAATGGTTAAAAACATAAGATAAATGGACGATGGCAGATCTAGCGAGGAACCGTGATGGATCTTGGTGAAATCATGCAAAAGGCCTTAAAGGTTATTTAAGTACAAAATAGAAAATATAATATTATGCGACAAATAATATTATTCGGTTGATATTGTGATCTTCATGTGATAAACTTTTTATGTAGGTACATCCAAAATCAAATGACTCAATCGATAATACTTTTTTGTGGAAAATGTAATATTTACAATTCATTTTACCGATGACGACACTTATAAACACGGTTTATTTATTTTTTTATTACAATTATTTACCTTCGCTGTCAACAAGGCGACAGCTATTATTCGGATACTGGGCAACTTCAAAATATCCCACAGTAGTGAATAGTTTTGAACAATATTGAGCTTTACGTGGTCGTCCTCTAATCTATTATCTTTTTCTTTTTTTAATATGGCGATCAATATCGTAACAAACATGAATATAATGCCCCAGACGAAAAACAAACCTGTTTAAAATGAAAATCGAAAACACATATTATACATTTTAATTTTGATAATTTTAATCTAAACGATGGTACAAGATTTTTATCGTTATAATATAGTTCTTGGACTTAACTTGATAGGTTATTAAAACTCGAAGAATTCGGTTTTTAATCAATCAATTTGAATGATTACGTATTTACTCACTTACTTCTCATAGTCACTATTCCGCCTTTTTCGGGTACAGATCGTAAGTGTTTATTGCAAAAGTCCTCGGACGTTAATAGTACGGAAAACACGGAACTTATCATCACACCCATTACTTGACCAGTCGAATTGCATGTGGACGCGTAGCCTACGTTGTTTCTGTATACGGAATATAACAAATTGCATGATTAAAACGTACAACTTTCTTTTTTGACATTATATGTAAAATATAATACCAACTTTTTCAACATTGTCAGCGCCCAACCGTCGACAACAATATCTTGTGTGGCAGCTAATAATTTGGCAGCGAAAAACACATACGCCAGTTTCAGTATATTAGGTTTTCCCGTTTCGGGTAGCATGTCGTCTATGTTGTTAGACAAGTAAAGAAAGCTCGCTCCTGTTTAACAGTAAGTAAGTCGTTATAATTTTCGAATTTACGAATTCGGATTTGTTTTCAAAGGTCAACTTTTAAAACTAAAAATATTTTCATTAACTTTTTTCTCGTATTTAATAGATAGTATTTTGTTGTGAGTGTGTAATACAAAATATATCGGTGCATTCAACACTTAAGACATACAAATAATAATGTTTATACACACCCATTAATAATTGAACTGGTATGAGCCAAGATTTTCGCCTTCCTATATTTTGTACGTACAACGCGTCCACTATCGGAGCCCATAGGAGTTTCAAGCTAAACGGCCACGCCACCAGACTAAATAAAGCCTAAACAGATTTATGTAGAACCGAATATTAACATCAAATATTAAGATGTAAAATCGATTTACCTGATCCTTGTACGTCACGTTTTTATTGCTTTGTAAAATTATCGGCATGGCCGCGGCCAAGCCCAAAGGCATGCCTTGCATTGTGTATAATAACAAAAGTAGAAAAAAATTCGGCCAATCTCCGCTCAAATTCGGTTTGTCCGGAACCACAATGGAATCGCAGTCTTTCGCAGCCGATTTTTCTGCCGGTTCATTTTTGATGTGCGTCAGAACCGTCATATTTTTGTCTCAAATCTCCGTTCGAAAAAATACTGCGAACAATGATAGATACCGTATCGTTGTACTTTTAGTACTAAAGTGAAAGTGATTATTAAATGCACCGGCCTATAGTCTAACATTACTACTACTACTACTTTTCGTTTATCCTGTATCACTGATTCAGGGTCGGCACTCGGTTATAGTCAAGCACTACTACTACTATTACTACTTTTTTTTTTTTATCGTGAATCACTACTATAGCTATGATATACGCGACTAAATACAGTTCAAATATTATTTGACAAACTAAACATTTTCATTGACGGCGAGGCTGCCGCAGTCTTCCGTATCACGATTATAGATCAACACAAACCGTACAAAATATATACCTGCTACGTAACAATTCTGGGGGTCAGGTACTTATATAAAACAAATTAATATTACCGAAAATTGTTTATTGCACTTGCAGATGTATTGATGCGATCTAAAAGAAAAATGTAAAACGAATATAATTAATAAATAAATAAAAACTGTTTGGCGCAGTTCAGTTTTACTTCAGTATTGGCGGAACACTGGACGATTAGACTACCGGAGAGACCTTCGCAAACGAATTGACTGTAAGGTACCTATATTAAAAGGTTCTATACGAATAATCACGTTCAAAGGAAACAACCAATTTAAAATAGTACAATAAAAATAAATAATAATAGTAATAGACGAGCATAATCTATTGCGAAATTCAACGCGAAATCAAATTCAATCCAAACTCGCGACTGTTTTAGTAACTTGCATTGCATATGATGTTTTTATTCTATGTTGTTTGGTCTATATTTATTTATTTACAGTTCTTTGGTTTTTTTTCTTAATCTTTGAGCTGTGTACAGTATATTAATAATAACCTAATACCTAACAAAATAGTTCTTGATAAAAAAAACAGATCTTGTTAATATTATAATGAACCTGATCAACTTGACATTATAGAATACACTTAATTATTTTGTTAAAATTGAAACTAACAGAATTTTTTTTACATAAAATAAATTATGATTAAGTACCTATGTTAAATATTTAAATATTTAAATTAATTGGTTAATTCGTAATCAGTATATTTATTTTTATGGTAAAATATGTAGGTATCATAATATTGTTATACGTAAGCTGTTTGAATTTGATGGTTTTAAAAAACTAAAATGTTTACACATTTATATTTTATATTTATAAATATATTTAAGTAAAAACATGATTTACATTTTTAATTAATACATTTAATCATTTAAATTCTACGCGCTGAATGATAATTTATTTTGATTTTTCACTTTTTTTTCAATTTTTTAAATTTATCTATATTTTTATAGTTATTAATTACTATAGATTTAAGACTTTAGACTTTACATTATTTTACAGATTGCACACATGGGTTTGGCTACACATTTTTGACACATTAAAAATACTTACCATATACTCTATAGTTAAATAATAAATTATTTAATGTTGATTAACGTATATTTAATAAACAATATACGATATACATTATGATTAGACATATAAATAACGGCTTTTTTTCCGTGTTAAATAAGGGAACGTAGAATAATAAATAAAACTGAAAAATCAATATAATCCAACAAGCTACGAAATTCTATACAAAGTTCCTACACGGATCGTCATGTTATAGTCACTTACAGATATAAATTAAATAACTTTATGTACCTATCCTATATTACCACCAATAACTACCATCCTCAGTTTCAGCTCTTTGTTAAAATTTATTTTGTTTTTATATTTTTTTCTATACTATTTTAAAAATTAATTGAAATATATTGGAAGATCCAAACAAATATTACAAAATGAATTTCTAAGAATAAATTATATGTTCTTTAATTTAAAATATGTGAATTCGTACAAAAAATAAAAATGCAAAATTATGTAACATATATTTTTACATTCGAAATATTAAGTAATATTTAATACACTCTTTTAAAACAATTATAAAAATTCCTTAAGTTCCGATTATATATTGTAGGTAATTACTTATTTTTAATATTTTAATTTTTTCCGGAATCGTTTGTAAAACTGAAGATCTGAGAAAAATTCTAATAGATTTTCGAAATTTCTTGTATATCTTTTTGGTACATTTTCCTCTTCAACAAAATTAATAAAATCAAAAAATTTCAAAAAAAATCATCCATTTCGATTATAATTAAAGTATTATGTATTTAATTAAAATAGGTAATTTATCCAGGTGTATTTTTTTCATCAGCAAACTGCACAAAGTCAATAAATTCGAATATTTCATCCATATTGAGAAAGATAGGATTCGAAAAAAAAATAAATTGGTACCTAAAATATACCTACACAGTGTCACGATGAATTTGTAAACAAATTAAATTAATTAATTTCATTAGTATTTTTGTGCTAAATGATACATTATAAACTAGAATGATAGTTTACGGGTGCACTAAGGGTGGTCTATCCACTTTTTAATTTTAAATGAAACCTTAAGGCTTTGATCAACCTTAAAATTAACTGTGCAGAGAAATTGTATGGGAATGTGCTCAGGTGAAACTTAAATAACTTTAACTACGGGTAATTATCTCAGAAAGAATTAATTTTGTTCGAAATTTGTTTTAGCGAAAATTTAAGAAACAAGCAGCTATACATTTAATAATGTTTTTCATTTGTTACCCTCATTTTTGATGCTAGATTAATCACCTCCTAATTACCAAAGGACAAACTTAAATGAAATAACTGATGAGATATTCCTCTATGAGTTAGACGGAAATTAAAAATTAAAAACTAAAAATTGATTTATACTAAGTTCACAGTTCAGTTGTATAAAGTTCATCTATTTATCGAATTTTTAATGTTGGTTACCACTTAAGTGGTACCCTAAAAATAAAATTGATAAAAACAAAAAAAGAATTTTAACATTTTAGAGCCACTTGTTTCTTTAATGTTCTAAAAACTAAATTCCGTTTCCGAGTCGGAGATAATAAGTATCCTGGGTTATGTTGATCACTCTGTATATTTTATTTATTGACCTATAAACCTGATTAATATTGTTGTGACTTTTAATTAACAACACCGCAGTCTGCATCATTATAATTATTTCTAAAAAAAAAAAAAAAAATATATTAATAATAATAATAAATTGCATACTTTTTCTACTTAACATATTATTTCAAGTATTGCACTTAGTGCACATTGTACACACACATATTATATTTAAAACAATGAAATAAAAAAAATTAAAAATATTTTAACATAGGTATATCATTAGTATAATTATTGTTTATTTATTTTCGGGCGTGACCTCAATAGATAAAACAAAAAACAAAACAATTAATAATAATGCACATCTCGTTTCAATACTAAAAGATCTATCAATGAAACGTAAAAAAAAACGTGACAATACTATAGTCGGTTAAGAATATGGTGATGGCACAATAAAAGAGCCGAAAGCATTATAACATAATATATTTATAAATAATATCATATGTCACTTTAATATGTATGAAATATTAATGAAACAATTGGGTTTTATTGATCAAACTAATAATGTAATTGTTGAGCAAGTGTTAAGCAATGGATTATTGAAACCATCCTTTTCGTCGAAACCAATTCGCTGCCAAGTGTTTCGCCGAAGAAAATTTTAAGAAAATAAGTCATTTTCTTAAAAGAAATTAACAATTTTTTTTTTAAAAAAGAGCTGAAACTGAGAATGGGTGCAGTCACCGTTGTAGGTGGGAAATTGGGATTTTAGGAAGGTATGACAAATAAAGTTATTTAATTTAAATTTATAAGCAACGATAAACCATTACTAACGAAAAATGATTCAGAGCGTAATTCGGTAAGACAAATTTTGAAATGCTGTAATTTGATCTTAAAACGCCTATCAAAAACACTAAAACATTCAACTCAAATTTACTTTTTAGACCACTAAGTAAAACTTATAATAAAGTCTGGCGGCGAAAAATTTATCGGCAAAAAGGCTAACGACGAAACAATTGGCGACGAATTGGTTGTGGCGAATCGGTCCATCGGTGAAACGGTCCGCGGGTGATATTGTTTCAGCGAAATGTCCTAGACTTATGGATTATCGGTACTTATATCATCGTTCATGTGAATTATGAGTTTTTACAACATTTATATCTGTATAGTTAAGGGCCTTGCTCGTAGATTTTCATGAATTGTTAACAATATTACTAACGAAAATTTTTAATATTCACAATTAACCAGTCAACACTTCATCGGTTACGGAAAAACATATGCATATGCACCAATATTGTTTCGTGAAGTTATAGTAATTAGGGATGGGCATGCAATCCGAGTTATCCGATTTTCCGGAAATTCAAAACCGGATTTGAATCAAATTCTTATCCGTATGATATCCGGATTTTGTTTTTTTATTTTACCAGATAATCTTTATCCTTAACAAACGCAAAACGATCGTATCATAAAAATCGAGTGATATTTAATGAGTAATTACACAAATATCAACTATAATATTGTTTGTTATAAAACGAATTCACTGAGTATGTGCAATGTACTAATATGCACTTTATTTATACTACAGTACAAAAAAAAACAGGACTTAATAATAACTCTAATAAAATCATTTTTTTGATTTTACGAGGGGTTCTCATAATAATGGGAAAAAACGTAGGGAAAACGAGAAAATGTACGTAATTTTTATTTATTAGGTGATCTGTAGATAATATTGTTGGACTAAATAGAAATAATTGAAAATTTAAGAGGAGGATTATTATAATTCGTACTTTGTGGTAAAAATTGAGTTAACATAAAATTTAGCCAAAAATCGTAAATATCACGACTTTTCAAAATATGTACAACTAAACTTCGCCCAGAATCGTTTTTTGTTAGTAATGATTAATCGTTGCGTACATATATACTCGTACATTAAATTCCCCTGTATATCCTACTTTTCTAACTACTCACCTACAACAGCGGCTCGCCCATCGTGTGAAATATGTCCGTCTTTTGTAATTATATTGCAGCATATTGGTATTTAATTATAAATTATTTTATTGTTATTATTATTGTTGATTTTGATTGGATTTGTGTCAAAAACAAAAATAATTTTATTGGACACAACCCATTTAATATAAAATTATTAACAACAAAAACCCTCCATCAACTATGTGTAAATATCTCACTAAGAAAAATAAAACTCAAGTTAGAAAAGTTGTGATACCAAAAAGGGGCTAAGCAATTTCTTAAATTAATTAGTATAGAAATTGTTTGTATTAATTGTATTTGATGAAGTGCGATAATTTAATACAAATTACAGTGAAACCTCCCTTAACGGACACCTCTAAATAGCGGACACCTCTAAATAGTGGACGTTTTTTCGGGGACGGATTATTGAATTTATTTATTTGTTAAAAAACATGTTTTCCTCTAAATAACGGACCCCTCTAAATAGCGGACAAAATTTCGTCGACCGAGAGTGTCCGCTATTCAGAGGTTTCACTGTATTTTATTTTCAAAAGACAAAAACAATTTACTTCCAAATTTTAGATGCAACCTAATGTAACATATGAAATCACCATATTTTAAAAAAAATATAGTAAATATAATAAATAAATAAAATATAAAAAAAACACTGACACACGTCAAGCGATGACATACGATAGGGCGTAACAAGGGTCAACAATAAACAAAAACACTATACGAGTATAATAAATTATGAGTGAAATATGTAAACGTATGGCATACCTACTATTTTTGTTACTTTTTTGCCGTACAGTTGCGGGGGTGATATTTTAACTGGCCGGCCGTTTTTTTGTATCTAATACGCTCTCCAATATTCTTATCTATCTCAATGATGTGCACACGTGTTTATTTTGTATTTCAATCTAATCGTAGTTCGATAATTTATTACTAATGTAAACCCGTTCCACTATCGTTTGTGTTTCGTAACTTGTTTCGTTTGTATTTTCTAATCACGATTCGAAAATTATCAGTATAACCCGTTCCACTATTTTTGTTTGTTTTAATAGTTGTTTTACTTATTAGTGATTACCGTTAGCCCACGATACTTGAAAACTATAGATTTTTTTTTTAATAATTGCATGCCGTTATTTTATTGTTAAAATATGAAAAAAAATGAATAACAGTTTTATTTTTATTATATACTTATTTATGTTTAAATAATATATTGCTTTGTTTTCAATTTTTTTTGGTAAATATCTAAAAAAAATTCAACATTAAAAAGGTATGTTTAATTTCAAATCAACGGCAATTTTTACAAAATCTGAACACTGAAATTCAAATTTTTGGCCACCGGTCGTACAACAGTCGAGTCTTTATTTTCATGAAACGCAGTATAGTTATTACTTATTAATAATAAATAATATTTTTTATAATATTATTATACCATAATACTGGACTCCACTGCCATCTTGGATATGAAAATATTGGCCTACATAACGCAATTTGAAAATTGACAAACCTATATTAGTATAGTATTATTTTATTTTATATTGAGAGAATGGTGATCTTAGCATATTACTTTATTTAATATTTTTGTTTTGTTAATAACAGAAACTGTTATTGCATAAAATGTCACGGTATTTTTTTTAAATTTTGAATATACATTCGTTTTTGACAGTTAGAATAGCTTAATTTATTAATATAAACATGAACTCTAGTATCCAATACTACTCGAAATATTATTATTGATGATAATATTTTCTTCTTTATAGAGGTCGTTGCTTCGAGACATAGTCGTTTTGAAGTAGCTCGAATACAAATTTTGAATGCCTACGTAAGTTTTTACTGATTTATACACGTGTTTAGTAATCGTTTTCGCTATATCAAAAACACGACATGCAGTATAACATTTTTCCATCGTCAAAAACATGTTAAGTGCTACTTTTTTAAGCAACTTATTAGAAAACGGGTTTATATAATTTTATATAGTGTATACAGTGACATTTATAACTAGCAATATTCTACAGAACTAATAATATTCTAAAACAGTATTAAAATACACGGCAAATCTTGTTTTATACGATAGAAGTATCCGCCTGAGAAATCGAATTAATCGTGAATTCGTAACCGAAAGTTGTTTTTGTTAAACAGTATAGTATTAATTTTATGAAACAAATGGACATACTTCACACGCTGGGTGGGCCATTATTGTGATGAGAAGTTTGGGAAGGTAAAAGAAAAATTTAATTAATGTACGTAATGGTTAATCATTGTTGACGAAAAACGATAAAAACGATTTAGAGCGGAGATACATTTTTAGAAAGGGCAATAATATTTACAATTTTAAAGTAAAACATTTCGTAAATTTTCCCGTTTTTTCTACATTTTTCCATTTATTATGAAAACTTTTTTGAAAAATCAAAAAACATAAAGTACTTACACAGTCAGATTTCCTATCTAAAAAAGTGATGCATTTGAAAATCGGAGTAATATTTCTGGTAGTAAAGTTGTTCCCAAATACCTACAAATAATTTTTTTTTTAGTCGGAACACAAGCTAAATTTTTAGCTGATGTAAATATATTTGTTAATGGGATATTATTTGGTTTTTCTTATTAGAAAATTGCGAGCTTTAATGGATTTCTTAGAACATTGGGACAAATATTGAAGAACGGATTTTTTTTTTTATTCAATATGTCTACGAATATCACCCGAATAATAAAATAATAATAAACAAATATAATAATTCGTATAAACTTAATTTATATTTACTGTATTTACATTAGGCATATTGAAATACATTTCAAAAACTATACTGATTTCTAATTAGTATACTAATTTAAATGAAAAATTTCCAAATTAAACGTTGAAAAGTATTTTTTTCTATAGAGTTTTATCAGAAAGTTTGGTCATAATTTTTTTAGTTAATTTAACTAAACATTATAACAAAACTGCTCGCTTGAATTTGTACGCGACGACTAAAAATTAACAAGTTAAAAAATATTTATAGATGTGATTAAAAACTATTCTATTACATCGATTATAGTTAACTATTAACAATAATTGTATAATAAACTTATTGATATGTAGGTATTCTCTTAGCGGTCAATGTCTAACCGGAAAACGTATTTAATCTAGTTAGTCAAAATTAAAATAACACAATTATCAAAATGATCTTTACATGAGAATATATTTACTTATATTATTATTATAATATATATTTAATCAGGTACGCGCACAGATATGATTTGAAAAAATAAAAAAATGTTAAATTAAAACCAATTTAGTAATATTAATAAAAACAAATATCATATGCATCTGTGGTTTCTTTCAATTTTTTGTTCATTAAATGATAAAAATGAAATCATAGTTCAGTCTACAGAGCTCGAGGCTTTGACATTGTCCGTGCCCGATTTACTACTGTACACCAACCAACGGGACGAGCTTTCGGTTTGAAATTTGATCAGTTTATTTTTGAAAACAAAGTACCAAGCGAATCCGATGACCGCACTCAGGACGATTTCCACATAATAACCATCCACAACCGTAACGCAATCGCCACCGTTTTTACCGCACATCTTAAACACAAATGAAAGACGAATTAAAACATTTTACTGAAAACCTGTATTGGATAAATAATCATCAGCGCAGAAATGTATACAGCTTTGGCATATTTTTATTGGTTTGTCAGATAAATCGGTAGTTTAAAACAAAATTAAGTGTATTAAGGTCTAAAAATTCCATAAAAAATGTTGTATTTGTAAATTTTGAGTTTTTTTTTTCCATATTTTTGAATTTCGTAAATTTTTAAGAGAACATTTTTCTTTAAAATTAATTAAGTGCCCTGATTTATAACTTAATGAATCGAGAATTACAAACAATTTTTCAAGATTAATAAATATGAGCAGGTGAGCTGATAACTCTAGAACTCGAGTTTTACATAAAATATTGTTTGTATCACTAAAATTAGTTAAATAGGCGTTACAATTTAACATAAACAACAATTTTTATTTTTATAAAGTATTTTTAGTTTTTTTTTCATTAAAAAAAAAATATTGAAGAATTTTTATATTCAGTCTGAAGAAAATTTTCCGTAGAAAATGAATTAATGAAATAAAATATTAGAATTAACAATTTGATTTTATGAATATATTTTAGAGGCACATTTTATTTATTTTTAAAGCATATAATTCTGTCATATCATAATACTATACACAATTATATCTTACGCTTTTCAAATCCACAGTCGAGCAATTATTATTTTGAGGATCACTCGAGCATTTGCTGAACGTTAAAAAGTCCATGACTTTCAGTCCGAAAGATGCTGACCATACCATTCCCAAATTCGAGGCGGTGTTCAACAGTGTCATGTATGTTCCACCAAAACGCGAATCACTTATACGGAAGAAAAAAGCTGCTGCGGCAACTGACATAATGTATAAAAGTGCCTAAATATGTACAAAAAAATAAAATATAAATTAGAAATTTGATATTATTATAGACATAATATAAATTATAATATTTAGTACAAACACAAATACCATCATACAAATCACCAAAAAAATAAAAGATGACCATTATTTTTCACCATCTTCCGTAGTATAGAAATACGATTTTTGCCCATCAGACCGCTAAAATCAATTTTATTTTTATTTTAGTTTGTATGATGATTTTATGGTATGTATGGTTTTAAAATCGTAATTGGGATCTCAGAAGGATCGATGTAGTGGCCGCCCGACCACAATCCGACAACTGACAGCTTCTGAACTCCATTACAATTTTTTAAAACTGTCTAAAACTAATGTATATTGAAAATTGAAAATTCTTCTTTAAAACCAAATTTTATTAATAAATATAATTATAAAATAATTTTAAATGTTTCGTGCTTTCAACGGATTTTTTAAAATAAATTTGATCACTATACAATTAAAAAAAAAAAATTATGACATTACGCTTAACTTTAATTTTTTTTATGTACTAAAAAACGCTAACTATTATAATGGCACGAAATTCCTTTTACTTTAAATCGCCAAATTTATTTTTTCCTCACCTACCAAAAAAATATCCTCACCCTATTACACCTATCTATAAAAAACAAGGCTTCACCAAATTGATTCTATAATGGTGTTCATATTGAGATTTATACATTTTCTGCAGTCTACAACACTTTTAAAGATTTATTTTCAACTCTTTATACATAAACACTGGCGTATCCAAAAAACTCACTAAAACCTAGACGTTTTGCTTGTTTATATTGTATTACTAGAAATGCTAAGAATTTAACATGTAATATTTTATTTTGTAAAACCATAATAATTTGTGTTATATTAATTAATCAACACCCAAGAATCCACAACCCATCCACCCATATATTTTAATCGTATTCTATAATAGTTTATACGGCACCGGGTTTTTGAGGCTTTTTAATAATATCGAGTGTCGATATTATTCCCACATAAGTGCATCATTAATAACTCACCTCATTTATCGCGGTTATCAATCCCAAAATCAAATAGTAATACATCGGTATGTTTATGGTTCCGTCATCACGTTTGATTAAAAAGGGAGTGATATAAATTAATAAAACATATGCGAAGCCCCACAGTAACCTGAAATGAAAATCGTTTAATAATCGAATAATACTTATTAGTTATACTTAATATTCAGTTAGTGACATTAAATACAGTGTTTAGGTCTGGTCAATCTCGTACTTTATTTTTGGGGTTGCGGTAATGGATAGGATACCAATTAAAAAAAGTAACGGTATTTTACGGTTTGTTTGAGCGTTAGCTGATGTTTGTTAGAATATAATATATTTGATATAGGTACGAGTATTAGTCGTATTCTACGGTTGCCGTAGTACAAAACCGTATAAAATTACGGTTTATGTGTTAGGGATGGAATTATATAATACTCAAAAGTTGATAAATATAATACGCAAAAGATATACGATAAAAATGACGAAACGAGTAAAAGTACACTATTTACAATTGCAAGAAATACTCGGCCAATGAAAAATAAACGTTAGGGGAGGGAGGTTTTTCGGTCCTGCGTATAGCTAATAAACAGATAGATGCAGAGTAGTTGTTAGGATACATTGGCCCCTAAGCTAACTCATTATGTGTAGGTTCTACCGCAGGTACAGGAACACTTTTTTTTTGTTTATTAGGATTTTTTGGACCCAATGCCTACAGCCTATGAAGCTTACCATTAAATATGGCTCTGGATAGTTAAAGGTAGTAATGCCTACTATAAATAATGATCAGACCATTTTAAAATTAACTTGATGCTAATGTTACGGTAATTAAATCGACGCAGGTGTAGGTTATGAAGTCATAAAGGTACGTTATTATGACGCACTGCAATATATTATGTACGTGCAATTATTGTTTGTGGTACCTGATCGGAATTACGTTCATACACACGCTCATCGGTTTCGTACCCGAAGTGTACTTGGATACAACAATTGGCGTTAAAATTTTCACCGCAAACATTGCCGAAGTCAAAACCATAATATCGTCTTTAGGAACGCCGACGTCAACCAGTTTCAAATACGCCAAAGAACTTCTCATTGCGGAAAATCCGACCTGAATAAATGTAAAAAAAAAAAAAAAAAACATTTTATAACATTATATAGACATTATACAACATTTAATTACAGAATAAATAAATAACATTGGCAAACGGACGTAAACGGGTTTTAAACCCTCAAATTTATAATGTTATTTATTTTAAAATGTTCCGTTTCAATTACCTTCATCGTAATCAACGCTATTATCAATACACGGATACTAGGCAGTTTCAAAATGTCCCAGACTAGTTTATAATTTTGAACGATGGTGAGCTGTATGTGGTTTTCCTCCAACCTATTGTCCTTTTCTTTTTTAAATATGCCGATTAACGAAGTGATCGCAATGCATAAAATACCCCAAACAAACAAATATCCTATGAAAGTCGAAATTATTATAATTCATTTTTTTTAGACAGGAATGAAAATATTATGACAGTTTATATATTTATATATATAAATAGTTTATGTAAAAAAAAAATACTATACAATTCGTTTTGACTTTTTATTTGTATTGTCATTTCAAATTGATTGAATAGCTAGTTAATTTTGAATTATAATATAATCAACATTATGATATCAATTTTAATTTCATTTGATTTTAACACAATATTCAATTTACAATCTGTACACTAGTTATTTGAACAGGTATCGCATCGCATAAAATGCAATAAATTGTATTCCATATTTGTTTTCACTCGACAATTTGTGCAGAGTTCCGACTTCAAATAAATATAATTTGATATTCCCGGAAAAAATCGGGATAAACTTATGTTTAACATTGAACATTCTGATTTTTATTTAAAATCACCAACTCATAATTTAAGCATTTTTATTATGGATACTGTGACGATAACAATTTTACCAAAACTATAAAATTAAATAAATAGATATACTTCGCACGATGGGTGAGCTGTTGTAGATAAGAAGTTTGAAAAATAGGATATAGAAGGGAATTTAATTGTGAGCGATTGTGAGCGGAGTTTAGTTATGCATGTTTTGTAAATCCGTTATATTAACGATTTTGTTCAAAATTTAAACTAAAATTCTCATAAAAAAAATACTATAAAAGACTCAATTTTTTTTTACCATAAAATACGCCTTACAATGAACCTCCAGTTAAATTTTCAAGCATATCTGTTAAGTCAATCAATGTTGTCCACAGAATACATATTAAATAAGAATTATGTAAAAAACTCGCAAAATTAAAATGCCTATAAATAGCTCAAAAATAGAAAAATGTTTTAAAAATGTTGCTATGTCTAGAAAAAGTAAATATAATTTTTCCGTCAAAATTTCTATTGTCTAGGAATTTTAATTAATTGAATCATAACAAATAACAAAATTGAAAGTTATACATTTTCAAAATGATCCCGTTTTCCTACGTTTAATTCGAGTTTTCCCAATCATTATGTAAACCTCTTGTGAAATCAAAAATAACCTTTTTTAAGTACCACTCAGATAAAATTTCCCTTTAGTAAAGGTATTACACTTGATACATCGGAGCAAGATTTCGGGTAGAAAAGTATTTCACAAAAGAATTAAAAAATCAATATAAAACTAATACATTTCTCGCTCCTCTCCCCCTAAAATGGACTTAAAAAGTTACTTAAATTGTCGACTTTACTTAGTCAGGTAAGGTAAACCTAACTGTATTGAATTTATTTAATGTACATTAATTAAAACCTGTGATTAAAAACCGTAAAATGAATACAACCCAATATTATATGTGTATGTCACTTTACTTACTTACTTTCCAGAGTTGTTACGCCTCCCGGTGATGTAGTAATAATTCGCGATAAGTATTTACTACAAAAGTCTTCGGATGTGAGCAGAACGGGAACCACGGAACCCAGCATTATGCCGATTGCAAAACCCGATGAACTGCACGCCGACGAATAACCTACATTGGATCTATGTAAAAAAAAAAAAAAAAATACTATTTATAAATGACCACACGAAAAATGCGTTCTTTAAAGTGTTATCATATATTTTTGGTTTGAAAAAAAAATCCAGTAAAACACGAGAAAAATATGAGACACGGTTTAAAAAAACAAAAAAAAGTAATTATGTATTCGAAAATAGTCATTTAAATACTTTCCATGATCGGTAACAGGCTAGGTAACCCGTTGGTTGGATATTATATAACGTTTATAGGTAGATTATTTTTATATGGAGATATTACACACGACGTTTAGAAAAATATTATACTCAATTATACTTACTTTTTTAACATGGTAAGTGCCCAACCGTCAATAACTATGTTCTGGGTTGCGGCCAAAAAATTAAGTCCGAAGAACACGAACGTTAGCACCATTAGATTTGGTTTGCCTGCTTCGGGCAACCAGTCGTTGATGTAACTGGCAGAAAACAGTAATATCGCTCCTGGTCAAAAATAATTATTCGTATTATAAAGTAGGTATTTATTGGAACAAATGCGTTAAAAATATTTTTGGTACATAAAAATCACATTTTTCACATACATTTATAGGAGTGTCTCTTTTCTTTTGTTTATCTTCCGTTTAATATAATAATATAATAGGTATAATAAATTATTATAGTTCATATTCCTTTAAATGTTGTAAAAATTTAAGTATACGAAAATATAATTTTTAATTATACTTAAACATTCCAAAAAATCATAATTTGAATATACGCATAATTTTCACCTAAAAATTGGGCGAGTTTACTTAATATATCACTCTGTATGTATAATAAAAAATATATATACATAAATTAGTCTTTATTATTTTAGGTTGGTATCAAATAGTTGAGATGTTCTTTAGTTGAATATTGGACCTACTGTTTGTTGATTTATAAAATATAATATTTTAAACAATTTATTGTAGAAGACTAGAGAAGAGAAGGTAGGTAAACCTAATCTAATATAAGATAACAAATGTATACCTTTCTCAATATTCCATAAGTCCAAACTGTAAATCATTATAAACGATAGATTGTCAGTCTGTACATAATATTATATTCGTAAATTACAAATATTTTTAAACAATTATTTTCTATTCAAATCTAATTTAAAAATATCATAATGTCAAGTCACTGAAAAAGCGAAATTTGATTTCCAACTACAGCTTACAGCTTATAAGAAGGTATATAATATATTATACAATTTTGAAAACAGCGTAAAAAAAAAATTGCTAAAGATATGAGTTATGCATTGTAATGATACGTGAACTTAAAATTTGCCATCACTCATCACACATAGTTTAATAAACACGGTGTCTAACTAAATTGAATTAAGTGATTATAATGTCAAGTTTTTAAGTATCTCAACGTGGAGATATATATATATATAAATAATTTTTTTTTAAACATAATTTAATTTAAAACTTATCATACCCATCAAGTATTGGACGGGAATGAGCCAAGATTTCCGTCTGCCTATACACTGCACATAAATCGAGTCCACTAACGGAGCCCAAAACAGTTTCATGTTAGTCGGCCATAACACCAAACTGAATAAAGCCTAGAACGTAAAGGAAAAAATGATTCATCACGATTCACTGTCATTCGTAATTACATATTTACCATTAAAATACTTTTGTAGCGCTAAACTAAAGATGATTACATATTATTTTATCATGTGTCGAGTGGATTACTATGTTGGATTGGTATGGATAGGACGTCGATATTTAAATACATTCGAAAATTTTTGAAAGTACCTAAATCATATTTTATTTATTCCTAGGATTTAAGTGAAACTTGGTATGTGTTCAATTTTTGTTACGGGTTTTCATCATGTATTTGAAGAAAAAAAATCAAATTGTAAAAATTACTCTAATAAAACAAAAACTGTTTTAGAGTAAAATCATTTAGTTCAAAATAGTGTTTTAGTATACAAGTTTACAGTGATTAACGTAAGAAGTCTGCTTTGTTAAATTAGTTATACTTAAAAAAAACAATTGCTTATAAAAATCATTGTTTATCTGTCCAAAAAAAAAAAAAGGAACGAATTTAATAATAGTAGTTTACTCGAGTGAGGGAGAATTATAATTATTTTATTAAATAATATTTATTATCATGCCCTTTTATACGATTTTATTGATTTTTCTTTATTTTTTAAGAAATGGAATTTATTGCGAAATCAGATTTAAATTTGAATAAACAAATTTAAGAAACCCTTGTTTTGAGCAAGTGAGGTAGGTATAAATAATTTTTTTTTGTTGAATGAAACATACAAAAACTAGAATAATGAATTTGAAATTTAAACAGATACTCTCGACATTGATATTTGGAAAATTTGTTGGAGAAATAATTTACCGAGAGAACTCGCATTAACCATATTTTACCATATTTAAGATTTACCATATTTCAAGTACCTACGCACCAATTACATCAATATAAATATAATTTTCTTTTCTACTAAAAACATCAGGCCAAATCTTATGAGTAAAATATTTTTAAAAGAGAATTTTGTTTTATTGGTATATAATAATATATTTACAATGGTGTTTATTTTTTTAAAATTTTTTTTTTATGAACATTTTTCTACTAGAAAGCATACTCCGATTATCAAGTACAACACCTTTTCCGAAAGGAAATTTTCTCTGGGTGGTACTTTAGAAAGATCATTTTTTGAAATTCTCATTAATATTCGAGATAATAAGGAAAATCTCAGCCTTTTGGTTAAAAAAGATTGAAGGATTAAAAATAAGATTTTCATTGGCAACCGTGTTCATTTATTTTTTGTTATTATTAAGTTTTTATTTTGTTATTTTTTTTCAAACAATTATTATTGCCTTGGAAACACACATTGTTTTAATCATTTTACCGTAATATGACATAATACCACACATTATATTGTTGAAAAAGCAACATTATCAACTGAATTCGGCTCAGGATCGTTTTTTCGTTAGCAATAGTTTATCGTTGCTTACAGATATACATTAAATTTCCGTCTGTAGTCTAACTTCAAAATTTCTTACATACAGCAGTGGCTGCACCCACGAGTGAAGCATGCTCGTCCTTTTTGTATAGTTTTCTTGATAATTAGGAAAAACCCATAGGAAAAACGAAAAAGGTTGACCGCATTAATTGTTTAATTATTTTCGATTATATTTTCGTTGTAAACCGTTTAATGATCAAAAAAAAAAAAATTTTCATTGAATCCATGTTTTAGCCGATTTTTAATTCTTCAAACAGTGCTTGAAATGGAATACGTGTTAAATCATAACTTATCATTGTATCCATTTCAAGCACTGATTTAATGGTCCGCCGTAGGATACAGACATAAATTAAAAGTAAAATGAAATAAATTCGATTTCTGTAGACATAAAGTATTGCCACAGACTATTACATAACAAACTAAACGTAATTTATGTAGTGAATAGGAATGTCACAGATTTATAATCAATTTCGATTGGTTTTTTGAAACTATAATGTTACTTATGACATAATATAATGAAGTCGTTTTTATTTAAAATTTTAATATTTTGATATTTTCATTCATAAGGGATTTATGATCTTTTTATACATAAATTTTTATCTATGCATTATTGGGAGAGCCAAAATTTTATATTTTAATCCCTATGCTTTGAATGACAAGTACCCCTCCCACCCATTCACGTGTTATTATCCGATAAAAATTGTATTTTAGGTTATAGCTAAATAGCTTTATAGTTTTATAAAAATATGTTTTTTTTTTTTTTATCAGAAACAAATTGTTTGGTTAATTTCAATACTCTGATATTTCAAGAAATACCTGCCATAAATGATGTATGGTTTTCAGCTAGTAGTATTTTATTTGAAAAAATGTATCGAAATTCTCAACAGTTTATCCTCTAGGTCTTTTTTATATTTGTTGATTTTTGGTTTACCTTGGCAACAGCTGAAAAATCATAATTTTTATTACTCCACTCAGAATCCTTCCTTTTTCTTCTCCAATAATTTACTTTGTACATTCAGTTTATAATCAAAATTACTCTATAATATCTACCTTCCGAAGTACCCATTTACAACTATAGTGGCCTAATCATGGAGTAATGCATGTCCGCCTTCTTATATTTTTTAGAAATAAAAAAAAACAGTTGTGAAAAAAATTGTTCGTTTTTAAAATTGTTCGGGAAACCTTTTGTTTCCCCATTCAAAATGTAATCGGTCTTTAATTTTAATTTTAATATTATTACTATCGCTTACCTGATCTTCATAAGATACTACTTTCTTGCTTTGCATGATTATCGGCAATGCCGTAACGGTAAAACCGAATGGAACTCCTTGGATGGTGTACAACAGTATCAGTAACAGCAAATTCAAACGATCTCCTTTCAGGTCTGGTTTGGCTGGTGGTCGCGGTGGTGACACTGGTGGTGACGATGAGTCTGCTGATGTCACATCCAATTTGACGGGCACTCCATCGTTTTTAGGCGCCCGTACCATAATAATATTATATTTTTAATCAAAACGGAAAAAAAAAACTCGTGTAGTACAATTGCTAAGAGTAAATATCGAACCTAGTAGATATGTTTGTAATTTTCATCGAACACTAAACGTTTTGTAGGTACAATAATATTATTTAAGTAAAAAATATAAAAAAACACCGAAGAAATGGCGTATTGTTTATCTCTAGTTTTCATTTTATCATAATTTCGTGACCTGGTGTATGCCGGCAATACTATTATGGCAGTTAGTATAGGTATCCAATGAAATAATAATGTTAATACATTACACACTTGATTGTTTTGTGATTACGGTACATTCGTATTCTGTATATATTATAAAATAACAGCCAATTAAGGTAAACGTGATCGGTATATTGCAGATGGTGTTGAATACCGAATTGATTTAAACAAATTTAACGTTTATGTGTTTTCTTGCACGATTGGAAACGCCAGACAAACAGGAACCGGTTAAACTCGGGCTGTTTTAACTAAAAAAAAAAATGTGGCCGATATGGTCATTGATGTCGATAATATAATTAAATAATTGTTTATTACTCTTTTGATCCTCGAAAAAAAAACTGTTCGAAGTGTTAAGTGCTTTTTCCTTGACCTCAGCCGTAGCGGACTTTGTAATAATTAGATTGACTATAGTCCATAGAAAGCATCTATGTAACTAATTTGTAATATTTTTAGTATTAACCTGTACTCTCTTTGCTAGTTATATCTATACGGATTCAATGATAATTATTCAGACTGAAATTGAAGAAACTTACTATTATTCGAATGTTAAATTTTAGATTCTTAGCGGAGCGAGTTCACAATGTTGTTTTATTTTTAATTTTTCATACTGTGAACAACTTTTCTACCAGAAACTTTGCTTCAATTTTCAAGTGTTATACTTTTTCTGAAATTGAATTTCCCTGAAGTTGTACTTTAGCAAAGTAATTTTTGATTTTCTATTTTTAATTTATTTTATAAAACACGTTGGAGAAACGAGAAAATTTACGAAAAAAATGCTTTTATTATGTTAAATTTTGTTTTCTTGTTGTTATTCGTTGAAAAATATTTGAAGAGATTTGACATTTTGACAGAAATATTATATTTTCCCTTTATAGACGTAGTAAAATTTTAAAACTATTTGAGTCATTTTTAAGCTATTAGATAGTTTTATTTGCAATTTTTTTACGTATTACTTATTTGGTAGATAATCTGTAGATAAAATTTTTAGACAAAAATAAATGCTTGACAATTTAACAGGAGGTTCGTTATAAATTGTACTTAGTGGTCTACAAGAAAAATTGAATTTAATGTAATTTTTTTTATAGGGATTTTAATATTAAATTTTGATGAAAATTGTAAATATTACGGCTTTTTTAAGAGGTATAACCGAACTCCGCTCAGAATCGTTTTTCGTCAGCAAAGATTAATTTTGCGTACAAGTATACATTAAAGTCCCCTCTTTATACTGCCTTCCCAACTTCTCACAAACAATAGTGCAAGCCCATTGTATGATGTATGTCCGTCGTTTTTGGTATGAGGTTTTTGATATGAGTCAATAATATAACGAGCGGAATGTGAGCATAATTATTATTAAATAATTATTACTCATAGGTTTTTTAAGTCTTGATAAATTCAGAATTCGATCGCACTATCAATATATAAGGGGTATTTATAAGAATTTGAACGTAATTTTCGAAAATGAAAATGTATGGACTCAAAAATGTTCAAATTCACATTCATAGACATTTAAATATGTAAATTAATTTAAAGTACACTATCAGAAGTATACTGTGCAATACAATATTCTAGAAGTTTAGAAGTTCATGAATAATTCAAAATTCTACTATTTATGATATTATAATATAAGTAACATATAAATTTAGTAAAATAGATAAATAAAATGAAATAATCTAGATAAATCAATGACTTATCTGACTGCATTTTACACTGCTATAATATTCGATGTACCTATAGATCGTGTTTTTATTCACTTTTCACTCGTGGACTGGTAAAGTAAGGTGACCTGTTTTAAATGGTGACATGTTTTAAATAGAATTATCCTGTTTTTCTAATTGGAATTAAATAGAACAAATTCAGTCCTGTTTTAAAGCTGTTTTTACAATTTTTTCATCAAAAAGTGATTTTAGCGATTGGTTGATAAAAATATCGTCTGTATAATAAATCTACTTAACAATTTTTTTTATCTATGAAATCTTAACATTTAAAAAATGTGTAGGTATGTTACGACACAAAGTTTTATAATAATTTAGCAATCTATATTTTTGATTTAATATGGCATATAATAACATTATATATTTTTTATTATAATATAAACAATATGTGTAAATATTATACATTGTTTCTTATTTTAACAATCAATATATAAATTTTTTTTTTGATTATTGTAAAATAAGTGTTCTATTTTTTTTTTTTTATTAAATATGGTCATCTTATGTTAAACACTACACAGCAACAGCGCAATTCTCAGTACAACTGTGTGGTCACATATGAGTTATATGTACGCTATAAATTAGTTGCATTTAGTTGCAAAACTGAAAAATGTGTGACAAAACACAAATTGTTTAGTAGCGCCTCTATTCGATTGCATGTGATTGCATTATATTTTTATTATACCTAGTAAAATGTCAAATCTAGTAATCTATGTTACTTTATGTGTCTCACAGTTGAAAAAATTACAACTGTACATAACTCTAAGTTCAGATTATTATTATTCAGTAATTGTTAAATGTTAAATTTCTTCTATCTGTATTATTCTCTTTCTGTTTAAACGCACTTTGTTATTGTACTTATTTTAAACTAACATTGGGCTTTATTTCATTTGAATTTATAAATAAATAAATATATGCTACTAAATCAGAAATACTTTTAATAATAACAATAAAATTGAGCATATTCTCATATAAACCTATAACAGTCATCACTTGTGCAACTAATGCGAAATCAAAATTTGTCCGTGAATGAACTTTTACTATTACATATTATGTACTATAGTAAATAATGTAGGAAATGGTGAGATAGACACTTTTTTTTTCATGTGAAATAATTTCTAACGTCAAGATTGAGAATTCCAAAATCGAATCAGGGGTAAAAAGAATGAACTAGACAGAAGTCGTGGATATAGTTAAAAACTAGTATACTTAATTGTATAATAACTTATTAACTTATTAGTCTTATAATACATATAATAAATAATAACGTAAAATGTACAAGGATTAAAATAAATTAAAATGTATAATAAAGTCAACAATTAATAGTTGTTCGAGATGTTTATTACTTTTTAGAAGCAATTGGCATTTATTTTATAGACCAATGTGAAAGACTTAATTTCTGAAGATTTTTTATCGGTTTCTTGCAACTTAAATACCATATTAATCCAATTATCATAGATATGATAACTTCTACATAGTAACCATCTACAGTTACTAAATAATTACCGTTATTTGTGTCGCAACTCTAAAAAAAAGTTGATAAAAAATAAATAAAATTATATTGGGTTTTAATTGTTAACATATTATCTATTTGTAGTAAAAAAATAGTAAAAACGTAACAAAATATCTTACGGGTTTTAGAACGGATGTGGAATAATTATTGTTTCGAAAGTCGTTTGAACATTTACTGAACGTTAATACTTTAACCATTTTCAGTGCTACAGTCTTCGACAATAGTGGACCCATATTTGAAGCTGTATTTAACAAAGCTATGTACATACCACCAAAAAGCGGGTCACTTATTCGGGAAATGAACCCGGTCTTAAAGACTGCCATAGAAAATCTCAGTATCTAAAAGGAAAAAAAAGATTTATTTATGTGTTATATTAGTGCATAAAATATATTTCAATAATTAGAGAGTGAATGTCAAACTTTTTAAGTATCGACGAAATATTTTTTCAAGAAACAAAAAAAAATATTTGATTATAAATTCATATACAATTACTCGTTATCCTTCTACAAAATACTTCATAATCATGTAAGATCCCATAATTATATTTTTTATTTCATAATAGTCAAAAATAAAAATTACAAATAGTGTAATTATATTATTCTAAGTAACAGCATTTTACTTTAATAATTGAACTTAATTAAAGTTTTGAAAATAAAATTAATAATATAATTTCTTCATTTAACAATTTAATACAAAATAAACAACAACTGTTTTAAATTTAACAAATTGAAATATTTGCTTTTAAGTTTTAACAAACCAAATTTATAAAACTTATAAAAAAAAAAACATTCTAGGATAATGGAGATGGTTGCAGCCACTGTTATAAGTAATTTAATGTATTGTAAGCAACGATAAACCATTGCTAATGAAAAAAGCGATTCTGAGCGCAGTTCAGTTGATAGTAATTCTTTGTCAACAATATAGTATTATATAATGTTAAATAAATAACTAGGAATTAAATATTGTCTTTAATAATATTTGTTTGATATTGTACTGATTTTCTCGTTTTTCCTGTGTTTTTCCTGGTTTTCTCATGTTTTTTCCCGATTTTTCACATTTGCTGGGAAAACACTTGGGAAAATGGAAAATGACTTCATTAAGTTACCATGGAGATACAGTTTCCTTTTCAGAAAGTAGGTTACACTTGATACATCGGAGCAAGATTTCTGGTAGAAAAGTTTGCGCACCAAATCTAGGGGTATGAGTCGATTAAAATAGTCCGAGCAAGCCATAGCTGGGTCTCTAGGTACACCTAAAATGCTTTGTATTTTTCCCAGTAAAAGGGAAAAAATAAGTGCTCAATTTTTTTTTCGATACACTGAATTTGAACTCACGAACCCTAGAATTAAACTAGGTATGAATAACCATTCGGTTATAACAAACATGTTATAAAGAAGACAATATTTAGATATTTAACATAGCATATAATATCCGCATAATATCAGAAATTCAAAAAACTTTAATTTAAAAACTCAGTCAGTCCACTCAATTCTGACTTCACCACTGTTTGTAAATCGGTAATATACATAAGTTCGAAAAAAAAAATGTTGAAAAATTAGATTTGTTTCACAATAATATTTTACTTAAACGATTCGTAAAAATTTGATATTAAAATTCTTTTATAAATAAAAATATACAAAGTAAGACTCTTAATGAACCTCCTGTTAGATTTTTAAGAATTTCTGTTAAGTTTATCAACTTTACCACAAAGTACCTACCGAATAAAAATTACGTACAAAACTCGAAAAATTAAAATATCTATAAAAATCTTAAAAATAGCTTAAATGTTTTGATGATTTTACCGTGTCTTAAAAAAGCAATTATAAGATTTCTGTCCATATGTGAATATTTTTAATTGAATTATAACAAATAAGAAAATTGAAAAATAATAAAAGTATTATCTTCACATAAATGGTGCTGCCCATATTTATCTGAGCAACATTTATGGTAGAAATTTTGTACACAGTTTAAAAAAAAGAATCATATTAGTAAAACCAATACATTCTTCGCTACACTCTGAATTTAAAATACTTTTAAATCAATATAATAATTTCATGAGTATATCATAAATAGTTTTCAATGGAGAAATAGAGAGAGGCCTATGGAACTTTTATACTTTTATATGCAAAACATAATTTGGTAAACGAAAATATCCATTCAGTAGTAATTTCTTAAAAGATGACTATCTACTCGATCTGCGTAAGTATGTTTTTGCTATGTTTCCTTTTAGTTAAACTGATACTGTAAATTCACGTCCTATTTACTTATAAATATATACCTAAGCAGTTAAACTTACAGAAATGCTGTCAAAAATACTAAAATGTTAAAAACGCAGTCTTATTCGGGGCTTATGATAATTTGAAGAGCACAAACGCAATTACGCAAATATTTATAACGTATGGCAAACCTTTAAAATAACATTAAAATATGAATTGATAATATTGTTTAGATGAACCTTTATCATTTATGACAGAACCAATCAGAATTAACGACACCGGTGGCCATTCCGAATCCAAAATTAAATAAATTCGAATCTGTTACATCAATTTCGTGCAAGGCACTTGGAACTTATGTACTATGTTAATGTATATAGCACATGGATCAGAGTTCTGTCAGTTCTATGAACGAATATTTGTTCTAAAAATAAATCGATCTGGTGATTGTAACCCACATTAAATTGTTGAGCTAGGTACATATGTACACTGTAAATTACAAATAATACATATTTTTCATTTTTTGGCACTTTTGTTTCGTTCGGCAAATTCACTCTTCAATTTTAATAACTGCATGTAGTTTTTTTTCTGAAATAATCCTAATTAGAAATAAATATTTATTGATTTTGTACCAAGTAATAAATATTAGACGTGTGGTATTTAAATTTCCTTATGATATGGATTACCGAGTAAAGTTTATCAATATTGTTTTGTGCTACAACCTACAAACGAATAGATGTTAAATTAAATCAAATAGTTTCTCTTATTAACAATAATTAATAACAAACACAATAATTTTCGTATTACACATTATACTATTATTCACTGACCTCGTTTACTCCCATTATTAGTCCTAAAATAATGTAATAATATTGTGGTACATTTACGATTCCATTTTCTTTAATCAAATTTGGTGTATAATAAATCAATATCAAAAAAGTGATGCTCCAAAGTAATCTGAAAAATAATACTTGTCATTAAAATTACTATTAATAGTTATTAACTACATTATACTAAGTAGGAAATATACTATGTTTGATTCATGTTGATAATTTCATAAAAATAAACACGTGAAAACAACCTAAATTGACGAGTTGAATATAATTTATTTTATAAGTTAGTATTTGCCTCAGTAGTACTCTAACCAATATCTAAAAATCACAATATCATTCATTTTCATATATTTTTGAAATTTTATTTTATCAATTTGTGATATTAATCTCGTTTCGTTCTTTAATTTCTTAAATTTTAACGTCATACTAATTTAATGTTTATTTTTATAAGACTTCTAATTCCGTTAAATAATAAATAATGTCTCAATGTTTCATGTAAATCATATTAAATGATATAATACATCATGATTGACATTATTTCATAACCATTTATCAGTATAATTATTTGATACTCAAATTATGGTTTCGGAAACTTAGGTTCCTAAACCTAGTTAATAATTTCTTTACCTCAGTGGAAATATCTTAAACACTGCACTCATCGGTTTCGGACCTGATGTATACTTTGAACCGGCGAGGGGTACGATCACTTTACAAAAATCCATCAATAATTTAATTAAACTTAAATTTTCTTTTGGTATACCAAGATCAATCAATTTTAAAATTGTCAAATGATCTGTTGCTACGAAGCTGATCTGTAATACAATTATGTACACTATAATTATTCAACAACACAGTATGTCCCTGGACATAAATGGTAAGATACTAAGATCCTAAATTAAAGATCAAAATTAAAGGAAATTAAATAAAATTGTAAATGAATATTAGGATTTTACACTAGACCCGGGTACTAAATACGGCATTTAAAATGAGATAAAACATTATTGTAGGTAGGTAATTCGTTGGTAACTGCCGAGAAAATTCATAATATGGGTACGAAACGTATAAAACTAAATGCAAAACGTAATAAGAATAATATAAATATAATTTACCTTGACTGTAAACAAAATAATCACCAATATACGGACACTTGGTTTTTTTAAAATGCTCCAAACAATTTTATAGCTTTGAATAATGTTGATTTTTTTAGCACTGTCATTCAATTTTATATCCTTTTCTTTTTTAAATATCCAAAGTAGTGTTGTGATCAAAATGAAAGTTACACTCCAAAAGTATAAGAACCCTACGAAGATGAAAATTCTATTGTTACGTAAAAACCAAATTCTTATTTGTCTATTATACGAAAAAAAAAAGAGCTGTATTAGGGGATGGGTGCGCCACTGTTGTAGGTGGGCAGTCGAGGAGGTAAGATACATAAAGTTTTTAATTTATAAACAACGATAAACCATTTCTAACGAAAAACGATTCAGAACGAAGTTCGGTAACACATGTTTTGAATGGCCGTAATATTTACGATTTTCATCAAAATTTTACTTTAAAACTCTTCCAAAAAGAATATTACAATACATTGAATGTGATTTTGAACGATTTTAGGATATATCCGACATCTAAGGAGATTAATTAATGTATGCGATTTAAATTATGTAAAATAGTTTCTACATAAATAAAATAAAAATTAATTTAAAATGAAATAGATAAATACGGTTAATGATAATATCTACACTTAAATTAACTCGTAATTCAGAACTATGAATATTTATACTTATATATATGTAAATAAACCTGTAGTTCGGAATTATGAAAAATAAAAATGCATCTCGATTATACACCGAAGATGTTTCAACGTAGTAATAATCAATAATATAATATTATACAAATAATAAACAGTTGTAGATAATTATTATTCATTGAATAATATGAATACAAAATAATATAATAATTTTTCATTTTTATCCCACTAAGTGCGACTTATAATGTATTTCCTGTAAAATTTTCAAGCGTTTCTGTTTAGACTAAAAAAGATTCGTTGTAGGTTATAAACTTTAAAAACTATCAGATCGTTTGACCAACTGTCTGAGTAGAACTTAATTGTTAAACGGACAATGATCATTCAAAAATATGGGAAGAATTTCTAAAATGCACTGTCAACAGACATTATTAATATTACTTTTTTATTCAATTGGGTATTAAAAATAAATTTCCCAATATTACCGGTAATTTTACAACATTACCCACTCGCGTAGACTATAATAGTTGTTATTATCATAATTTATTGTTTTGTAAATATTATTATTACAAAACGCGGTGAATTTTGATGATAAAAAATAATTTTGTACTAAACATTTTTAAATCATTGACTTAATAATCTATATTATCTAATTATCTATATTATCTAGATGATTATTCTCAGATAGTTTATTTAGCTATCTAGTCTAGATAAGATAAAAAGATACTTAAAATACTTTTTTATCTTAATTAGATAAATGATAATTATATTTTATCTAGATAACACAACACAATGGTTGGTTTCAGGGTGTAATCCATAATTTACCACCTGAAACTAATTTTCAGTGTTAAATTGTTTACTTAAGTTTTTGTTTTTCTAATACTTTTATGATTCATGGAAATTGGTGTTCTTTACCGGTTGTATCTTAATTTCACCATTAACCGAGGTTTTTATTTGTTGTCTCTCAGTTTCTTCAAGTTTTAAATTATTCATTAATTTTTTTTTAAATGATTTACACCAAATATTGTAATTGGTGGTGGTTTTTGGATTTGTATAGAAGTTCGTTTTGACTTCTTTTATCACTTTGACAGTTTTTAACTTGAAATAAAAATTTTTTTAAAGCTCCCAGTAGTCATTTTAGAAATCCAAAATGGTTATTTTTTATTGCTTGATTACAATTATGCTACCATTTGTTTCAAGGCCATATTGTAATTTTGTATTTGTATCCAAATAGCATCGACTGTTATATTTTTTGGTAAGTTTGCACCATCGACCATATTTTCATATAATGTAATTCGATCAGTTATAGTGTGACACACTTAAAGTCATGTTTGTTCATATAAATTTACTATCCGCCCGAGAGGTCGTGGTTTGAATTTAATCAGTAATATAATAATAATAAAAAAATAAAAGAACTGAAACTGAACCATTTCGTGAACTACGAGAGCAAAACAACATATTAGATTGTTCGGTGTGCAAAATGCAAGTGTAGCGATGAAAACAAAAGTTGAGTATATTGTAGTAATTTTTATAAGCGTTATGAAATCAAATTTTGACGAATTTTAACAAATTACAACATTTCAAAACATGTTTAACCGAACTTTGCTCAGAATCGTTTTTCATTAGCAATTATTTATTTTACGTACAAATTTAAGATAAAACCTATATGTATCCTATCTTTTATTCTTTTGGTCACCAAATATTCTACGCAATCTATCATAAAACACTCATTATCCCAGAAAATATTAACTTTTTACGGGGTTTGTTTTATAATTAGTGTCTTACAGTTGATTGGTCACTCTGTATATTCATTAAAAATAATATATTATTTATATAGATTAATTTCATGCCTACCTTTTATAGTTACTATTCCTCCTGTGCCATGCGCAGTCCTCAGATATTTATTGCAAAAGTCTTCGGATGTTAGTATAATGAGAAAAATACTACAAATCGTATCACCTAACACTAAACCTATAGAGTTGCAGGTAGCCGAATGGCCCACGTTATTTCTATACGAAAAAAAAAAATAAAAGTAATATTGCTGTTAATTTTTTCACGAGCTCGCAAATAGACAATTTCTTTAGATTCTTTCATGGTTCGTTTATCGTAAAATATGTGACGAGATAACGATTTTGATAATGGAATAAATTTTAAACTGTATGTTTAATAATTTAATATTCGAACCTTTTTTTTTTTGATTTCAAGCCCTTAAAAAATAATTTCTTTTTTCTTTAATAAAAATGAAACTTAAAATATAAAAACTATCGAATTCAATTATATATGGTGAAAAAAATTAGAAAGTCTTAATCACAAAGATTAATTTGAACAATTCATCTATCCCGAAAATTGTATAATGTATCGTTAAATTAAAATCTTATCGAGTATTATGATTGCAGTTAAATTAAGTAGTGAAACTGTGAAGAACACTAGCTCACAAAGGAATCATTTATATATAATGTAATATAATTCCTATAATGATAACAAAAATCTTAGAACCAACTCGTTTGTTATAACTTAAAATATTAACTTACTTTTTTAACATTGTAATTGACCAACCGTCGAGAGCTATGTCTTGTACATTAGCCCAGCAAAAAAGACAGCTCAATAAGATTACCAAGGCATTGATGTTAGGTTTTTCAGACTCCGGTATCCATATATCGATATTGATTGCCATATAAAAAAATAAAATTCCTGTTTGACACACAATACATTTTGTACTTTAGATATATTGTGTGTATATTAAACCATATACAAATTTGATTAGATACTATAATAAATGTAAATAGAAAACTGCGAATGGATTGATTGCAATATATTAGACGAACATATTATATTTATTATGTTCTAAATAGTGTATATACTGCACCCATTATGTATTGACTCGTTATAATCCAGGACTTTCGTCTACCTATTTTTCGTACGTATAGTGATTCTATTATCGGCGACCATAAAATTTTCGTTATGAATACCCAGTTCACCATACTAAAAAGAGCCTAAATAAAAAATGAATTTGTTTTATTATAAGTAAATTTAATATTTGTTTTTAATAGCTCTATTTTTCCTAACGCTACCACTTTCAGATTATAAAACTAAACCTTATAGAACTATGGACATTTTATGTACCACCAAGTTTTTTAGTGTTAGGGGAGGAGTTTACAATTTCGTTTATTTTTTTTACGGAGTTGTATATAAAAATAAATAATACAATTGATTTTTGTTCATTAGAAAGTGGTTATGCTGAGAAAACAGAGCTGGTTTTAATTAATAGATTAATAATTCTATAAAACAAATATGTTTAGTAGCAAATTTTTTTTTGAAATTAAAACTAAATATTTCTGCCGGTGACCTTTAATTGAATATAATTTTTTTTCTCGTGTTTTATTTCGTAAATGTTATTTGCTCAAAGCAAATCAAACTATATCGTTATAGATGATTGAATAAAAAAACAGGAATAAAAATTATAATCATCAAATTTCAACTAGATTCCATGTAAAAAAATTTTTCTAGATTAATAGAGTTTGAAAAAATAACTAGGAAACTATAGAAACGCACTATTGTATATAAATATGGTTTGGATAAAAATTCACCTGTTGATTGTAGGTTACTGATTTTTTACTTTGAATTATTATCGGGAAAGAGATAACAATTCCATGGGGTATAAACTGTATAGTGTACAGTAATATCAATAGGAAAATGTTTGACCAATCGCCCTTCAAGTTTGGTTTGTTTGGTTCACAATCATCTTCGTCCACGAAATTTTCTTCTTTTTTCGTTATAAATTTTGTCGTTTCCACACTATCCATTACACCTGCATATAAAATATTTTCTCAGGTTTAGTAATTTATATCTGCACTGGAAATACATGTCATCGATAAAATAAAATAAAGGAAACTTCGTGAAATTAACGATTCTATAAATCGCATGACCTAGTAATAAATAATACTTTTAAAGCTGAACTTATTGATCATATAAAAAATATGTACTTTGTAAAACTATACAAATGTTAAAAAAAGTTTTGAATAAAATATTATAACATTCGAAAATTCTTCATCTTTTCATATAATGCGTTCAAAAATCAGTATGATGATACAACTTATAAATGGTTTTTTAGAAAAAAAAATAATTGATACTAAATTAGGAAAAAAACTAACTGAAATTGAAACAAGAAGCCAAATTACTAATACTTATATTGGTAATTTGATAATAAGTTAAAATTATTTTAGTTTCTGAGTAGAGCAAAGAAGCTTATAGTTTTAAAAAGAGGTTTATTTTTTTTTTTAACTGTACGCAGCTTTTCTACCAGAAGATTGGCTTAGATTTTTATGTGTAGCACCTTTTATAATAGAGCGGAATTTAATCTATATCTGTTCTGGATGATCAATCATTTTTAAAGAAAAACGATACTAAGCGCTTCATTTACAATTTTTGTCAACATTTAATATTAAATTTCTTAAAAAAACAAAAATATACTACATTAAACTCAACTTTTTATTATTCACCATTAAGAATAATAAGTACAATAAACCTTGTATTAAATTTTCAAGCCAAATAAAACTTACCGAATAAAATTAATGTAAATTACTTCTAAAATTAAAATGTCTGGAAATAGTTTAAACATGGCTCAAATATGATGAAAATTTCACCTAAGAAAAGTAAATATAAGTTTTCTTTCAAAATTTCATATTGCTATGAATATTTTTAACTGAACTACAACTAAAAACAAAATTGAAATAATGAAACCATTGTTTTTGAAAGTTTTTCCGTTATTCTACGTTTTTTTTTTTTTTTTGTTTTGCTCAATTATTAAAGAACTACAAGAAAAATAAAAAAAAGGACTTGCTTTTCTAATATTATTAATATCTCTGGTAGAAAACATAAGCCGTGTAAATTTAAAATAAAATAATTCTACGCCATTTAATTTTTTCGTTTTTCATTTTTCGTCCTTTTCCGGTTTTCCTAATTATTATGGAAACTATTTGAAAATTAAAAAAACGACCTTCTTCGTCAGCATATAAATTCAAAATTCAGAAAAAAAGGTATTTACATACCTAAATAATATATATTGCAACGGTTCTTAAAATGTCGGTGTATACGGACCCCAGATGAAAGACTTTTAGAAATCGCGGACCCCCTACCAATGCCTTAGTTTTTTATACAACATCTCGTTATCCTAATCGATATTTACCGATAGAGCCACTGTGGACTCCCGAACATGAGTATTGTGAACTCCCAGAGTGCCGCGGACTGTAGTTTAAGAACCTCTGATATAATTTATTACTTATTATGCATAGCCTGGTGGTACAGTCAGAACTTTTTCAAGATTTGAGGGGGAGAATCTACATACTTTTACTATTAAAAATTCGTTACTTGATCGCACATTAAGTTCTAAATTAAATAAACAATTTTAGCGCCGTGCACTTTACGCCCATTATTTTTTTCGTGCTATTTCCGCCCGTTATCGAAATCTTTACCTGCTGAAACTAAATAAGGACTATTCACTCAAAATTTAAAATTATATAAAATTAATATTATATAATATAATCGTATACAATTACCAAATTAGTATTCCAGTTCTGTATAACCATATGCAGTAGTAGAATTTTTTACTTCATCAATCTATCTGCTCCTTGGACTTAAGTAATATGTTATTAACCTTTTATATCATAGATAAATGGGTATTTAATTTATTAAAATATTGTATTACGAGTACATTATTTAAAATTGTATAAAATGAATATGTTATAATATAATTTATAAAATTGTCAAATTATAGTTTTGATTCAGATTTCTGAAGAAATGATAACTGATAGCATCGGTTAGAAATATAAGTATTTATAATCAATACTGATAGCTATTACCTGATCGGTTAAACAATTATATTTCACGTAATTTTATACATGTGGATTTTCCATCATAATTATATATAATCGTTATAGGCTTCGAATAACTAATAACCATATTATTATAATCGACCAAGTGTTCATTGTTAGTAATGTTTTGACTTATGCTACGTTATGTTTGGATTTTGAAATATACAAGGAAACAGTAGACTATAATAATTTGACAATTTTATACAATTATATTATATTATACATGATAAATTGAATAGGTATAAATTTAATTTTAAATTTTGACCGATTAGTCCACCTTATATAATTTCAGCGGGTAAAGATTTAGATTACGGGCGAAAAACGCACGGGTGCAAAGTGCACGCCACCAACAATTGTTACGTTTTGGTTACCGTTGTTATTTTTGTTCGAAAAATACTTTTATGGTAGTAAAAATTGAAAATTATATCAATTTAAATAACCCAAATTAGGTATGTGTTATTATTTGTCATTAGAAAAAAAATTATATTACTTTTATATAATATATTATTATTATATTTTTAAGACGGTTGAAAATATTATAGTGGTCGAAAAATGAAATGTTAATTGAATCGATAAATTACTTTTTTATACTAATTACACATGTTAACTACATAATAATAAATTTACGTTTTTATATACATATAAATATTAACAAAATACCTACCCAATCACCGGTGTACAGTGTACTTTGTAATTAATTTCCTTCGCCACAATGACAATTATATTTGTAGGTATACTCTATACTGACGTAGGCAGGTACTGTTTGGATTAAATGTGATCCGTGAATGTTTACTTACTATGTCTTTATTATAGAAACCTGTTATAGTTCACTACCAACTATGCCCACTCCATCCACACATAACCAATTATACTATACAAAATAAATTGTAAAAAATAAAATTATAATATTATCACATTGCTTATTTACACCTTGAGCGAAATGTTATGTTTAAAAATTATTTGTATATTATGATAATAATAATATGTTTAAAATTTTTAAATTAAATACACTGTAGTAAATGATTTTTGTTTTTGCCTAAATCTCATATATTATAATTAAGTATGTAAAATAAAATGTATGCGTCATTAAATATGAATTAGGAGTAAAATTATTCATCGGAATAAAAAATCATATAATTTTGTGGAATGGTAAACAACTCGTTTTATCAAACTTTTGACAAACACTGAAAAACTATGAAACTAAACACTAAAAGTATTTATGGTTATTTTACATAAAAACCTTTATTATACAAATAATTTTTTTAATACATTTGTTTTGTTTTTTCTGTTGGAATTCAATGAATAATTATTATCTTAGAAAACCTGGAATTTGTACCGAATACTTATATTAGTCGTTTAAAAACGTGGACATATTTTCAAAACATTTTGACTTTTTTTATGAGTTATATATGCGTGGATTTTCAACATTTTTTTTTTTAAATAAAAATGTATTATTCATAATCATTAATATATTATTAATTATTATAACTACCATTGTTTATAAATTATATTATCCAAAAGATATTTTCCAAACTATACCTCTTTATTACAGTTGTGGCCTTCCCATGGTGTAAATAAGTACTTCTTAAGTTTTTATATATTTCAAATTTGAGTCAGTATTAATATTTTTAGGGTTTTATAGCATTTACGTATTTTATATAAAGAAAATAATCCAGTTTGTTTCCCTTTGTTTCCCGTCCCTCTCACTGTTGCCTCTGTGTTTAACTAAATTAATATCAATAGGAAAATATGTGATCAATCGCCTTTCAGGTTTGGAAAATCCAGTAAATATTGATCCTTTTCTTGCAAAGAAAAAGGTTTTCTTCTTCGGTCATTTTATTTTTACACTTGGTATGTCACCAGCGTATAAAAACATCAACATCGTGTATCGACTTCAAAATATGAACGATTTCACTAAATTCCATGATCTATTGGTCCATGGTCATTTTTTTTAAAATTAATTTTAGTCAAGGCGGCTATTAAAAACAAATTAAATAGATAAGTTAAAAATAAATTCTACGATTAATCAACTCATTGAAATTCATAATAAACCATGATTCCTAAACTATGTGTAATTGTATGATCAATTCCAAATAAACAATACGGCATATAGTACTTCATCTATAGGCAGCAATAAGTACAATATCTAGCTACTCAAACAATTTGGTATATTTGCCAAGCTGTTCTAATCATTTGCTGTTATTATCTTATAGGAAACGGCAACACAATATTTGTGTAACTATACATTTTTTTATAAAAAATACCATAATAAATAAATCATATAAAATACGCGGACAACTTAAAAGTCCATTAGTTTACATTAAAATATCTCGTGCCGTTCTCCAAAACCGGTTAATTCAGTACCACGTGTATTTATTTAATTTGTGAAACTACACTGATTATTCAAGGCAACGTATTTTTACATCATGGAATTATCCATAATATATTAAAATTATTGTTTTATATTTCCACGAGTATAAAACTTATGTTTTTAGTTAGCTACTAGTGAAGCACTGTGAATACAATTGCAGGTACCAAAGCTATCACTTATTTTTATCAGTGGACATTGGACAGTGGTGACTGGTGAAGTATACTTACTCAAAGAATTATGTCTACATGCGTACCGCATATAAATATTTACTTAATTTTACGTTGATTTCTCGTACGTAAATTATTAGTTATATAATTATATTTATTATACCTACACAGAGTGTCCCACGAAGATATATGTTTTTTTTTTTTTTTTATATAGTACTCACAGGGATAAGGACTAGAAATATTTATATTTCAATTAATTTTTTATGTTTTGGTAAAAAACTTAAAAGAATAACTTTTTATTTTACTATTTTAGAAAAACAGCCATTTTATACAGTTAATTCTACAGAAAATGTTGACGTATAAATTGTTTATTTCACTTCGAAAACTTTTTTTACCTAAACACTGAAAAATTACTAAAAATTATAAATTTAATAAAAAAATAAAAAGTAGAACCGTCAACATTTTCAGAGGAATAAATTCTATGAAATCGATTTCTTTACATTTTTTAAAAATAAAAAAATAAAAGTAATGCACATTGTTAAATTGCAGCCATTTTTTTTTCCAAATTATAACTTAAATTATGTAGGTACCCAGAATTGAAATCGTACTTTAAGGACATTTTTGACGTTTATGTGTCAGGGATTAACTTTCGGGAAACAAATTGTCTGTGGCATCAAAGACATTTGTTTTTTCTATGATGAGTGTCTCGGTTAGGTTAGCGAGGAATCCGGATCACCCATATCAAAATGTGCCACATACCGGGGGACATGGACTTAAAATATATGGATGTATAGTATCTACATTCAACTAACTTAAGGATCCACACAGCCTCTGTCCTTCAAAACAAAACGTGTTTATTAGTTCCCATAAAGGTAGTAAGCTCTTAAATGAGTTTCAGATCCGCCACTGATTAGAGGCCAGGAGGTCACTAAAAATGTCAAAGAATAAGGTTAAAAGTAACATACATCGATAAATATTTCAAATATTTTATTTTTTAAGAATGTAAAAAGGTATGGATTAAAATAATTTTGCACGTGAAATAAACTTGATGTATTTTTTACCATTATTGTATTTTGGGGTTTTCATTATTTTTTAAAATCAGTTTGTTCATTGAGACATGTACACTCCAATGGGACGGTCTATTTTCTGAAGATTTTTTCCTTTTTTTTTTCTTGCAAATAAAGTACCAAAAAATTCCAAATATTATGCTAATGGCAACTTCTATAATATAGTAACCATTTACAAAAACTATACAATTAAAGATTTGTCTGTTTATCCCGAGGTTTTTCGTACAGTTTTTCCCAATTACTATGAAGAACTTTTAGAAAATTATAAAATAACCTCCTTAAAGCACCAAATGTAGCACATTTTCTTTAAGAAAATGTGCTATATTTGGTGTATCGGAGTAAAATATCTGGTAGAAAAGCTGTACACTGCAGAATAAAAAATAAAAAACTAAATAAATAAACATCATTGTAAAATCAATATATTTCTCGCTACGCTCCAAATTTAAAACCTATAAATCTCAAAAATTTCAAATGTCTATAAATAACAGAAAAATCACCAGAATGTTTGGAAAATAGTATAGTCGATGAGAAACATGGAGGTATATTATAAACTATAATGATAATAAATAGATTGAGGATTATAATGAAAATTTCATGTTTTTCTGAATTTCCTAAGCCTTATGGCTTTCCCTAAATGCTTTCCAAGCATAAAGTTGTTTTCATGTATTATTGAATTAAAATATAAAACTTTTATTTTGTATTTTTTTGCATTTTCAGATTTTTAATGCATCTTTTCTTCTTTTTAGAAAATTTGATAAAACCTAATGTAATAATAAATAATAATAAAACCTAATATTGTTTTGACGATCGTGACGTCGCGCGTGGCGCGTCGAGTACCTGTAGTCCTATAGATTATTATTATTGTAAACATAAAAATATTTCTAACTTTAATATGACGATATAACTATACTATTGTTATGGAAAATAAACATCAATGATATAAAATAAAATTATAGAAAAATTTAAAAGTAAACTCATCGTAGAACCGCAGAATATAACAAGCACTTTAATGGCAGTGGTGTATTAAATATAATAATTTTTATTGTTTTTATTAAAATTCAACCAAAATGTAATATAATTATACGAATAGAAAGATTATGCAGTACTTTTAAATACATTTGATTAGGTAGGTCATTTGCAAAAAAAATATGTTCATTAACAGTTGCTTCACGTTAAATCAAAAACGGATAAATATTGCCGTGTATTATAATATATGGCTGCCACCGCAGCCAAAGAATCCCTGCAGACGCCATGCGCAATATTAAAAATCGCCGTAGTTAGCAAATGGAGATAGCCATAAACCAATTCTAGTGGCACAATAATTTTTCATCATAGTATACTATGACTATTATTACTATGACTGTATTTACTATAATTTAAATTTCAAGCAGAAGACAATATTTTGAGTTGGATGTTTCTTTAATAACGTTTATCGTTATTTGAATAGTTCGATTTTCCTTTATTTTAAAGGTTGCTGATAAAAATATGTCTTCATTATGTGAAATTATGTCAATTTTTTTTAAACGTGGTTTTTATTATTAAAAATTATATAAAAACGATCTTAATAATAATAAGTTTTATTTTCTGAGTTTCTAACGGTAAAAATGTTGGTTAACGAATGCAATATTCCTCCAAATGAAATCACCATTCTATTAAATGCACAGACGAAATATGAAATTGAGTTGATGCAATATTTTTCCGTTTTCGTGATAGGAACTAAATTAATAAAGAAAAACGATTATATGGTTTTAAATCGACCAATTCTATAAGAAAAATAAAAATGAAATGAAAAATATCTACCCTAATAATTCTGCTAGTCGCCGTTTCTTATATTTTTATCTGTGGTTCAACTGAAATCTGGAACCAACCAATGGAACAGATTTCTTTGCTGTAAATTTCGTATGGGTTTTTTGAAAACAAAGTACCAAACAAGTCCAACAGCAATACAGATACCGACTTCTGTATAGTAACCGTTCACAATTACAATACACTCGCCATTATTTACCGTGCACATCTATAACAATACCAATATTATATATTATATTTAAAGAATAAGAACATAAATTATTATAGCAATTGTTATTTTGAAAATGATTGTGTGGATTGTATTCACTAATCACATGTCGTACTACGTCTGTAGTATCACAAACATGAAATAAATTTATGTGAATGTAAAATGTTTGGTTCGTTTTTTGTTTGATTCATGTGGACAATATTTCAACGGTATTTATAATATTCTGTAATAGATTTAACAAAACAAAATACTATTCACGATGTGTACATGAGTAATTAAAATATGATTATTCAAAAACAAAATTCTGGCCGTTTGCTGTAAGTATAAAAATGATTTTATACGAATTCTTACGTCTTTTAAACTTGACGTGGAACAATTGTTTTGGGCGTCATTTGAACATTTACTAAACGTCAACAAGTCGACCAAATTCAGTGCTAAATACTTCCATACTATTATACCTAAATTTGATATTGTAACCAGCATCGTCATGTATGTACCGCCATAGCGTTTGTCACATATCCGAGAGAAAAATCCCATTGTAAACATAAACATGGTATACATCAACGTCTAAACGTAAAACAGAAGAAAGTGTATGATTGTATTGGATAATATTTTTACTAAAATAGATTATACAAAGTAAACGCAATTGAACATATATTACGACGGGTGTTGTTTAATTCAATAAAAGTTTATACTCCTGCAGTTATTTATATGTACGTACATAATAGTTTATTTACGTCAACTAACGGTTTCATAGTCCCTAAATTCGAATTCGAAATTAATTTTTGTTTTTTGATTGTCTAAGATAATGATTTCTGAATGCTTAAGAATATTATTGAAAACGCCAGTTTTTTTTTTTTTTTGGAATTTTAAGGTTCCTTTTGAGAGTTTATTTTGCACTTTTTTTGAAAACTTTTTTCAACTTATTGTTGACAAAAAAATTATCCTTGGGGGTTAAAAACGTATAAATCTCATACTGTCACGAAATATTAATTCGTGAAAACGTTTTGTAATACTGATTGGTCTTATTATCACATAAATGTTACAATAATAATTTTTATCTTGGGATTCAGTAATTTAAATTCAAAATTGTTTTTCATTATAGTTCTTACTTTTGATTTACGTTAATGCATCTCGAGATGCAAATAAATTCATAAATTATTAAAAAATAAAATATTTTATAAAAAAAAAATATATATATATATATAATTTGTTATTTAGTGCGTTATTTTAGTTTTACTAGTCTAGGATATTGTTAATAACCAACCTCGTGTACTCCGGCTATGCATCCTAAAATAATATAATAATATCCTGGAGCAGTAACGGTTTCACTAGCCTTAATCAAAACTGGTGTATAGTAGATCAATACGATATAGACGATGCCCCAAAACAATCTGAAAAATTATTAATTATCTTTACGTCACCACCCTTTAGTTTAAAACATTTCCAGAGTATAAACTCGAGACGGAACGTATTAATATATTTTGAACACCCGTAGTCAACAAAACTCCGTCGATATAGTTGAATTTTCCCCTCAATATATTGTATTATAGATATATAATTCATAAAACAATAAAATATTACAAATATCTTTGATTATGATTTTGTGTAAAAACAATATAATACATTATTATTACGTGCAAAATTGTACAAGAGGAAAAATATTATCACATTTATTTAATATAGATATAATATGTTAATTTGTTTACCTGAGAAGATATAAATTCAAAAATGCGCTCATGGGTTTTAGACCCGAAGTATATTTCGAAGCAAGAAGAGGTATGAAAAATTTGAACGAATACATTGATATGTTAATCATCGTTATGTCGTCTCTAGACACACCAGCGTCCATCAGTTTCAAATTTGATACGGCGTCTGTGGCGGTAAATCCGATCTGTAATTATTAAACAAATAATTTGCAAAATAAATGATTTGCCAACTTGAATTTATTGCAGTTGTTGTTATACAGTATAGGTGATCTATTTTTTAATGTATAAAGTTAAATGTCTATCACATGAAATTTGAAAGTTATTATAATTTAAATTATTATATTCACCCGCATCGTTAACAGAATCATCATCAGAAGCCCGACGCTCGGTAATTTTATAATCTCCCAAAGTAGTCTGTAACTTTGGAAGATGTTGATTTTGACGTCTTCGTTTTCCGATCCCGCGGTCTTTTCCCGTTTGAATACGCCGACTAGTGTCGTTATTATCATAAACGAAAAACTCCAAAAATACAGAAAACCTTTTTTAGATTAGATAACTATAAATAATTATTGTGTTTGTTGAAATACCAGGTGAACCATTTAAGTGGATACACTCATTATCTCGGTAAGTATTAACTTTTGATAGTAACAAGTAATTTTAGTATGAACTAGTAGAGTATCAATTGTGTGGCGGTACGGTGAGCGGCGTATTAATAATGCACCACTACTCTCCTCCAACCAAAACTTAAAAGTGGAATATCTCGTCAATGGATTGAAGGAAACCAAACATGTCAACATCAAAATTTATTTTAACTAATACTAAATCTATTTATGGAATTTTTAATATAGGTTGCCGTTTGAAAATCAAAAGTAGGAAATGGTTTTATCTCCAAATATAATATAAATATAATGTTGTAGAGCAGCTTGCTTCTTAAATTTTTTAGAAAACAAACTCCTAAAAAAGTTAATACTTTCTGAGATAATAAGTATGCCCACTTAAATGGATCACCTGTTATTCGGATGTATCTGATTAATATTTGCAGTCGAGCCAGTAAAATAAGCCAGTTTTTAATAAAAAAAAAAAAAAAATATTTTTTATTTAAATGTCTGAGAATTGAATATACATTTATTAAGAAGAATTTTGTGATAATTTATTCAAGGAGCTAGTGGGGGGTAGCAGAAGATCGAAATAGATGGAGGAAGATATTATGTTTGACAGAGGGATCCCAATGGTTTTAATTAAAAATAATCACGAACAAACTCCATAAAAAGGTGTTTGTAATCATTTGTATAGTAAATTTGATAATTGGTGTTTCAAGGAGACAAATTATATTTTCATAGCGACTAGCTAGTAAAGCATTTCCCAGTTGAATGGCAAAATAACAAAATAGGTCAGCGTGTATACTTTTAATAGTTACTAATCCTCCTGTGCCGTGCGTCTGCCGTAAGTATTTATTACAAAATTCTTCGGATGTGAGTAACAGGAGAAAAACCGTGCATATGAGTTCACTGAGCGCCAGACCAATTCCGCTGCAAGTGGACGAATGGCCAACGTTGTTTCTGAAATATAAATATTTAAATAATATCCTTTTATTTAACATCATCAACCAAAAAGTATTTTTGTCGTATTCTTTACTATTATAACAATAGAAACACAATAAAATAAGTTCTTGTAACTTAGGATATTTCTTATTATTTTTTTTTTTTTTTTTGGCCTTAGAGCGATGAAATTATTGTTATCAGCTATTATTAAAAGGACATGATACAGGCAGTATTGCAGAAGACATACACGCGTATACAGTATACCGTATAGTTAAATAGAAGAACAAACTAAAAAAGGAACATTTACAATGTGTGACGTTAGTTTTATTCTTTTTATACTACTGAAACGAAAAAAGTTCTTCAAGTTTAAATACTAATTTAAGTTATTAGATTTTAAATCAACAACAACAACTTTTTGGGAATAGGAGCGTTGTAATGGATTTATTGGTTTTACTATAATGTAATCTTTATTGTGTCAGTGAGCAACTTTTCGTATAGTTGATGTATATTTGGACTAAATCGAAAATGCAACAAAAAAGGTTTCCTTGTCATATTTTGATGGAAACAAGATTTTTAGATAAAAATATAAGCTGGAAAAATATAAAATTATGAAATCATTGCGACGCGCGACATAAATATTTATCCATTTATCTCGGAATTTGCATTGCCAGTTTTTTTCAAGTTTTTCCTAATTATTATGAAAACAGTTTAGAAAATCAAAACAAAAAAATTACCTTCTTAACGATAAAAAGAATAAATAATAATAATGAACATCATTGAAAAACCAATACAGTCCTATTTTCGTTTAGAATCAAAAACGTATAAAGAACATGAAAGTTTACGGAAATAATTGTTATATTATTTACAATTTTGCTGTTTTTTATTGTAATTCAGTTATAAATATTAGTAGAGACTTGACATTTTGATTGAAAACTTATGTTTTCCTTTCCTAGACGTGGTCAAATTTTTACACCATTTTAGCGATGTTTATATTATTTGTAGGCATTATGTTTTTTAATGTTTCTAATGTAGTTTTTATTTGATATATTTTTAAAAATGTTTATAGAATATTTGCATCCAAATAAGTAACCAATATAGTAGATAATATAAACATAGGTTCACCGACAGGATTACTGTACTACTGCCAATAAAAATCACTACAACAAAACGACATATACATATATACACTATTGTATTCAACTACTTAAAAACCGCACATTATATCAACTATCAACCGCGCTTACTTTTTTAGTATCGTAAGTGACCAACCGTCGAGTGCTATGTCTTGCAGGGAAGCCAACAAGTAAAGTATACCGATTATAACTACCAAGGCATTGAGATTTGGTTTTCCCGATTCCGGAATCCATTCTTCAACTTTAGTGGCCGTGTAAAACAAAAACACCCCTGTTATAAACATAATAATAATAATTTGTATGCATTTTTTCACATATTTATGAAAATATACTACAGGTGAATTACAATAATATTATAATTTTACAATGGATAGAAAAATATAATAATATTATTATAACTGATAGAACGGCAAGACTGAGCATTGACGAGTTAAAAAGGTGTATAAATTAAAAATTAAGTGCATTTTAAATTTTTATTTTTATTATATTCACTTATTTATTTGGATTACTATAACAAGTTACGATTCTTTTTTGATTATGACACGTTAAGTTGATTTCAATTTCTTTGAATTTACAATCTACACATTATTTGTACAGGTATCATCGGAAAAAAAAAATATTTTTACTCAATAATAGGTCTGGAGTTCCGAATTTAAAATTTATACAATTTGATATTCTTTTAAATCCTATGGTTTTTTTTCACTTTTACTATAGCAATCTGAAGCAGATAGAATTGTAATTAAAATAAACGTAGAAGTAAAGAGACGGAGAGGAAGACTGAAAAAGAAATGGTTAGATGCGATTTAGAATGATATGAAGACAGTCGGTCAGTGCCGGGAAATCGGATCAATTAAAACTTTAGAACGAGTGTGGGCAATGGGCGATCCCAAATAATTGGGACGGAGACATAGAAGAAGATTAAGGAGAAGACTATAACAATAACAATTTAGTTTAATTACAAGTGAATAAGTTAGTTAACTTTTAATGTGTTAACTCTTCAACTTTTTCAACAAACTTAACTTTTAATATTGTTCATATACTTGCCCAGCCTTAGATACACGTGTTTTACATATTATTTTGATATTCTTCTGCTTTTCTAAAATAGGTTTACTAATAAACTGTTAAAGATGAATACTGATCACCAAAATTCAGTATTTAACAGCATAAGTTAAATGTAATAGTATACAAGGTCTGACCAATAAGTAATGAGACTATTTTTTTTGCCACGCTTTTGGTAACACTACGAATCTGAAACTTCGTGTAACACTACGAATCTGAAACTTCGTTCGGTTAATCTCCGAATCTGAAACTTCGTTCGGTTAATCTCTCATCCCTCCTCTATCGATACATGTGCTTGCAATTTTGAAACTTCGTTCGGTTAATCTCTCATCCCTCCTCTATCGATACATGTGCTTGCAATTTTCGTATACATGTGCTTGCAATTTNCAGTTGTGTTATGTTTTCGACAACGTGTTTGTAAGGCGTGTCACAAATATGGAACAACGTAATATAAATTTTGCGTTAAACTCGGCGATTCCGTTATGGAAACGTACGATAAATTGGTGAAAGTGTTCGGTGATGAAGCCCTGAGTCGTGCTCAGGTGTTTCGATGGCATAAAAATTTTAAAAATGGTCGTGAAAGCGTCGGGGATGAACCGCGAAGTGGGAGACCGGTTGAAGCTCGAACTGACAATGTTCAGCGTGTGCGCACTCTCGTGCATCAAGATCAGCGTTTAACCGTTCGAATGTTGGCTGATGAACTTAATTTGAAACGAGAAACCGTCAGAAAAATGTTAACTGATGATTTGTCCATGAAAAAGCTGTGTGCAAAGATGGTACCTTCATCATGACAATGCTCCATGCCATCGTGCCTTCAGCGTGTCGCGATTTTTGACCTCTAAGAACATCGCAGTGTTGCCACAAGCGCCCTATTCGCCGGGTATGTCACCCTGCGACTTCTTTTTGTTCCCTCAAACAAAATTGGCCGTGAAAGAAACGCATTTTGAGTCCATAACTGACATCCAGAACGCCGTGACGAGGGTACTTCAGGACATTCCAGACGAAGCCTTCCAGAAATGTTATGAGAGCTGAAAAAACGCTGGAACCAGTGTATAGGGGTGGGAGGGGAGTACTTTGAAGGGGATCACATCGATGTATCTTAATATTTAAATATACGTATTTTATTGAATTAGTCTCATTACTTATTGGTTAGACCTCGTATAATACTATTTATTTTTATCACACCCATTAAGTATTGCGCGGGTATGATCCACGATTTTCGCCTGCCCAACTTCCGTATGTACAGCGATTCCACTATTGGAGCCCATAAAAGTTTCATTGCAAATGGCCACGTAGCTATACTGAGAAAAGCCTGACAAACAAAATTATACATTTTAACTATTTATTTAATAATTTAATACAGTAAGTATGTGCACTATAAACGCGTACACAAAATATATTTGATACGAGGGAAAAAGTATCCAAGTCAATTTTTAGCTTTTTATGACATTTTTTTCCCATATATTTTTTTTGGTTTTAATTGCATAAGAGTATGTATATTTAATATAATAAGTGCATTAATTTATGTTCAATTGTGGATAAGTATTTTCAAAATTGAATATTTTTAAGGTATTGAAAACTCTACACGATTAATTTAAGTCCACCAAACGATCAAAAATATTTATGAAATTAAAAAAACAAAAATTATGATATTGCCTAAATAGTAAATATTGACATAATGTTGATATAAAAATTTACTTTTTCACTGGACCATGAAACGTCGGAATTAAAACTATCGGAAACCTATTTGTACTTAAGATTGTTTAATAGTTAATTCGTATACTTAATAATATATTAAATAGATATCAACAAATATTGTTATTTTTATGTTTTTATTTTTTTCATTAGAAAAACACGATAAATTGAATTTTAAAAAGAGCGAATAATATTATATGTTTCGTCAAAATTTGAACTTCAAACGTTTATATAAAGAAAACTGTTGACATTTAAGCATAACGAGGGGTATTTTGAAGGGAGATTTGTTAGCAACTTTTTTACCAGACCTCTTGGCCCAATCAAAAAATTACATGAGAGCTTTTATATAATATTTTGTCCATTTAGTGTAAAACGGGAATATTTACGGCAATAATGATTTCACATTTCTGTTTTTTTTTTTTTTTTGAAAATTCGGTTTAAATTAATCGTAAAGACTTGGAATTTTACATAGAATATTTGTATTGATCTTTTCAAAAAGTGGTCACATTTTCAAACCATTCTAACTTTATGTTATTTACAGATAAATTACAATTTTGAAATTTTTGGTTTTTATATGGACAAAATGTTCATAGCCAATCAGAAATGCTTGAAAATATAATAAGAGGTTCATTATCAATTTAACCTAGTGATAAAAAAAAAAGTTGAGCATAATTAAGTAGTTTTTGTTTTATTATTAAATTTAAACGAAAATTGTAATTATAATGGCATTCATAAAAAACGTTTCACCAAATTTTACTCGGAAATGAATTTCGTCAGAAACGATATTATATTTTTGCGTATAGATGCAAATTAAATAACTTTATTTACTCTATTTTCTCGACCTCTCACCTAGAATAATCGTACACCCAATCGTATCAGCTCTTTTTTTTTTTTACATGTATTTGATCAATTAATTAAAATCCTCGTATCAAATGTACAATTATTGTTATATACCACCTAAAAATATGTTAAAAACTATATCACGTCTGGATATCCTTCATAAATATTTAGTGAAAATTGTAAGGCTCTACGATTATTTCTTATTTAAACAAAAAAAAAAAAAATGTTAAAAATAAAATGAATGTTAAAAATAACCTTCTGTGTGAATAGTTGTTCACAGACCGAAAATATAAAAAACATTGTAACAGCATTGTAAAACCAAATTCATGTCTCTCCGTCCAGAGTCTAAAATTGTGTTATCAGGACCGGTGGAAGGAGACCAAATGGGCACCCACTTAGGACCTCGCACTTTATGTTACCTCGTATTTTTAGATTCTGAACAGAGCGAGGAATGTATTAATTTTACTACAATATGTGAGATTTTTTTTTTTTGTATCTGAACAATTTATGTTGTGATTTTTAAAATAATTCTAATTTTAAAATGCAAAATGTATTATGTAAATAAATATACAAATAAAAATTGATACATAAAAATAAAATAAATACATGAATGAATGCGTCGCCTGGATTATTATGATAAGTGTATTATATTATACGACCGGTTTCGAATTAAAAATTCATCAAGTACACACACTGAAAATGTAAAACGCGACTCGTTTTTGTTTTAAATTTATTATTTTATTATGTAAAATTTATGTTTTTGTGGAAGTATAGTTCGTGAATTTATATATTATTTGCAATTATATAATTTTAAAAAATATAATATTGTTTTAATAAATACACGATTTCAATTTTTTTTCAACCGTCGTTGCTTGTACAGTCGCTTGTCATAATTACGTAAGGACTATAATGAATTATTATTATTACACAGAGACAGGGGCGGAGTGGTCTGGTTTATCAGTGGCTCAGCACATTAAAAATTAAATGGTACTGATGAATTTATGTAATCGAATCTTCTGGGACCGATAATTGACGTTTGTAATGTTTTTTAACCTTTCTTCGTCATACAATATTAATTGACTATTAATTTTTTCGTAATACTATTTTTAGTATGATTTTGGTTTGCATTAACTTGATAGTGCTCGAAAACGGAAGGATAACCTGGGCGATCCACGAGCTGCAGTGCAGTATAGGTTTTTTTTTTAGATTCTGAACGTAGCGCATTGGTATTCTATGATGTGTGTGTGTTTTTTTTTTAAATTTATATTTATTTTGTTTTTCCGTCTGTAAGCCACTATTCCACCAGAAATCTTACTCCAGTCATTAACTTTAGGAGTCTTTCTAGTAGCAAATTTTCTACATATAGTGTATTTTAATGTTTTAATGGTTTGTAATTTTTATTACATTTATATTCATGAAGTTATAAACTATCTGTCGAAAAATTTTAACTATATAAGATTTATTCCTAATGATATTTTTAAAATTGTTTAATATATACCTTGGTTATTGAAGTAATTTTTTTTACTTAAAAACAATAATAACATTGGTTGTGGCGTAACTCGGCCCTCTCCTAAGTGCATTCCCCTCTGGCTCTTTATCTCCGCCATTAGCCATGTTAGATACAAAAAAAAAAAAAAAATGTATAAATTATTCAAAATTAAAAAATTAGGTACCGATATATTATAAATTAAATTCGATTTATGTTGGCTTTTTATAAAAATTTACAATTTTATTCCGATCTGGATGAGACTTTGCAAACTTGACATTTAAAACAAGAGGAAAGTCACTGAGTATTTTCATCTCGAAATTGAACCTCTAAAGAGTAGCTAACCCAGAGTTAATGATATTTTCGGAACAAAAATTGAACTTTTTCTGTTGATTTATGGGTAACCTTGGCCTTGGCGACGGGCACGAAAAAAGTAAGAATTTTATTTTATCAAAATGTGACGTTTAGTTATTATATGTTAAATTTAATTTAAAAAGTATTAAGTAGTAAATTGGTGTTATTCTATGCATTTATTCATTTAAAAATATTTCTAAATAACATTCAATAAGAATTTTAAGAATTCTATAAGAAAAGATACATTTTGATTTACCTAGTCTTAATAGTATATAAATATATTCGTATTTCGTTCGTATCGGATATTATTTTATTATTTACCTGTTCTTTATAAGTAATGTTTTTTTTGCTCTGGAATATTATCGGTAAAGAGATGACGAATCCATGGGGCAAATACTGTATCGTGTACAGCAATACCAATATGAAAACGTTTAACCAATCGCCTTTCAGGTTTGGTTTAGCCGGTAATTGAACATTGACGTTGTTCTCGATTTCTTCTAGTTTTTTTTCGTTTGTTGGTGATTTTTCCATTTTTACGCACTATTATGTGTTTTGATACGTTGGAAAATCTATAGTAGTCTATATAGTCACTACACGGTCGAACGACTAATGAAAATACGACCAATCATAATTTAAATTTGATTATTTTTAAATTGGACAATTTTATTAATAACTGATACGTATTATACTATTATCAATAATAATGTAATTGTATAGCTATTTTGTGATGATATTTGATTTTAATATTTCCATATAGTTTAGATAACAATGCTGCGAGGTTATCATGATATTATATATACAAATATATAGGAATGTTAAAATAGTATATAGTACACAAATTTCCAACGATGCGAGTTTGTAATAATATTGATCAATATACTTAAATGTTATTTACAGTAAACAGTTTGATTTCAGAAAAATTAAATTATACACATTTTAAACTTGACAACAGTATTAAAATAGTGTTGAATAATATAATATATTATATTCAAATGGTGTACAAATTGCAAATTTAATAATGTATTGAAGTTTAAGAATTTCAAATTAACTTAACGTTTAAAATAATGCTGTTTTGCATTATTTTAACAAACGGACATATTTCACATAATGTTACGATAGGTGGGCCACTAATGTTTGTGAGAAGTTGGAAAGGTGGAGAGAAAATTTAATATATATCTGTATGCATAGATTAATCATTGCTAACAAAAAACGATTCTGAGCGAAGTTTGGTTACAAATAATTTTAAAGTACCCGTAGTATTATTATTTATTACGCCATAGTATTTACGATTTTAAAATAATCTATTTCGTAAATTTGCCGTTTTCCTACGTTTTTTCTCGATTTTTTCCACTCATTATAAAAATACTGATAAATTAAAAATAACCTCTTTAAAATACCACCCCAGTTAAATTCCATTTCAGGAAAAGTGCTACACTTGAAAATCGGAACAAAATTTCTGGTAGAAAAGTTGTTCACAGAAAAAAAATAAAAAATGTCATTGTAAAACCAATATATTCCACTCAGAATCTAAAACAAGTTGTATTGATAAACATAAAAAAAGTTTTAAGTATAAATTAACCTAGCTAAGAACTTTTAACTCACTTGAACTCGTTAAGTTATTATTAAGTCCACTTTCCCATGAAGTAAAATTTATATAAACTCGTTTAGGTGCAAAGTTTTTTATTTTGATTTTTAAATAATAGGAGGTAAATAATGATATTATCTCGTAATAATATTATTTTCATCACGTTTCATGTTAGGTCTAGGAATGTTCACCAGCCAATTGGATGGATTCATAGACTGAAGATCACGTACGATTCCCTTATAAATATAATACCAAACAAATCCAATTGTCACGCACAGGATCACTTCTAAATAGTAACCGTTTATTGCTGTTACACATTCACCTCTATTTGTTTGGCACACCTAAACGAATATTCAAAAACGTTAAAAAATAAATAAATTATAGTATTACCAAAGAATATATTATAGTAAAATTCTCCGGAATTCTGGTCCCCTGTCCCTCGTTCATGTTATGAATAATTGAGTTCTTATAAAACCGTATACAGATTAATAATTAATCAACGTTTTTAATTTTAATCAGATGTCTACAAGACAATTTAATAATATTTGACAAAAAAAAATTTAAAAATATGAAAAAAAAAAGTTGTTACTGGGGATGGGTGTATTACTATCATAGGAGTGAAAGTCAAAAGATAGGATACATTAATTCATATCCGTAACTAATAATAAACTATTGCAAAGTGAAGTTTGTTTATACATGTTTTGAAAGGCGCAATATTTATTTTCGGCAAAATTTGATATTCAAATTTTTATAAAAAAAAAATTGCATCACTCATTTATTTTTATCACAAAGTACAATTTATAATGTTGAATTTTCGAATATTTCAACACCTTCCGAATAAAAATTACTTAAAAAACTTGAAAAATTAAAATGTCTATAATTAGCTCAAAAATAGCTCAAAGGTTTTGAAAATGTTACAACATCAAAGAAAATAAAATATAAGATTTCTGTTTAAATTTCAAATCTCCACAAATATGTTTAACTAAATTAGGTAAAACAAAAAAATAAAACTGAAAATAATAAAACCATTATTTCTGTAAATTTCCCAATTCTTTCTATGTTTTTTTTTCGGTTTTGCTCAGTTATTAAAAAAAAAACTACATAGAAAATCAAAAAACGACTTTCTTAAACACCAACAACATAAAAATTCAAAAATAATGGATTAATATTTCTGGCACAAATCATATTAAGCTACACAAATTTACGACGTGATAAATTTATCAGTTTTAATTTTTTATCTTTTTTTGGTTTTTTTTAATTATTATGATATCTGGAAAATTATATGATAACTTTCTTCGTGAGCAATTAGATATAATATGCAACAAAAAAAAAAGAGCTTGTGTTGTTTTTCTGTTGGACCAGTATTTCGGTTAGAAAACGAAGTTACAAAAATTTTAAAAAAGAGAAATCGTTACGTCGTAAATATTTGTCCGTTTATCCCTACATTTTTTCTCAATTATTATGAAAACCATTTGGAAAACTGACCGCTTTAAATTACCAACTAGATAAAATTTCTTTCAAAGATGTTACACTTGTTACATCGGTGTAAGATATCTAAAACGTTTTGTACACAGCATAAAAAAAAAAAAGTCATTGTAAAACCAACGCTCCGAATCTATAATAACTCTTGTTTTTATAATGTTCTAATGTATACCTCAGATTCATAAATTATACTGTCTCAATAAACAAAAACCAAAAAGAATTGTAGATGCAGAAATACATTGAAGAATATGACCTGAGGATAAAATGGCAAAAAACTAAGGTTATGGTATGCCAAAAAACACATTCGAGTGTTTCATAGTCTACGGATGAGCATTAAGATCAGTGAGTTAGAACCGACTATTTTATACTATTAAATAGTAAATGGCAATGTATTTGTAAGCTTATCGGTTTTCAATTATGATTCACTGGATACAAATATTACAAGTAAATAAAAGTCTTACGGTTTTTAAATCGGGCGTAGAACAATTGTTACTAACATCATTTGAACATTTACTAAACGTTAATACGTCAATCATTCTAAGGGCAATAGTGTTTGATACTGCCCATCCAAAATTGGCTATCGTTGTCAGCATGGTCATGTAAGTGCCGCCGAAACGTTTGTCGGATATCCGGGAGAAAAACCCTATTGTAAAAATGAACATTGTGAAAGACAGTATCTAAAAACCAGAAAACAATAAAACATATATTATTTAAAAATTCGATTTTTTTTTCTGGAGAATTAATAAAAAATATCGTTACATTTTTAATTTTACAATAATACGTAAATACATTATAAGCTTTTGTATGTTTTATGAATTTTATTTTTGGAATAAAATAATATTAAATTTTTAAAAGTATACCGAAAATGTTATTAATATAAATGTCTAGTTTTTCAAATTGTGTATAACTTGTGTATTACTATAAGTGAGTTTGAAAACTCAACTCGAGTTAACGCTTATTAGAATTCCTTTTATTAATAACACTCTACACTGTCATTCATAAAATGACACTCTACACTGACATTTGATAAATCAGAATCATTAATTTCGGTTAGACTAACCCCGAGCTATCCACAATAAATTTGTTAATTAAATAGATTTTTTTTAAATCGATTAATAACCCGTAGTGATTATGAATACGATATCGTTCGATTTCATAATTCGTTTGTACGTAGTTAATTTTCAATAGGTCCATCAATGATTTATCAATATATTTGACTGATTTGGATGCGAATTTTTGATTTAATTTGAAGTTTAATTGATTAGGGTTATCTTTATATACTAAATCAAAACGTTATACCTACGAGTTTTTTTATCGCACCCTTCTCGGCCACTGGAATAGTAATCGACGTGAGAGATACATTTCGTTTTAATGTATAACGTATTAACACAAATAAAATAAACTTTAAGCACACACATTATATCACAATACGGTATTTTTGTTGACTAACCTCGTGCACTGTACAAATAAGTCCCAATATCACGTAATAATATATGGGCACGTCTACGACTCCGTTTGTATTAATTAACGCCGGTGTATAATAGATCAATATGACATAAGTGAAGCTCCATAGTAATCTGAAATAAATAAAAAAAAAATTGTTATAGGAAGAAATCGTCGGGTATTTTATACGGTTCAAACTTTTATAATACATAGACATTTAGACTAGAGATCAAAATATTCGAAATTTCCAAAAATATTTGGTAAAATAATCGAAGAAATTCGATTTTCCCCTCGAAAATTCATTAGAAATTAGGAAAGAATAAAAATAACCCTACGAGTCTAATGATTGATTGCTAAATAAAGATATAATGATATGTAACATTTTTTCGTGAATGAGTTACGACATATTGTATTAATGAATTCTGATAATGAACTGTATTCTGTTAAAAAGAAAGTGACAGTATTATTTGCCGTCGCTGTCTTTCTAACGTACAGTAAAGCAGTTTTGAAGTTCCAACTCTGGTGTTCTGGTTCTAAAAGCCTTTAATCAAAACTTGCAATTTCTCAAAATAAAATAAAAGGTTTTTCAACATTTTTGTGTGCAGATTAAATACAATTTTTCAGAATATTTCTATCCCTTAGTTTAGTTTAGAATAGGATCGTTTGAATAAGTACCTATCGCATTATCATTGTTATTTTACCTGATAGGCATTAAATTCATGTATGCACTCATCGGTTTCAGGCCAGAAGTATATTTTGACACAACGAGTGGTATAATGAATTTGACCACATACATTGATATTTGTATTAACATTATGTTATTTTTAGATATGCCGGCATCGATAAGTTTCAAATGCGAAACTGCGTCGGTTGCCGAAAACCCAATCTATAACATAAAAGAATAATAATGTCAATTTTAATGCTAAATTATTATTATTATTTTATTTCATTTAAATTAATCGTGCGATGTACTCAAGAGGACCCGCACGCGCTGTCTTAGTTCAACTTACGGACAATATGGCAAAATCGACCTTACGCAGATTCGCTTAATTTTGGTTTTCGATTAAAATCGTTTATTATAAAGTTAAAAGAGAACAATATTCCGAAGGGCAAGGACGATGCGTTTTTCCCATTATTCTAATTATTATTCCGATTATTACGTTCAATACATTGTTTAGAAATAAAGACCAAATAATCATTTTTAAATGGTTTTAATATTACGAAAATTTAATTTAAAAAAAGAAGCGCACCGTCTTGCTCTCCGGAATAATTTCCTTATAATAGGTGTTTTTACCCTAACATCAAAATTAAGTGAGTTCTACGCAGTCTGCGTAAAGTAGATTTTTCCATATTGCCCGTTGATTGGACTGCGATAGTATATGTGGGTATAACGTCATCGTAATAGTACTGATATTTACCTTCATTGTTAACAGGGCTACCACCAATACACGAACGTTCTGTAACCTTAAAATTTGCCACAACAGTTTATAGTTTTGAAATATGTTGATTTTTGTTTCTGATTCATCGAAGTCGTTTTCTTTTTTGAATGTAACGATTAGTATCGTTATCAGTATAAACGCTATACTCCAAAAGTATAAAAAACCTATATAGACAAGAAAAAGCGCATTTATGACTTTTTGAAGTAAACTTGTAGTTGTCGACTATCGACTAACACGTCGGAATAAAATAATAAATACATATTAGTCACACTTCACCTGCAATAATGTTAACGTACTTTTAATAGTAATTATCCCTCCTGTGTCATCTGTGAACCTCAAGTATTTATTGCAAAAGTCTTCGGACGTGAGCAGAACCGGGCCAACCATACCGATGAGCACACCTAATGCTAAACCAGTTCCGTTGCATGTAGAGGAATGACCTACGTTGTTTCTACAGTACAATAAAAATAATAATTTTATTAAAATATTAAATTATAAATGTGATATTTGGTAAATTAAAATATTCCAAACTGAAGACCACATATTCAGTCCTAAATGTTAACGAAATTGGATGAACAATTCTAATAAAATGCACCTGATGGCTAATGTGTTCTAATAATTTTTTTGTATTATTGCGTTCACAATTTTAATCTACAAAAAATATATGTATTTTATATAATTTTAGGCTGCCTAGTACCTATACCTACGTAAAATTCTCAAATGAAAAATAATGTCTTCACACGAATATTTTTTCTTTCTTTTTTAGTACTAAATATTTAGAGATTTATACAAGGAGACTGCTTATAGCTACGCGCTATTGTTCAAAACTTTGAAAATAATAACTTTTATTCAAATTCGTAGTAAAAAGTTAAAACCGATTGGCGGGGGAAACGTTTACACTATATTATTATACAGACATGATGACGTAATTGGCTATATTCGTTCAGAATCGTTAGGCGAGTATGTTTGAATGCACAAACAAAATATGCTCAATAAATCTATATTTTGATCTTTTTTTATCTATACTGAATCATTCCATCTAAAACCTCAGAATGCGCATGTTGGTGAACGAAGACGTACAAACCGAAATCACTTACTGTTTAAGCATTGTCAGTGCCCAACCGTCGACTACTATGTCTTGCGTGGCCGCCAGAAAAGTGATGACGGAGAACGCGTACACTAAAGCCTTGAGATTGGGTTTTTCAGACTCAGGCAACCATTCGTCGATTTTGGTAGCCGTGTAAAACAAAAAAGCGCCTGTAAAAACGTACAAAATAATAAATTTAAAACCGATCAGAATTCACATTTGTACTATATCAATGTACCGTAACCATATCAAATCAGTGAAGACTGGAATTAAATAATTTACATACCCATTAATAATTGAACGGGTATGAGCCAAGATTTTCGTCTGCCTATCCTCCGTACATATAGTGAGTCTACTATCGGCGCCCATAACAGTTTTGCGCTATATGGCCACGAGACTAAGCTAAAAAATGCCTAAATTAAAAAAAAAATAATTATAATAAATTTGATAGATTATTACACTTGGAATTTAGACTGAATTTTTAACCTGGTCATCCAAACAAATGTCATGAATTAGATGAATTCACTTATTCGTATCATCTGTAAGATTATAAAATCACTGACAGACACAATGCAATATCACATACACAAATCTATAATATTAAATATTTCATTAAAAACCCCCTACTGTGTTATTTAGATCTTTAGAATTGTATTGGATAAATATCTAAAAATTTCGAAAAACTTGCGAATCATTTTGTAATAGTTATTTTATTCATACAGATTATTATCATTTGTAATATGGCGCTACACGTTTTTTTTTTTTTTTACTTTCTAAACGATTTCTTCTACATTTCATAAATTATTGTGTTTTCGGTTTGTGTTTTAGATGAAATGTTTAAAACATTAAACATATTTAGTTTTTATCAAATACACAAACTCACTTGTTCTCGATAGGACACCACTCTTTTACTTTGGAAAATAATCGGCAAAGCGACGGCAAAGCCCAATGGCAACCCTTGTATCGTGTACAGCAATAATAACAGGAAAAAATTTAACCAATCTCCTTTTAGGTTCGATTTGCCAGGCAGATTCGATGCATCATCCGAGTGATTTTCGAGTTTTTCTAGCTCTTCGTCGTCATTCGTTTTTAAATTCGCCATTTTTTTCAATACCTACAAAACCTGATTTACGGTTTAAAAATATTATTTTAAACAATTATGTAATAATTTGTAATGAATAATAATAAAATAAATTTAGCCCTTTGTCGTTAAACGATAAGCTATAATGGACACGCATATTATTATTACTGTACGCGTTCACAATATCATAGTATTATAATAATAGTTTATATTATATTCTTAGCTAATCGATTTGACGAGTACATTAAAATAATATGCACATCGTGGTTCACGGTCAGTCGAATAATACATTAGTTATCTAGTATATGTACAAGGTTTCACTCAATAAAAATGTTTTGAAAAGTTATGAATGTCTTTTTATATCGAAAATAATACAATTTTATTAATCTTCCTCGAACAGCATTTAAATCAGTCTTCCGCGGATCTGACTATCCTCGTATCACCCTCAATAGCACGTATCTTCGTCTTTCGGCTTCCTCTTTCCTTCTGAGGCGATGTTTAATGTGTTCCTCGCCCCTTCGATGAACACATCGTTCGAACGATTACTATTATTTTTATTATTATTACTTTGGTAATTTATTTTTTAAAGACGAACTTAAATTTATATTTTATCCTCGTGGCAGAAGATAATACTATTTTCAAAAAGTCTATAAGAATACAATACCTATTGTATATGCAATGAGTTGTGAAAAAAACTACCAAGTTGATAACCAAGTCGTTAAAGTCATCAATCATCACACTTATTAGACAGTATTTATACAAGTACTGTACTAAACGACATGATTTAGTTAAGATTTACACTTTACTATAGTGTATAACAAAAACAAAAGAACATTGCAGAGTATTTCAATGGCGAATCCAAGGAAGGGGGCGTTGGGGGCGACCGTTCACTTTCCACAAAGTCTTAGATCAAATAATATACTCTTGGCTTCATTCATCATTGAACACGATATAAATGTGACTTTTGTGGCTTATATGAATTTTCAAATAATAATAAAACTTTTAAGTTTCCCTCCCCCGTTATTTACCTCAGATCCACCTTTATAGTATTTTTTAGTGTGTAACAACTTATATTTTGCCCATACGTTTGTTTTGGAATTATTATTAATCAGCCATTCACTGGGTAAAGCTGATTTGTAACGTAAGTGAATTTGTCGGTTACCTATTAATACGGTTAAATAATCTACATAAATATTGGTAGGTAATTAACCATAAATTATCCAGTAACAAATATTTATACATATTGGACCACTCAATTATTGATAACCACGCGCTCATCATACCTTATTGCGTAAACGATTTTTCTATACTGCTATACATAATATTATAATTTACTACAAGTGCAAAATTGATTTGAATATGGTAATAGTATTATTCCATTGTATATTTTTCGAGATTTGTGTAAACAAAACGTTTAAAATCACATTAAATCCACTATCAAATAATGTAGTAGTTTTAGGTTATGAGTATAGAATGGAATATATTGGTTTTACAATACTGTTTATTTACTTATTTTTTATCTGTAAACAACTTTTCTACCAGAAATATTGTTTTTATGTAGCAAGTATAGGACCTTTTCTAAAAGAAAATTTTTTCTTATTGGTATCTAGTCATTTTTTTGATTTTCTAAGCGGTTTTCATAATTATCGGGACAACTGAGAAAAAACGTAGAAAAATGGAAAAATGTATGAAATGTATTATTTTCAATTTTTTCGTATATTATGATTCAGTGAAAAATATTGGTAGAGATTTGAAATTTGAACAGAAAAATTATGTTTGTTTTTCTAAACGTGGCGAAATTCAAAACATTTTAGCCATTTTTGAGCTATTTATAGATATTATAATTTTTACAAATCCTGCATATCCCATATAGTACATTTCCTATGTAATGTATGTATATTTATCTACAATAAACGATGACAGCAGAGAGGTAGCTGCAAATAGAAATGTTAACACAGATTCGATTAACCGAGGGGCAAAAAATACATAAGAAGTTTAAAATGTATAGGATAATACATATATTATATCCACTCAATTTACTCGATTACACTGTGCATGTTCATTCAGTTCATAAATTGGAGACCATTTTTTTTTTCACTAGTAACATATTTAAACATGTCATTAATTTCATCTTTTCACGAAATGGATACTAAAATTTGATAGCTTATGAATTTTTTCATCAAATGACCATACATTTGATGAAACAAAATATTTAGTCTTTATTATAGATATTATTTTGAACAATTTGAAATACCTAGATCATTATTTCAATAAAGGACGTAGTAGACAATTTTATTTCTTTACCTGTACCTATGATAAAATGATCTATGTCTATTCTGGTGTACACAACGCAGCCACTGTTATACTAAACTCTCTTATTATCGTTGTGAAATCTACTAGGAGAAAATTAGTGCTTACAAACACATAGTACTTAAAATAAAGGTACAAAACTGTCTCATTATAAATATTTACCATCTTTAAGTAAACTTCAGTTAGTAATAGAAGGCTAAATGTTAAATAAATGGCCAATGTTACAAAATTCTATAAGATGTTGAGGAATCTGACCTTCGCGTGTTTAAGTTTGTTAGTTATAAATTAACAATTCCACGTGACTTAATATGAAATCGGTCGTCGCACTAAGTGAACGCACGTAAGGACCATTAATACGATTGTGGTAAACCGACGACATTCCCATCCAACAACGGATAATACGTGTTTATGGGCCAAAGGGAAAACGTGTCCTGGTACGGACGACGTGCCACCAGTAGACAACGACGGTAGCGTCCACCACCAATATCATTTATACGGCAGTACGGTGCGCGGCGTGTTATTTATGCACCACTACTCTCCTCCAACCTAAATTTAAAAATGGAATATCTCGTCAACAGCTTGACAGAAATCAAAAATTTCAATACTTAAATTTATTTTAACTAACATTCCATCTATTTATTTAATGTTTATTATAGGTTGCCATTTAAAAATCAAAAGTAAATAGTGGTTTTACCTCTAAAAGTAAAGAGCAGCTCGTTTATTAAATGTTCTAGAAAACAAATTTCGGAAAACGTTAATACTTTCCGAGATAATTAGTGTACCCACTGTTAAATGAATCACCTGGTAAATAAAAAATAAAAAATGTTTGGAAGTTCCGTTATAAACTCAAAATCGACTGGACCGATTGTGATGCGGTTTTCACCGATATAATCTGCAATTCTCGAGAAAGGTTTATAGCTGATTTTTATTTCGAAATTACAACTTTGAAGAGGAATTCACGCGGAGTTATTGGTATTTTAGATACGAAAATCGAATTATTTATGTTGGTTTATTGATTATCTTGGTGATACAAATAAAATAAAATAAATAACAAGAGCGATAAAAATTTACTTGCAAATTGGATGGAAATTGAACATTGCAAATTTAAAATGGCTATAATTAAAAAAGTTAATAAATAAACAAAATATATTTCTTTTTTTAGCGTAGTAGAACACGCCGGTTATCCGCTATGTTTTATATTTGATCAAAACAATCCAAATAACTGTATTAAAAATATGTGTAGCTTAGTGCTGACTTTTAATAGAGTTTCAAAGGAGGTAAATCCATGGGCGTTGAATTCATCACGTGCAACGCCTTGCAAGATCAGCTAGTTATAAATAATAAATTAATAATTTTATAAGTAATAATAATAATAATAATAGTAATAATAATAATGATTTATATTTATGTATAAAGGGGAACACGGGGTAAAATTGATACTGGAGCATAATCGATTTTAATTAATCATATACTATTCCATAGGTGAAAGTTATCAGTTTCAGATTTATTTCATTCTTCGTCATTGGAAGCGTGACAAACATCATAAACATTTTTAGACAATAAATTGATAACTCTTCCCTCATATTCCGATCTAAATATTTAACTATTATAACACATAAACGATAAATCCAATATAAGTGTTACGCAGGTTATTAACATATTTAGAAAAAAATTCCCTGTGCTAGTCTGAATATTTCAATAGAAGGGGAAAGTTTTCTATTTGAAAATCAAAAATGTATAATAATTTTTGGTATTTGGAGTAGGGATGAACAAATGAAAATATAACGCTTAAATAAAGCATAAGAAATAATAAATAAATAACGTCAACTTAAAAGGTTTAATGGTTCACGCGTACTAGTTAGATTTAGTTACGAAGTATTAATACTTTTAGAATTAGTTTGATTATGATATGGTATAAAATTACGAATGCCTCACCTCTCGTAGTCGTTTAAAAATCAAAACATAATACGCTGTCCAGAACAAAAAAAATCATACACTGTTTTCAGATGAAAAATAGTTGACGACTATTGAAATTTCGAAATTTCAATGCGATTAAAATACGATATTATTAAGTATACCAACCGTTTACGCGCGATTGCCGATCGCGTGGAACTGAACAGGACATCGCACGGTAACGGTGAGAGTCAAACAACATTATTATCCTTGATGTGGTATTTAAAAAGTGGGGTATTCTTTTCACTTTGCGGTTTTTACAATAATAATATCACTACGTTTCAGCTACTTCCTAACCACTTCCCCACTCGGATACCACGGACACACCTTATTTTTCGGACAACACCTTCGCGCGACAGATTAATTTCGTGTATCGTATTGTTGCCACTCGTTCCTATACAACCGTCGAATACGATTACGAATATATTTATCGTGTTACGTACTTAAGTATTTTCGTATTAATAAAAATATAAAATATAATTCTAAGTTTCATTCCTCGTTCATATTATGCATAACAATTGGGTTATTCGATTATTCACTGCCGGTAACGTATACAAATCACGTACAAAACATCGTACACAAAGTTCTTAAATGTGTATTGTAAATTATATGTTTGTATAGCTACGAATTAGGGGTAGTAATCGCATATTATTTTATAATTTATGTATAACACATACGGGAACCGTTAACCGGCATATTATTATTATAATATACGAGATACAGTTACATAGTAATAATAAACACCAAATAAGGTATACCTAGATATAATTGTATAGTTTGTTTACGCTTTTACTGAAAGTTGAACAAAAACGATAATGTATACAATATGATATTATAATATTATAGTGTTGTTACTACTGTTGACTAAGTGTATATTTTCTTTGTTTTAATTCCATTATTCTCAAATTTTTGAAAACAAAATATAATATTTTACGACATTTAGGTATTAATAGCACGTTGAACGTGCATTGATCGTGTCTCTGTCAATATCTAACGGTCAATATGGCGAAAATGTAATACTCAGACATTCAGGTCTTGATATTCGTATAGGCTTAATTTCAGTGTCTGAATAAAAACGGTAAATTATATTAAACTACTAATCTATACATTTCCGTGTCAACGTGCAAAAATTGCATAATAATCTTTCGGTAATAAATTTCAATTGATAAGTAAATAGTAGTAATAACATCAGGTACAAATCTAATACGTTACGAAATCGACTATTTTTTTAGACCACGAAAAATTGGAAAACATTTTAACTAATGTAATCATTAATATCGTGAATTTGTCCGTTTTAGTTTATGTTTTTTTTTTTTTAGTTATCCCGATTACTATAAAAACCACTTGGAAAACCCACAAATGACCTCCTTAACGTACCAAATAGATTAAAATGCAATAAACTTTTTTTTTAACAATATTTTTTGAAAAAAGTTGCTCGCAGACCGAAAAAAAATATGCATATATCATAGTAAAATTAATACATACCTTACTCCTAATACTCGTTTTTGTATTTATCGAAGAAGTGGAATTACAAGCATATATTTTCTGATATGTTAATTAAAAATAAAAATTCAAAAACTAATTTCAATAAATAAATTAATTAATAAATTCAATACAAAACTCATCGGTTTTTAACAATCGAAAAATACACGACTCGAAGATCTTTAATGTATTTACAAAAAAAAAAAAAATACTGCCGATTTATTTAAATAATCATTTTGTATTTTTATATGTATAATACATCTGGACATACTTTGCACTATGGATAGACGACTGTTGTAGATGCAAAGTTGGGAAGATATAATATAGGATGCAGAATTACTTTGTGTTATATTTGTATTAAGGACTAATGAGAATCAAGACTAATTATTCAAATATAGTACTACCGGGTAAAAATTCTGCATCTTTGAATGTCCGATGTGAACAATTTGGAACAATTTTATTACTATTATTATTATATTGTAAATTATTATTATACTTATATTTAAATTAATTGTGCGATGCACTCAAGAGGACCCGCACGTGCTGTCTTAGTACAACTAACGGACAATATAGCAAAATCGACCTTACGCAAATTCGCTTACTTTGGGTTTATGATTAAAATCGTTTATTATAAAATTAAAAGACATTATTTTACATTATGTAAAAGTGTTTTTGGAGAAATAACCATGCACCAAACATCTAGGGGATAAATTATTGAGAATTTTCAAAAACATTTCGTTTAAAGTACCACCGTGTGAAAATTTCACATATTTTACAGTAGGTACTGACTGAAAAAAATTAGAGAACTTTAAAAGTGTTTAACACATCTCTGTAAAACTCATTAAACAATGCAGCTTCTTTGCTGTAGTCAGAACCTAAAAAAAGAAAAAAAAACAATGAGATCGATACGATATTTATTTTAGATTTTCAAACAAAATTTCGAATATTTTTTAAATTATATTTTTACTAATGTCTATAATATATTTAAAAATGTATGGATTTAGATAAATAATTGTCTGTTTATATAGTTATATATATATATATACAGGATAATTCATAAGCTTGGTCACCCCATTATTTTGGTTAAATTTTGCATATATTCAAATTGTAACTTTTGGAATTATTAAGTGTATTGGAAGACGATATTTTCGTATATTTGGATTTTTCACAACAATGAAGGAGTATCCTTTGGCGATACCAACGTTGGTTTTTCAAATGTGAACCTATATTAAAAGTTCCATAAATAGATGGAGTATTAATTCAAATAAATTTCGGTGCTAACATTTTTCATTTACCTCAAATCGTTGACAAAATATTCGACTTTAAATTTTAGGTAGGGGGAGAGTTGTGGGCGACGGTCAAAACGCCGTGCGCCGTGTCGTTACACAAATGATACTTCACTACTTTCTCCCAACCGAAACTTAAAAGTCGAATATCTCGTCAAGGGTTTGACGGAAATCAAAAATCATAATATTAAAGTTTATTTAAATTATTACTCAATTTATCGAATTTCTAACAAAGGTTCTCATTTGAAAAAAATTGGTATCATCACAGGGTACTCCTTAAATATAGTGAAAACTCTAAATATTCGAAAATATCGTCTTCAACTTAACTTAAAATTCCAACATATTCAAAACTAAACCGAAAAAATGAAGTGAGCATGCTTAGTGGATCAGCCCTGTACATAACATTTATATATTCCATTACAATATCTATTTTATTCATTTTTAGCTTACAGATATAATATGATTAGTGTCAATAACGATAAACAATCATTTTTTTCCTCCAAAAAATCGGCAACTTATATTAGTGATTATTATTATCTAAAGTAAGGGCAGTTCGTTCGATAAAAGCGTTCGTACTCGTCCGTCGAAAATTATTATCAATTGACAATAATAATAAATCATTACCTATCCTAGTATACGAACTTAATTCATTGATGGAACATACAAAAAAAAAAACAACAAATAATTTAATAGCCAAAGACGAACAATCCACAAGCTATTTTCTTTTCTTTTTACATAACATCTAGAAATCTAATGTTACATAATATAGAATAAATAAATAATATACAAAATAATTTATTTATACTATAATATTCTTATTGGACACGATAATATTATCACGTCGAAGTCATAACGAACGGATTTTTCGTTTTCGTTTGTTCCACGTTTACTTTCCAATGTAAAGAGCTTCTTGACTGTAGGTCTTTGACGATGCTGTTAAAAATACAGTACCAAATAAATCCGATGATCACGCACAGAACGATTTCTACATAATAACCATCGACGATTAACTCACAATCTTCGTTATTATATACCTAAATTAGAAAAAAAAACCGTTCAATAAATAAAGTTAGATATGCAAAATATGTATACATATGATTATTAATTTCATATGGTGTATGCGACGGAAAATTATTATTGCAAACGAAAACCGATTCTGAGGAAAGTTTGGAATAACTATTTTGGATAAACTGAATTTGAAAATGTCATTAATTTCGATAATTTGTAACTATAATAATATTGTATGTTTTTTTCCACTAATTCAATCGTAAGTTTGAACCTAAAAAAGACGTTTAAAAAAAATTAGAACATTAAGCTCAACATTTGTTCACAGTAACAATTTATGGCGAACTTATATTAAATTTTCTTGCATTTTTAATGAAGCCAAAAAATTTTCCTCGCATACCTACTTAGAAAACGAACTAAAAATAATAAAGGTATGAGAAATGTCAGAGATTTTTACAAATTGTGTCATAAACTTTAATAGGTTCTAAAAAAAAAAAAAAATAAATAAATAAATACTGCCTACAGATTTTTAATAATTTGATATTATCATAAAATCAACTTATAAGGATCGGTTTATTTCAAATTTTTTAAAATTTATCAAATACTTAAAATGTATTTTATTCACATATAAATAAAATATATATATATATATATATATATATATATATATATATCTAATAGATCTAAGAAATTAAAAAAAAAACGTCAGAATATTTCTCAAATTGTATTACGTTTATAAAACGTTATTGCATAAATATTCCCACTTTTTCGATTTGTTCTAATTGTAAAGAAAAGTACAAAGGTTTTTTTTTATTAGAAACCACTCAAGAAATTAACAATTACATTAAGAATTCTGGTCAAAAAATTGTTTATACTTTTATAGAGAGAAAAAAATCGCTTTGCTCAAAATCTAAATTATATTTATCATCAGTGGCGATACGATGGTTTAGGTTCATGCCTCCCTTACCTATTCAATTTTTAACACTTAACAAAATTATGGAATACAATGTTTTTCAAGATTGAAAAAAATCTAAACTTTTTAATGATAATTTTTTGTTATTTTAATAGGTAATACAATTTGGCAAAATTCACATCTTAAGAAAATGTACAATGACTTTAAATTAGTTACATGCGCACCCTGGAGTAAAAATTCTATTCGCGTAATGGTAATAAAATATATTATACAATTAAAAAATATATAATATTTAAAATAAAATGAGCTAAACATTTAGTTGGCATCACTCTAAATATCTGGTTTGTAAATTGTTTTTTCTTATTCTTAATTTATTTCGTTTGCTTACGTCTTTTGTGTTTGTTGTAGTATAATAAACGTCTGGATCTTCAGTCGGACAATTGTGAAACGTTAAACTGTCGACGAGTTTCAGCGCTATAGTACCTGGTCCGACCAACCCCATGGTGTTGACAGTATTTAATAAAGTCATGTACGTGCCGCCGAAACGGGGATCACTTATCCGAGAGAAAAAGGCGTAAATGGCTATTGACATGATGTAGTTAAATACCTATAGAGTAGGGACAACAAAAAATAATATGACTTAATCAATCCGTTATTGTGAATTTGTGTCAGATATAATATTATGGCAATGTGCAATGTAGGCAAGCTGAACTCTTCTTATCTGATTTCCTTCGCCTTCAACTCTATATTGATAATTTTCCGAAGTTATTCACTAGGATTAGATCCATATACGTCTTGTTTTAGATGTACGAGAATTCAAAATATTACCGTTGGGACGGTTTCAGTAGTATTCTTATGCAGAATGATTTCTTAAGCATGCTTAACTTATTTTTATGGTTAAATTAGACAAATTCAAATTATGATTTTTTTTTTTTTTTTGATTTTTAAGTGTAGTGGAAGACGATATTATTTTTGCACGCTTAGATTTTTTTTCCAATTTCTCATTGGTTTTTCAAATGAGAACCTACATTTTTTTTATGTAAATTATCAATCAAGTGATTTCTTTGAAAATGTTGACTTATTGTGATCGAAATTTGAAAGTTTTTAGATAGCGTTTTATGGAAATTGGCTACCAACCGTATCATAGGAGTCGTGTATAGGCAATTTTTTGTTTTATTTCGTGCAGTTATCCTTAGGTATATTTTGGAATAAGATTTATGGTAAAAAAGTTACGCTCAGAATATAAAACATTTAAGAATGTTATTTCTGAGCAAATTTATAATTTTAAAATCAATATATGTACTGATGAAATAGGTTTTGGTAAATATAGGTATCTTATATTTTTGTATGGGTATATAAAAATGAATGTCGCAACTTACGTCGTTTACAGACCATATGAATCCTAATGTAAAATTGTATGAAAAATATCTATTTAAAAATCCGTTTTTTTGTATAAGTACTGGCGTGTAATAAATAAACGAGGCATATACAATACTCCAGAGTAACCTGAAATAAATGATTCATTAATTAACACGAACATATGACATATCACATCGTGTATAGTGAAAAACCCCCTCAACTTATAAAATCTTATTTCCGTTAAACATAATAAAAAACAGTTTTACTATTATTATATATTAATGAATATCGTACACTAAAGGCAATGATGTTTATATAGTTAAATGATAGCCTGGGATGGCCGGGCTACCTTTCAAATTTCACTGGCCACCCATTTGACTACCCCGTAATCCCCGTCTTCTCGATAAAAATATTTAATACGATTTAAAGACAAATGAAATAAAAATCAAATTATTGATAAGCGAAACAAATAATATCTATGTCTCGTATTATTATAATATTATCAAATGCGATGAAAAAACACTGTCCAAAAGTAACTATACTATATAGTATAATAAATATTTATATAGTAAAACTATATACAAGTTATCTTTGATTTAGTAAATTACTTGATTTTGTTTTTTTTATTTTTAGCCATACATTTTTATTTTATTTTAGGAGTACACTCTAAGTTCCCAATATTCTAAATATAGATATTTCAACCGTGGTTTGTTCACTTTATACTTGAAAATTCTGACCTATGGTACTGATAAAATGGCACGATTAAACGCACATAATGGACAAAGACATAAAACACGAGGGGTATAGACAAGTAAACAATGAATAGATATTTATAGATTCACATTTAACTATACTGTGTCCATCATCCTTGATTAGTATTCTGGCTAATAATAATTACTGCGATCGACTCACTTTATGGGTAAAATGTTCATATATAAACTCATTGGTTTCGGACCCGAGATGTATTTAGTTATAAAAAAGGGTATGACAATTTGTATCATATCGATAAACATTGCTATCACTGTGATGTCTTCCTTGGACACGCCGGCGTCCATAATTTTAAGATTCGACACAGCTTCTATGGCAGAGAATCCAATCTGTAATAACATAAAAAAATTAATATTTTTCATTTCTAAAGAAAGAAAAAAATGAATTTCAATAGTAATACGAAATTGCAAAGGAAAAGATTAAAAGCAATATACCTATACTTAAATTATTCGACTTGTTACGAAAGAATACATGTATTTAAATAAAATAATAAACATTTAAATGGACATAAATAATTTTAACTAAATTATATATAAGGTTTAATTATGCCGAAAAAAACTCACCCTAGATGTTAATAGAGCTAATGTCAATGTTCTTATACTAGGTAACTTTAGAATGTTCAAAAGAAGTTTATAATTTTGAAAAATATTGATTTTTACATGATCAGCTTCTAATCTGGTATCCTTTTCCTTTTTAAAAATCCCCACTAATGTCGTTATGATTATGTATACGACACCCCAAAAATATAAAAAACCTAAAAAAAATACATTAAAAATATAAATCCAACAAAAGTTTAAAATTATAATGAGGTGCGTAATATGTGCAATTTAATGTATTTCCAGTGTGATTTTTTATGTTTTCAATATTTATACATAGCTTCATAAATATACAAAGTGTTTTTAAATGTAAAACTGTTGTAGGTGGGTAATGGGGAAGGTGGAATACATAAAGTTATTTAATTTATTCCTGTGACCAACGATATACCATTGATAACAAAAATTGATTCGGAACGAAGTCCAGTTATACTTGTTTTTAAAGGTCGTAGTATTTAAGATTGTTGACAAAATTTGTTTTTAAAAAACTTTTATAAAAAAAAAAAAAAAATACTACATTAAATTAAATTTTTTTTTGATCACTATTCATTTTGATCTGACCTCCTATTAAATTTTCAAGTTATTTATGCGAAACATACGCATGGATTATTAATTTGAGATTTAATTATTTCTGAAATTATGTTTCAAAAAGTAAAATATTAATTAATAATCAGTAATCACTAAGTATCAATTTTGTAAAAATGTGTATTATATGTATACATATCATTATTATTAAAAATAGTTACATATCATTTTAGTTTTATATAAACATTTGAAGAGGCTAAGCCTCCGTAAGCCCCCCCACGATCTCTACCTAGGCTCGTTATGCTTCAAATCTAAAAGAGCCGTCACAAATATTTCTCAGTTTTTCACAAACATTTTTTCCTAATTATTATGAAAACCCCTTCGAAAATCATAAAACAATCTCTATAATCCAAATAGATCCGAAACGGTACAAAAATTAAAAACTAAACGGACGAATGTTTGCTTGGATTAAATAATGTCATTGTTCCACAAATCATAAGTATATTTTACTTAAATTAAAATGATTACAAATGATAAATTATTGATTCAAGATCATAGTAAAATTATGAAGTTGCTGAATGCTACATTTTTTATGAATTAGACAACCAAACTAACTTCACATTTAAAAAGATATTTATAAAGTATTATTGGTTATCTATACATTCAAACTGATGAAAACTATTATATTTTACAAATTAAACAATTCGAACTGATTATAAATTATGCTGTCGAATAGTATAATACCTATAGCTATTAAAATCAAAAAATACAAAAAACGTTAAATAAAAAGCGTTTTTTTTTTTTTTTATATTTCTTATTAATTAAATTAAAATTGTTTTATTACTATGACACGGTAAATATATATTAAAATGACTCAACTGGAATAATCGCAAAAAGCAATAAAAATGCGTTTACATAAAAAAAAATATTCATTTATATAGAATTAAAATGACAAGAGGAATAATTTATGTATACACGTTGTATACCTTATATAGAAAAACAATAATCATATTATGCTTTATAATCCAAGTTCAATATTAATATACCTAACTAATCTATTGATATTGTAAATAAACTATTAATTTATTTGTTCTTTTTTTTTTTACTAAATATTTGTCAATATTATTTTACTAACATACTTTTGAAAGTAACCATTCCTCCGGGGCTGGGATTAATTCTTAAATAAGTATTACAAAAATCCTCCGATGCGAGTAAAATTGGACAAATCGAACCGATAAACATTCCAAATGCCATTCCAGTTCCGTTGCAAGTAGAAGCATAATTTACATTATTTCTGAAAAAAAAAAAACAATGAACAAGATCTGTGAGAAAAATATCATTATGTACAATATATGATGATTGAATCGCTTACTTTCTCAACATAGTCAACGCCCAACCATCAACAACAATATCCAAAGTCCCAGAAAAGTAGTTACTAACAAAAAACACAAATAATATCATTTTAATGTTTGGTTTTCCCGATTCAGGCAACCAATCATCAATGTTGTTGGCGACATAAATAAAAAATATCCCTGTTTAACATTACAAAGGTACAAGTTCTTAATATTAGTTCTTACACGTATAATATTTATATATGTATATCTATATGTAAATATAGAAACGATCAGTTGAACTATATATATAGTATACATATATATACTATATATATGCAGTCTTTGTGGAAAGCTAAAGTTAAATTTATAAAAAAGGTTAACGGGTAGATTCTGAATTAAAATTGCATGCGAAGGAGACAATTAATTATGTTATTCATACTACAGCAATAATTATTTGGTATATCTTTCGCCTCTCATTCCATCTATTTGAGACGGGTCACCTTAATGCTAACTCACCACTTGACTTGGTATCATACATCATCAATGCATTCTTCTGATATCTCCATGTCACTCTTAATTGCATCTCCTTTTTGGTATTCCTATTCCAGTCCATCTTTCCATCCTTTCACGATCATCCGTAAAAATACTCTTAGTAAAAAAAAACGTTCTAAAAAACACCTACGCGACCCTTAGTACAAACTCATTCCGTATTCTATCTTAGATGGATTTATATATCATAGATAGAGATTAGTCTAGTATACAACATAGCCGAACATATACAAAATTATACTTTTTAGCCTAATTTAAATACTTATGTTACAAAATACACCTTGTCCCTCTCTCCGTTTCATCTAATCACACATAGTCTTACGTTTCAGATCCATCATTCTTCTATGAAAAAAAAAAAAACCTAAAACTGTACAAATTTCAAAATAAGTTTAAACAACAACTTTTGATAATATGTTTATATGTAAATAAATGAAAAAAATAGTTATAGAATACATACTTACCCATCGAGTATTGGACAGGGACGAACCAAGATTTTCGTCTGCCTATAGCCTGTATATAAAATGCATCTACTATGGGTGCCCATAAGAGTTTCATGCTATAAGGCCATAATACAAAACTGAATATAGCCTATAACATTAATTAAAACGATGTAATATAACACGTATTATTAAGTAACTGGTGACTATAATAGTGTATTTCACTTTGTCAGTGACAGTAATACTTGAAGGGAAAAGGAGGAGGAAAGCGATTCAAAGTCTTAAAAAATGGCTTATGTTACCGACAAGGTCGCAAGTTAGAACGACTGTGGATTTTTAACATGTTATGATATTAAATTAACCGCACCGTAGTTAAGGTTTATGATATTTGTATACAAGTGATAACGACCAAGCTATTATCAATTTAAATTCAGATAAACACATTAAAATATATTTTGTTTAAAATCCAATTTTGGTACTATTATTTCTAAAATTAAAACTAATAATGTATCCGTTATAAAACTTGATATACACATTTGTAATTCAGGGGACAGAAAACACACATTTTTAGACCCTGTTAACGATAGACAACCGTCAACGATTTTTACTGATCCTCGCAGTGTAATACTAAAATATTAAAAAAAGTTATAAAAAAAAATAAATACAATCGCATATCCGAGATCTCGAAGGTTTAAAGCGAAAAACAATTCGTACGTTATCTTTTATTGTAAGATTGAGTACATCAAAAGTTTAAATGAAAAAATAATAAAACTACACTACGTCATAAAATCGTATAATTTAAAAACGTGAACGTTTAAAATTGTTTTTTTTTTAAACTGATAAAATTTTTTTTTTCCCTTTCCACGTATCTTTTGAACCTCATTGCGTTTCACACGTTATCTTCAATCTTCAATGTACTATGATACCGTTATCATCGTAGGACATAAAGTTTTGGGGTTATATAAACGTAGAATAATATTATTTATTTTCAAACGGTTAAATGCCGATGATAATTATACTTATTATTCCTAAACGGCCGATTTAATGGTACCGTTACACCAAACCTACCATATCGATAATAGTAATTAATTGATAACTATAAAACATAATCACACAATGTTAAAAACTGTATAATAATATTGTTACATTATATAGTTCACCTGTTCTTCGTAGGAAACAACTTTTTTGCTTTGGAATATTATCGGCAGAGCCGTGGATATGCCGATCGGCAAACCTTGCATCGTGTACAGCAATAACAGAAGGAAAAAGTTCAGCCAATCTCCTTTCAGGTCGGGTTCGGTTCCGGAAGGATTGTACGACGTCATCTTCGATTGTACGCCGGCTTCGCTTATAATCGATAATCTTTTCATTGTGTTCGGTCGCTATGAATAATCCGACACTATTACAGTATGAAATCGCGTCCACCTAACGTTTATGCGCCATATTCAACGACAAAATATAAACTGTCGACGAACTAATACTATATTATTTTGGCCGCATATATTTGGTGTCAATTTATAATTTATGTAGCGTAATCGTGATTTGTTGAACTGTTACAGTATGTGCTCTTCATAAAACAAAGCGACTCTTTTAATTAATGGTTTTAAAAGGTTAATATTGATTAAAATAGAAACATACGTATAGATTGAAAATTACGTTCAATAATTATCGTATACATAAGGCGATTTAATAATTAATAATTATACACTGCTATATAACTTATCGATAGTCGCAGTAAATTAAATAAATAAATAATATTATCACATGTTTTATTATTAGTTAAAAGTTCCTACACAATATTCACAACGCCTGGACCTCACGTTTATAGTTGAGTATTATATTGTACATCGTGATTGTTGCGAAAATCGCAACTATGATAGTTACTGTCATAAGCTATCGTGGTATAAATAGAGCTCTTGTAACACTATCGGACAATCTTGAAAGTAACTATCACACTATCATGCATACGTATTGGTATAATAGTAACTGACGCGAGAGTAATGTAAATAACTCAACGTGTAGACGCGTAATAATACTATTATTATCATTCTATTTTACTCTCGTGAATCGTGATAACAGACGTTTTTATACTGAAAATCACTGTACTATCGTGTTGTCTATTGCATTGCCATTCTACAACATTATCGTATGGCCGCTATATCTATGATTGTTATATACTATCGCGATAGTTTCCTTCTCCGAAAAAACTATGCTTATCGGGGTAAATTGATTTAAATATTTATAATTTTTAATCAGGTATACCTATATTGTTGTAATTTATACCAACGTTGATAATAATAAAAAAAAAATATAGGCTTTTCTTTGGTAACTTTTACTCGATTCACAATATTATATTCCAACGATATTTGCGAAAACGGTAGTTAAACGTCGACGTTATCTGAAGAGTAATATATATATATAATGGTACCTAACTTTAACCAATTGTGTAAATAATATTAATATATTATTGCCGGAGAAAAAATACGTTACAGTAATTTATTAGAGATGTTTAATTAATAAATAATAAAACGACAGTTAATCAGTACGCGCGCAATAATATATTATAATCACGCGAATTACGTTATAATCGATTCCATTACTTCTTGGCCACTACTTTTCGCCTGTTTAACGTTTACCGTCCAATGCGAAAGTTTCATTGATTGAAAGTTTTTGATGATGTTTCCAAAAATACCGTACCAAACGAATCCGACGACCATGCAAAAGGCAGTCACTATATAATAGCCGTTCACGTTTACCGCGCAAGTTCCTTTGTTACTAATATTGCAAATCTGAAAAAAGCAAGTCGAAATAAAAAAACATTATATATGAGTATAGGTATCCAGATATTTTTTATTTCGAAATTTGAACATTGCAAATTACTCACATCTATCGATTCGCTGGTGGTACACAAGTTTCTCGGGTCGTTTGAACACCGTTTAAACGTCAAGAGGTCGACCAATTTCAAAATAAACGTGTTCGATAGTAGAAATCCCAAAAAGAAAAACGTATTGAATAAAGTCATGTACGTGCCACCGAACTTTGGGTCACTCAATCGACAAAAAAATGCGAATAATGCTAATATCATGAAAAAACTGAGCATCTAAAACATACAAATAACTGCTTTATTCATGATTATAAATATAAATAATTATAAATTATTATAACTGTAATTTTTTTATTTTAATCTTTATTTTTAATTTGTAAACATTAATTGAATCCAGGAAGATACGTATTACACTACGTACACTCACCAATGCCCCCTCTACCATCGCGTATAATGAATAATAAAATGTATTAGAAATTATAATGAATCATAACTTGAAATTACTAATATTATATAACATTTAATATATTTCTCATTAAACAGCTTATCAGTTGTAGACGAATGTTTAAGTAGGTACCTACCGTATACTTAACAGTCTGCTAACTTACTTCATTAACTAAACTAATGAATCCCAGTGTAAAATAATAAATCATCGATACTTGAACAATTCCGTTTTCGTGTATTAAACTCGGCGTGTAATAAATCAAAACGACGTACGGGATAGCCCATAACAATCTGAAACACATGTTTTGTATGCGAAATATTAACAATATGCTTGTTCCTAATATATTTCTATGGCTTGGTGCAAGAATAGTTAATATTAAAAAAAATATATATATTTTTAAAAAAGTTGAAAAACTTCAACGGATAAAACGGAAGAAGTTTAAATGCGTTTTGCTTTTTTTTTTTTTTTTTTTAAATGAAATAGATTAATTAAATGTGATAAAAAAAGCAATCAGTAAATTGATCTTAAATAATCGCAATCAGAACCAACGGCTGCACATTTCTTTTTTATATTATATTAAAAAACAAAACAAAATTCAATCTTCTTCGGCGTTTAGTAATTTCATAAAATATTAGGCTTATAAATTAACATTTTCTAGACACGGTGTTTTTTGTTCGGAGGCATCAATCTACTGTTTTATGTATTTGTTAAGTTAGTTTGGTTGCCTAATTCATAAAAAATGTAGTCTCGTTTAGTAACTGCTTAATTTTACTGCGTATCTTGTTGATGAATTAGACAAACATTTTTTGATTTTCTAATGGGTTTTTGAAATAATTGGGAAAAACCGAAAGAAAATTATAGGTAAAATGGCAAATATTTACGGCACGTCGTGACGTTATTGTTTTCATTGTGTTCTACTTAAGTTTTATACAAGAAATATTGCTACAAACTAAAAATATCAAACGATTGATTTTGTTCCTTTTAATATTTTGCTATTGACAGAGTAAGTCATATTTCAATGTAAAAATTAATTTTTATAATTATTGGGAAAAACCGAAAAAATTAAAATTGATTAATATTCACATCAAAATTCAACTTATGTCAAAAACATTATTTATAACATAACGGTTTTAACCGTAAATATTACTCCAATCAAAAAATTACACGAGTTCAATTTTGTTCCTCTTAACACATGACCACTGACAAAGAAAGTTGTTTTTTTGATATTTAAAGTATTTTTTATAATAATTGGGAAAAACCAAAAAGACGAAATATACGATTTTTTTTTTCAAATTACAGCACAACGATTCCATTATTTTAAATTTTTACGGCTTATATTCTTTAGGTACCGTAAATATTTCAAAAATAAATAAACGACAAAAGACCTTTTTTGTTGTATTTTTAATCTAGTTTATGAGTAAGTTATTCATTTTTTTTGATTTTTTTGATTAATTAAAAAACTATAATAACACCAAAATAAAACGTAGAAATAATGTGAAATTTTTTGAAAATAACGCTTTTTTAATTTTGTTTTTCCATTTTGATTTAGGTTAAAATATTCGTAGAGACTTAAAATTTCAACAGTAAATATATTTTTACTTTTTTTAGAAGCAGTAAAACGTTCAAAGCCTTTTAGTTATTTTTGAGCTATTTATAGACATTTTAATTATTGCGACTTTTTACGTAACTTTTAATTGGTAGATACTTTGAGAATAAAAATGTTACACTAAACTAAAATTCTTGAAAATTTAACAAGAGATTCATTATAAGTCCTAGTTAGTGGTTGAAAAAAAAATTGGTAATAATACGATGTATTTTTTTTTTTTAAGTTTTAAATTTGACGAAAATCGTATATATTACGGCCTTTCAAAACATATAACCGGACGTCGCTTCGAATCGTTTTTCATTAACAATAGTTTATCGTTGGATACAGATATAAATTAAATAACTTTATGTATCCCACCTTCCCCACTATCCATCTACAACAATGGCTGCACTCGTCTGCAGTAACGGTTCTTTATTTATTTTTTGTTACATTTCATTTTCTATCATTATCTATTTTGTTCGTTTTTTCAACGAACAGATTTTTGATTTTATTAATTAATTAATTAGTTTTATTTTCGTCTTTTTAATCTTATTTCTTTATTTTTTGACGCATTTTAGTTTTTCATAATTGATTAATGTGTTCGAGATTCGAACACAAGACTGATCGGCAATGTAAAAACGGTGCACGAGGACATTAGTCTAGCATATTTTAATATGTCTATACACAGACAAATAAATAGTATAGGTTTTTGATTATTTTTGACCACTTCATTAATTTTTTTAAGATATCACATCAGCCTAAATACGCAATAATTTAACGATATCATACACATCTAAATCGGTTAAGGCATCTAAGAGTTATGGTGAAATAAAGAAACTCACATACATTCATAAAACTCGCATTGCAGTCTAGTCATAATACAAAACTATAATAAATACGGGTTTTTTTACTCATAATAATTATAAGATTAATTAATTGTTACATTAGGTTCAAATAAGAATCTACAAATAAAAGAAATTTTTGACCCTGTACTTGAATGGTGTTATTTTCAGATAATAGCTCATCGGTTTGGGGCCCGTCGTATATTTGGAAATGAAAATGGGCATGGTGAATTTTACGGCGTAACAAATCGTAGTGATAACCATAATGTTTTCCTTAGGCAATCCTGCATCGATTAAATTCAAATTTGGGAGATTATCTGTAGCGCAGAATCCTATCTAAAATATAAAGACACACTTTCATAAATAAAATATACAAATATAATCAACGATCGTGCGACTTGTATTAGTAAAAAAAAACGAATTCAAAATTTGAACCAAATATAAACTGTTAGGTATAGTGTATATGCAATTTAGGATTTTGATTAAGATTGTTGATTTTATTTGTTTTTTTTTTCAATGCCTATAAATAATAATATACTCACTTTGGCTGTAAATAAAGCTAATGCCAATATTCGTATATGAGGCAACTTTAAAATGTTCCATAATATCTTATAATTTTGACAGACGCTGATTTTCACGTGGTCGTTTTCCTGTAAAACGTTATCGTTTTCCTTTTTGAATATTCCAACCAATATCGTAATCAATATTACTGTTATACCGCAAAAACATAGAAAGCCTGCCAAAATAAAAAAAATAAAAAAATAGTAATGTATTCAATTATTTTTTAAATATTTGTGATCAATGGCTTAGTCAGGAAGGGGTTTTGGGTTACAATCCCCCCTCTTCAAAGTTTTTTTTAAATGTTACTGAAATATATAGTTTGCATGTTATTCGAGTTAAAGTGTAAAATTTCTCGAAAATACTTCGCGTAATATGCATGGAATAATATACACTTTAATCGATCTGCAGTTTTAATTAATATTTTCGGAGATAACGAATAATGTATGTTGAGTCATCGTATTTATAATAATTTTGATAATATTCTATATGTACTGAAAATTGTATAAATTAAATATCTATTATAAATTTATAATATTTCAGATTCGAAACGGAACGATCGACTTGTTGGTTTTACTACGATGTGTTTTTTTTTTGTGTGTGTGGGTTTGTGAGCAACTTTTTTATCTGCAAAAATTTTGCTTTGATGTATCAAGTGTAGTATCTTTTCTGAAAGGAAATTTTACCTAGTTTGTGCATAAAGAAAGTAAGTTTTTGATTTTCCAAGAAGTTTTCATAATTATTGGGAAAATATTGGGAAATTTTAGAAAATTTTTGCGAACTAAGTTTTCTACTAGAAATAGTGCTCCAGTAGAAAAATGACAAGATATTTTTTCTATTGAATTTTAGATCTAGATACTCCGAAGAATAATAATTTCATAATAAATAATGGCTGCAAGTTTAAACTTTATGGAAACCATAAATACAACGTCCTTTAAAAGCATGTAATTATATACAAACTTCGCTCAGAATCTTTTTCGTAAACAATGTTTGTAATATGTTGAGATATTATATAGGCAAATTCATAACAAACCTAGTGGCGCCAGGTTTACCTTAAAGCAGAACAAGCAGGTGGTTAGAACGACCACATTTTAAGAGCATCAAATTCGCCATCCAAAAGAAAGAGAAAAAAGACAGACATTCTTCGCACGTCAGCCACTGTTATAGATGGGAAGTTAGGGAGATAGAATACAGAAGGGAATTTAATATATATATGTAATCAACGATAAACCATTGCTTACGAAAAAACGATACTGAGCGGGGTTCATTTGATGATAAAGCATTGTCAACAATATATATTATATCATATTATCGTAAAATATGAATTAATTAAATAGGCATTATATATTTTCTTTAATAATGTTTGTTTAATATTGCGTACCCATTTTCCCGCTTTTCCTCAGTTTTTTCCCGGTTTTTCTCATTTATTAAGAAAACTCCTTGAAAAATCAAAAAAAATCCCTAAAATCACTTTTCAGTCACATTTCCACTCAGAAAAGGGTATATATCAGAGTAAGCTTTCTGATAGAATTTTTGTACACAGTATCAAAAAATAAAATAAAATATCTTTTCAACTTTTTTACTAGAGATTTTGCTTCGGTTATCAAGTATATTCCTTTCTGAAAGGAAATTTTATCTAATTGGTGCATTTTTGTACCATTTTTGAATGACGTCATTTTTTGATTTTCTTAATGGTTTTCATACTAGGTAATTGAAAAAAAAAAAACAGGAAACAAATTATTGGAAGAACGGCAAATGTTTGACGTTACCGATAGTTCATTTATGTATTCGAAAACCTGAAATTTCCATATTAAAGTCATTATATTTAAATATTATAATTATCTAATAAAATACATACTACTACATTAGACGGAATAATGAAGTTTCGTATCCGTTTATACAGATTAAACGTAAATGTTGGAAAAACAAATTAAATTGTTCGTGCGCCAAAATTATATTTTATACATTCGTATTTTGTGTTCAACATGTAATAATAAAATATACAGTATTATCCGGGTTATTCTAAGACAAAATTGGATATTTTCTGATTCTAAAGATTAAATTCAATCAATCGCCTAGTCACATCAGAAATAAATTTGAATCTAGAATCAATTTCTGTGGTGAATTTATCCCATAACAATTTTATTTTATTTTTTATTAAATTTCTCAAGGTGTTCAGCAAAATAATACGACGAGTTAAGTGCAATTACGGTATCGTTTTAAATAGTTCCATAATAAATTCCTGTAGTTTTTGTTGGTAAGAAATTATCATTATCGATTTGTATTGCGTGAAGAGTACTACGTACTAAGTAAACAAATATGTATTCATAGACTGATAATTTAATCGGATTTAGTTTGAACCGTATTGTGCACGAGTAGGCAATGCCGCGAATTGGCGAAGAAATTTAAACGTACGTAAGCAATTTGTCAATGATAATCAGTTTATAAGATAATTAAATTAAGTTACTAGTTTTAAAACTATTCCAAATACAATCGACAACGTTTCATACGATTTCTTTCCCCATTAAATTGCATACAAATTATGAAAATTTTAAACATTGAACTCACCGATCCGCAAATTTGTATTACGATAAATGTTACATAATCGATTAGTATATATAATAATATTCATTTTTTTGGGGGGTGTCTATGAGTAACTTTTCTACTAGAAATTTTGCTTCGGTTATCAAGTATATTTCTTTCTAAAAGGAAATTTTATCTAATTGATGCATTTTTGTACCATTTTTGAATGAGGTCATTTTTTGATTTTCTTAGGGGATTTGTACTAGGTAATTGAAAAAAACAGGAAAAAAATGATCGGAAGAACAGCAAATGTTTGGAGTTACCAATAGTTCATTTATGCATTCGAAAACCTGAAATTCCCATATTAAAGTTATTATATTTGAGTATTAAAAATATCTAATAAAATACATACTAATACATGAGACGGAATAATGAGGTTTCGTATCCGTTTATACAGATTGAACGTAGATGATGACAAAACAAATTAAATTAACATACGTGCGCCAAAATTATATTTTATACATTCGTATTTTGTGTTCACTATGCCATTATAAAATATANTTGATTAATTATTTAATCTGAGCGAAACGAGGATAATGAATTGGTATTAATACGGGCTTTTTAAAAAAATATATTTTCTGCCTATTCACAACTTTTGTACTGAAAATCCCGTTTCGATTATCAAATAAGAGAAAAGTGTTTTTGATGGAAAAATGTATCTGGTTGATACATCAAGGAAGATTTTTTATTTTCTTAGTAGTTTTCCTTATAATTGTAAAAACTGGAAAAAACTATGAAATATTCATTTAAGAATCTTATTATTTTCTATTTTGTTTTTTGATGTAATTAACAAAAAAAAAAAAAAAAAACTGAAATTTTCATTAAATACTCTTATAAGCTCAAATTCGTTAAAAAAATCAAGTATAGAAATATATGAGAAAACAGGGTATAAAATGAAGAGACCGTTGGACGTGAAACCTGGTAAACCCCTAAAATAATGAATTTAGGAATAATAAATAAAAACGTCAATTACTTACTTGGTCGTTATAATCTGTCGAGTATATACTCTGAAGTAAGTTGGAGGTCTGAATGTTGAAACATCTTTAAAATACATCATTGATACTTATACTGTGTGTATAAAACATTTCATTTTTCTAAGCTCATTTGGGGGTGGTCTATTTTGTTTTAAAAAGCTAAAAATAATCACTACTCTCGCAATAACATGGTAAACTTCATATCGAAATTCAACCAAAACTATATAATTTCAATTCCATTTTAAAAATAACTTTAATTTCCGAGTTATCCTAGCTTATCTGTTCCGGAGGTAGCCACTAAACGTGTCCAAAAGTTCCGGTTAATAGATACATATAACATACACAATATAGTGCATTGTCTCCATTTACAGGGAAAATTTGACAAAAAATATTACAGTTTAAATAATATTAAATAAAATTAATTTAAACAAAAACTTGTATAGTGTATACAATCAATAATATTTACAACTAGCGGTTTCGACTTAAACCCCGGATTATTAACCCTTCAGGTTACATAAAAGTTACCGCGTATATATTATACCTATGGCGGTATACCTTAAGCTAAAATAAGTTTATTTAAGTTGATTAAACTTATATCCACCGATAATATTCGAATCATTCGATACTTACGCCAATTATTAATTCCATAGTTTTATACTCTCAGTACTTTGAAATCATACCTTTCATCGTTACGACTCCTCCCGAGCTGGGCGTAGTTCTTAAAAAGATATTGTTAAAGTACTCGGACACTAACAAAATCGAGCAAACGTTTCCTATGAACATTCCGAACGGCACTCCCACGGAATTACACGTTGAAGCATAACTCACGTTATTTCTATAAAAATGTTAAAAGATAAAAAAAACAAATTTAAATAAAAGTGATTTTAACGTAGATAGGTATCTACGAACCGTTCACTGATTTTAATAGTATTCAATCATTACTTTTTCAACATGGTCAGCGCCCAACCGTCAACGACAATATCTTGAGTTGCGGACAACAAGTTGATGAAAAAAACCACAATCACTAACATTCTAAGATTTGGTTTTCCCGTTTCGGGCATCCAGTCGTCGATGTTATAGGCCATACAGAGTAAAGATGACCCTGTATAAAATGCATTTGAATAGTTAAAATTGAACAGCGAAATATTGTATTACCGTTTTTGAATAAGATAAAAAAAAATTGAGGATTAAATACCCATTAATATTTGGAGAGGCAATAGCCAACTTTTTCTTCTGCCAATCCGTTTCGAATAAAGCGCGTCAACTACCGGGGCCCATAAAAGTTTTAAGCTGTACGGCCACACCGAAATACTGAACGCAGCCTAATTATAACACGTCAATTATAATGATTTAGTTAACCCGTGCAATAAAACGATAATACAATCTCGACGGTTTACTTGATCATCGTAGGTCACCGTTTTTTTACTCTGCAATATGATCGGGATGGCGGTCGATAAACCTATTGGGAACCCTTGAATTACGTACAGTAACGTCAAAAGGTAAAAATTAAATCTATCACCATCGAGATTAGGTTTTTTCAGTGTAATCGAGTCTTCCAGTGATTCGTCGGCGGTGTAGGCTTCAGGATCGTCTTTTTTTTTTGTATGAGATTTTCCCATGATTGTGAAAACTAACAATAAATAAGTAAATATCACTCGCAATTTTTCGTCAAAATTCAACTACTGTACTTATTTTGAACTTATTCCCTCGTGATTTGCACGTACTGATCAAAATTTAAAAAAGATGAAAGTGGGGATAGGTGTGCTACTGTTGGACGTATAAAGTTGGGTAGGCAAGATACATAAAGTTATTTAATTTATACTTGTAAGCAACGATAAACCATTGCTATCAGATTCGGAGCAAAGTTCGGTTATACATGTTTTGAAAGGCCGTAATATTTATGATTTTCTTCAAATTTTAAAATTAAAATTCTTAAAAAATTATTGTAGTTACTTCATTTTTTTTTTTTATCACAAAGTACAATTTATGAACCTCCTGTTGGATTTTCATGTATTTCTGTTTGTTCAAACGATTTTATCCATAGAGTAACTACTATAAATAAAAATTACCTAAAAACTCGCGAAATTAAAATCTAAAATGTCTATAAATAGCTGAAAAATTGATCACGCCTAAAAAAGCAAATAAAAATTTTCTGTCTAAATTTCAAGTCTTTACAAATATCTTTGACTAAATTGCAACGAAAAATAAAATTGAAAATAATAAAACTATTATTTCAGTAAACTTTCTTATTTTTTCTAGTTTTTTTTCATTTTTTAGTTTTTGCTCAATTATTAAAAAAACTACCTACTAATTCCTGAATCGAAATCCCAGCCAAGTTCCGAGTATAAAAAAATATTTGCATAGGCAATACATGACGTTGATTGTTTGTTGATTATTTAGGACCTACATATTTCAATTATCTAAATAATAATTTTAAGAGATATCTTAGAGTAAATAATAATATTAATATAAATAAATCGTTATCCAATATTTATATCTAAATTGTAAGCTTAAGAAATTACTTTGTATTGTGTAAATATTTCTATATTCTCTATTAGTCTATCATGGTATATAATGTGTAAATTTTAAGCAAATAGCTCTCTACTTTTAACTCAAGCTTTGCTTGAAGAAGGCAGATAAACCAGTTACAGAATACTTATATGCTTGTATTTGAATTTGTTTCTAATTGTATTTATTCTTGTAACTATATTCTCTTAATAAATTGTTATATTCAATAATAATAAAAAAAAAAAGACTAAATGTAATGGTCATTGAAATATTTCAAATAGCCTAATCGACAAAAAGTAATTTAGAAACTGCAAATAAACGTTTTTAATATTATCTGACTTTAAGTGAATTAAAAATTTATTTTATTTTTTCAGAAGCCAATATGAGCAATAAAAATATGAGAAATAATAAATTTACGTGAACTACTATTTTCAATTTTAATTATGCCAATTAAATTGTTTCAACTTTTTATTCTAATTGAAAATTTGCTTCGATTTGATCACTCTGGCAGTTGTGCTTCAGAAGGAGGAGGATGAGGGGAAACCAAAAAGTTAAAAAGAAATACTCAACAATTAACAGTAATAACTTGTTTATAACAATCGTTTAGATTTAAATATAAATAGTCTAATAATGTAATTGATGTAAACACTTATTGCCATAACCGAACTACTCTACCCCGTCTATCTTATATGCTCCGTCTACTAGTATAAGGTCTATAATGTTATCACAAAATATACAGCTGCGTATACCTATGACCTAAACTAGGTCACAGATCGCTATAACCATAAACCATCGACCATTTTGATAAAAAATGATTAAAAAAATAAAAGTTAGTATCAAACAAATTGATAATAATTGAGAGTAAATTTTTCAAACGCATAAAATAAACTAAAAATACGTAAATACGTTGAAATGGCCAATGATAGGGCATGTCCTTCCATGGCTACTCCATTTTTATAGGTTATAAGTAATCAAATAATAATTATGTTGACACCGTGTTTAAAGCGTTTAAACTATCTTTTACCGTCTATTTTGTAACCTCTAAAGATTTTACAATAATTTCACTCAAACATTTTCAATAAAAAAAAAAAAGAATTATCTAATGCGTTCGGGGGGTTTTTTTTTATCATGTCTAATGATGATCAATTATAATAAAATACAATTTTTTTTTTTTTGTAACATAATTTTTTTTTTAATAGTAAATAATAATATACCGTTTCACGCGCTGTACATACTTGATAAATTATTATGTAAATTATAATATATCAGAATGGCGCCAAATAACACGCATGCCGAGTATATACAGTAATGCAACGCTTGTTATTCTGAATTTTAAGCTGCGGTTCGGCTCCTAAACCAAGGCTGTCTATTATAAATACTAATTACCTATTTTATATAATGCACATAAATAAAACACGATTTTCTGCAAAAAATAAAAATAAAAATGTGCAATGTCATAAAATATATTTACATCATTATTATTGTAGTATATTATTAAATCGTTATTTAGATCATAAATATACTACGGCGTAAATGTGTTACGACATTTTACGGAAGAAAAAAAAACTTTTTTGTTTTTATTTTGCGAATAGCACACAGACTAGTGTTAAAGTATAGCCACAAGACGAAAAACATTTTGTTTTTTTTTAGATTTACCAATTCAACGTGCTTGTGTTTTATACATATACAATCGTAAATAGAATAGCTGAATGAAATAAAATGGCTGATAATAAAATGTTTGCTTACGGGTACCAAAAAATTAAATGATAATGATACTGGCCACGACGAATCGTCGAACAATTATACAAGGTGATTATTTTTATCATAATCCAGTAAATTTCGATAAAGATTAGTAAATTTGATTTCTATTTTTTTTTTTTTCAATATTATAGGAAATCGTTTGAAAAGTGTTAGTTTAATACAATTTTTAAATGCTATCTCACTGCGTTTTCAACACAGATTCGAAAAAAATATAATAAAAAATAATAATTGGTATGCATAACAATAATATCAGATATTATACCGGTTGTGAGTTATAGGTATTAAGACATTTTCTGTTACCCACTTCAATCGCTTATCGTTTACTGATATGTTATCCATTACCGATTTCAATCAGGGGCGTCATTTGCAACGTATAATATTATATTATTGATTCGAAAATAGTGTAGGCATTAGCCGTATTATACTAGTAGTATTAGTAAGTCTGCCTGATTCTGTATAGCATATAACTTTTATTAAACATAAAAAATCAATATTTATAGCACAAAACATAGTGTTATGACACACAATATTTGTGAATTACCAAGGTGTTTAGAAAAAATCCTTTACAAGGATGACGTTATAATAAAAGGGTTAGGTTAGGTTATATAGATAAAAAATACTTATTACTTAGTATATATGGTATTTATAATCTAGTTACAGTATTTAAGTATCAAGTATCAAATTTACAATTACGCTAAACAATAATTGAAGAGATAGTTAAAACGATAAGATGTTTTGGATTTATCAAGAAAAAATATATTGTAAGATAGTAGGTACGCTATAAATTATATTTAGGATGCTTTTATCTATATAGACCCAAACACTACTCTCTCTGCGATATAGAAAACATAAAAAATAATAATAATGCCTGCGCTTACTTCGTGATTACCGTACGATTTCGATCGCGTCAACACACAATCCAAAACGAAAAATTCGGAACGAAATTGCAGCATCAAATCAAAGCACAAACGGAATGAGCACTGAACTGAGTTAAATAATGATAATAATAATGATTAATAACATGTTGTGATCACAGTTGTGATGATGATGATAATGTGCAAAAATATAATACGTTCCGTAAATAATTGAAAAAAAACGCGCCACGTCGATATCTTAAAAGGTTCATTCGTTCACGGAACGTGTTAAAGTTATATAGGTGATAACTAGAGTTCAGGACTTCTTGCATGTTTTTTTTATCGTGGTCGTAGATTATTCTAGATAAGGTATACATTTATATTATGAAATACCGGAATTAAATACAAAGTTTACATTTGCATATTTTGGCATATTTTGTTATATTTTAGGAAAAATGCATATTTGAGCAATTTTTACCATATTTGTGCATATTTCGTATTTTTTATTTTTATACGCCTAAAATTGTCGAGAAAATCGTATTTGAATAATATTCAAAACTATTTCTTTTAATAAATTACATTGGAAAAGTAGGTCGAATAGTTAGGTTAGGTAGGTACGTGTCTCTTTATTTTAATCGATTAATAATCAACCTTGTTATCGATAATATTGACATTTGATATTGTATAGTTGTGGTAAAACTTAATGACATCTAGATTCTAAATTTAACTACGAAATGAAAATCAGTACGTGTTCGTTTATCACGGTGAACTGATCGCATATCGCGTATACGTTATTTCTTAACTCAGTATACATATTATATTGACCGTCAATCGCCGAAAATTCAAATTTGAAAACATAAGAAAATGTCTTACCATACAACATGAGCGCAGACTCTGGGGGGATATGAGAAATGGATTCCCCCATGATTTTATTAAAAAGATATATTTCTCTTTGATAGTTTATTTAAAATTAATAGTTTATAGTGTTTTTACCGAAGATAGAAAAATGTTTAATCTTCTGTTATCAATTTTTATAAAATCGTTTTATTTTATTTTTTAATTTAATTGAACCGATAGCTAAATCCCTTATCAGTTTGTCGGGCCAATTTTTTGTTTTGTTATTTCGTCCGTATCACCAAGGTATGAATTAACAAAAATAAATAAATAAACAATTAGACATTCGTACCAAAAATACTTAAAGACCTCGATTTATCCCTTTAAGGTTTGAGTTTTCCAATTGGTGGTTTTAAAAGTATACCCTACTCCTCGGTTAAAATTGTGAGACTAAATAGAAATGCTTGAAAATATGACAAGAGGTCCATTATTGCAAGTCGCACTTAGTGGTCATAAAATAAATTTAGTGTGGTGTTTTTTTTATAAGTTTTAAAATTAAATTTTGACGAAAATCGTAAATATTTGATAACCTGTCAAAACATATAAAACTAAACTTCGCTTTGAATCGTTTTTCGTTAACAATAGTTTGTCGTGGGTTGCAGATACCTACAAATTAAATAACGTAATGTATCCTACCTTCCTAACTATCTTCCTACAACAATAACCGCACCTATTCCCAGTAACAGCTCTTATTTTTTTTTTTTATTATTACCTTGTAGTACCTATGTACCCTACCTATGTATTATTAATTTTTCAAACATTAGTAAATATACTAAAATTGAATGGATAAATAATATAATATAAAAAAGCATTAAAATTAACTAACACCATAATGGTAAAACGATGTTTAGTGTTTGTAAACGCGTTTGTAACAGTGAAGTAGACACGATTTTCTTCGAGAGGGAGTTTACTGTGTGGATAAACAATATTCTGTAAAATGGGAAAATGTACATTTTTTTAACACGATTCCGTGTTATAATGTGGTTAGAAATAATTGTATCAAGATGTGAAATTTTCATAAAATACTTATATTAGCTTTTTAAAATATTTCGGTAATTTTTTAGCTTTAACAGATATTTTTGCGTATAAATTATAAATAAACAAACATTTGTTAATATATTTTACTATTAAGGATATACAGGTTGATTAAAAAAATGTAAAACATTCATTATAAAAAGAAGTATTAACTTTTTTCAGAATTTTTTTTTTTAGAATATTAAAGAAATAAGTAGCTCTAAAATGTTAAACTGTGTTTATTTTTTTATCCTATTTTTTTGTGGAGTGAAAATGATACCTACTTTTGATTTTCTAATGAAAATTATAAATATATGCTATTATACTAAACTTTAGGTAGGGGAGAATGATGGAATACTATTAAAACGACGCGGGCTGTGCCACCACACAAATAAAGCACCTCTACTTTCTCTCTAACGAAAATTAAAAGTACAATATCTTATCAACTTGATATGGTGATGGACTAAACTTTTTACTAAGAATAATAATACATATAATTTAAAAATAAATCAAAACACGTCGATGGCATACTTTCAACCGAAATATTGTAGATGGTCCTACGTCTCAAATATTTATAATTTATTCTTTGTAGTATAATCACACCTGTAATTGAACTAGAAATTGTGTGGCATAGAGCATCTAGTTTTCTAAATTCTAAATCCACATCAAAAGTATATTCAAATATCAAAAGTATATTGCAGTCTAATTGCATTAGACTTGTGGTATTAACGTACAATAACTATTATTGTCGGTTAAGTTGAGTTAATAATTTACTATCATTTCAGTCTATCTATATGTCGGTGGGTGGTTTTTGTGCGTAATCACGATTGTTTTAATATCAACAACGAAATTAAATGTCTGGTTTCGTACAAATTCGTATTTAAAAGCGTTTTCACCATATATATTTGAACTAACACTGTAGTAATTTTAAAAATTATAGAAAACCCGTTATAATCCGGCGTGCATAACGAGCATACAACTACCTTATGTAATAACTAATTATAATGCTGCTGTGGTGAGAATTATTGACAACAAATAAAATACAAAATACCTTTAACTAGTAAACGATAAACAATTAAAATAATTAATTATGCGTGCCATTTATCGTATTATCGTATTATACTAACCGATGGCCGGCATCTCGGCGGGTCGGTACATGCTCTTAAATTAGCATTTTTTTTTTTTTGGTAGTTTACCATCAAAATCGAATTGAAATTATTGAATAATAATTAAAACCCTGCCAGTATGCAAATTCACGTTAATGGTTAAAAGTTAAATCAGTTTAATTTACAACAATGTAAATTTAATATATTCGTTACGTAGGTGCTCAATGTGTACCTACTCATTATGCATTATGTAATTTTATTTATTAACATTCTTTTCTTTTTCTTTTTCTAAAACTTTGTATGGCTTTTTTTTTTTTACTCGTGCCTATGTAATATGTATATTATAATTTACAGTTAATAACTGTAATAAAAAATAAAAACCAAGGTTACATTAGCAATATTAGAATCATTAACTATAGGTGTCTATTAATATTATCCCTCGTGTTCGTACAGAATTTGCAAAATAATATTAGTATTACTGACTAATATGGGTCATATATACTAAATAACAAATAAACACACGTACGAAATATAAATTAATCAATCGTTTTGTAATGTATCGTAATAATGTTGCATACACAATGATATATGTCTATGTAAGTACAAATATAAAGTGCATCTTGCTGTGTACTACGAACACGATAATATCACAATATTATTGTAGTTTGTAATGGATCTAATACGCAGTTTATCATCTGTATAATCACCCTAAGGCTGGAATATGCACATCTTTTATTTCTCCAGCATTATTAATCTTTTTTTTTGAGTAAACGATCCAATTTGAAAGGTTCAACGATTGATAATGTTTTAAAATGTCTTTAAAAGCGAAGTACCAAACGACTCCAATTCCTATACAAATGGCTGTAGTTGTGTAGTAGCCATCCACGTATGGAACACATATCGTTCTGCATGTCTGAAAATAAAAAATACGTTTAAAAAAATACCTAATTAAAAGTTATCAACGTTGTAAAATTGTGTGTAAAACATTAATTGAATACTGGTAATTTACTTCCATCAATAAAAATGAATATAAAAGATTTTTAAAATTAACATAGATACGTGTACCGTTAAATTGAAGATCTAGAATGGAAATATTACAATTTCGTACTGTATTATTAAATTAAATTATTTTGTTTTAGAATTTCAATTAGATATTTTAACAGTATCCCAAAATTAAATTCCATAACACCAAAGTGGTTTTAAACAACAATTTGAATATATTAATCGTATTATTTGTGTTGAATTTTGAATTAAATTAAAATGTGGTTTTTAGTTGGACCTATGTTTTGCTGACACTTAAATAATATTCAGATAGCTATTTAATTTATAGTCAGTTATTATATTAAATTTGGTGAATCAATTGTAAAATATAAAAGGTCTTACGTCTATTGAATCAACAGTTGAATTACAGTTCTCGGGATATTTTGAACACCGATTAAATGTGAGAATGGAAACCATTTTATAAACAATAGTATTCGGTATTATCCAGCCCACGAAAAAAATGGTATTAAATAATGTCATGTACGTCCCGCCAAAACGGGGATCACTTATTTGGCTGAAAAATGCGAATACAGCCAGGAGCATAAAGAAATTCAGCATCTAAAAATTAAAAGAATGATTTTTACTTTAGTTAAATCAATATAAGAAAATATATTTCAATAATACAAACACCCATAAACTTACTTCGTTTACTAAAATTACTAATCCTAACACTATGTAATAGTATATCGGCACATTAGTAACTCCGTTATTTTGTATCAAACTTGGCGTGTAATAAACTAATATAGTGTAAACAACACAGGCGCCTAATCTATAAAAATGTTCGTTAAAACTTTCACTTATAACATATGACAATCTGATTATAAAATTAAGATATCTCAAGTATTTATTGTGTAATTATGGAATCAGTTCAAAAGCATTTTCACGTAAAACTTATTGAGAAAACGTTATTATCTAGAACAGTGGTTTCTAAAATTGGGAAATTATGACCTAGAACGGTCGCAAGGTGAAAATTATCAGGGAAGGTTAGTGTTGAATTTTGAGAGGGCATTACTAAAATTATAGTAATGACCTTTTTTTATTTATCTGTAGAATTTAATTTTATTAATTTACTTACATTTAACAGGGGGGGGGGGTAGCAAACAAAATTCCAGAGGGGAAATTTAAAATAAAACACCAAAAAAACTTAAAAATAAAATTATATTTAAAATTTTGAAGTCCAGAGGGGGCAGATACCCCATCTTACCCTGCCCCTCCGGGCATCCGTGGTTTATAATTCATATATTAAATTTATGAAGAGGTCACTTTACAAAAAAAAAAAAAAAAACAAGATGATTGCGCTTCACAAAAAGATTGAAAACCACTGATCTAGAGTATGACATCTAAAGTATATACCATTCAATTTATTGATTATTTTTTTATTTACTTTACCTGATGGGAGTCACTTTCAAATAATAACTCATCGGCTTTGAACCCGTAATGTATTTGGATGCAAAAACTGACGTACCAAACTTAGCTAAATACATCAATGATTGCATTATCATGAAAGCATCATTAGATAAGCCAGCTTCTAATATTTTTAAATGTGAAACACACTCCGTTGCAATAAATCCTATCTAAAATTAAAATAGAAAATGTTAAGAAATAATTTTTATTCTTCTAATGAATTATACCACCTGCATCTCTATGTAAGGTTATGCAGAAAATATTAAGTAAATTTCAATTTAATTATTATATGAAACTCATTGGTTCATTCTGTGTGATGGGATTTATGTTCTTTAAATTTATTTTATTAAGTCCTCGACAAAAGTGTTTTATTTACGATTGTACATGTTTTTTTTTTTTTTTTAATATTATTTTAAGATTAGCATAGATGTATGATATATTGTTTCAACACTGTTTCGTGTTGTTTTAAGTATTATGTATAATATTTAGCTGTTTTTTTTTTTTTTTTTTAAGATTAATATAGATACGTGTATCATTATATTGAAGACGTAGAACGAAAGTACTACAATTTCGTACTGTATTATTAGATTAAATTATTTTATTTTAGATTTTCAATTTGATATTTTAATCTTAAAATTAAATCCCATAATACTAAAGTGGTTTTAAACAATAATTTTAATATATTATTCTTATTATTTGTGTTGAATTTTGTATTAAATTAAAATGTGGTTTATAGTTGAATCTGGGTTTTGCTGATGCTAAAAAGATATTCAGATAGCTATTCAATTTATAATCAGATATTAATTTAAATTTGGTTTATCAATTGTAAAACTATTAAAACTATTATCGTAAAAGTTGTCCACGATCGATATGTAACCAACAAGGTCAAATGAAACAATGCTTAATAGATATTCACCCTGATTGTCAGCAAAGCTATTGCCAATACTTTAATTCGAGGAAGTTTTAAAATATTGTACAGCAATACATAATTTTTAAAAACGCTCAAATTTTTAGAGCCGTCTTCTCCGATGTCTTTTTCTTTTTTAAACTTGCCGACGAATATTGTCGTGAAAAAGACGATGACGGCCCAAATATACAAAAAACCTAAACAAATCAAAACGAAAAATACAATTTAATTTCAATAAATTATTTGTATGAATTAAAATATTTAAACACTCTGTAAGCCTGTGTCGTATAATGTAAATAAGAGGTCGACTACGTGTCTACGTTTTCATAATATATCTATGCGATATTCAAATTTTGCCGATCGATGATGTCATACAGGTCTTTTAAATTTCATGTTACAGTTTACTTGTCCATAAAATACTTATTATTTAAATAAATCACTCGTGTAAACAATTTTTAGAATCATATGTTCTAAAATAATACCTTACTGTTATTTGTTGTCACCTTTATTTTTTGTGATAAAACACTACACACTTTTGATTTTTAAATATCGACCTAAATACCTATACTAAACATTTCATAAATAAAAAAAATAAAATTTTAATATGTACATTTTAATATTCATTAACTCTTTTACGAAATATTCTACTTTTAGTTTCTAGTAGGGGTAGAGTAGTGGAGCACTTTTGATTACACAAATAAAATTGGAATATCTCATTAACGACAAATTATTTCAATTTTTAAAATTTTAAAATATATGATTCTAAGAAGTTTTTACACAAGACATTTTTTAAAAGAAATAATTACTATAATTTAATGTACAATTTGGAAGAACTTATGTATACTCGTATATGGAAAATTTGAGTGAAAAAAAAACCAAAACATTTTATGGATAGTTATGATTTCTAGTTTGTAATTTATTCATTTAATGCAAAGGATATGTTTGTTTTCGATTTTTAAATAAAATTTGTGGCCTATAGTTTAGGTCTACATCAATTATTATTATGCTAAACATGTATATTCCCCTACTTTTCATCGTCATCAGTCCTCCTGCGTCCAGTGAATTCGGAAACAGTTGATTTCTGAATTGTTCCGATGTCGCCAAAGTAAAACAAGTGGAACCGATAAACATTCCTATCGGAACTCCTACGGCATTACACGTTGAAGAATAGTTCACGTTCTTACTATAAAAAAAAAAAAAAAAAAACCTTCGTAAATCTTTTAATTTTATAGTGTTTTTGGTGCTCACCTTTTCAACATCGTCAACGACCAACCATCTACGACAATGTCTTGAGTAGCGGACAAAAAGTTCAGGGAAAAAACAACGAACACCAGCATTCGAAGATTTGGTTTAGTCTCCGCCGATTCGGGTAGCCAATCGTAAATGTTATAGGCCATGATAAGTAATAGTGACCCTGGATTAAGAAATAATCAATGAATAATACAATAAATGTCCGTTAGTATAAGTTATATTAGGACGCATTTAAAAACACGGAATGTATTTGAATACGGAGTATTGGTTTCCGGAGTTTTTATTTTCAAATTGTATTTGTACGAATTGTCTGTTCCGGGATTGTAAATGCTCGAACTGTATTTTGTCGGAAAATAAATTATCAATCACGAACTGTATTACCTCGGAATGTTGGAAAACCTTTGAACCATTTTTGCATTCTCGGATCTACACAACCAGGTACGTATAACCAAACCTTATAATGAATATTATAACAACGCATGAATATCTTTCTACCTTAACCACGTTTTTAGATTCGTAGCGGAGCGAGGAATGTTTTGGTTTTACAATGATGTTTATTTTTATTTTTTATTTCTTCCTAATTATGCTATTAACCCTCCCCCCTCACCCAACTTGACGGGCATCATTTAGTAGATTGGTGAGAAAATGAGAATATTTAGAAAACTAGCTCCAACTAGCCTTAATATTTATTATTAAAAACAATTACGAAATCAAAAGGATTTATTTCAACCGCAAAAAAAAAAAATAAGGGCGATTACAATAATGGTAATGCAATTCCTAAGAGCTACTAATTTCTTAAGTCATCAAAAAAAAAATCCGAAAAAAGTTAATATTTTACGAGATAATGAGGGTCTTATAGATTCTATTATTAGATATTAGATAATATAGATAGTTTGTATAGGATTTGGTGATAAGCGATCGGTACTAGCAACGGTACGCGTAACTACTTACATTTTTTCTACGAAATCCAGTTCTTAATTACGGATCGGAAAAATCTGTGTTCCGGAATTATACGGTCCATGACTATACTTTTTTTTCCCGAAAACATACAATTCGGGTTTATAAGACTTCCGATAGAATACCGTGTTTACAATCCAAGAACAAACAATCTGTACAAATACGTTTTGCATGTTTTTCGATTCAAGGTTTTTATGGCCCGTGACTATACGGTTCACAAATTTTCTTTTTCCACAGTTCTACATTCTGTAAAAATACACTTTTATTCCAGAATTATACAATCCGAGCAAATACGTCCCGAGATTTTACGGCTTCCCTTATATTATACCAACAAACAGTGGCGTAGCTGAAGCACAGTAAAGGAAGGGGGTGGTATAAAAATTTTAATACACCATTAGTATAAACACTATTGTGTTTTATTATCTATAGGGTATAGCCTTGATTAAGACATCACCACTAAAAATTACCGAGTGAGGTGGAGGCGACCTATCACCCCCCTTCCCCCCCGCAGCCTACACCAATACCAACAAATGTGTTAGATATTCTTGGACCATCTTTTTTTTTTTGATTTTGATCATAGTGAGGAAAGTTTTGGTTTTACTATGATGTTCATGTGAGGTTTTTTGGTCTATAAACAATTTCCTACCAAAATCTTGAACCAACTATCAACATTAGGAGCGAATTTGTCTTTTTGGTACATACGGGAAGAATCATTTTGAATTTGCTTATATAGGTGTCTTCGTAACATCAATGAATATTCACGAAATAACGGTTTTTGTTTATTTTAAATTTGGTATTTCCGTTTTAACTCAATTAAAGACAATCTTAGAGACCTGCAATTTTCAACCATTAAAGCCGAAGGTCTTTTATTTAGTTTTTTTCTAGATGTGATCAAATTTTCAAAACATTTTTAAAGTTTTTTGAGTTATTTATAGCTATTTTAAATTGTTTTCATCGTTAATTGATTTTATGGCATTATAAAACATATCAAAAGAATGTCCTTTTTTTTATTATCTTTTAAAATTAGAAATTTGATTTACACCTTTCACGGACCAACGGTATTTCCGATTTATGTGAATACAATTTTTGCGGCACATTAAAATACTAAACAATTTGATGTTTATCAATATTTGTTTAGCCAAAATTAAATGAAATAACTTAGGTACTCTATATCATATCCGAATATATCTTTCCAATTTCTCATTTACAGCAGTGGTAGATCCATGGTGCATGTTAGGCGTGTCGGTTTTTTATTCGACGTTTTAGTTTATTAACCTCATATTAGCTAAATTTAAATTTAAATTTTTGTAATTTATTCACACATAGGTATATATTTCTGTAGATTGCATTTTAGCGACGCAAAACTGACAACGTTGAACTAAAAGTATATACAATCAAGATGTGTACCAGTTGATCCATTTAAGTGGGTACACTCATTATCTCGGAATGTGTTAATTTTTCTCGGAATTTGTTTTCTAGAACATTTAAAAAACAAGCAGCTCGACAATTCTATATTTGTTATTCTTGGGAGTAAAATGACTACCTACTTTTGATTTTCACATTGCAATATATAAAAAAAAATTTCCATAAATAGATGTAGTATTAGTTTAAATAAATGTTAGTGTTGAGATTTTCGATTTCTGTCAAGCCGTTCACGAAATATTCCACTTTTAAGTTTAGATTGGAGGAGACTAGTGGAGTATTATTTATGTAGCGGTACGGCGCACGCTGTATTAATAATGCACCGCTACTCTTCTCCAGCCTAAACTTAAAAGTGGAATATCTCGTTAACGGCTAGAGAGAAATCAAAAATGTCAATACTAAAATTTATTTTAACTAATACTCCATATACTTATAAGGTTTTCAATATAGGTTGCCATTTGAAAATCAAAAGTAGATAGTGGTTTAACCCCCCCTCCCAAAAAAAAAAAAAGGGTGACAAAAAATAATAATATAGAATTGTAGAGCCACATGTTTCTTAAATGTTCTAGAAAACAACTTCTGGAAAAAATTAATACATTCCGAGATAATGAGTATACCCATTTAAAATGGATTACCGGTATAAATAATGTCTCGTCAACAAAACAGTTAATAAAATTCCGCCGCCACCAATATTTCCCGGACGTATGCACGTAATGCAGTTGCAGTATGTACCTGCGTGCAACAACAGAGATTTAAATTTAAAATTAAAAACACGGAGATTTCCGACTATCCGTAAATTGCCCGTGACACACTGTATAATATTATAACAATATTCGTACGTACCCATTAAAATTTGAAGTGGTAATAGCCAACTCTTTCGTCTTCCTATGCACCGTACGTAGAGCGCATCCACTATTGGAGCCCATAGCAGTTTCACGGTGTACGGCCACATGGCTAAACTGAATATAGCCTAAAATATAATTTATATAATCAATTTATTATGGATATATGATACCAGTAAAACACATTCTTTAAATCCTACAGCTTCAAAAAAAAAAAACACTCATGAGCAGCAAAGTTCCATCACTAGACACAGATATTCCGCTATCCGTCTAGTCGTTATCACAATATTATTTAATTTCAGATTCGAAATGTTTTTTTTTTTTGTGTGTCTATGAGTAACTTTTCTACTAGAAATTTTGCTTCAGTTATCAAGTATATTTCTTTCTAAAAGGAAATTTTATCTAATTGATGCATTTTTGTACCATTTTTGAATGAGGTCATTTTTTGATTTTCTTAGGGGATTTGTACTAGGTAATTAAAAAAAACAGGAAAAAAATAATCGGAAGAACGGCAAATGTTTGGCGTTACCAATAGTTCATTTATGCATTCGAAAACCTGAAATTCTCATATTAAAGTTATTATACTTGAATTTTATAAATATCTAATAAAATACATACTAATACATGAGACGGAATAATGAGGTTTCGTATCCGTTTATACAGATTGAACGTAGATGATGACAAAACAAATTAAATTAACATACGTGCGTCAAAATTATATTTTATACATTTTTGTGTTCACTATGCTGTTATAAAATATACAAAATAATCCGGATTACCCTAACTTGCGTCATTTCGCATTTTAAAGACTAAATTAAATTTTTTACCTAATCACAATAGAAAAAAATTTGAATCTAGAAACGATTATTAAGGTAAATTTAATAATAGCTAGTTCTATTATTATTTTATTATATTTCTCAAGGTTTTCAGTTAAGTCATTTGTAATAGCGGTATCGTTTTAATTCCATAGTTTAATTCCTGTTTTTTTCGTTAGTAGGAAACTATCGCCATCGATTTTTTTCCGTGTAGAGTACATATAAAGTAGACTAATATTTATTCAAAGACTGGAAATTTCGGTCGGATTTAGTTTGAACCGTAGTGTGTACGCATATGCCCACATCGTGGCGAATTGGCGAAGAAACTTGAACGGACGTAAGCAATTTGTTTACAATAAGCAGTCTATAACGGTGATTATAGTCATGTGTTACATATCATATTAGAATATTAATAAAGTTACTAGTTCTAAAATTATTATTAATACAATCGACAACGTTTTATATGTTTTTCTCTCCCGTTAAACTGCTCACAATTTATGAAAACTTTGAAAATTTAACTTACTGACCCGCAAATATGTATTACTGTCACATTACCGATTTGTGTGTATATATACAAATAATAATAATTTTCAACCGATATCGCAATTAGTCCCACGTTATTATCTCTATTTATCCTATATTACATATCGTATTTGTATATTTTTTAGAAAAATCGTTTACAATTTTAAATTGTAAACGTTCCATACATTTAATTTAAAGCAAACAAAATTAGGCCAAATTTTCTATAAAATTATCACTCTTCCTCGAATTTGAACACTGGGCTTGATTAATTATTTAATCTGAGCGAAACGAGGATAATGAATTGGTATTAATACGGGCTTTTTAAAAAAATATATTTTCTGCCTATTCACAACTTTTGTACTGAAAATCCCGTTTCGATTATCAAATAAGAGAAAAGTGTTTTTGATGGAAAAATGTATCTGGTTGATACATCAAGGAAGATTTTTTATTTTCTTAGTAGTTTTCCTTATAATTGTAAAAACTGGAAAAAACTATGAAATATTCATTTAAGAATCTTATTATTTTCTATTTTGTTTTTTGATGTAATTGACAAAAAAAAAAAAAAAACTGAAATTTTCATTAAATACTCTTATAAGCTCAAATTCGTTAAAAAAATCAAGTATAGAAATATATGAGAAAACAGGGTATAAAATGAAAAGACCGTTGGACGTGAAACCTGGTAAACCCCTAAAATAATATGTTTAGGGATAATAAATAAAAACTTCAACTACTTACTTGGTCGTTATAATCTGTCGAATATTTACTTTGAAGTAAGTTTGGAATGGCTCCGGACAATCCTATTGGAAATCCTTGTATTACATAGAGCGCGATCAACAGCCAGAAATTCAACCTGTCTCCGTCTAAATTCGGTTTTTCCAAAGTGTCGTCGTGATGTGTCAACTCGTACACCACTTGATCTACTTGATTTTTCGGTGATTTCGTCATGATTTGTAGCGGTTCACCAGAATTTTTTACATATTATACTATGACAACACGTGCTATAATAGTAAAAAATAACAAAATATATTTTGTTATATATATATATGTATATGTATAAATGACATGATAACAACTCATATTTCAATAGAGTCGAATTGTTTCAATAAATGTCTGTGATAATACCGCGATTTAGAATTTCGAGGTTCCTTGAACATTGTTATGTTTAAAGAAATTTCGCTGTATAATTTAAAACACTTAAATACAGCATTGTTGCGTGTAAAGTATATAAAATTAATTATAAAAATAAAATTAAAAAAAAAACCCGTCGGGCTTTATTTTTATTTCGAATAATAATTAATAAACGTCTTGCAGAAAAATCAAAAAAATTTACCAGCTTAATAACTCGGTTGGTTTCAATGTTCTCGGAGTATAACGATAGTTGACATAAGTAAATATTTACATTAAGATCACTCGGATTGATACGTTAATGGGATTTAGCTAGATAGATTGCGTGATGCGTTAGGTGCCTCTTGAAGTTTTGCGTTAGACTAAAACATATCCTAGGCATTTGTTGTTAATTTGTTGCCGAACCGCAGTAAAACCAGTTGCAGCACCGGCTATTTTTAATAATAATTTAATGTGTATCCATACAACTATACCGGTTTCCCGAAACCCTACGGGCCAAAACAGAAGACTAGTCCCACATGGTTCTACAAGGGTGAGAGTCAATAATATAATTATTATATACGGAATATTATGTGCGTGATTTACGTTAATCAACAGAAATATTTTACATTGCATAAATTATAGTTTACCGGAGTTTCGAAAATACGTTTTAAATACTGCCCGGCTTTTCTGGTGTTTGTATACCACTTTGAATGGAGCGCGCCTATAATATTATAATACGTGCGTATCAATAGTTAATTTTAAGTTAGGTAACAACAGATACGGCTTGGTGAGTTTTTACGAATTCGGTAACCTCTTGATCTGCCTTTGTGTCGCCGATCTACTAAAATTCTCCATTCGTTATTGTAGTTCTCTTTTTTCTTTTCTTTTTTTTTTATATATATAATTTCTAGGTGCAAAATCCGGTCGGCGACGGCGGACTATGTTTGCTTTATAAATAGTGTTTTATTGTTATTGCCTGAAATTTTACTCGGCCGTCTAGTATACAATTACTGTGTCGGACGTTTATTTTCCGTCTCTGTCACACACTTAATTATCGGTGTGGCAGGCGAAAGTGAAAAGACTGACAGCAGGAATTATTACATTCGGTAAAATTAAAAAAAAAAAAAAAACAACGACTCGTGATCGTTTTTACGGACGAGATTCGTGTTTTTAATTGTTTTTCGTCAATATTCTCGCATTTAACCGGATACGTTAATATATAAATACTCTTGATTAGATTTTAAACTGTAATAACTCATAGGTAACCGGTAAATCCGATACTAGTTTTATTCTTGTAAATAAATATCAGTCTTAATTCACGGTTATAAAAAAAATATTACTGTGCATTACGCCCAACATTTTGATTTTTTACCACTAAGTTGAACATAAAATGAATTTCGTACTAAATTTTCAAGCATTTCTGGTTAGCTAAACAATTGTATCCATCTTAAATCAAATAAAACCTAAAAAAAAACCTAGAAAATATCAAATACCTGTAAATAGCTCAAATAACGCTACAATGTTCTTAAGATATCAAGAAAGGTTTAATATAAGTATATTCTGTACAAATTGCAGGTCTCTACGATTATTTGTATCCGAATCACAACAAAGAAATAAATATAGTAAAAAAATGTTTGTATACAAATTAAAATTAAATAAATGAATAAGTACGTCACCTGGAGTATTATGGTAAGTGTAATACGACTGATTTCGAATTAAAAATTCATCATTGGGTATATCACAGTCAAAATGTAAAACGCGACCGAATATAAAAAATTAAATGAAGGAATCTATAGAATAAAAAAATTATACAAATTGGTCATTTCACGTAGAAATAATTTATTTTAATAGAAGAGATTATTTAAAATTAGATAATTATATATAGGTATGTTAAGAAACATAAATTATTCGGCTATTATTTATTATCTAAAATGTATTGATATAAGATATTATTTTAGATTCCGAGCATAGCGAAAGAGCTATTAACTTTACAATGCTATTTTTTTTTTTCTTTGTTCTAGTCTGTGGACACGTTTTTTTCTTAGTCAACTTGCTTCGATGTATAAGTGTAGCACCTTTTCTGAAATTTCAAGTTGTCTAGATTGTACTTTAAACGAGTTATTTTTTTGATTTTTGACGTCATTTCTTAAATAAAAGCACTTAAGTGGAGAAAAACGTAGGAAAACGTACAATTTCACGATTTCATTATTTTATAAAAACACGGACGACGTTTTCTACCAAAAAAAAATTAATTTAATCGAAAAATCACAAGACACCTTTTNGATATTATTTTAGATTCCGAGCATAGCGAAAGAGCTATTAACTTTACAATGCTATTTTTTTTTTTTTTTCATTGTACATCTTATTTCTCATAGCACAAGTCGATTTTTGATTTCATAATGATTCGGAAAAACCAGAAGACGAAATTGTTGTAATTCAGTTATGAATATTTGTAATGACTTGAAAAATGGACAAAATGCTCACATTTCGTTATTTAAATTGCACCAGTGCATATGGCATATCAAATATTTGACAAAATGTTGATAATTTCAGCCGGCAATCAGGGAAATTTTTTGTCAGTTTAATGATTATACTGTTGTCGATAAAAATGGTAACAGCAATTTGTTCAATAGTAAAGTTGTGTTTTGTCGATTAAGTACAAAATTACGGCATTTCGAATTATGTATTAACGGATTGCGCTCGGATCGACTTTCGTCAACAATGGTTTATAGCTGATCACAGATATACATTAAATAATCTTTTGTAAATCTTCCCAACTTTTCATCTACAACAGTGGCCGCTCCTATCCCCAGTATCAGCTCTTTTTTAAATTGGTTTGTACATTTAAAATATTATTAAAATTATTTTTCTTTATTTCATTGTATGTATGCAATTCTTCTAAAACTAATTTAATGTAAATGCTAGTTCGGGTATTTAATATCTCTAAGCCTGTATTAATATCAAAGTGTACATTATGGATATTTTCTAAAACATATTTAGTAAAATTTAAATTAGGGGCATTCTTTTTTAATATTATTTCAGGAATGTGTTCTTTATATCTTATTTTCAAATTTGTATTTGTCTTACCTATATACAATTTATTACAGTTACATTTAAGTTTATATATACCAGCATTTTCAAATTAAGGGGGATTTTTTGTGAAGTTTTTTTTTTATTGTATATTTGTTTAATTAAATTATTAGTCTTATAATGATATTATTAGTCTTAAAAGCGATTTTTAAATGCTTTGTATTATTGTTCAGAATTTTATCGAATTCATTAGACATATTATTTTAATATTTCATATTACAATAGTTAACAACATTATTTGGTGAGTTATGTATTATTTTTTCTTACGTACGTTTATGAATTTTTTTAATAGTATTTAAATTGAAATTATTTCTATGTGCTATATTATAGATAATATTGAGCTCGTGTTCGTAATTATGTTTATTCGATGGAGTGCGTTTGAGCCTATAGAATATAGAATTAAAAAATGATACCTTTTGAGAAGGGTACTATAGCATCGGTTTTTGTAGGTTTCCTATATAAATACTAAAATCAAATTTATTGTTCATTATGGAAACTGTAAGATCGAAGAAATTAAATTTATTATTTATTTGTATTTCGAGTGTTAATTGAATGTTCTTATTTATTTTGTTTAAATAATTAACTAAATTTTCTGCTTGTCATTTGAACCACTAAATAAAATAAAAGTGTCATCAACATATCTGTAAAATGCTTTTATACAATGTTTTTTGTTATAATAATTTTAATAATATTTTAAATGTACAAACAAGTTTTAAAAACTTTAAAAACAATATCTCGTATCAATACATTTTAGATAATAAATAATAACCAAATAATTTACATTTTTAACATATATATGTCTTTATTAAAATAAATTATTTCTATCTAAAACGACCAATTTGTATAATTTTTTTCTATGTATTCCTTTATTTAGTTTTTTATATTCAGTTGCATTTTACATTTTGACTGTGATATACCCGATGATGAATTTTTAATTCAAAATCGGTAGTATTATGCACTTATCATAATACTCCAGGTGATGCATTTATTTATTTATTTACTTTTCATTTTTGTGCTCACAATTTTTTCACTATATTTATTTATCAGTGTTAACCGTTTTAATACTTTTGTTTTTACTTTATTATTTTACTAAAGAAATAAAATTAAAGATAATAAACATTCCTGTTTTTCCTACGTTTTTTCTAATTATTATGAAAATCATTTGGAAAATTAAAAAATGACCGTCTCGTTATACTAATACTAGATCCAAAATGTAACAAAAAAGTCTCTTGTCAGTTTTTTATTGGAACGATATTCCTGGTAGAAGAGTAGTAAAACCAATGCATTCTTCACTCCACTCAGTAGGTATCTAGAACGGAAATCAAATCCTCGGACAGAAATCGCCATATCATGAAAAATCAATCACCTTGTGTGCGTACCAGAGTTCGTGTGTTCTACAGACCGAATACTCGAGAATAGGATATTGTCTCGTTTGTTAACGATCCGTGATGGAATCTAAGTCTACGTATACAGAGTGATTCAAAATGTATGTTACAGTCATTTCATCATGTAAATATTCAAAATAGAGAAAAACGTCTAACACAAAAGTTGTTCGATTTACAAACATCTACAATAATTTGTACATGGGTTGTACACTATTCAAACGCCGTGCCGTGCCACCCCACGAGCGTATCATATTGTGTTCCACTACTTTTCTCTTACTTAAATTTAAACGCGGAATATCTCGTCAGCGCGTTGACGGAAATCAAAAATTGCAAAACCAAAATGTATTTTAAACTATCGCTATAATTTTTATTGCACAATACGTTTTTCTCCGTTTTGAATGTTTACGTGATAAATTTCGATTCGCTCTGTATACACGCGGTTTACGACTCGCATTTTATTTGTTCGCCGAGGTCGAGAATAATATTTATTTTTATTATTTTTTTTTTTTTCAAAATATAGATATTCCCGACCATAGATCATTTAGTATTAATAACCATACACCGCGCGATAGATCCGATCGGGCGTCTTCGACGGCATACCCGGGTATAAAACATACTACCTACCTACTTATTTTATGAACTGGAGTTTTTGCGTAGTGGCGGTCGGCGGTGACGGGCAGACGAACCGGTCAAGCCACGTACTGCCGATTGAAGTGAAACGACGGCCGGACAATGGAACATTGCGCTGAACGTTTGCGCGTAATATTATTATAAAATTCTGGTCTGGATTATTCGGTTACTGTCTACGGAAACGAGGGCGACTCGTTGGCCAAAACAATGGAAAACGCTGAATTATTATGCCGCGTTGCTTTCCGTCCGCGTTGTAACAATAATATATATTGTAAAACGCTCCGCGATAATATTCGATCGGTGTTCACCGGTTACCCTTTTGTCCTCCTGTACGTTCGGGTAGTAGTTGTCGATTATTGTGTCGGTAGGTACATACATCACGCCGCCGTTTAAAAACACACTACGTGAACGAAAATTGTTTTGGACGAATCGAATTCGTTTTATCTCCGGACAAAGAAAATAATACGTTATGCTATATGATTGTCCACGCCGTATATAAACCGGACACAAACCCTTACATAGGTAGATTTGTTTTCAATAATGTACTTGTAGAATCGTAAATAATAATCGGTTCGAGAAGGACCAAACGCACATTTCGTAAAAAAATTTAATACAAGGCTAAACGCTAAACATATACTATTTTATGTTTATGTTCTTGTGCTGGAAGAACGGTATATTGAACACTAATATTACTAGAAATAAATAGACAAACGCTGAAAACAAAAGTGTGTATGCTATTTCCAAGGTGGCCGATCCGACACGGACCTTTAAACTTTAAAGGTTTATGGCTCTAAATTTTAGATTCGTACAAAGTAATTCAAGAAACTGTGTTTGGCCCGTCTTGACTGAAGTTCTAGATATGTTATATATTATTGCTTATTCTCGAGATATAACTAGAGAATCCAACAACTGATTTTAAGTAGTTTCGTCAATAAAGTCACCTAACATATTATTGGAAGGTGTACGTTCATAATATATTCAAAAACCACCAATTGATACATAAGACAATTTATTCATTCGAATGTCGATGGGCACAATTGATGGATATACATATTTTTTATCGCACGTGTGTTGATTTTACTACCTATGTGTGTTTTATTTTTCCTATCTGAGAGCAAATTTTCTACCAGAAATCTTGCTCCAATCAAAAAACGACAAGAGAACATTTTTTTGTTGCTTTTTAAATCTAGTTAGTACTGCAAAGAGTTGTTTTGATAATCCGACAGGTTTTCATAATAATTTAGAAACACAAAAAAAAGACTTTTAGGAAAAATAGACAAATATTTACGACGCTCTGCAGCGTTATTGATTTCATTGTTCTACATTTTTCTGATTTTTGATTTATCTTAGAAATCTTGCTCCGAATTTCGAGAGTAGCATATTTTTAAAGTGTTTGATTTTTTTGAATAATTAAGTAAAACTAATAAAAGAATAAGAAAAACGATAAAATTTACCAAAATAATGATTTCATTTTTTCTGATTTTGATTTTTTTGTTAAAATTCAGTTAAAAATATTCGTAGAAACCTAAAAATATGAAAAAATATTTTTATTGGACTTTTCTAAACGTGGTAAAATTGTTGATCTATTTGTAGGCATATGCCATTTTCGAGTTCTTATTTTGTAGATATTCTGTGAATAAAATGGTTTGATTAAATACGAATGCTTAAAAATTTGATTTTATTTGAGGTTTATTATAAGTTGTACTTAATGGTAAAAAAAAATTGAGCGTAATATAGTAATTTTTTTTATAATAGCGGATTTAGATCAAATTTTGAAATTACGGCTTTTCAAAACATATACAACTGAAATTCGCTAAGAATCGTTTTTATGTTTTCTACCAGAAATATTATAATAATATGCTAAAAACCAATCTTCGGATTAATAAAACAAAAAAAAAAAAAACACAAAAATATTGCTCCAATAGAAAAAATAACAAGAGACTTTTTGTGTTTCATTTTTAATTTAATTGGTGAGTAAGATAGTCGTTTTTTAATATTTTTTGTAGTTTTTATAATAATTCAGCAAAACCGAAAAAGAAGTAGAAAGAATGGGAAAATGTACAATAATAGTTAGTACTGTTATTATATTCAATTTTACTTTTTTGTTATAATCTAGTTAAAAAGTTAAAAAGTACACTGTAGAATTACTCGACTGAACAAAAATGCTTGAAAATTTAACAGGAGGTTAACTATACATTTTACTTAGTGATAAAAAAAAAAAAATTCAGAATAATGTAGTTATTTGTTTTCATGCGAGTTTTAATGTCAAATTTTTACGAAAGCCGTAAATATTACGGTATTTTAAAACATGTATAACTGAACTTCGCTCCGAATCATTTTTCGTTTACAATGGTTTATTGTTGCTAACAGAATAAATTAAAAACTTTATGCATTTATGTATTCTACCTTCCCAACTTACCACCTACAACAATGACACACCCATTTCCGTTATTTTATTATATAACCTTCATTAATGATATCCAGCATAACTCATTCGTGCATGGATACAATTTTTATTTTCTAACGACGGTACATCAAAGTTTTGGCAGTTGTTATAATATGAAAATATGTGACACATATTATTAAGTTAGGTAGTTGAAAAGATTTTTTGTAAATTTACAAAAATAATGCATAGATACGTCGAAAATAAATAGTATTTTTTTTAATATACCGGGAGAATTAATAATCGGCAATTATTTGAGTACGATGTCTGCCTATATAATCTTAAGAACCCAGCTACGTAGTTACAATATGGAAAAAAAAAAATTCCAAACAGTATTAGAGTAGTATATAGTTATAGTTCAGTTGGATTGCGGATAGTGGTTTTCTTAACTCTTAACTTTATCCTTTTATAATCCTGCCTACAAATTACATAAGTATTATTAATGTGTACTCGAAAACGTATAAAATAAACATTTATGTAAATACTACTCTTCTCTTACCGCTATAACCTTCAAAAGGTACAAAATCTAAACTTTTACATATTATAATTATATTTGAAAAAAAAAGATTTGCTTACGATCTTTGCAAGCAGTCGATGAGTCGAATTATCGTGTTTTATCCGCCAAATAGAATATCACAATTTAATTTTACACAATATCCGGTCATGGACGTGTATTGATTCGTTATCAAATCACTTTTGATGATTCATGGGATTTCGAAATGATAAAAACCGCACAAAAAAAAAAAAAAAATAGCTAAATACGTCGTAGAAACTTTTTAATATTTACTGTCATTCGAAACGTATAATTCATTATTATAAATAAAAGACCGTTCAGATTTTTTCGCGGTTATGATGGGGTTTAATATCGGAGATCGATGAAGCACCGTTGCAGAGTCGTCTACATTAATATAAGTCCGTGTGGTTAGGTAGCGTACGATATTATGTCACCGAACGATAGATCGTAAACCCGTTTTTATTTCTTAAGGGAGGGGCTTGATTTAAATAAGAAGCGGAAAAAAATCCTCGAGCTATTTATAGTAAAGTCGTTTTGGATCGCGAAAAATTTGATGGGTTTTAAAACGTACCTCAATTAATTTACTAATTGGAGACCGCAGATGTGCCTGCACAATATGTAAAATTATGATGTTCGGTTTTTGTTTGTACGAATAGACAGATAGAGTCTCGGACTAATTTTAATATTCTTGATCGAAAAAACACCGAAAGACACGTTTTATAAAATAGCAATAACGAAATCGTATGCTTTATTGTTTCTTACAAATACGACGGATTTTCGCTATAACGAGCGGAATTTAACGATAGGAAACAACATAGGAACTCTTGACAAAGAGACGGTTTTTTTTTTTCTGTGGATTTTGTAAATTCCAAAAAAATATTAGATACAGCGCATAGTTTAAGTCCGACAATGTATTCACATAAAATTACAATATTATAATTTGAAAAATACGAAAACGAAGTGTCAATAGACCCGTAAAACATAATGCGATTTTGTTTCGCGATTGTATTCGGTGTTTTTAACGACAAAAAAGTATATTGTGCTTGCAAAATACTTACAATTTCCAGTATTAATAACACTGCAACTTACTACCTATTAGTGCTGTTTTGCGTTCTAAAATAATAATGTTTAATTAATGAACGATATACTGTGGTTTTATAATTTATTATCAATTATTATTCGTTGGCGTGTGCAAATTTATGACTTTCGGAATTTATAAACTATATTCATTCAAAAATGATTTTTTCCATACTGTCCCGCGTTTCTTTGTTGTATGTCTGGATGTCCCGACAATAACTCAAAAGAAAAAAAAAATCTCACTTAACCAATCGATCTATATTTTGTCCTTTAACGGTATGCATTATCTACATTCTACTAATCTCATCAGCGAAGGTAAAGTAGTCTCGTTCGGGTGTGTTCAACGATACAATCTAGGTGAATTTACAACTACTACATTCTATACTTGTAATAAATTATAATAATATGTATAATATGTAATTATTATAAATACAAGTATACATAGATTTCTGTAAAATCTTTTAAATATTAATGGTTTTATAATATTTATTTCGAAATATAATATATTATATAGGTAATATTGATTACAGACAACGTGTTGAATTTAATATTTATTATCAAAGCTAGAGAAGGTAATTAACTTGTACTGCAACATCGTAATAAATATAATCATACGCTATAATCGTGTAGTATTATGCACAATATTAATATTATTATTATTATTTTTTTTTTTTACCAAAAAAGGCATTTAAAGCCATTCAAGGAAATAATAATTTAGAAAAAAAAAAGAAAAAGTTAGGACATAGTAGATAATAGTGTTATTTAATGTGTATCTGTACACAATAATAAATCATTGTAATGATTTATATTTTTATTGATGGTACAAATAGTAATTTTCAAAGGGGCTGACACATATCTACATATAAAAAAAAAATAACTTTTTTTTTTTTAATACACTTTAATGAATGTATATTTCTTTAACATGGACGGAAGGGGATGTCCGATGCCCAGATACTTAAATCGCTCCTTGATTAGTTCTCCGATTTATTTCGCTATAACACATAACGTATAACGATTTGGAGCGAAGTTCAGGTGTACATATTTTAAAATACCGTAATTTTTAAAATTTTCGTTAAAGTTTAAACTAGAAACGTTTATAATGCAATTCGTAATAAATGAATTACGTGTAAAGCACTTCTGTTAGGTCAAAATAATTTTATTCACGTAAAATCAAATTTAAACTAAAAAAAACCAAACATTTTACCACGCATAGAAAAAGCTATAATAAATATTTTATGTATTTTTAACGGAATAATAACAAAAACCCAAATTTTTTTTCCGAGTTTTCCCAATTATTTAGAAAACTTTTTGTAAACTTAATCTAACCTGACAATGAAGCTACATTTAAGGAGGGGGCGGTTCAATTTCCCTCCAACGACATTTTTCTAAGATTCAAGTATATTATGACTGTTATAGGCTACAGCTAGTCTTAAATACCTAACAAATAAAATTAATTATTTAATTTTAACACACCCCCCCTAAAAAAAAATCAAATCAGATAAATGTGTCTGTAATAACATGATTAAGTAATAAGTACATTAATTTACACGTCATAATCTTTGCGACGGCGATGTGCAAACTGCGGCTTAATATGAAATTGCGGTCAGATAAAAGCAAGGTACCAATATATATTGGTATCTTAGGTATGTAACTGTTATGAGCTTTGAAATGTCCTCTTCCCAGAAAAAGATAATTTATAGACCTATTATAAATAGGGTTGATAACCGTCCTATATTAGGAAGGATTGTCCTATATTCGTTTTATTTATCCTACTTTATCTATCCTATTAACAACTCTTTAAACATTATGTAGAACAATCCCACATTTCAAATGCCAATATAAAAATATAAATAAACTTTAATAGTTTATAGGTTAGGGTCTGAAAAATTATCTTTCAATAGTTCATTATTAGGTATATCTTTTGATTGTATTTAGTTATCACTTATATACCTACTATAGAATAATTTATATTCTAAAGTATCTAAACGTGTTACAGAGTTTTTTAATTTTCTAACTCTATTATATATATCTAAATATTAATAATTATTGTGTGAAAAATCAATTGTTAATAAAATATAAGTAATATTTTATTACACACTGTAATTTATACATATTTTAAATAATAAATGTTGGTACCTACCTATTTACTAAAAATTTGTATATCTAATAAATTGCAGAATATCAGTTGAATTCTCTAAGTTAAAAGAGTAAATTAAGATTAGAAAAAAAGGTGTAAATAATTTGTTAAAAATCTTACCTATTAATATACCCATTCTATTGACATTACATTTTCGATTAAACTATTAATGAAATAGAATAAGAAAAGAAAAAAAATTATCCTACATCACATAATTTGAAAGTTGGTGATCCTAATAATAATATATAGTTTGTACATTCCCCGATATTCGCCCTAAGTTGCCTAGTAAGGATATTGTTGGAAAGAGTTACAGGCAATAGATATCTAGACAATTATCACCGGACTAAAATTGTATGCAATCTTGTTCTAATCATTTTCATCTTTGTTATTAATCATCTCTCTTTTGAATTCTACAATGTTTTTACGATACAAAATTAGAAACTTCCACTAAAAAGTTATTTACATACCTATAAATATTATTTAAGTATTCTAAAGAACTAAATAAAAGGAATTGATATGGGTTAACAAAAAAAAAAACTCACCGATGATGTCATTAATCAACTCTTTATTGCATTGGAGGCCTTCAAACCGGTGTAAATAAATGGTTATCTAAAATTCCTTTGACTAGAAAAAGAATAGATTTAAACTATAATATAACAAAAATAATTTTTGTGGTTTACCGCAATATAGTACTTATACATATAAAAGTGACGAATCTACGTTCGACCACACATAGTTTAGGATTATAATATAATAAATTTGTATTATAGGTATTTAATAAAAAGATTGAATTATTAAATGAAAATTGAATTTGTACGATATACGCAGTAATGAATAATGAACGAATAATATTAATATTAATGAATCTACTCATTTGGACCACTCATAATTTTGGATTATAATAGATATTTATATAGTATGTGATTATAACAGGATTTTAATCGTTTAGATTCGTCTCTCATTGTTACGCACGACGTAAAAAACCAATTTTTATTCAATAAATCAAACTTTTTGACATATAACTTAGCTGAAATACAAGTATATAGGTACATTTCAAAATTAAATAACTATATAAGAAATACTTATTTTCTTTTTCTTCTTCTGGCTATTAGGCTACTGAGGACCATCCCGTTTCGCATCCTAGCCTCCATCCTTCTCTATCCGACGCTTTTTCTTTCCAATCCGAGCCTCCACCAAATAATTCTACGTCTTTCTTGACTAAATCCTCCCATCTTGCTTTTGGGTTTTCTCAACTGTATTTTTCCACTCGGGTTTTTTTCCATTACGGCTCTTATCAGTTCATTATTTTTTCTCCAAGGCTGCCACGCCCATTGTAGTCTTCACCTTCTTATTACGTCTACCTACTACATTTGTGTTCTGGAATACAGTATTTTTTCTTCTTCTCCATTCTCTACTGAAACAATCCCTAACTGGACCGAAGATTTACCTTCCCATTAATAGTAATTTCTCTCGTTTAACTTTCGTAGTGTCCATGTTTCCGCTCCGTACAGGACTACCGGGTGAATCGAAGTAATGTAAAATTGGTTTTTTAATTTTTTAAACATTGATCTTGCTCCTAATATTTTTGCTAGTCCATAATAGTATTTATTTCCTGTCTGTATTTTGGCCACTATTTCGTTAGTATTTAAGCTATTAATAATTTAACAGTATAATTTATAGCTGTAAAATGTTTAAACCAATTGACAAAAGTAAAGGGGGGGGAGGTGAACAAATTGGAAGATTATGTGTGTGAAATGTAGGATGGTCCTGGTGGTCGATAATCCCAAAAATAAATAGAAAAATAAATGTATTATATTATTGAATACCAAGTCATTACGTCACGCGTCGGTTTCAATCGAATTTCTAGCTGGCCAATATTATAATTTATCTTCTCCTTATATAATAAAAATGAAAACGGTAGCACTATATAAATTTATTTTGCGAGTGCCCGTTATTTCGACCTGGGGGGTCTTTGATTTGAACACGTACCCTTTCCGCACTTCGTCCAGGACTGTGACGTAAGCCGTTCTCCGGGTTTGATAGGTTTATATTTTCTTGCCTATTTGTATTTTTACCATAGATTTAAAATATTATTATTATTATTATTATTATTAAGATTTAAACAAATTTAATTAACATTAAGTATCCTATAAGGTAAATAAATAATGTAAATTTAATTGTTTTTGTGTATTGATGTAATATTGATAATATAAATACAAATATATATATATATATATATATGTTTATTTAAACATTATAGGTATAAGTTAATATTATTATGTTATTCGTGATTAATAATTTAAGAGTAAAAAAATAAAAACATTTATATTATTATTATTTGGTGTATTTTTTAAATTATATTCCTGGTTCCTTTAATTGTAAATTAAATTAGTTGTATTTTTAATATTGTCAATAATTATTAATTTAAAACTACAAAGAATGCCTGCATGAGTGTTCCCGAATTATAAAAGTGGTTCTCGAAAAAAATAAAAACAAAGGTATACTAATATACGTTTACATAGGTTTCCCAAAAATGAAGATATTAAAAATATGTGGTTGATACAAATTGGTTCCAATAATACTATTGACGTAAAATGCATTAATTTGAATAGTGGTACGAATTTGATATTATAATATAAATTATTAAATATCTACAAATTAAAAATTATATTTTCAGCTGTAATATGCTCACTTCATTTTGCATCATATCATTTTGATAAACCTTTAATTCAAAAAATATATAAACTATTCGCCGCGAGCTGGTTGAAAACTTAAACCTAATGCTATAGCTTTAATGTTAAGTATTTTAACTAAATAAATAACTTAGGTAGGTGTATACATTTTTAATTTATATTATATCTCGTCGGGTTTAAATTATGACAACGTATCATATTTAAGAGAGGGAATATGTATCAAACTACAAATAAGACAATCATAAATTCAAATAATTCCATATAGTATGTATTGCATACCAAGGCTGGGCATTAACGAGTTAAGTATTAAAATTCAGTTTAAACATCACTCAATACATTTTTTACACGACTAATTTTTAACTTAATTAGTTAAATTTTATCTTATGGTTTTTCAACTGTGTCAATTTAGTTAATTTTTTTTATCCATTTATTTTTAACTCAACAATTATAAAAAATATATTAGTTAATTGTTAACTTAGATCCCTTACTTCTTATATTAACTTAACTAAATACTTATCCAGCCTTATAATATAATAAAATAGTAATAACCTTAAATGTACTTGATTTATTAACTTAATAGTATTGATAATGCAATTGATTCGTCAATCATTAGAACTTCTAGAGGAGTATTTTTTGTTGAACAAATAATAATTTGGGAAACAGTATAATTGAAATTGGAAATTCGGAGTAAGTATTCTTTCAAGTCCATGTATAAATAGATAACAATTATTAATTTTGGCAAATATTTAATACCTATAATTTTTAATTTGATAAATAATTTTTTAGTGATGAAAAAGTAATGAAAAAAGATTGTAGAATGAAGAAATTTCCGATTTAATAGGAATAGAACCATTTTATAAAATATTTCGAATTTTGTCAATATTAGATAGGTAGTAATTCAATTATTTCTATGAGTTTTTGTTATTTGTAGATTGAAAAATGAGAATGAACAGGTAGTTTTAGAAAATAATAAATTTAAAATATTGTTTCATCACAGAACACTAAAATTAAATCATATAATCATTTATTTAACATAGATCATTAAAGATTTCAAAATAAATTTAGTGATACATTAAATCATTTTTTAAGTCTTACACAAATCCAATTAACACTTAATCCAAAAAAAAGTGTATGCATGGAAACCAGAGGATATATTCTCTGAAATCACATTGAGGAGTATTTCTCCCAAGGCTTATCGATATTTTAGAAATGAAATGGAATTTCCATTGCCAGGTTAAAATAATTTATCTATTATACTTTTCATCAGAGTTAAAACATTAAATTCATTTTAGATCTATCTACATTAAGAAAAAGGCTTTCTACATTTCCTATTCAATCAGGAACCCTATTAAGTGTACTTGTTTTAATGAAAGAAAAAGTAATTCAAATTTCTAATTACAGAAATTAATATTAATATTATATTATACATTATATTGAGGTTCCTTAATCTCAAAGACTGATAAATTTGCAGTTCGTTTTTTTTGTTTTTTTTTTGTTGAAACATGTATCGAAAATAATATATTATGACGAAGCATATGAACAGATTATAGGTCCACATAAATGTGTATGCGTATAAATCTAGTAATAGATAGATGTAAATCAGTTTAAAAATATATTTTTACAAATTATGATATATTTAATTTATTTTATGAATAGGTTTGTTAAGTAATTGGAAACGTTCACAAACGTGCCACATTTAATTAAGTTAGTAAGAGATCGTTTACTTGAGCAGTAAGTAGATTTGTTTTGTAATTCATGAAAAATACATTTATAATACCAATATATTTAACTTTTAGTGGTTTTATTTTTTCCAACGGAAACTACATAGGATAAAACATATTTTAAGAATTGGTGAATTTAAATAGTGTAGATTTTAGAATGCCACATAAATTAACGCAACGCCATATTCCGGTCGAGGTTGAATCGAGTTTGAATAGCGCTCAACTATACTCCCTACGCCTAAACATAAAAGTGGAATATTTCGCGAATGAGTTTACGGAAGTCAAAAACTTTTTAAATAAACTTCTATTTTTTACATTTTGTGCAATGTTACTTTTATCATAAAATATAATTGTTTAATTTTCGGGCAAATTGGGGCAAATTATCAATGAAAAATTTTAAAGTATAAATACGTGATAGTTTTCGAAAAAAATTTAATTCAACCTCTAAGAACCCCTAAAAACTTCTGCAGTTCAAAAACGTAAAAATTAAATTTGTTTACAATAAATTACATTTATAAACATAAATTCAAGCGTAAAAATTTTAATTAAAATAAAATCATTCCTTGGACATAATATTTTAATACATGTGTTTGCATTTTAATTTTTTTTCACACTTAACTTTTAAAAACTGAATGTTACTAAACTATAACAATTTAGCGTTAAAAGTAGTCTAGTGTCTTTTTTCATAATGTAAAACATTACTACTAACTTTGAAAATCCTAATCATCATTCATCATATTCATATTTTACATCATTCATATTATTTATTATTGATATTGATAAAATCACCATCAATAGGCAATACATATAACCGATATCATCAACTAAAGAATGCATTGTTCGATATTATAATTATCTATTTTTAGCCCCGCTAAGAATGCGATTGAAACCAATGTGCGTCACATTTGATTTGTATGTAATTTTAATATCCCCCTCTCCGGCATTGGGTGATTTCCGTTTTACTTTTTTATCCGTTATACCTGATCAAATCGAGGGTTCGTGATAAAACGACTACACACACGTAAAAGATAAATGATTTGCGGCCACGCGTATCCGATAAGGCGTAGGTGCCCGAACAAATTTACGGAATTAAATAAGAAACGGCGTTTTTCCTGATATAACCTGACAATCGGTTAAATTTAAAAATTGTTTTACTATTTTTCAAACAGTACGAAGTATATTAAAAAATTAACAATACAATAAAACAAATTTTGATAGACTCAGTGATTTTAACATGCTCCGGTTGTATAGATCTTTTATTAATACGTCTGGTCGTAAATACTTTTTCTGTACAACGAATATTGCAATAATTGTATTATATTATTATCAATACCTTAAATTAGTATTTTTCCACAATAACAGATGGAATTTAAGCGTTCTTCGAAACTGCATTATTTTCAAGCCGTTCGTCCAGATCGACCAACCAATAAGAACGATTCTTCGATTCGATTTTTAAATTCCTAGTGTAGCTAAGGAACTATTGGTTTTACAATGTTGTATATTTCTTCTTCTTTGTTCTAGTCTGTGGACACGTTTTTTCCTAGTAAACTCGCTCCGATGTATAAGTGTAGCATTTTTTCTGAAATCTTAAGTTGTCTAGATTGTATTTTAGAAAGGTCATTTTATTGATTTTTAACGCCACATTTTAAATAAAAACACTTAAGTGGGAAAAACATGGGAAAACGAACAATTACATGATTTCATTATTTTATAAAAACACAGACGATGTTTTCTACCAGAAAAAATTATTTAATCGAAAAATCACAAGACATCTTTTTTGTAGCCTTTTTGATTTACTTTCTTACGGTTTCATTTTCAAAACTTTTGAGCCACTTTTAAGCTTTTAAGGAATTTTAATTTTTGGGAGGTTTTTTGCTACAATTGGGTTATAAATACACGTAGACACTTGAAACTTTGGTAGTAATACTTATATTAGATTACCTAGACGTGGACAAATTTCCAAAATCATCGGACATTTTTTTTTTTTTAATAAGCGTTTTGATATAAAATTTTAACGAAAATCGCAAAAAAAAATTACGGCACTTTAAATTATGTACTACGGAACTGCGCTCAGAATCGTTTACCGATTTCAAATTATCATTGAGTTAATAGCAACAGGTCAGTTACACTATGTTAATGCCATTTTTTTTTTTCTGTACATTGAACCTATCATTAACATTTTAAATGGGAATGAAAAATTCCTACAAAACATATACCATAGATAATCTCATATTGATAGCGTTAACTCTTACATAAAATAGTATAATTTTACTCTTATATTAGATAGACAATATAATAAAAAGTTTGAAAATATATGTTAATTGTATTAGTTTTTTGTTTTGTTTTTTTAATAATATTAGTATTGTAACTTGTGGTTCATTAATACATAATATTTAAAAATTAATGTAAAATAATACTCATGATAATTAAAAATAAAACATTTTTTTTTTTTTAAAGATTTAATTTAGTTCGAATATGTACCAGATACAGATATCGACCTATTATTATAATTATTGTTATTCACTCGGAAAAATATATTGTACACCGACATAAATACCATAACCTAGCCTGGGAAAACGTTGAATTGTATACCGCTTAATTGGTCGGCGTAAGTGATCGATTTATAACCCCGCAAAATGATTTGCATGGCGGGAGTTGACCCCAAATGCACTCCTTGCATTGTGTACAACGAAACCAGTACTCTACGGTCTCTCGTTGAATATTAATAAATGCCGATCAATGATATTCGCCAGAAGTCGCTCTCCTACTATTTATTCTTACACTTTGAATGGCTCCAACCTAATTCCTGTTGATTTTAGCATTTGCGATTTTGGCTTTACTTTTACTTGCTCTCTTTGTCCTCGTGCTCACATCGATCAAATTGCATGCAAAGCCTCAAAGGTATTGGGTTTCGTCAAAAGAATATCTAGTGATTTTAAACTCACCCGGTCTCTTAAATCTATCTATTGCGCATTAGTACGATCTATTCTCGAATATGGCTCTGTTGTTTGGAATCCTCAAACAGCTGATGCCTGTTGTTTGCAACTCGAACGAGTTCAGCGTAAATTCTTTTGCTTCATGAAGCATACCTTGAATGTTGATTGCGTCCCTCATGATTAGACTCCTCTTCTCCGTCTTCTTAACTTATCCTTCTTAGCTGACATTCGCATTTCTCATGATCAAATAATTTATTGGAACTAGTAAGCATTATTCATTATCTTCTCGTTATCTTCAGTATTTAGATATTATAAAATTGATAAAATTAAAAGAGCTGGAATCATTATGATATTAAATACGATATATTGAGATTGATAAAATAATATCAACAAAAATATTTTTAAAAATACGTATATTAAAACGTATGGCTTGGAAATGGCTTAATGGCCAATTTGTTTGCGTCCAAACTTCATGTGAAGTCACTTATAATATTATCTTCAAAATGTAGTTGTTTTAATGTATCGATTTTAATGCTGAACAAAACCTAAAAAAAGTTGACCATGTTTTCTAACATAAAAGTTCGTAGCTTACTTTTGATCGACTTGAATTTTGAAAATAATTTTCTCTGCTACTGTTTGTACGTGACAAGAGATACCGAAATATTATAAAAACAATATTGAACGTGTGAATCTAGAAGGGGTTCATTCGCATCCCTCTAGTTAAAATTCGTGGTAAAAATCCTTAAACTGGATCCTAATCCCTAATTGATCATCTACACATCGTTGTTGTATATTTCTATCTACAAGTTTTGAGCTTCCGCAGTCAGTGGCGTAGCCTGCAGAATTTATAAAAGGGGAGGATGTTATTTGGCTGATCGAGGAGGGTTGAAGGATATACAACCTACTTAACCTTACCCGTAGCTGTTTCCGGCGAGACACGTTTCAATCGTAATAACCGAGATGTTTTATAATACGAAAGCGGTTGAACGGTCTATAAAATATTTCGGTATCAAATGATTATAATATACGTTTACGTATCTATATTATTATTTTATAAACACGATGACGTACTTGTGTTTTTTTTTGTCCGTACGAAATCTCGCAAATAATTTAAAAAAAATAACAATAATCGATAAACTATCTGTATCGCGAAGTAAAACGTCGAATAAAATAGGCCATGTATACCTACCGAAATACGTTATAATATTCCGATCCGTCGTATGTGCGTATATTAACGACAAAATCACGTAGCGTTTTTATCTGGCGACAATATAATATTATTTCTGTCACGACGGTTTCGAACATATGATTTATAATGATATCTCCCATACATATATTCCCTACACCATTTTATTCACACGGTATATACTTGGGTACATAGATAGGTAATTAAAACCCGGAGACTCGAAAACGTAATCGTTGAAACTCGAAATCGTTTGCGGCGTTGGTGTGGGAGGGGGATTTTTCAATGGAGAGGGCGAAAACCCCGAAACGACAAACCGGAAATTACACGTTCACCTCCGTTCTAACATCAATTACTACATAATATACTAAACCGCTATAAAGTCGATAACATATGAAAAAAAACCTCAATAACGAAACGTTTATAATAAAAATTTAAAAATTTAAAAAAAACTATGGCCAATGGAGAGAGCCACGGCCCCCGCGAACTCTCTCCCCCGGCTACGCCACTGATTTTCGGTCTATTTTACTTGCGTTTTAAGCGCGTTGCGCGTCGGCCGACGGGAACTGTTAATTTTACACGTTTATGTTTTGTTATTTCTCCGTCAAAAAAATAAAAAAATTATTAAACCCGATCGTAGGTATATTATATAGGTATTGTAATTATGTGTTATATTTTCGTTTAGCTGCCGCCCGTATATTATTATCGTAGTTTATATGCTGTATAATTGCCGCCGATCAAAAATACGTAAATATATAGGTGCATGTTAAAATTTGTGGGAAAAAAAAATCTCTCAGAGTCACGTAAATATTATCGTATTCGATATATTCTATTTTGGCATTCCTTCGCCGGGATACCTATTAATAATAATAGTTTTTTTTTTTTTTTCCCCGATACATTATGAAGATTATTATTATTATTCTTTAATAAACATATTTTTTAATTAATCCGAATTAGCATATTAATCACTCATTATTACCATGATTCTTTTCTTCCCGCCCGCCCCGAAGCCACGGACGTAAAATCGGATGGAACCGAATATGCGCTAAATACTAGTGGTACTTATACATTTTTTATGAATATTATTATAATGCCTATCTTAACAATATTATTATTTAAATTTCTAACCATGTCGTTTATATTAACGTGCAGCAGGCGTTTCGCCGGCACGTTGGTAATAATAATTAATAATAACGATAATGGATTCAGAATGTTGCATTTATATTTTTGTTTTAAACATCGGCTATAGTTTTAAAGTGACGATACGAACGTGGCGGTGCCGAGTTTTGCAGCGGAGTTCTGAATTTGTCGTACTTAGGAAAACAATATCATAAAATCATTATTAATCTTTTATTAACGACGCTCCAACGACTACTCGCCGACTACCCGTACAATGACAAACTTATAAGTGAAATATTTCGAAAAACGGGTTAACGGAAATTAAAAATGTCAATACCAAATATTAAACTAAAATAAAATCGAAAAACGTTATTGCGTATGTTTTCCGGTTTGGTCTACGTTTTTTTATTTTTTCAATTATCAAGAAAACTATAAAATATGAGAACTTCGTTTCAAACGAAAAACAAATTTTGAGCGAAGTTCAGTTAAACGTGTTTTAAAATGACGCGATTTTTACGATTGTCGTACGAATTTCAAATTTAAACGCTTATAAAAAAAAAAAAAAAAACTAATAAAAAGTATTATAATTACATTCAACATTTCTGCATCCATATAAAACCAAATAAAAACTCATCGATCTCCGAAATTTCAAATGCAACTAAACAATTACCAGAATGTTTTGAAAGTAATCCGAAGCGAACTGAAATCGTTGTTTTAGGAAAATTAAAAAAGAAAATAATATATCGACGGAAAACCTGGAAAACAATTGAAAGCGGAAAAATCATTTCGAACGAAAACACATACATCATAATAGAATCGTAATATTAATCGTCGTAGTAGAATCTAAAATAAATATCTATTATAAAAGGGAAAAGTTAGGTTGCAGTAGTGTTATCAATGTTTGTTTTCGGCAATCACTAATCGCTGAATTATGTATAAAAATTGTCCACTCCCCCACGACTAAGGTTGAGTTCAATAGTTGCAGGAGACGCTAAATTGTTGTTTTTAAGTCCTATTGTCCCTGTTCTTTTATTCGTTTGATTCGAGCACCATTAGTGTAAACGGCGTACCGCCTGCACTCGGCTCACATAGCATAGGGGTCCCCCACGCATAGAGACACAATGTATTATTCTCCGTGCCCTCATTTTTCTTTCTATTGAAAAATTAATATTTCTGTGAAGTATAACCGAGTAATACGAAAATAGATACTTAGTGAGACGTATTTTACTGAAATTATACGGGATACGGATTAGTAGTGAACGCAGAGTGGATCATTCACCCTCTCCAGAAAATAACGTTTTCCGCATTTGTCTCTGATATAAATTTATAGACTGCGGCCCCGACTCTGGGATTATTGCACCTGACCACCATTTCGGTTATTCAGCCACAGTTATTCTGGTCTACTGTGCAAAAGCGATAGTGTAGATGCTCGCCGGTCACAAGCATTGACGTCATAGACCTTATACTAATAGACGAGCCTTTTGCACACCACGTAAAACGGCCATAGATAGAGGGCGTTCCTCACGTGTGACTTGTGACTTTGACGTGGTATTATTATTATTGTACATTGCACTACACATACAATGACAAAACCGATGTGATTATACTGTACACCGCTGCACGCAGCGTGTCCGACCGGTTACTACCTCGGTTACCCTAAAGGCAAGGTCAGTCTATTAATACAAAGCGTACGGTTGACATTTAACGCGAAATGAATATTACAAACGCATTATTATTCTTGCAGTACGCGTTTCCGAGGTCCGCGTTTCCGTCGTTTTTGACGACTTTCGTCCCTTCTCGGTTTCGACCAATATTAACAATATTGTACGTTCGAAATGATCAATTAACATTATATCGTTCGTATTACGAACGTTGATAACAATATTATCCATTCGATGCGCTTACGAAGTATAGATACGTTCTGTCGCGATATTTGCGTCTACGTTTCATTCATGAAATAATCGTAAATTCGTAACCGCATTATAATAATATACCATATTAATACATTTGTTCGTACAACATTGGGTACGTGTATTATGATAACGGTATTATCATAATAAATTATTGTTTCTCCTTATCTGGGTTCGTTGAACCGGCTCTACGGCTGCGGGGTTACGTCCCGGTCTTGATAAACCAATTCTAAAATTAGACCGTTATTACAATAATGTTTACAATATCACGATGGTGATAATAATGATATTGTTTCCCCGTTAAAATCACTGTGCGTTTGCGTAATCTGTTTCAGCACCGACGGTCGCGGTTTAATTGGACGACTGTGATAATGATGTATTTAACGTGTATAATACAATGTTACACTCGGCGTTCGGTGTCGTTTGAAAAAAAAAAATCGCTCTTCTAACGACATGTTAGGCTCCCACACGGATAGGGTACGCACACAAAAAATAACGACATTTCAATATCGTTTCAATTTTACATTTTTAACATTTCGATACTTCCAATAGCGATTTTCTAAAACTAAATACATAATTTAATAACCCAAAATGTGAAATAACTGTTTAGGTTTTCTTTTTGATTGTGAAAACGCTCTTGGCTCCGGGTTACGGTCTTCGCCGACGACGGACCGACTGACAAACGGACGCAGGGAGAATTGTTATTGTTTGTCACGCTAAAAACGCGTGCGTCGTTTCGGTACCGCTAGACACGTCGAGAAACAACGAAAATAAATAGATTTCCCCGTGTTAAAACCGCCGTTTTCACGTGCATGCGCTTTTATCTGTATTGGCTCCGGAAAACACCGGACTAATAAAAATGTACAATAATATTGTGAAGCACAATAACGGCGAAACCGAACGAACGTAAGTAATTCATTTGTAGGCGGCCGTTCAGTTTGTATATTTAGCGGGAATTCACACCGGAAACACGACCGATAACGCGCCCTTCAATAACCCGCGGATGACAGTCGGTATCTACTCGACGAGTAATCTAAATTTCATTGATAGACGAGTTTTGATCAAATGTCCATTGAATAATATTTTCTTGTTTTCTGAACGTTACAAAAATATCGAGTCGGTAAATTTTTATGTCACGAATCGGAGGATTTCCAATAATATCTCAAAACGCTGTGCCGTCCGGACTAAATTTTTTCTGAAATTCGATATTTCACAGTAAAACCCCACCCCCACTTTCAGAACCAGGCGCGTGTACAAGAGGGGGTTTAGGGGTTAAACCCATCCCTCCAACTGCAGTTTTAACACAGAAACCTGTCATTTTATTTATTATTATAAAATATTAAAACAGTATGCATCATTACAGCAATGCATTGATAATCGTAAAAACAATTAAATTATCATCAATTATTATGATACGACATGATAGCAATTTATTTGATTTTAATATAACCTCAATGTAAATGGCGACCCCCGTGAAATCCTGAAAAGAACCGCTGGCCACTTTCATTATATAAGCTCTCTAATAGGTATATATTATTATTATTGTTATTTATAATTTTTCGCGGTTTTCCTACTTTTAGCAAATTATAACTGTTACGACAAAATTGTCTATTGCCTGCATTATCATCACAATATGATTTACTTTATCATTTAGGCTGTATTCACTAAAAAAAATATGTGTAAAATTTAGTGATTGGTACGTAAAAGTTTAAAAATGAATGTTATAAAATAATGACATTTTTAATGAAAATTGAATTATTCTACAATTGAAATTTTTGAATTTTAAATTAACCTTCCCCCCCCCCGACGACAACGAAATATTTGTTTTTTAAATGTACCTGTCTGGAACTAATAAAAACATGTTTATATATTATGTATTTTCGCAGAGATCATTAATATAATATGACTATCAGAAATTATAATCGGCCAAAAAAAAAAAAAAATTGGTCCACCACAATGATTAATTCGTTATCTCCCTAATGTTCTTCATCACACAGTTTAAACCGGCCCGATAAATGCGCCAGCATACTCGCATACATTTTCCGCAAAATGTTAAAAAAATTTAATTTGTATAAACTACAAAACCATGGTCTCATTGTAACATATCATGCTTTTTGTTTTTTATATATGCATATTTATAAATTATAAAATATTAGCCAAAAGTACTGAAAATAACTTATATTATAAAACGATGAAATAAAATCTCAAATCGAGATGAAATACATACAACGAATGTCGACAATTTTATTACCTTACCCAAATGCAATTAAAAATAATAAACTCGAAATAATTGAGAGATTTTTCCACTGGTTCAGTTCAATTGATTGTTAAATAATAAACGCGACAAAAGTATGATTTAGCGTCTTTTGTAGGATCATAAAATAATTCCCTGTAATCTATGGAATTGATGGTAGTGACATCAAGTTCCCGTCAACTAAAAATAAGTGATTAAAAGGTTATTTTTATGAATTATACTATTTTCTTCGAAAAAAGTCTGTGTAAACTGCAACGTTTTACCTTTATTTTGCATGTTAATGTAAAAGTTGAAAGTATAATATGAGAATATCAAGTCAACAATAGCCGTTATTAGGCAGATGTTTATCAAAGTTTTTAAACTGGAATTTATTCAGATGTAGAATTTATATTTACCGATTAGCCAGACGGTGATCTCTCCTTTGGACAAATTCGATAGAGGCGGCGGTACGGTTTCTTCGATTTAAGGACCCACAATCTCCGCAAACTCAGCTGGCACTTTGATGTCTACCACCGTGTTCGTTATGGCTCTAAAAAATATTATTTCATATCCACCTCCACAATAGATTCCTATACACACATCTGCTATGGATAACACTGTAGGACACTCTGTATTGTACGAAATATGAGAAATCTCGCGATTAAATTTCGAGTTTCTAGACTCTGCGACGGTTCTGCTACGGTTCGGGCCGAGCGATGATGAATCGTTCAGAAAATACCAATTAAAATTGTATGTATAGATAGTGAGCATTAAAAAAAAAAAAATCATTAAAATATCAGCTGTCTATATTTAGTAGCAGTAACATGAGATCACATTGGGCAAATTACTGATACTCGCCATTCGTCAACGAATAAAGTCGTAGGTACGCAAGTTATTAAAATCTGAATAAAATACGTCGGTCGCGGACACGTATAACAATATTTATACTGGTGACTTCATTATAATTTTGATATGTAAACAGCCAGCGAGTGACGACAAAAGTAGGCCACTGTCGTGGACTTTATTCGACGGCGAACAGCGATGACGAGGCGATCCTTTTGGCATATAGCAGCGAATAAATTTGCGCGATGAAAGACACAAATTACCCATTTTAAAAAGGTTAAAAAAAAACACGAAACGGTTTTTCGAATGTATACACGTACCTTATCATGACGATTGACGATCGTACAACATACTGCGATGGTGGTTTTTGGCCTTTTTGCGTACTGCAGGTAACACGAAAACACCAAGACGTACGTCACGATTATCAGACTTTTGTCAAGAATCAGCATGTTCGAAGCCATTTCGACTAAGTAGCTATATTATGTTGTCGTATAATAGATTGGATAAATATAGTTATCAAAAATGATAGCTGTAATTTTTAGAAAAAAAAAAATGTTTTAATACTTAAAAAAAGCACCGCAATGATCAATTAATATGAAAACTACTTGGAAAATCAAAAACTTTTCACGAAAGTCTATATTCAAAATAAAACAAGAAATGCGTTTTGTTGTTTTTCTATTGCAGATCTATTTTGATTCTCAACCTATGGAAAACACGACGCGAGCCGTATCGCTACACAAATGATACTTCTCTACTCTCCTCCAACCCAAGTTTAAAAGTGGAATATTTCGTCGACGGATCCACGGAAATCAAAAATTTCAACACTTAAATTTATCTTAACTAACACTCCATTTATTTATGGGATTTTTAATAAAGGTTGCTATTTGAAAATCAAAAGTAGGTAGTGGTTTTACATCCAAAAATAAGGACGACAAAAAATAAAATAAATATAAAATTGTAGAGCAGCTTGTTTCTTAAATATCCTAGAAAACAAATCCCGAAAAAAGTTAATACTTTCTGAGATAATAAGTGTTAAATGGATTATTCGGTGTATTATAGAACAAACCGAATGAATAATATAAATAGTATCAGCAAGTAATATGTACCACTTATAATATAATCATAACCATTATCCTAGGACGTGTTTTTTGTACTTATTATTTAATTTTATTACGTTGACGAAAAAACACTGTTTGTTTTTTTAAATTTTAAATTATATTTGTATGTATAGTTAATAGATTTCCGCAAGCGATATAACGAAACACGTACCGAATGGAACATCTTGATATTGCCATATTATGGTTTACGTCAATCAAAAGTCCGTAATCATATCAGGATACACTTTAGAAGAAATTGATTGGCAGGCGGCAATGGAGGACATTAAATAGGACACATTTACGAAAACATTGACGATCATGTTCAGAAAAAATGAAACTAGATGAGTATTTAATTTAATATTATGTAACACTGATTGCAATATACGCATACAAATTTGTCCCAGCATATAGCTTAAATTTGTATTTTTACACCATAACAGATAGAATTTAAGCGTTCGCGGAAACTGCAATATTCTCAAACCGATCATTCACATCGACCAACCAATAAGAACGATTTTTTGATTCGATTTTTTTGAGATTTCCTTTGAAAATGCCATACCAAACGAATCCGATCAACAGACACACGATGACTTCTACGTAGTAGCCGTCCACGATTTTAGTGCATTTTCCGTCATTCGCAGTATAATATGACATCTGAAAAATATTTTTATATTTTCAAACCATGTGTTCGGTACGTATATTATATAATATAATGTGAACACAAGTCAATATGATGATATTATCATCGGAAAACACAATATTAGGAAGTATATATGGTATATGCTAAAGAACGAAGTGAACTTATTTTAGATAGAAACAATTAAAATATTGGCTAACATTCTTTAAATCGCCCGTAGAATTATTCTGGAAATCGTTTGAACACTTGTAAAACGTTAACACATCAACCATTTTAAGAACTGTCGTGTGTGGCACGACGAGTCCTGTACTGCGTACAGTGCACAATAACGTCATGTACGTCCCTCCAAACCGAGGATCGCTGATTCGAGAAAAAAACGCCATTAATGTAATGTACATAAGGCAAGACAACGACTGTAATAAAAACAAATGTAATTACAATCGTTTATGCGTTACAGAATGCAATGCAGCTACATATGTGTGTAATTTTTTTCAAATCAATTTATTTAATAAGTAATAATAATGATTCATAGTTTGTACAAATTGTAATATTATTCAATTCTCCGTGAAATCGTGTTGATTATAACACGAAGTTAAGTAAACTTTTTCGCGATAACTGACCTAAGAAAACGCAAAATTAGATTTGCGCGTTCCAATCAAAAACATAATTATTATTATCAACGTTACCTCATTTATGGCAAATATCGAACCTATTAGAAAATAGTAATACATCGGCACGTACACAACCCCGTTACTGTTTTTGATTAACGTTGGCGTGTAATAAACCAACATAGCGAACGGAAGACTCCAGAATAATCTGAAACATTCAATAACACCATGATCGCAACAGAGTTTCTATACGAGTTCTGGACAGGGATTTTTTTTTTTTTTTATAAACGATTTATAATAGCTTAAACATTAACCGATCGCGAAAATGCGCGTCAAACAATCGCAGGCACGATTTTATCTCCAAAAACACGGTTTCCACTCCAACGTTATCATGTACTGGGTCAATCAGTCCGATAACACGTCGTTAAGTAGGTATTATGAAATAAAATTTGAAATTACCATAGTGTCTGTTTAAAAACAACATCATCCGTTTAGAAAAAATCAAAAAAAAAAAAAAAAAAAAATCGATCTCAACTATACATTAAAATTGTCTAGAAATAAATTAAAGAGTATTTGTTTGAAGGACTGGTCGTCTTTAAAGCCTCTCTCCATTTACAAGAAAGGAGGGTCATTAAAATTATTTATTATTCGGAAAAATATGTACGTTTATCGTCATACGTTATGAGTATACGATATTAAAATTATTTAGGTATGATTGATATGATATGATACGATATGATAGGTACAATTATTGTATCTACCTAAACGGCCACAAAATAAGATAAAAACTAATTGTTTTTTGGCCTGTGGTGTATTTGGTTAGGAAAAGTGGTACGACTATTTTTAAAATGTACATGGTTGTAATTATTAACATAATATCGTCTTTGGATACACCGGCGTCTATTAATTTCAAATTCGCCACGGAATCCGTTGCTGACGAACCAACCTGTAAATTAAAAAAACCAATATAAGAAATGTTATACAATTACGAATGCTGTTCGTAATAAATTATAACTAACAAAAAAAATAAAACAAAATTTGACTTCAATTTATGAATTTAGGATATTATTTAAATTTTCGATATACGATTCCCAATTTCGAAATTAAAACAATTTTCTCGATTTTCGATACAGATTTCTAATAAAATCTATGATATTAGAGGTCTATTCCAATGATATTATTCCGTATTACAACTGGATTGTGTAACAGAACAGTATTAAACATTAAACCAAACTATTTACCGCCGTCGTCAGAACAGCCATTACCAATATTTTCATACGAGGTATTTTTAAAATGTCCCATATCCGTGCAAAACTTCGAAAGACATTGGTGTGGTCGTTTTCTTCGTCCGACTTATTATCGGTTTCCCTTTTGACTATAACAATCAATGTCGTTATCAAGAAAAATGCCATACCCCAAAAAAACGAAAAACCTGTAAAAACGAAACGCATAAAACTATCGCTGAAAAGAATGGAAAATAATTAAGCAGATAATTGATGAGTAGAAATTCCAATATCACGATCGAATTTTATCGCCAGGGAATCAGTATTTCCGGTTTATTTTTAACCTGCTCTAAAATTTGATTTTAAAAGATTTTTGTTTTCATTTCGATAAAAAGAAATAAAGAAAAATGCATGTGTAGATTTTGAATACGATACAGATAATAATAAAAAGCATGTTTTGCTGCATTAATACCGAATTTTCAGGAAAAAATGCTTGATTTAATTAACGTATTAATTTCTATAGTACAATAAAAAACAAGACGTCAATTTAATATTATGTTCATACTTTTTATACTCATAATAGCTCCTATGCCGGGTGTAATTCGTAAATATCTGTTGCAAAAGTCTTCAGACGCGAGCAGAATCGGACAAACGGAACCGATGCACATTCCAGCAGCTGCACCAACATAATTGCACGTAGACGCATAACTCACGTTATTTCTAATGATTATTTAAACTTGTGAGTATTAAACATGATTATATTTTACACTAAAAAATAAATAAATATATGTGTATATATATTCATATTTATCGTCTAATACAAACGATGCTCATTGATATTTAGGTATATTTATCTTACTTTTTCAACATGGTCAATGCCCAACTGTCAACGACTATATCCTGAGTGGCCAGCGTCAAATTCATTATGAAAAACACGCACACGATCATGTTAATATTCGGTTTACCCGACTCCGGTAACAAATCGTCCATGTTATTACCGAAATAAAGGAGACAGGCACCTGTTCAAAAAATGATTAGGATTACAACGAATAGTACCTTTTACTGTACATACATAATATTCTATTTGTATACTATCGAATAAACATTTTAACTTATTAAACACTATATATTGAGGTTTACAAATGCCAATGGATTCGTATAGTTGCAAAAATTGCATAACTTTCGAACGTATTTTAATAATATTATACTTATTACGATCCATATCCAAAAACGCATACAGGTTTTCGTTCGATTTATATACAATTTTCATTTTTTTTTTTTTAAATAAATGACGCGATGCCAATTACAAACATAATGACGATCATATACCTGATGAAAAAATAAACGACTTAAACATAAACATCACATACCTAGGGTATATTGAACGGGTATGAGCCAAGATTTCCTTCTTCCCACGCGTTGTATGTAGATTGCGTCTACAACCGGGGCCCACAAGAGTTTCAAACTGTACGGCCACAGTACAATACTAAATAAAGCCTGTAATGACATAATAAATAATAATCACACATAGTAATACAAATATTTTTATGAATTAATTACAAATGGCCAAATTCGTTAATCGTAATATTTTATTTTCTACGACGTACAGTGGAATGGATAACACCGAGAACCAATAAAAATAGCGTTTATCAAATTTAAATACCCATATCATATTGTTATACGCGTAATCAGTAAAGGAGTTTGTCCTGCTGTGTAGCTCAAAAAAATGGAGCTAGTTGCAGCAGCCTTAACATAAGTCCCCCGTATTACAATATTATTATTTTTTTCTAATCAAGTTTTACTTCTTTTGTTATAACTTCGCAATTTTAACGTTTACCGATTTCAAATTATCATTGAGTTAATAGCAACAAGTCAGTTGAATGAGAAATTCTTGCAAAACATATAGATAGTGTCAACTCTCACATGAAATAGTATAACTACTCCTACATTAAATAGGCAGTATAATAGAAAGTTTTAAAATATATGTTAATTGTATTAGTTTTTTTAATAATATCAGTGTTGTAACTTGTGATTCAATTAATATATAATATTTAAAAATCAATGCAAAATATACTCATTAAAGTTAAAAATTATTAGGATAAGAAAAGTTAATAATGATCAAAAATACGGTTACACGATTTGTTTTACCACGAAGAACGATTTTTGAAGAAACTCCTATTCAATTTTCAAGCATTTCTATTTGGTCTAACAATTTTATCCACAGAGTAACTACCGAATAAAAATTACGTAAAAAACTCGCAAAATTAAAATATTTATAAAGAACACAAAAATGGTTCGCATGTTTTGAACATTTTACCACGTCTAGAAACAGTAAACATAAGTTTTCTGATTAAAAATAATAAAATTATTATTTACGTATTATGATTAGCAAAAAACAACCTAAATAAAAGTAATATTATTTATGATTATTTTTGTATACGTTTTTTTTTAAGTTAAATGATTATGTCATTCACTCGTATCATACGAGTCGTGTGACGTATATATATATATACAATTTAATACGATCTAATTCGTTAATGTCAACATTTTGGAATATTTATAGGATTATCATATACGAATAATATTGAATATAAAATGCTTTGTTAGATTAAACGATACGAGACAAAAATATAACAAACTAAATAATACAACAATAGGTATTTTTCAATGAATATAGATATAAAGAGAGACATAATATTACAAGCCAAAAAAAAAAAATCCTATACACGATTATACGGCGTGTAAGAAACGTGATGAATCGTCACAGACTTATCTTTGCAAACATGTTCGAAATGATTCGTAGGTTTTATTTTATTAGTTTTATATAGTAGCACACATAGGACTTTTTTTTTGTTTATAATACTTTTCTAAAAAGGATAGCACATATTACAGGGGCGTATTTAGCTCATTTTCCAGGGGGGGGGGAGGGCGAAATTCAAACTTTAATCATACTTATAAATTATTAGTTATAAAAGTATGTATCAACAAACGGCAGTGTTACAGATTATAAATAGATCGGCAGTTTAAAATTGTCCGATCGTTTCTCTTGCATAGAACTTGAATAAATGATTTCTATCCACTTTGATAACTATTATTAGGAACTGAGGATAATAAAACCCTTGAAAAAAAATACAATTATTGGCATCTTAAGAAATTTTTTATAGGTATTGAAACGAAGGAAAAATATCAGTACTTTCGGATTTCAGTATTGAATATTAATGAAAACATGCTAGTACAAACGCCGAGAACTAGGTATTACCAACTTCTAGTGCTGTACTCCTACTATCATGGCCGTCTTTCCATTAGAGTTTATCAATTTTTATTACGATATGATTATCATTGGTCTATGGTCTCATTACCCAAAAAAGGGATAAGTTAATAACACGGACCATGGTTGCAGAGTGCTAACAATAATCGTATAGATAATCACAATATAATTATTATAACCAACAGTAGACGTATATGTTGATGATAGCTATGATATTTCTAATCTCTTAGCAATCTCTTAAAAAGTTTTTGATAACTATTTTCGCATAAAAAAATTAATTTTTTTGTGACTCCTAACTCCCCCCTTCCCCTTGTATGCGCCACTGGTATTATATATTCTAACCTTATATATGTTAAAATTCCAATAGTGACTCCAATAGTGCTATAGCTTATTGGAGAGGAGGGGTCATGCACTTTCCCAAAAAATTCTTCATTTGTTTGTTATTTATAGGCTATTATCGATAGTGTTAACTATTAACAATATTGATGAAATACAACCTCTGTTCCTCCGCCGAATTATTTTTCCTGGTTACTAAATCGGTTAAGGGTTTTACAGATCGAAACAATTTTTTTATTGTTTTTTGGATTCAATTCAGATCGAATATGTACCATATACAAATGTCGACTTATTATTATTATTATTCAGTCGGAAAAATATATTGTACACTGACATAAATACCACAACCTAACCTCGGAAAACGTTAAATTGTGTACCACTTACTTGGTCGGCGTAAGTGATCGATTTATAACCCTGCAAAATGATTTGCATGGCGGATGTTAACCCCAAAGGCACTCCTTGCATTGTGTACAACGAAACCAGTACGACGACATTGTGCCAATCTCCGTTCAGATTCGGCTTTTCTTCCTCCGCCGTCGCCGTCGCCGTTGAGTCCGGTGCCATCGCTGAACGTTCTGAATCATCGTGTCCGTCCTTCAGACATTTCACCATAATTGCAATTACAATCTCAAGAATTATCGGAGACCGTTTTAAATGCGACCACGAAGCGTACGCTCATAATACTGTGATCTCGTACTCGATTGAAATCTATAAAACGGGAATAACGGCCGATTTTGAGAACACTGATAGCGTTATCACTTAAACCGGGTACTTGACCCGCTGTTGTCAATGTTTTACTGTGACGTATCGTTGTATTGACAATTTATTTGTCGTCGATAAAGGACCGCATGTCATTTCAATCCCCTGTAGTACGTCCAGAGAATAATATCATAATATGTGTAAATATGCGATATTATTAAGCTATTATTTAATGCTACAATTCTATAGTATGACCAACACTAATGCGTCGTACAAGCCATCGAACCCGGATTAAGACATTTAGAGGCCTTAGGCAAAATAAAATAATAGTTCGTAATATATCATCAACGAAAAGTTATTAAAAGCAATAGAATATAAAAATACAAAAACACACCTAATGATTAAATGCGTGGATAAAGAATATATTATGTTGTGTCAAAAACTGAGGCCCCTGGAGATTTGTGCTGACCCCCTTAATCCGGATAAATGAGTTATACGTATACAGATGGATTTACGAATATAAGACGATAAGAAACATTTGTATAATCGCAGGAATTAATTATTACTAATGAGCTTTAAAATCGATAGAATGTCACAAGCAAAGAATGAGTTATGTTAATGATCCAAATATATTACAATAGTAATACCAACTAGGTACTTAATATAATTTTACAAGATTATGAATGGAAAAAGGAAATTTTTTATTAATTTAAAATGTTACATTTTCCTCAGGTACTTAAAATAATATATATATATATATGCAATATTCAATATACACAGTGAAAAACCTATCATTGGAAATGTATTTTTTATAAATTATTAATTACCGAATTATTTTTAATGAGTAACACTGGGGGTTGGGTTAAGCGAAAACCAGTTAGTTCAAGTTCAAGAATTGCAATGAGCGCTAATTTTATTCAAGTTGCATAGTAGGGGTTGCAGCGCCCAAAATTCTGGAATGAATATAGTTTAGCTTTCAAGTGATTTTTTTTTCCAAAATATTTGTTTTTACATGCTTAATTTCATGGTATTTTCAAAAAAGTTGCTCAAACTTCTTTTGGAAATTATGATCAAAGAACTTCAAAATGCTCGATTTTTCTAAAAATCGTGTTTTTGAGTTTGAAATACCAACAATTTATATTTTTGGAATTTTTTTTTTTAGTAATGGTAGTAATTATATGCTTAATATTTTAGTAAAATCAGAACTAACTAATGTTTTTTGATTTGGAAGAAATAGTGGAAAAATGTATCTTTTCTTATGAATACATAAACACCAAATTTTACCTTTGGAAAAATATAGTTTATTGAATACTATTTCATTTTGTTTACTTACTTTGGCCAAAATAATTAAAAATACCCCGATTGGGGGAGGGAGAGTTGATGATCATGGTGAAATTAATACAACAATAAAACATCAAATTATCTTTTTAAATATACAACAAAATATTCAATGAAGTTTTAAAATTTACTTTTTTGTTACACTTAACAGAAATACTTTAGAATTTAACATATGGTTCATTAAAATTCGTACTTTGTGGTAAAAAAAAAATGTTGAGCAGAGGCTATCACTTTTAAATATTCATCTAAATGAAAACATTGATATAGAAAATATTGTTGATCAAACCACTTGCAAAGCGCTGCTTAAAATAAAAATATTTTAGACTTGGTCATCTAACTTTTATTAATTATAATTATTATTTTTATTCATATTATCATTATTTTAATTATTACTTATTTACTGTGAAAAAAATTAATTAATTTTTTAAATTCTACTGTTTTTCTGCATTTGTACAATATATCTGCAGTCTTCTAAGTTAATATAAGTTGAAATGACATTAGACATGAAGGTTTTAAGTTTCTGTTGACCAAAGCGATGGTATGTAGGAGTAAAAATTGGTCGCCGCCCCCTCCCCGTGAAATCGACTAAAAAACGACCCTGTTGAAAATACAATATTATCATCTGCCAAATTATTAAAATACCGCTATCCGGCGTAGCTTATTTAACAAGACACGTGCCAGTCTTAATAACTGAGATGTTTTATAATAAGAAAACGGTTGAACGGTCTATAAAATATTTCGGTATCAATTGATTATAATATATGTTTACGTACCTATATTATTATTTTATAAACACAATAACGTACTTGTGATTTTTTTTTTTTCCGTACGAAATCTCGGAAATAATGTTTAAAAAAATAACAATAATCGATAAACTACATGTATCGCGGAGTAAAACGTCGAATAATATGGGCCGTGTATACCTACCAGAGTATATTATAAAAAATTAATATTTCGATCCGTCGTATATGCGCGTATTAACGACAAAATCACGAAACGTTTTTATCTGGCGAGTGGCGACAGTACGATATTATTTGCGTAACGACGGTTTCGAACATATGATTTATAATGATATCTCCCTACATAAGTTACCTATACAATTTTATACACGCGGTATGGATAGGCAATTAAAACCCGAAGACTTGAAAACGTAATCGTTGAAACACGAAATCGTTTGCGGCATTGGCGTGGAGGGGGGATTTTTCAACGGAGCGGGCCAAAACCCCGAAACGACAAACCCGAAATTACACCGTTTACCCCCGTTCTAACATTAATTACTACGTCATATAAAGTCGATAACATATGAAAAAAAAAAAAAACGGCATTATTATAATAAAAATATACAAAATTAAAACAACTATGGCCAATGGAAAGAGCCGTGCCCCCCCCCGAAATCCCTCCCCCGGCTAAGCCACTGATTTTCGTCCTGTTTTGCTAGTGTACCGAATTGCGTTTAAAACATTTACGAGTATACTTATTACTTGTTGATATTATTTACATTATTAATTTGTCTTGTTTTATACATGTATAATACACGTACAAAATATTATAATGTTTTTTACGAGCCAAATACCACTGACCGACTGCATGTCAAGAACGACCGGGTCTAGAAATAATTTTAAAACAACATTCTAGAAACATTTAGCACGTACATATTTTTGAAAATCCCGCGTGAATCTGGCCATCAAAACATGAAAATTACTTATTATACATTTTTTTTTTCTGGTTTCCGTTAGTTACAAGAAATCGTTATCAATATACTCGTATTTAATTTAGTTGTCTTGATTCGGATCGCTCGTATATTTTTACCTATTATACGCGAGTATTTGATTTTTGTCACGATACGATAATATCTCCGAACCAATCCGATTTATTCTCGCGATTAATAATTTCTATTAAACGCATTAATATTTACTTGTGTATACAATATTAACAGAACAACATATTCTACAGGACTTATTCATCATAACCTAACTTTACGACAAGATGTAAACTAAATATTTTATAATTTTAATCGAAAATTCGTTTTCGTATTAGTTATTATTTTATCGGTCAAGTATTATATATTATTATACAATGAAATGTATATATTTATAACCTATATAATTTGTATACAACCCGAAACCTTTTTTTTAAATTATTCATACTACTGTAATTTAATTACTTGCCGTATTATTTCGCTTTTTGTTTGTTTGTTATGTATAACTAATAAAATTAGTGATTAGATGGAAGAGGCGAGAAATTAGATACTTTGGATCAAGAAATACAGTCGATTACAAAATTATTCTCTGAAGTGTTATTTACAAATATTTTATATGCATTTTGTTACTGTTGTTTTTTTTTTTTTTTTTGCTACAGGGAATTTAATAGGATTATGATACATTTAAAGTCTAATACTAGTCAATGAATTAAAACTTTAATAATTATTAATGAAAATAAAATGTATTAATTTAGAAATTATAATTATTAGTTTGAATAAAATTTACAAATTTATATATATATATATTTACTACATATATAAATTATATATATGATGTATGTATGGCCAGGTGCAGAATTTTGTGGGGCCCCCCATTTATATATTATTCATATAAATTTATATAATTGTATAAACTTTAGTCTTGTTAGAAATCTAAATTTGTATACCTCTAAACTAATAAAATAAAATTTGTATTTTTATATTAGACACAAAATGAATATGTAACTACTTAGATACAAACGATATTTTATTAATATTTTTGTTGGTACCGTCTTGGTTAGGTTAGGTTAGGTCTGAAGAAAGGTCGTCCAGTGTTGGTACCCGGATGGTCAGATGGGACGAGGTCAATAAAGGAAGATGGACGTTTAAGCTGCTGCCCAGTAATAAGCGTTGGATGGAGAAATCATCAATGGTTATGCCTTTTCACATAACCCAGGTGTTGACCGGTCATGGGTGCTTTCGCAGCTTTTTAAATCGCATGAACCAGGCCGAAGACCGGATGATACTGTGGAGCACACTGTCTTTAAGTGTCCTTAAGTGAAATGACAAAAGGGGTCGAATGATAGTTTTGTTAAGACGGCCTCTGCTGGAAGGAGGCTGATTGGGGACGTCAGGCAATGAACGACTAGAAGATTTAGGAATCGCAACTTCCATCTGACCCAGATGCTGACCGGGCACGGGTGTTTCGGTCAGTATTTACATAGGTTTAAAAATCGCCAGGGCCCTGTCTGCGTGGACTGCAAAGTGAGGGAGGACGATACCGAGCATACAATCTTCAATTGCGATAGATGGTGGCTGCGAAAAAGAGATCTGGAGGTCTTTCTCGGTGGTAGCCATGGAGTCAAACACCAAAGTCGGCAAAATGGTAGAGGGAATAGCCAACTGGTCAGCGGTAGTGGAATTTTTGGACAAAGTCCTACACACCAAGGAGAAATAGAAAAGGGCTGTGCAGAGGGCGGAGTTCCATGACCCAGGAATACAACCCAGGGCAGGAGCTCGATGAGCTGGATGCTAGCCGCAGCTGCTGATACAATTATGGGCGGTACCACGGTAAACATTGTAGACGTTGTAGGCGCCACCGACACCATGCGTATTATTATAGCGCCGGGCGGGTATACCAGCTACCCGTCGCCATCAGTTGCTGAAGGCAAGCAAAAATAGTATAATGCAAGAAGCATCACGAACCAAGGAAGACAACCAGGCGTCCAGGAAGAGGCAGATCGGCAAGTCCAGGGTTGCGGTCAAGGACGGCCCGCGAAGATATCGGTTGCTGCAGGGCCTAAACTAAGGCATACAGGGGGCCAATTTTTGAAATCATACGATTAATTTTCGTAAGTGACATATAACTTATTGGTATTTTTGAACGAAATCGATAAGATTTTATAATTTATCGAATGCGATTAAGAATTTCGACCGAACCATTGTGCTGGTAACAGTATAAAATCATTTAGATTTCCAGAGACAGAAATTTAGATTCTATGGTAACTTCAAATAATTATGCAAACTACAAATTCATTATTTTATCGTTGATTCTCACTTATTATCGATAATTTATTTATTTTTATTTGTATTGTATGTTGCATGATAAAATATACAATCTATTTTATCACGGTACCTATCTTATAAACGTATACCTACACTCTATTAACTCCAATAATTAATTGTGGTTAGTTTGTTGTTAGTTTTTTAATAGTTTTATTTTTGTACTTCGTTAATCGTAACGGGAGACATGAAATAAAATATGTAGTAGTTAAAATGTATAATTTTTAAAAGCATTATTGTAACATCATCGAACATTCGTTCGTTTTTGTTGTTTGGTCGTCAAGTTAATTTTCTAGTATGTCCGAGAAGGAGACATGGAGACTTCGTCGCCCGCCACCAGCGTATTTACAAAGTTTGTATACTCATACTTAATAACATCCATGTATTATTCAATATGTTTCTAAGTCCATCTGCGGTGGCATCGGTTTCCCGATGACGTATCACCTTATCAATCGCCGCCTTAAAAAGTCTAGCCAAGGTGGCGTGATGCATTTGTTATCATGATTTGTAAACGAAATACTTGTACTTATATCTATTATTAAACTATATATTTGATATTTTAATATCATTTGTAGTTCCGCCACGTACACCAAAAACAATGTTCCTCTGTATTGTGTTATCGGCATGACTAATGACGCCCACTGATGCCATCACAAAACAATAAGGAAAATATAGGTGTATATTGTATAGTATATTATAATTGTATGAAGTGGTGGCAATATTTTTATCGCGCGGCTTTTTGTATTTCAGTGGCGTCGAAAGTCTGAAGAAATATACGTAGCTCAGGACGAGTTTGAGAAGAATGACAAACGGAAACTGGTGCCTATCTAAAATTACTAATAATGTATGGGCGTCATGTGTTTGGGTGAATTAACTCCGGCCCAGTGGCAGATCCAACACCCGGGCAACCTGGGGCATGTCCGACCGGGCCCCCTTAGCGAAAATGTTAGGGGAGATACTAGATTTAATAAAAAAATAAATAGTTATAAAAACAGTTGTGCTACAACACATCATATTATTATAAGTATTATTATTACAATACAGAATGAAAAATAAAAATAAAAATATTATTATAGTAGTGATCTAAAAATACCAAAACTGATAGTTCTCGTTGTCGACCCGTGTAGATTTTATCTTTTCTTAACATATTATCGTCAAGTTACTTAATAAGTGTCATTTATATTTTTATATCATGTGGCTATTGATTAAGAATCATTTTAGAAGTTCGAAGAAGAACACGCATTGATAACTATAAAATATGTGTATTATTAGTGAAATTAGCATTTTGTATTAATTATTATTATTATATTATTTGTATTAATAGTGTAAAATATGTGATACCTATGTCATATTAGTTAGTAGTTACGTACTAATAGAAATTATCGAACCCAACGGTTAACGACGCGTTATATTTTAGTATTTTACTAAACTAAAATCGAAATAAGTTAAATTTAACATTTGCTGACCAATTCAAATTAATAAACTTGACACTTCCGTCAATGATTAATTTACATTAACCTCCTATAGGTCACGCTATTGAGAATCTCGTTGGCGGTCGCGCCGCGGTATTAACACCGCTATTTTATTTCTATATTTTTAGTGTAGATTTTAAATACTGTTATGTTTTCAAATTTGTACAATTTTTCGTGTTTAGAAATGTAATCAAAAATCGAAGTCTGATAAACCCTGCAAAAATCGTCCTCTTTAAAAAAAAAATGATTGAAATCAGATAAATTTGCGAGGCGTGAGAGTTTTTCCTGTAAACTGTGTTTTGAGCAAAAAATACAAAATCACGCTTGTAATTTTTCCGTCTGGCTATCACAAATGTATGTAACAGATGTAACAGACAGAAAAAAAAATACATCATAGTAAAACCAATAGAGATCCCTCGCTACGCACCGAATCTAAAAAAAAAATGCATACTTTTTTCTTAAACCCGAAAAATTAATTGTCAAATTTTAATAAAACAATATGTTAAATTTTAAAACTCAGATTTCATTTTTTGTTATTTTTTTTTTTACATGTAACATAATAAATTTCGTGAACGTGAATTTTTTTTTTTCAATCAAACTTTTGGCTCATCAATTTGAATTTACGGTTATAATTCGACTGGTTTTTTCAAATGACATAGAGTCTATAGAGCCATAGACACTATAATATAGATCTAGTTTAATTATGGTCTGTTGAAATAAAAATCAATGACGACAATTTTAAGTCGTTAATTATATATATTCAAGTAATTACGAGCTGTAACTCGGCGGTAAATAGATAATTTTAGATTTATTTTTATATTTTTAGCGTATAGGACCGAGCGAGCGTGCCATTAATCGTTTCACGACGGTCAGTTTTATTCGATTTGTTTATATAATTTCCTATATAAATATAGCGGTCTTCTTTTCTTTTTTTTTTAGTTTTGAACCGGGATAGCCGACGAAGTATTTTTTCGTTACAAAAACGCGTTCGAAGAATTTCGTATCGATTAGTATTCTTGTTTTATTATTTCGGTCCGTTTTGAGTCCAAATATTGTTAGACAAGATTTTCGGAACAAAATTTCCGGCATGATTTAGATTTCCTTGACCAGGAATCTCCGTCCGAATTTCAAGTGTAGCATCTTTTTCGAAAGATAATTTTCACTAATTAGTGTGTTTTTTTGATTTCTGCGTAGGAAAGACATAAGGAAAACGGATAGGTTTAACGCTAAAATTAGTTTAATTATTTTTGATTTTTTTTTTTTTTGTGATTCGGTTAAATTTATCATCGGTTGAAATCACTATCGAAGTGACCTGAAAAGAAGAAAAATGAACGTGCAGTAGCTCTCGAAAATATATCCTCTTTAAAATAAATCGTTACGCTTATTTAAACTACAATATCAACCGAAAGGAGGCGAAAACTGCAGTTTATGTTCCGAGTAACATGACTAGGTAGGTAGGTGTAGGTGTAGGGTTGGTGTAAGTGTAAGGTAGGTGTAGCTGTAGGTAGCGAGGGAGTAGTGGAGTATCATTTGTGTGGCAGCACGGCGCGCAGCGTTTTATTAGTGTTTCACTACTCTCCCCCTACCAAACCTTAAAAGTGGAATATCTCGTTAAAGGGTTGACGAAATCGAAAATGTCGACAGTGAAATTTATTCAAAATAATACGTCGTCTATTTATGGAATTTTTATTATAGGTTCTCATTTGAAAAACCAAAGTTGGTATCACCACGGGATACTCCTTAAATGTTGTGAAAATACTGAGTATTTGAAAATGTCGGCTTTAATATTACACTTGAAAATTCCAAAAATCAAAATTTAAATGCATACATGCAAAATTTAACCAAAAAAGTGGGGTGAGCACGCTTAGTGAATCACCCCGTGAATGTAGACACCTGACCTCGGGTATTTTTGCGAATAATATATTATGATAATGCGATCGCTCGTGTTGTTGCATTACGAGTTCCGATCGGCTCGAGGTAATTATAATGTGTATTTAATTATTCGATTTGACGGTACACCCTGTATGTATGCGCGAATGAGTGATCGTAGGACAAAATTTCCCTGACGATAAAGATCGGGAAGAAAAACCCTGTCAAAAAAAAAAAAAAAAAACAAAACTATAAACTGCTAATGGTTGTGCCACTTTTGGCAGAGAAGTCGCAATGGAGAATGTATAACAGAGTAATTGAAGTCACAACGATAAACCATTTCTAATGAAAAACAGCTCTAAGTGGTGAAAAAGCGCAAGTTTTAGTAAACAAATTACGTCATACCTGGTTGTATTCAGGAACTAAAATAAATCTTGGATTTTTAAATATTTTTTTTCTATAGGTTGGGAAATTTTTCTTCCGATCGCCACAATCTGTTGTAGGACTGCATATTCCATACGAAATTCAATTCTGAATATCATTGTCTTCTTCTTTTCTCGTATCTCGTAGCTATTATGTTAAGTCGTTATACCTAACAAAATAAATAAAACCGAGGCACATTTTACTGGAAATAACTGCAATCGCATTAGCCTATTAATAGATTTAATTTGTATAACTGGTTGAATTCGTCTAGAAAAAACTAGTACCAACTTATTTATACGTTCTGATGAATTATTATCGTTTACTACTGTTATGTAGTCGTATCATAATAACAATAATAATATCCAGAACTCGTTTTGTTTTTACCCGAAATCGTAAAACCCGTTTCAAAGAGACTTCCCAAGAGATATCCAAGAGACAAGAGAGGCAAACTGTTTCCAGGACAATATACGGCGCACAGAAAACACTATGAAAATACAAATTCTCGAAGCCAAAAGACTCGTCACCGAAAAATGGTACGATATTGATTATTATACGAGTAGGTATATATTAAATTATTTGACGAGGAGTTTTTTTTGTTTTGTGTATCGACCAAACCTAACTCGACCGCCGTTCGTATAGGTTCTTTTGCGAACTGTGCTGGGAATTTCGGGGCGTAATAAACATAGATCTGTATGAGGGGGAGAGCGAGAAAAGAAAAAAATAAGAGTTTCTTAGTAGGTGTGTAATTTATAATATTCTCGTTTGAAAAAATGTACTATTCAAAACTAATGTCGCGTTTGAATTTTCGGCGATTCGTGCAGGTACCGTTAGGATTCCGGTGCACGATGTCGCATCTAGGCACCTAACGAATTAATGGTAATAAAATCCTAAAAGACCCTCCGTCGTTGAGGGCCAAATGTCATTTCCAGAGTATCAACATATTGCCCGTACAGATCTATTTAGAATTATTACAGGTTTAATTTCTATTTTTTTTTATATTCTCTGCTAACATAAACTATTATTTATGTGTATATTTCTTTTTCTTTCAGTATTTAAAAATGCTCTTTAAAACCATCTTGGTTACGCGTATTATTGGAATGCGTCGTGGACGTCAAAACCAAAGAGGACATCGCCACGTCATGCAAAAAAAAAAAAAAAAGAACTCGGCCAAAGAATTTTTATGGGACATCGCCATGACGGAAAAAGAAAAGGTCGAAGGCAATCGATTGACGTTCCGAGGCAACTCTCCGGCCACCAAAGCCACGGAGGCTTACTTGAAGCTGACCGACGAAAAATATTTGCACGAGACGTTCAGTGAACTTGTGTCAAACGGCATGCAGACTATAGTTCCCGATTGCGAAGTGGATCCATTGAGAGTCGGCAAGCCCGGATTTAGGGGGGGGGCAGAAGGGTCCACGTCCCCGGGACCCACGTATGTGAAAGGACCGTAATATTCACGGGTTAAAATTACATTGAGTGGTAATTTGTCCTTTTTATAGAGTACAAGAACATTTTTTTTTCTTTTTTATTTGAACAGGCCTGCCCTAACAACCTGTCTACCATGTTTATCATAACGGGCATGGTAAGTGGGGGCACATGACCAGGTTTAAAAATAGAATTATCGGGGAAATATTTTTATGTGACCATCGTAGGTACTCAGAACTCAGATACCTACCTACTGATTACAACAGTCATTATTTATATTTTATATATATTTTTATTTATATTTTATATATATTTTTATTTATATTTCATCATACTACTAATAATTAAAAGAAATTCTTAAGTTAGTTTATTTTTATTTTAATGCCAAAACTTTACTGTTTTTTTTTTTTATGCATGTAAAATATGAAACAAGTTAATTTTTTGTTGAATAAAGATGAGTTACACAAAAATATTTCTTCTCACCTTCATGTAATCTTTTTTCAGTACACTATATATGGCTTTGCATGTCTCTGGTATCAGACAACCTAATGTTTGTGCTGGGATTCCTGAATTTCATATCTTCATACGATCGGCCAGTAGTCGAAAACCGTAATGTTGCTATAAGCATTTTTTCAGGTGGTATTTCTTGTCTCATTACTGTATTTTGTTTAGATATATGTGGCCGGAGTAAATCTTAAATAAAAATAAATCTTAATTAATAATAATTTGTAAAACCGTTATTATTTCTTAATATATATCTACAAAATAAGTATACATTATAAAAAAAATAATATACCTATATAAAGAAAATATGCCTAGAGTATTCGAGAAATGTTTAGGAATGTAACAACTAATTTTGACCGTAAGTCATCATCAGGTTACAATAATAAACAAAATACATTGAATATATTATATTATAATACATTATAAACATTTATCGTAAGAGATGGTTCATTTAAGTGGGTACACTCATTATCTCGGAAACTATTAACTTTTTCCGGAACTTGTTTTCTAGAAAATTTAAGAAACAAGCGGCTATATAATTTTATGTCTATGTTATTTTTCGTCACTCTTAATTTTGTGTGTAAAACCACTACTTACTTTTGATTTTTAAAGGGCAACCTATATTAAAAACTCCATAAATACATGGAGTATTACCCTAAAATTAAAAGTGGAATATCTTGTCAACAGCTTGACAGAAATAACACTCAAATTTATTTTAACTAATACTCCATCTATTTATGGAGTTTTTAATATAAGTTGCCATTGGAAAATAAAAATAAGGTAGTGGTTTTACCCCCAAAAATTACTGTTTTTTCTCACTTGTTCCCTTTTATTGGGTAAACTACCCAAAAATAAAATTAAAAAAATGACTTCCCCAAAGTACCAACCTTTAAAAATTTCCTTTCAGAGAAGGGTCTTAATCGTATACATCGGAGTAAGCTTTCTATTACAAAATGTTCACATAAAAAAGGCGAAAAAAAAAAATTAATACCTTTGTAAATCCAATACATTCTTTGCTACACTCAGAACTAAAAATATAATATATCTACAGTCTACACCTCATAACTTGAAAGTTAAAAGTATACTGAAAGAACTAAAATAGGATTAAACCATTTTGTTAAGTAATAATCTCTAACATACCATAAGGTTGCAGTACTTATCAATTAAATTTAAAAAAATATATATTTATAATTTTTTTTTTTTAAAATATAGTACAAATTGCAATCAGATTTGTCTATCTGTTGTAACATAACTACAGTCAACATACTTCACCATTTAGAAGATAGTAAAGTAATAAGTACAGTACCATAGAGTAACAAAACACTGAAAGAAACACTGTTTTCCTGTTAACATTACATTTGAATAACTTCTTAATTTTGACGAGCACACAATTACATAACTATTTATTATACCATAAATGTATACAGGAAAACAGACACAGGGAGGAAAAAAACAAAACACGACCAACTAATTATTATCTTCAAATTTCATGTAATTAATTTATTCATTCATTTTACCTAATCAATTATAATAATTTCTCTTAGACGCTATTATACAATATTATTACTGTCTTATTATAAATTAAAAATAGTTTAAAAGACGGGTAACTTTAAACAATATTCGCGCCTACGGATTTCGATAACCCAATTAATTCCAGGGCCTTACAAACTAGATGAAGAAAAAAAAACGAACCATTTTATACACGGCACGTAAAAATACTAAACGAAAAATTGTAATATCGAAAAAAAAAAATAAAAATAAATACGGTTTACAATATAAGATAACGTGGGTAAAATTAGGTTATTGCATAATGAACACACCGGCTTTACTTATGTAACTTGCTATTCCTTTTTTTTTCACCTTAAACATATAGTCATACACATTTACTACGCATGCACACTCACACGCACATATTTTATATTATGGTGTTGTTTTACCAACACAGAAACATAATGCATTTTAACAACTATATGATTTAATTTACAAAATACGTTTGAAACAAAAAAAAAATAATGTATATGTAATAATAAATGTATTTATATATTATAATTATAATATTATTTATAAAGAAATTAATATTATACAAAATTTGACTATTATTGAAAAGGATTATTATATTTGGCTATTATCAATATTAGTAAATTAATTTAACAAATAGAAATAAAGTATCATCTTATTATCATTATAATGATGTAATTGAATAAAAACAAAGAATTTAAATATTTTTTTATTTTATTTTGCTTTTGCGTGTGAGTATTCAACAATCTTTCTTTTCTTTTCTTTTTTTTTTTAGGAACTAATTTGATTAGTTATATTATAATTAATATTTTAATATGTTTTAAATTATCTAAAATTAATCTTTGCCTAATAAAAGTATTATTTGTATTATTAACACATTGAATATGTACAATATAAATATATCACAGTAAATACTGCAAACATGCAAAATAAAATTAAAAATGTGTTTAGCGAGTGGTCTCTATTAAAAAAAAAATATACAGTGAATACATAATAATATTATGTGATTTCTACAAATTCACTATTTGAGGACGAAGGGCATTGATTGATTATATAACAATATATTATTAATGCTAAGACGAATACATAAAAAACAAAAAAAAAAAAAATTAATAATAATAATAATAAGTTAAATAAGACAATAGTACATTTTCTTTCTCAAAAAATAGTTATAGAAATGGCGCGGAAATGTTTTATTTTGAATTATGTTTCGTTAAAAAATGCACTAGAGAAACATTAACAATACAATATTAATTGAATAACAAGAGCGGTGAGAACGTATACAGTCAATGATTAACGGAATTAAATATTTTTAAAGAGAAATCTCTATTAATATTATAACAACTGGATCTATGTAAAATTATTCTAAATATACAATTAAAAAAAAAATTTCTCATTATAATAAACAAACAAATTAATTAAAAAGACACAACCAATCAATCTTGAGAAAGAAAAAAAAAAATAGTAAAAATAAATTATTACTCTAAAAGTTTCATCTATCTATCTATCTATCTATCAAGCACAGCCTGTTTCAGGGGCAAGGGGGCAGTGTCACCAGCCATTTATTATTATTATTGTTTAATAAATTACTTAATCTTAAAAAATTATTTTGTATTATACATAAGAATATGATTTCTTTGTTTATTATAGCTAAATTACAATATTACAATATTATTGAATTAAAATTAAAAATTAATATCACAGACGTGTTTGCAGATCATTTTCGTTAAAACAAAATACTGCAACAATATAGACTAAAAACTGAAATGTTGTATTTAACGCAGGGATTTTTTTTTTTTTTTTTATTAATATTAAATTTAAATTAAAATGAAAAAAAAATAGTTTCGTCAAAATTATACTAAAAAAAAAAAAAAAAAACAGTCACTGAACAGTGGTTTCGTTAAGCGACCGTCGTTGTGGACACGCCATATGTATTAACGCGCATTTCTTCGATCGCCTTGCACCATTCTAGCGCAAAACCTTCGGGGTCTTCTAGGTAATAGGTTCGGTTGGGCTGTAAACAGAAAAAAGCAATTGTAAAAATCACATAATATGAATGCCAATTCCAGAATATTTACCGTGTGTACAAAGAATATTCGGAAATTTTTCGGTTCCACTCGTAACTGTGGACTCCAAGGTATTTCTCCTTTGAGGGTCATGGTCACGGGGTCGGCGTAATATAAATGCGGGCCCATTGTCAACATCAGCATGCGTCTCCTGGCAAACAAACCCTGCGCGAAAAAGAGGGAAAATCACAATTATTTATAATTTTTATTATTATTACTATTGATATTCAAATATCAAAGAGAACTAATAGTACTCACTTTTCGCTTGTCAACCAGTCCTTGTTTGACGATCAAATTTCCATCTACCAAACTGTGCCATTTGCTGTTGCACCGCTGATGGTGCAGTTGGTGTTGTTTCTCTTCGTCGTTCATTTGAAGTATACCGGACCGTTTGCGTGGTCTCGGCGCGGGCGCCGCCGGGACCGAGTTCGTCGAAGTTACCGACGTCATAGTCGTGGTCGTCGACGATCCGGAACTGCTACTACCGCCGTGACCGTCCAGACCCAGTAACCTGGTAAGTTGTTTGTCGTCCAGTCCAGGTTCTAAGTTGCTGGGCACCCGGTACTGGCTCCGGAGCTCTTGACTCTCGCTGTTACCGGGTAGGTAAGGGTATATGGGCGGTGGATTGGTCAGGTGCAACGTGTCGAAATCCAACCCGTCGTAAAATGGATGCGAACGGATAGACGTATACCGTTGGGTGTCTTTGGAACCGAGTCGTTCATTGGGATCGATCACCAACAATTTCTGTACTAGATCTTTGGCGTCCGCGGTGAATCCGTCCGGGTACACGTAATCAAGGTTTAGGATTTTCTTAAAAAGCATGTACTCGCTCCTATGTGCACAAACATAAAAAAAAAAAAAAAAAAAACACAAACTGATGAGTAAAACGCAATAAAAATAATAATACCTTTCCCAACAACAGTGTAACCGAGTCTAATACTACATACCTGGATCGGAAAGGCGGTAGGCCGGCAATCATTTGGTATATGATGCAACCGAGAGCCCAAAGGTCCGAACTCGGCGAAATGCTTTTCTCGGTCAACAGTTCGGGGCTGACGTACTGGGCGGTGCCGACAAAACTATTGGAGCGCTGCCTGCCGCCATTGCTGTCGTTCAGGATGGACTTGTCCGACGAAGTGTCGTCGTCTTCCGGTTCGATGATCTTTGAACATCCGAAATCGGCTACTTTGATGTGCATGTTTTGGTCGAGCAATATGTTTTCGGGCTTCAGGTCCCGGTGCATGATTTTCAGATCGTGGAGGTGCTCCAGGGCGCGAAGGATCTCGCCGGAGTAGAACCGCGTGCAGGCCGCGTCGAACGAACCCACCTTGTTAATGTACGGCAACAGGTCTCCGTTCTTTGCGTACGACATGACAAAGTCTACAAGTGTAACGTTAAGGAAAAACGAACGTGATGGTGCGGCGGTAAAACCGAAATACAATTCAAATAATAATAACAAAAATTATGTTTTTATCGTGTGTATGTAACGAAAGGATACAGAGTCTTTCAGCGTCCTGAAAGGTGCAGTACAGCTTGACGAAAAAGCTGGAACCGGAATTGCTCAGGATGTTCAGGGCGTCTTTTTCACGGCGTACTTGTTCGCGTTTCTTTTCTCTGATGATCTGTTGTTTTTCGCACACTTTGACTAGAGAAAAAAAAAATAACAAAAATTCAGTATAAATCCAAGTCGGAATAATATTAACTTATGGGAAAAAGCTTTCGTGTTGCCCAACCCCGAGGAAAGTGACGGTTTTATTATACTGAGTGATTATTTTGTCACGTCTAAATTTAAGAAACAAGCAGCTTTATAAAATTTTACAATACTGTTCATTTTTGGGGTTACTACTTTTGATGCATAAATAAATGTTTGCGACGAAATTGTCGATTTCCATTGACACACTTGATATGCTATTTGTAGATCTAAATATAGTCGTTACACTAACGGTTATGTAAGATTTTATAAAGCCGCTTTTGTTTCTTAAATTGCCGAAAAACGTTTTCTATTTTTTTTTGAAAGTCGATACATTTTGAAATAGGTTTTGAACTAGGGATCTGAATATGGTGTTCGAGTAATAATAATAATATTAGTCGAGTTCGGCGTGTCGTTAATAAAAAAAAAATACCGGAGTTGAAAAACAAACGGTATAATCGCGTAGTATTGGGTAATTACCGGCGAACCGGTCCACGACTTATTGCGACTGTAATACACGATGAGCGAAATATCGTAATGGAATTACCGGCGTAATTTAAGTGACTTTTTTTTTATCATTTTGTCGACGTATCTCATCGGAGACGCGACGATAATCGGAATAGACCGCGTACACATTATAATAACTATTAATGGCCGACTGAAAATAAAAAAAAAAAAAAAAAAAAAAAAAAAAAAAAAAACGGTATACGGTTATCGACTAACTTCCGAAGCGATTGTAATGTGCACGTGTCCGAAAACGGTCACCGGACGACTCGAAGGTTGACACGTGGAAAAAACGTCATCGGACTATGTGAAAAAAAAAATCGTTAAAAGAAACTCGCCGGCGGGGCATCGTAATGTTTTTTTTTTTGTTTGTTACGCGATCGTAAAATATAATATTGAAATTCCGACAAAAAAAATTTAAAAAATCGTTATGCGATCGCAACACACGCGGACTTTTTTCCACGTCCGAACTCCCTAACTCTTTCCTCAGTCTCCCACATCGCCATGTAGCGTTGTGTCCGGGAATTTTCAACGTTCGTTAAAGGCCGGATTTTTCCCCGTGACGTTTCACGATTGAATTACTTTAACAACCAAACCTACTCGTAGTTATTTTAAAAATCCAATAGAGGGCGGGAGATATGATCCCTAATCTCTCAGCCACTACCCCGAACGCGATCGCTTTTCACTGTGGAAATTCGTTGAAAAAGTTGAATAAAAAAATTCGGATACATTATAAATATTAGGAAATATTCGGGCTTTTAGATTATTTTCAAGTTCGTTTCGCCACTGACTCGGAGCTTAGAGTAAGGTAGATTATATAATATGTTTTCGACTCACTTGCATGTTCACGACTTGTGTGTATGTCTTTGGCCAGATAAACCTGAAAAACGATATGGAAAAAAAAGTTAGTCGAAACCATGCGGTATATATATAGGTACAGATATTGTACAGGTAATATATCCAAGACCGGGGGTGAGGGATGTCCTATAGGAGACCACGGTCCCCGAGCCACCAGATTCACTTTTTGCCATTACGGTATTTCCATGTATCGAATAACGGTTCTTTATCCGTATTACGCATTTAACCGTCGACTTGGTAGTTTTCGATATTTTTAATTGGTTTTAACGCGATTTTTCGCCCACGACTATTATACTATTGATCTATTTTATATTACGTAACAGTTTTTATTATTAGCTATTATACTCGTCGGTCCCGGTTGAAAAGTTCGGCCCCGAAGACTTCCGAACGTCTTAATCCGGGCTTGTATGTTATTGTTATTATGATTATATCGACAGGCATGCAAGATCGCCGGTGTCGTACGAGAAATGATACGACGACGACGGGAAATTATTTATGCGCGCTGCTCGTGTATCATTATTATTATTATTATTATTATTATGTGGTGCGATGATGATAACGTCGGTCACTGAACCGGTCTAAAAACGGCGGTAATCAAGGTCGATGAGGTTTAAACGCGCGCCGTCGGTCGCTAAAACAATGTAATATTATTACAATACGGCAGGTATTTCAGCCGCGTAATATTTTAATAATCGTACGATATCGCGTACGGACCGGTATCGTCGATTAGTGCAAATTACATTTGTGTTATTATTGTTGTTGGTAACCGAGGAGTCAAAGGTCTACGCTTTTGCCCGAGGACGGCGCGGCCGGCAATTACGATCGCACGATCGCTCGCTCGCGCGCGCGCCGTCGTCGCGTTAGGTAACGGCGGACGCGTGTCCGCAGATAAGACCGCCCGCGGGGCCGTTTATGCGCCGAAAGGTCTCGACGACGATAAGCCTCACTCGGTCGGTACGTTTACGACGGGCACAATAAAAGCGTAGGCGTCGGAGAATGATAATTATTATTACTGTTATTATTTTATTTTTTTTTTCAAAGACCGCGTAAAAATAGACTTCGGATGGTACGGACGATATTATTGTGTACGTTAACGGAGGTCGCGGGCGCCGGTCTCGGTAATAATCATAATATTATTATTATTTTACGCGTACGTATAAAGACGTATTTTTTACGGATTTAATATACAGAGAAAAAAAAAAAAAAAAAAGGAGACCGGAGAGAGCGAACCGTAAGACGATTTGCATTCGTGGGCGGCGTAGGCGCCGCGGTCGGTGCACAGGTGTGACTCGCGGCGGCACGTTACACGAAATTTAATTCGCGCTAAATTCGTACGGTTTTTTTCCCCACTCTAATTTTCCCTCGACTTTACGCGTTTCCTCCGCCCGTAATAAAAATATCCGGATTCTCGCGAATTTCCGGCGTCGCTCTTGGGATTTAACGCGCGGGACGAAAACACGCGGGTATCGACGAAATGTGCACGCAAAATTTTCGAAACGTTTCAAATAGGATTGTCAACGCGTCGGCGTTCGAAATCGCCGGATTTCCCGACTACGCGCGGCGATTCGAGGGCGCGAGTCCGGAATCCGGGCGAATAGAATGCGACGACGGGATGTTTTTCGCTCTTCGAACGCGGGAAACATCATGACACCGGGGGGTGTAACACAATGACACGGCCGATGGATATTTTCGAGTTTTTTGTTTTTGTTTTTTCGTCAAAGGTTATTGTACGTACGGTGGAATAGCTGCCCTCGCCGATGACTTTCCCGAAAATGTAGTCTTTGGGCGTGCGTTTCGTCACCGGCATCACGTTAGCCATCTTGTCGGCGGCCTGAGTCTGGCCGCCGCCGTTGACCTGCACGACTACCTGGGATGGCGGGGGGGCCTGTACGGACGGCGGCTGCTGCTGCTGCTGCTGCGACTGCTGCTGTTGGGGCGGCGACACCGCTTGCATAGTCGGCGGCGGCGGCATGACGACCGTGTTCTGTTGCTGTTGCTGCTGCGGTTGCTGCTGCTGCTGCTGCTGCTGCTGCGGCGGCGGCGGCGCTTGCGGTTGGTGGTGGTACGCTGTGGCGGCGGACGATTTAGCTGCTGCTATCTGTGAAGGAAAAGAAAACAAATACCGATTAAATATTATTATAATAAAATAGCACGACGGGACGAAATTAATAATAATAATAAAAAAAACAAATAAATCGCGAATAATCGCGTCACGACCGGCATTGCACGCGCACGCGGCGGAGAGCGAGCGAGAGAGACCCGTCGCCGCGCCGAGGAAATCGAACACCCTCCGCCGCAGCCGTCGACGACACGCACACGGAGAGAGAGCTTAAAAACGTTGCACCGGCGGCTGTGGCGGAGGCCGCTGACGTCATTTGGCTCGTCGCCCGACTCCTCCGCCGCGGTGGACTCCTCCCGCCGGGCGACGACCGAAATACTAATAACGTTAAATACTCGACGGGGATAATAAAAAAAAAAAAAAAAAACAGATACATAACCGTAAAAATACGCGTAACACTTAAAAATGTGTTACCGTAACGCGGATTACCGGCGGCAGGTCGACGGCGGATTAATCCGAACACGCGATAATAATAATATAAAACCGCGAGAACGTCGCGTTGCGTTGCGAAAATGTCGCGGAGTACGAATTGGTATCGTCCGCGTCGGCGGTCGACCTTTGTGGTTCGCGGATAGGCGCGTGCCGTCGTCGTTACGCGATAACGTTACGGGGAGGGGAAAAAATGCGAAATTCCGCAAGATCGAGGCGAACAATAGTAACAATCGCGCGGCTTATACTGTACGATAACGTTTCTGTTTCGTTTTCACACGATATTGTACAACGCGCGCGACGCTTCCGAAACAAGAACGATTTTCGATACACCGACTGCGAGATATACGAACCACGCGCGCACGGAAACGTCGCGCGGACCTGAAGCGGAAACGGTCGGGGAGGAGGGCGCGCGCGAAATCAACGCGAGTTACGGTATTTTATTATAGAGTTACCTGCGGCGGGGCGGCGTTCCTCGCGATCGGCGGTCGTATTATAACGCGGGCGACGACGGGAGATAATGATGCGATTTAACGGGACGCGAGGGGCGCTAGCTCTTTTGGACGGCGATCAGACGGCGACCCTGCGTGACCCGGGCCAGACGGAGTGCCGTGCCAAGTGGCGGTCGGCCCGGCTGCGGACGCCGCCACCGCCGCCCAGACGCGCCGCCCGTCGCCCCCTGTCCCGTCTATTTCAGAGCGATAAAAATGTTATATCGTGCGTTACGTGTGTACGTAGGCACACGGTTGGCGGCCACCCGCGTACGTACCCGTTTTTATGCGACGACAGCATAGTATATGTACGTACACGGTTTGCCGGCGCCCGGTGCGACGTCCTATGCGGAATGCACCCGGCGGCGGCGGCGCGCGCATAAAAAACACGACGACGCGGAAGACTCCGTGTCTTTTTTATTTTTTTTATCGGCAAGTATATTTAAATAACCCGGGCGGACGGGAAAATCGTCGACGGGGAAAATAAAAAAAAACTCGGGGATAATGCACCGCGGTGCCGCCGTAACAGCGCCGCAACGGTGTCAGTGTGTCGCCCGCGCGCGTTTTCGTTACGCCAGCGCGCCCGTGACGTAATTGCGTGGGATTCGGTGCGTGTGCGCCGCCGCGACCCTATCGCCGACGGCCCGTAACATTATGCGCGCATACATACGCTCGCGCCACCGTGACGTAGACGGAATAACGCGCGGAAAACCCCATAACAAGTCCGAGGGCCGCTTACGTGAGGAATTCGTTTTTTTCGCACTCGCTGAGGATGGTGGCGGTGGTGGTTTTTGGGGGAGAGGAGAGGGGGGTGGGTGGGTGGTAGGATGGTCCCGAGCACCGGGAACGCGGTTACGCATCCGACGAAACCCGTTAACGCGCGATTTCGTTGGCCACCCGACGGTGGTGGCCGGGACTCGCGACTCCTCCCCGCCACCGCACGAGCGGGAGGGGAGAAACCGTGACCGGCCGTCGCGCGTCCGGAACTACTCGAACGGCCTAAACGGATTTGTTTTTATTATTATTGTTATTACATAGATCGCGCGGTACGAACGGCCGCGCTATACGGTTCGCGAGAACGTAGGTCGTCGAAAAAGATAATAACTTGTGGCGGCGGCGGCGGCAGCGGGGGGGAGCGGAAAAGGAAACGAACAAAAAAAACGACGACAAGACGATATTTTATACGCCGTCTGGCCGCCGCAATAAAAATCGTAAATAACGACGATAATATTCGACGGTTATTATTATTATTATTATTACTACGCGTTTCTGGTGGCCGGCCAAAAGGCGGTTGCTTTTCTTCCGATGTTAAATATGTGTTCGCGGACCCGCCGACGACGAACGCGGCCTTCTACGCGCGCCGGTCGTTATAACGTAATAAATAAACCGACACCTGTACGCCGCCGCCGCCGTTTTACGACTCGACGTCGTCGCCTTTCCAGGCACGTGGCGTTAATATTATTATTATTATTATTTTTGTTTTTTATCGCAGAAATTATTGTTTATACAGTTTTTGCGCGACGAAACGGGCCCCGTAAACTTTTATCGCGTGTACGCGTAAACAACGACCGTTTAGAACTCCCGCTCTACCGCGGCGTGATCGATCTACCGCATATGGCACTCATAACATTGTAGCGGAATTTATTTTCTAGACAATTTTATATTTGTGTTATTCGTTGTCGCCCTTATTTACAACCAACGACTACTATTGATTTTCAACCGGCGACCTGTATTCAAAATTCCGTTAATAGACGGAGTATTGATAGAAATAAATTTTAGTGTCGACATTTTTGATTCCCGTCGATCCGTCGACGGGATATTGCACTTTTAAATTTGCTTTGGAGGAGAGTTGTAGGGGAATATCATTTGTGTGGCGGTACGGCGCGCGGCGTGTAAAATAATGCACCACCGGTCAACCAAAACTTAAAAGTGGAAAATCCCGTCAACGGACTGACGGAAATCAACAGAATGTCAACACCGAAATTTATTTCAAATAATTCCCCGTATATTTATGCGATTTTTAATACGGTTTGCCGTTTGAAAATCAAAAGTAGGTAGCGATTTTATCCCCCGAAAATACGGGCGACGACGAATAACATAAACGTAAAATCGTAGAGCTGCGTGTTTTTTTTTAAATTTTTTGCAAAATGTAATCCGAAAAAAAAGTTTTAATACTTTCCGAGGTAACGAGTGTCTTACAGGAGATCGATCGCTCTGTATTGTTTGTAATCTATAAAACACCGTGCGCTCGGAAAAAACTCCGCGTACACGTGCGATATTATTATTCGCGCGGCTCCCGTTTTAGCGTATGAATAAACGCTAAAACGCGCGTGTTTTCCGTTCGGGCGCGGGGGACTTTTGATAATTCCGGTTTTTCAATCGAGACGCATCATCCGATTGACGGCGGGACCGCGAAAACGATCGGGAAAGGAAAACCGCTGCCGGCGTGGACACGTCGAATCGGTTTCTAATCGGTTCGTTTCTCGTGTTGCAAATAACAATAACAATTGTCATTATTGTTCTCCGCGGACGGTGTTCGAAAGACAGAATACTGTAAAGCTGTACGATTCATACGCACCCGAAAATCGCCGATAAGAACGAATGGCGACACGCACATCACACGCGATCTGAATTTCCTGACGTTTTTCTCGTTCCCACAAAAACGACACTCCCGAGACGAACGGTCCTTATCGTTCCGGTTGTTTCTGTAATTTCTCGTTGTTCCCCCCCCCCCCCNCCCCCCCCGGGGCGAACGTTTTCCGGAGATTCCCATACGGCGGGCGGCGGGTTCCGTTTTGTTTTTCACGTGGCCCCCCCCCATCCCTTCCCCCGTATAACACGCGAAATAACGTCGTTATTGTGCACGTACGGTTACACATTATGACCTATATTTCCGCGGACGAACGATCGAAATCCGTCGGCGGGCGGCCCGACGTAAACACACACGCGCGCGCGCACACACCGTACACACACGCGTAGTGCATAATGCTCGACGACGGGGCGGTGTGTCGGTTGTCGTTTGCGCAACTTTCGAGTGAAAATTCGACCTAGTTTTCGGTGTTGTTGTTGTTGTTGTAGGTTTTTTATTTTATTATTATTTTTTTTCGGTCCGCCGATGCACACTATACAAAAACGCGCAGTCCTTCCGTTTTGCTACGTGTAGATAGAAAAAACAAACAAATAAATAAACCGCTAAACGCGACACATCGCCGCGATTTCAACAACAATTACACACACACACGCGCGCGCGCGCCCGCGTATACGAATAACGAAAATATATAGGCGACACCTACCGCGCCGTATTCACGCGGTATAGTGTTTCTCGCGGTGTACACGCGGAGCGCGGCGCGCAACCTTCACCCACATACGCGGGCGCCGCGCGGCGGCCACAGGCTTTGCGGCGGTATTGTGTTGTTGTTGTTGTTGTTGTTCGGCCGCCCCGCGTTTGTTGTCGTCGGTATTTTCCGCGCGTTTCGCCGCCCCCGCGTCCTTTTTACCTCCCCCCCCCCGTCACCGCGCCGCGCACGAATCGATACCGACGGGCGATTATCACGCTCGGGGCGGTCCGGGGAAAAACGCGGTTTCGCGGGTTCACGTGTTACTACGGCGGCGGCGGCGGCGGCCGTCACACGGGGGAGTCGGTGCTGCAATTATTATTGACGCGCGGCGGCGTTACAATAAACGATTGTCGGCCGACGGCGCGCGGTAATTGCGACGTTATCGTCGTGTGCGATTAGTTTACGGGGACAGTAGTATATAGCATGCGCTGTACCGGGTCGAAAGTTAAAAAAGGAAAAAAAAAAAAAACCTCGCGCCGCCGCCCCGTAAACGCCGTGACATTAATTCATAAACGGAAACCCGCGAGCATAACGCGACGACGCGCGGGCGTTCGGGACGTCGGTATGCGGCGACCGGAGATACGGTATCAATAGAGCGACGACGGCAACAACGACAATGACGAAAACGGTTCGGCGGGCCACGGCGGCGCGGCGCGTCGGAGCGCCTTGTCTGCGTCTGTGACACGATAATATTATTTGCGTGCGTGCGTGCGTGCGTGTATTGTTTGTTATCGCGGGGCGGCGGCGGCGGCGGCGCCGCATTTCATTCAGACGTTGACGCGCGCGCGTCGGAAACCGTACCACACACACACACACACGTACACACACACACGTGCGCGGCGCGCGCGCCCGCGTTAACTGCTGTCGTCTGTCGTACGCACGCACCGCATGTGCATCCAAATTGCGTCATTCAACAAAATAATATATAAATTTTCTCGCGCGCGCATTATCTGTGCCGGGGATCCGGCGACGGCGACAGAGTGCGTGACGTAATAATAGAGAGAGAAACGAAAAAAAACAATCCACAATATCTTCGAGAACCGGACGTGCGACACGTACTATATTCGTTCTCTACCTGCGTAGGCATACGCCTGATAATATTATTATTATAGCCGCGCGTACACCGCCGGCAGCACGCCTCGCGGTAACCGGGCAACGACGTGTGTCGGACAGCCGGACGCAACGGTTCGGAAATCGGTAAAACCGACGGCCGCCCGTAATAATGAGAAAACTAATTCGCAATAATGATAACGACGATAATATTATACGCTCGCCGCCGGTCGACTATCAACGATATTGTTTTTTTTCCGGATGTGTAAAGAGCGACGGCGTCGCGACCTTGCCAACGCCCAAGGCAGTCTCGTCGACAAACACCGTCGCCGTTGTCGCCGCCGACGTTGTTGTTGTTGTTCCGTTGTTTACGGTTTGTTTACACAAAGTCGACGAGGCCGACTTTCACGGGCCAATCGGCGACACGTCCGAATCGGGATTTTTCACTTTCCCGTCCCCGCCGCCCGTACGCAGTCGACAAGTGCGTTTTTTTTTTCCCCCATTTCGGGTTTTCTCCCCTTTACGCTGGAGTGGTTTTTCATTTTCGCTTTTCGCCTCGCGCCGTTTTCTCGCACAAAAACTCGTTTCCCGTTCAATAACACCGGATCCGTTTATTGCCGCGGTGCGTGTAAAACGAGAGGAGCGCGCGCGCTCGCCAAGGACACCGGCGGGGCACCTACCTGCCCGCCTGTCCGGGAGTCGTCGTCTCTCCTCCACCCTCCCCCCCACCTCCTTCCATCGGGGCTGCGGCGACCAGCGTGCGGCTGTTAACCCTGCGACGACGACGACGACAACGACTACGGCCGGGCACACGCAAGGACATGTGCGCCGGCACATGGTGTGAACGGCCCTGCGAGGGCGGCGGGGCGGGTGCCGGGCGGCGTCGCGGAGGAGTAGGAGGAGGGCCACCGGGGTCGACGACAAGTTCAATGCCATCTTCACGGACGCGCGCGCGCCAGTTCCTTGTGTGCGTGTAATAATAGTAGTAAACTAATAGTACACGCACACACACACACACATGCACGACCCGCGTTTTTTTTCCCTCTCTTTTTCCGTGTGCGACGACCACAACGACAACAACAACAACAACAACAACAATAATATATTTACGCGGGCAATATTATCGACGACGGCGATGAACGTGCGAGTACCCGGACTTCTTTGTATTGTGTACATAGACACACACACACACACACCGGTTTTTCCCACCGTTAAATAAATAGATTGTTTTTATTTTTACCGGACGGCGGCGATAACGACCTATACGACGTAACAACAACAACAATAATAATAATAATATTCGCGTTCGCAATAGTGTAAATTACACGACAACGCGCAACGTAATGTAATTTTTTTTTTTCAAACACGGCAGTGAAAGCGATTGCGCTCGCCGCCCGGTGAAAGCAGGTGTAAACCGCCGTCGTAATCCCGTCTGAGACGAGTTGGTCCGTCTCGGTCGCGCACCTGGCCCCCTATTATAGGGAACCGCCGTGGCCGAGATGAAAAACGAGTACCGGCGGCGGCCCCTATTGTTGCCGTACACCGGGCCCCCGATGCACCTGGCCAACCGTCTGGACCGCGATGCACGCGACGACCAGACTAGGCGGTTAGCCTAACCTAGCGGACAATCCTCCCCCCGACCCCGGGTCCCCAGACGGTACAACAATATTTTCGTAATTCGAAATCTTTCCCCTCCTACCGCTCCCTCGCCGTCCAGACACTGCACGACCTATTTTATTTTTATTATTTTTTTTTTCTTGCCCGTCGCGAAAACGGTACGGAGACGGCGTCGGCAGACACACGCGCACACACACGCCCGCGACCTAACGGGCGTGCGTAGACAAAACAAAACGAAAAACCCGCCAGACGCCCCGCGATAACGAAACGACGACCGCGGCGCGACTCTCGAATAATCTCGAAAACAGAGAGAAAAAAAAAAAAAAAGTCCGATCGGTGAAACACACGACGACGGAGAACGCAGAAAAAAAAAATCGGCTGCGGTCGCATTTCTCATTCCTCCGGTATGTGGGTCATTGTCCACGGAACGGCGGCGGCACACCACACACCAATATGCACGCGCCGCCGCCCGTTAATAATATTTATTACACAACGCCGCGCATTCCTCGCACGTCGTGTCGCGGGAGAGACACGCGCGTCGGCGGCCCGACGACGCGGTCGTCGGTGGACACGGGCCCGCGCGGCCGTCCGTCGGAGGCCTACGTTTTTTCCGATCGATACGCGACAACGCGGGTAGGAAAACTGAACAGAACAAAACCCGCCCGGAAAGCCAACGCCGGCCGCGGCGTACTGATTAACTGACCGCGGGCGCCGAGGGTAGGGACCCGGGGTTAGGACCCGGCCGTATTGGTTTATGCGGGCCAGTAGGTCAAACCGCGCGCGCGCCCGTAAATTTTCTGGTATTTTTTCTAGCGCGCGTCAGAGGCGGGCAAAAATAATGCGTGCGTGCGGCGGGGCCGCGACCGGCGATAACCCAAACGCCGCTCCGGTGGCGGGCGGACAGCATCCGGTCGTCGTCGTCGTCGTCGTGTCTACAAACACGCGCGTCACACGCCGCACCGTCGTTCGTGACGTAACGATAAAACGTGGGGCGAGAACGGCCGGCGCAAGCGCTTCTCGGACGGCCGCCCGTGGTCGAGAGGGTCTCGCCCGCGTCATATTCACGGGGCGGCGTAAAACTAAAATAATAATAATAATAATAAACGGCGGGGCGCGGGAAAACTCGTGGTACACGTGCGCGCCGCGGCGAGTGGGAAAAAAAAAAAAAAAACGGCAAAGGAAAAGATCGAATTTTATTCGTGGGGTAGGCGAGCGATACCTTGGTGGTGTAAGAGTTACGGTTTCTAACGGATTTTCGTTGTTGTATGAAATTTTTAATAATTTTTTTTTTTTTTTATTTTTCATTTTTATATATTTTTTTTTTCTATCGTACCTTGTTGGCGGCCTTTTTCGATATTTTCTCTTTGCGACCGATGCGCAACGCCCTGGCCAACGTCTGGGCGAACTGCACTGGACGCGATCGGACGATCACCGCGGTGGCCGAAGTCTGTTTTTTCGTCTGCTGTATGACGTGGTGGTGATGGTGGTGATAGGTGGTCGCGGCTTTGGTATCCATTACGCGGTCAACCGACGGTTCGGAAATTCAAATCGGATCGCACATGGCGCGACCAAGACGTGAATAATAACAATACGACTCGTGGTGTCAATTAATAATATTGTCCCCCGGACCGCAGTTGACGGAAAAACGATCGTTTTGGAGGGCCGCACGTGCGTTGGATTTTACGTGTGTAATATAATTTTCCGTTTTATTTCGAAAAATTTATTTTTATTATTGGCGCGAACGCGGGCGCGCGCGATTCGAAAATGAATTTAAAAAAAATATTTTATTACACGGCGTGCGCGATAATAAAATATTATACGATCGGTGTCTTTGGTTATCCTCGCGAAACAATAACGGCGACGATATTATTATATCGGAAAAAATAATACAATTTTTTTAAAACGAAAATTCGCTAAGAAATAGAAACAAAAATAATAATACTAAAGCGAAGTCCCGACGGCCGTCTGATGACTGACTGTTGTACACTGCGTCGCCGTCGTCGCCGCCGTCGTTGGCTCCGTGTACGAGCTCAACGCACTCTCGGCCGCCACCGCCGACGCTCGGGGAGGGGCGAGACTCTCCTACCGCCGAGGCGACGCGTACGGCCGACCACGTTACTATACGCGCGCGCACACACGCCGACGACGGCCGTGCGGATCCTCGCCGTCGTCGCTCCGCCGACCAAAATGCCCGCGTCCCGCCAAAACGTTGTTCTCTTTTGTACGACACGCATTCCATTCTGCCGTCGCCGCCGACGCCGCGCCGTACGGTTTCTATTTGCTGTTTTTTTTTTTTTTTTTTTTTTTTTCCTCATCGTCTTCTTCTTCTCCGTATTCCTCGGGCTCGTGTTTTATTTTTTTTCACCTCCTCCCTACCCACCCCCCGCCGTCTCGGCTCTCGCTCTCTCTCTCTCTCTCTCTCTCTCTCGCGTCGGCCGACCCGTCGTCGTCCTTTCCGACGGTTTTCAGAAGAGACCGCAAAATAAAATTACACGAAAAAAAAAACAAAAAAACAAAATATATCAAATAAATCGTCTGTTCCGTTTCCTCCGCCGCAGCGCGTACAATATCGATATCTAACGTGGGTGAAGATTTCGAATCGTAAATTCCCAGACGGCGCGAATAACGAGACCCGGTGCCGAGAGGCGGGCGGCGGCGACGGTGTACTTTATCAATGGTCCGGGAGCACGGGAATAGAACGCGGCCGCGAACGCGCGACGTGCCCCGCGGCAACATTAGCGCGAATCCGTAGGTGCGGGGGGGGAGGTGGATGTGGATGTACGTTCAGCCCTACCCGCCCTCAAATCAAGTCCCTATATTGCAACAAATAATATATTGTACATAATCGAATTATTAACCGAACTCGCGGATAGGCCATCGTCCGAAATATTCAGGCCGATAGGCTACACCGGATACGCCCTAGGAGACCGCGAAGAGTGTCGGCAAAAAAAAAAAAAAAAAAACGATCACCGGAAGACGAAACTTTATATCCGTATGGGTCGATACTTGAAAACACCCTGCGTGACTTGAAATGATTTAGTATAACACAAAAACAAACGTATTGAACCGGAGGCGTATAGTAAAAAAGGTTTTGTTTTTATTATTCGGGGTTGGTTTTCCGAAAAAATAAAAAAAATATATATTTATATTGTCCACAATCATCGACTCGTCTCTATTCTTACATATTACGAACAACGATAAATAATTGCAATCAAAATACGGTTCTGAATGGAGTTCGGTGAACTGGTATTAGTCGTGTTTTTTCCCCATTATAGTCAAGGTAACCCAGAAATCGACAAAAATAAAACCAATGCATCGTTTTATTCGTTGGTCACGTCGTTTTTAATTTGTGTAACGACCTTTAGGAATCTAGAAATTTGCAATTCAAATAAAGTACCGCCGGGCGAAATTCCGCATCTTTTAAAACGTGTATGGCCCGAACAAATATGAGCATTCTTACTAATCGAAAAAGTGTATTCCGATTAAGACAATAAAAGAAGCACACGTCTTATCGATACAGTACAATATGAATAGCTTCATCGTTATACTCAGGATTTAAAACAAATTATAATTATTTTTATTATACTACTGGCTGCAGGTTTATATTAATTTGTTAATGTTTTTCTACCATGTCTAATTGTCTAATTTAATTCGATTTGATTTGTTAGATTTTAATTTATCAATCAATTTTACTTTGTTCGTGTTTATGGATCTATATTAGTTTTATAACCTATGATATGACGTTGGTTTTTTTAATTATAATTTTTGTGTCTGTGAGCCATTTTTTATAAGGAATCTCACTCCGATGTATCAAGTGTAGCACCTTTTTCAAAAAGAAATTTTATTTATTTAACTTTAATTTATCTAAGGTTTTGATAACAATTGGGAAAAAACAGGAAAAACATAATACAAGAATTGTTATTAATTAAATCGGTGAATAAGAAAGTCGTTTTAAGATTTTCTAAGAAGTTATCATTATAGTTACGAAAAACTGGAAAAAGACGAAATATGAAAAATGAACAAATTTACAACGTACGATTTCATTATTTTACTTTTTACACACGATGTTTTTCTACCAGAAATATTGCGCCAAAAGAAAACCACAAGCGATCTTTTTTATTGCATTTTGATCCTTATTGGTAAGTAAGAAAGTAGGTTTTTATTTTCCAGGTATTTTTTTTAAAAAATTGAGTAAAATCGAAAAAAAGACTGAGAAAGAACGGGGAAATGTACGAAAATAATGATTTTATTGTTTTCAATTTTTTTGTTGTCATTCAGTAAAACAATTTTTGTAGAAACTTGAACGTCATTAGATATTTTCAGAGGTATCATGTTTTTTTTTATGTAGTTTGATGCGTCTTTGAAAATACCATAAATTAGCTGTTATCATTTTTGTTCGACAGATAATCACTTTTTAATATAAACGAGTGAACGCACATATTATATGAGTCAACTTCCTGCCTATGAAGTTTTGTCGCTGACTTATATGTGCGTTATCGACAGTGAAATGGTTGTAGATATAGACTTTTATCTGCGGGTTATTGAAGGATACGTTATCCGTCGTGTTTCCGGTGTGAATTCCCGCTAAATATAAAACTAATCATTTCTAATCGACTATCAATATGAATTTATTTTTACTAAATCGGTGTGGTGATTATTGGTTTGCCTTATAGTATGCAATGGCATAATTACGAGAGGGTGGTGTGTGTTTTACGTACCCCCCGTGATTGTTTTCTTTTATTTTTTTTAGTCGACACTAAGACACTATTATTAGTGTTTGGATTTAAAAATGTTGTATTTAATAAATTGAAACACATTCAAAGGTGAATAATAGACCAAGTATACGACACATGAGTGCAAATGAACAGGAAAGCAGATAATAGAGTAGAAGATGACTGCGAACCAATTTACGGATTAAAACTATAGCAAGATGGAGAATATGGTATAAGTGTATTATGAATTAAAAGGGAAATTCGAATTATGCGTTTACGAAATGCAAACAGACACACGTTTAAATGGTTGAATCAATCGAAATATAAATCAGTCATCTAAATAATAAATATATTATTAAGGAACATGAAATTATAAATTGTAATAATATATAACTATGCTAATGTAAATAGCAAAATACGAGCATAGCTAGAAAATTGTTTTGGGAAAATATGTTTAAAAAAATGTCACCTTGAAAAATAATCAAATTACCCTCTGCTGTACATACCACTTCTGTAGTTTAAAGAGTGTAAAATTCTTTCTTGTGTTTGTCTTAAAACTCAACATCCCTCGCATTTCCCATGATTATTCCCCAGTACCCAGTCTTAATTTCCGAAATAACTCCAGTCTCACCGACCGCAAACGAGCGTATGTACTTTCTCTTTTCTATATCCTTATAGGTAAAACGGATTCTTTTAGTTTCATAATATACTTTAAAGTCCTCTCCCTCTTCAATCGCTAATCTGTTCCTTTCCATATTCCTTTCTTTCCGTCTAATTTTCTAGAAAACTATCTTATTATCCGTCTAATGCGCACTGCAAATCACATCCCATTTTTTACAATCAGCTTCTAGTTATATTTTTCTCAACCTCTTAGCCAATATGTTTAGTTAACTTTAATTTTAGTTTAGATTTAGTTTTATCAACCCTGATAACTTTTTATTCTTGGGCTCGTCCCGTAATAATAAATAAAAATAAAAAATGATTTTTCGAACTTCAATAATATGACAATAATTTTTCTTACTATTCCAACTATATGAATATACTTGTATATTATATATTTAATTATTTTATACTTAATTCAATCATTTTACTTTAATACATTTAATATGTACTTTCTGAATTGTTTTGAAAACTGGATTTATAGGTGAGTATAGTACAAAACTCTTTAATAAATTTGACTATGCTTGTATATAATAAGTGCAAATAAATCGCCTCCAAAATACCCGGTATGCGATTCGTGTTCACAGTATGCAATTTAAAAATCGCTAGATGTTGGTAGTCGAATACGATATTCTTATCAAAACGCGCCCACCTTGTGTTCAAAATTGTCCAATTACGCAGTATCCGGACTACCCGGTCGGTACGAAATTGTAACTCACTTGGTGGTCAAAAAAGCTGATACAGCTCCTTGCGTCCTAAGTGTATAAATGTATAATTAAACCAAGTCGATTAAAAAACCACGACATGTTTAGATATAACATAAGAAAGAAACGCTTTACATTTGAATAGTGGTCTGTGATTGTCGGAATGAAATCGAATAATATTTCAATTAAGTGAATGCCGCGCGTTACCTTATTGAGACACTGTAGAACCGTTGTTAGAAAGAAAAAGAGAAACATTGAGATATCATAGAAGAATAAAATGCAATATCATAGAAATGAAATGGTTTTTATCAATTAAATATCCGTGGTCTTTGCGTACATGTGGGCGGAGTCACGATGGAAATATTTAAATCTTGGGCGGAGCTCTTCCCGAGGAATAAACTGAGTTGTTCTCTCTCACACCTGTCTTTCATGATTTTCTTAAACACATTCTCTATATTTTTCTTATAATAGCAGCTGTCTTTTAGAGGAACTATATAGGCAAGACATGGAGGACTCGACAGATGCGATTTAAGTTCGATTCCATTAAGGGGGGGGGGTAAAATAAAAATATTCGTGTAAGAGTACCATAAGTAAAAGTGGGAGTCTATGGGGTTTAATTTTTTGATTTTCAACGTGCAGTATTAGGCAATATCAGAAAAAGGAAATTTAAAAAATAACAACTACTTTTAGATGCAGTGTCTAGGAATTTGAATTTTTAAAATCGGAATTAAATTTGATCTGCATATTATAAAGTCTTCCTCTTTTAAATAATAATAATAACATCTAAATATAACTATTCTAAGAGGTGTGAGAGTTATTTCTGGGAGGCAGGTTTTTGTACAAAATGTACGGCTGCTTCGGTTACTATAGCCCCCAAAAAGTATAAAATCTTTGTTTGTGCTTATGGGGCCTCTACACGGATTTAGGACGAAGAGACCTATTATATATTTTATAATAAAAAATGTATATAACATGCCTGTGCGAAATGATTTTTAATATTTGAGTTGTTAATTTAACTATTAATATGGGTTTACTTGAAAATCTTAAACTGCATCACCTTGAACAGTAAAATCTTGAATAGCAAATTCTTGAGCGGCAAAATATTGAATAAATAATTTCGCCAATATCTTAAATAAATAATTACGGTAAAATCTTAAACAGCAAACATTTGAACGCCAAAATCTTGAATGACAATCATTTGAACCCGCAAAATCTTGAAAAAATAATAGATCCGGCCGATCTTTTCGATTCAAGATTTTGCCGTTCAAACAGACGTTGCCGTTCAAGATTTTGACGACACCCCATTAATTCATCTAAATTTTAACCATTCATATACAAGCGATCGGAAATATTAAAAAAACCTATTGGCCAAGGTATAGTAAATACTCTTCGTTATAAAATATATATTAATGTTATATAAAATATTGTTAAATATGTTAAATAAATATTATTTAATATTATATAATGTATACACATATCTTTTTTGCCATAAACTCAATCGAAGGTCGAAATCGTTGAAGTGTGATGTATGATGTTTGTTGCTATATTATTACGCGCGAGAACGACAGTAAAACCAAATTACGTGTAACCATAAAAAAAAAAAAACGATTTTAGATTCTGAGTGGAGCGAAGAATGTATTGGTTTTAAAATGATGTTTATTATTAATATTATATTTTTTTTTTAATCTGTGAACAACTTTTCTACCAGAAATCTTGCTCCGATTAACAATGATAGCATTTTTCTGAAAGAAAATCTGACTGGGAGGTATTTTATGGAGGCGATTTTTCGATTTTTCCCAGGAATTTTTCTAAAAAATTAGGAAAACCGGAAAAAACATGGGAAAAACGTAGGAAATACGGGAAAATAGGTAGGTATAATTTAAATAAATATTATCAAAGAAAATATGTAATGCTTATTAATTGTTTTACCATAATATGACATATATATTGATGACAAAGCAACACTATCAACCAAACTTCGCTCAGAACCGTTTTTTCGTTAGAAGACCGTTCTATCTGGCGCTACGCCACAATATTATAATGTGCATTCCAATTTTTTTTCGCAATTTAAAGATTCAAAGACATTAAATATTTCGTGAAATACGGATCATCGTGCGGAGCCTAGGGGGGGGATCACTCACCCCCTCGGAGACGTGCCTGAAACTCGATCGATCAATTTCTTTATGTATTTCTGACGGGTAAGATAACGCACCCTAAAGTACAAAAAAAAAAAAATTAGCGATAAGTATGACGGGAATTCGACCGACTATTAGAACGTCGTGTTCGCGCATTTCTCCGTCTAGCGATTCTTACCTAATTCGCGTCCAAAAATAAAAACGAAATCGTTTTCGACACGACTGCAGCAACTCAACGTACACGAAATACGAATTACTCACACGGCAGATAAAATTATTGGTTTACAAGTTGTACCCATTTATATATATGTAATACATATATATATATATATATATATAATAATTTATTAATGGGCCTGTATTTACATTCTGTACGATGGTATTATTATTACTATTACTATTACTACGACGTGTGTAAAATGATAATCGTATGTACAAATGGGTTTTCGCCATAATTGTCTGAAAATATACGTGTGCGGCGGGCGTATAGTACTCGTAGTAGTAAAAGTAGTAGTAGTAGTAGTAGTAGTAGTAGTAGTAGTAGTTTTTTTTTTTTTTTACGTTTGGATCACCGTACGCAAAACAAGATTCACACCGGCCGTAAACAAAAACTCACTAATTATTATTAACATTGCGCAGTGTGCGACGTGTGTATACTAATATTACGTAAACACACCGAGTTATATTCAGGGCTCGCGAGTATAACAACGCAAAAAAAATTTAACATTTGTAGCGCTTTTTTTTTTATACGCGCTGAAAATCAGAGAATTTGTGAAATAAAATCGACATTCCGACACGATAAACGATAAATAATCGAACTATCGACAACGAACGCAATTATCCGATAAGATCGGCGATAACGACCGAATGCGACGGTCTTTTTCGGACGCGTTTAGTCGTGTTGTTTGAAAAGCAAAGCGCCATAACTAAATAGCCCTAATAAAGAACTATAACATTGACGGATCCAGGAGGGGAGGGGTTATGGAGGTAATCGCCCCCCTCGTTCGCTCCCTAATTTACTCTTGACCCCGACATACTCTGAGCTCGATTTGTATTGTATGTGTGTGCCTGATAGTGCGTTTTAAATATCGCCCATCTTCTCCGTTATCTTGTCTTGGATTCGCTTTTGCAGTTCTATAAGTCCTAAATATGAAACAAAACGATTCGTGTGTGACACCAGTGAAGTACGAAACAAATTTGTTTCTTACTTGGAAAGTTCCAGATGTCACCAAAAATTATATTATATGCAAACGCTGATTAATACTTCCGAGTCTTGATATTATTATTATTCGCATAGGCATAGGGTTTGCAGTTGAAACATGTCAAGAATTTTAAATTGAAAATTTTATAATGTAATTATAATTATAAACAAAAACTGAAAAAATGTATTGAAAATATTGTTTTTCGGTGAGTCCGAAATTTTGTTCACACCCGCGAAAATTCACCAGGTTACCGCACCTATGGTTATAATACAACAATACGATTCACGGACACGCCACGGACCGAAGGCCGTAGCACGGCCGCCGACGTGGCCGTGACTTGTTGATTTTTGTTTATTTTTTCGACACAAACGTTCGCGCGGGGAGAGTTTTTCCGCGGGAAAAAAATACTCGCCCGCGATCAACGCACGTTTTCTCCGGCGGCGCATTTCCTCCGCGATAAAAAGTCGGGGAAAATGTCCAACGGCTCTCAGCCGAAACGGCGTGAACGGTACTCTTTTCAAAATCGACATTTTTGTTTTTCATATTACGGTGTAAACGTCGTATCGATACCTTTACTGCGCGATGTTTTGTCGAGTGAATAAGATTACGGTGACGTACTATTAATGTTCGCGCTGTTTTTCGGTAACACTGTTTGTCGTCATATTTCGAAAACTTACGTACTATGTATTTTACGATAAATTTCGTTACGATTTGACGTACGCGTCGAACGTTTTTTTAGGATTTTCACTCGTAAGGTTAGGGGATCAAAATATATTTCTCCGACCACAATCGTCCAAGAACACGGAAATAAAAAAATAAAAATGAAAAAAATGCGATCGTAAAATCAATGAAATTAATTTTTATTGTTATTTTTTTTTTCGCTCTACCGATCTTTTTACGCGGATCGATTTTTAGCGATCGCGACTTTTTCGGCTCGGGGCCGGCCGCCGACGTTTTATATAATATCGGAACCCGGCCGAACGGAAACCCCGCGCGGTTCCAACGTCGCTTTCGGAAGTTTCGGACAATGCGGATAACGCGTACCCGGTGGCGGATAAAAGGATTTTGTTTGGCTAAAAATGTCACCGTATTAATTTTGAACAACAAACACTAATATACAAAATACCGATAAGATTACAATCAAGTATCGACATTAAGTATCGACCGAGTAGTTTAACCGCAGTTCGAACGACGGTTTATACTCATAACATCATTACGGTTACAAATATAACACAAGCGGGGGCCCGGGCCCTCTCGCCCATCCCCCACCTCCTCGAATCCGCCTTGCACCTATACGCCAGAACGACGCGGTAATAACAAACGGGAAACGGCGGCGCGAGCCGTACGCAATTCGTTATCCGGCAGCGGCGGCGGCGACCGAACCGTCGACGGGGTGATTTTTTCTCGATCCCGAACACCACGTGTCTGAGTCAGCGCCGCCGCCGCCGCGGACTTGTGCGATGCATGTGTGTGTGTGTGTGTGTGTGTGTGTGTGTGTGTGACTCACGGAGCGGAGCGGCTGTTGACCTCGACGGCGGCGGCGCCTTGTACTCGTACACGCACACACGAACGCGTATATTATATTATATACACGAAAAACGCATTATATATTATTATTGTTATTATTATTATTATTATTATTATTATTATTATTATCATTACTGATCCTGCCGCCGCCGTCGCCGCCGCCGCCGCGTGTTCGCACCGCCAGACGGATCGCCTCTCCCGCACACGAATCGGCAGACTCTCGTCTCTATTGTTGTGCGACGGCGGCGGCGGCGTGTCCGACTTTCTACGAAGAATTTCCGCTCTTATAACACCGAGGAATGCGAAATACCGGCCGGTTCGGCTCTCACTCTCTCGCCCGTTCTGTCTTACCGCGTCTCCGTCTAGCGTACTGCAGTCTCTCGCTCCGTCTCTCACTCGCTCTCTCTCACTCTCTCTCACTCGCCCGTTCTGTCTTACCGCGTCACCGTCTACCGTACTGCAGTCTCTCGCTCCGTCTCTCTCTCTCTCTCTCTCTCTCTCTCTTTCTCTATCTCTCGGACGGGCGCCCGCAGACGTCGTCGGAGAGCCGACAAGAATGCGGCGGCGAGTGAATGAAAAACGCGCGCGCAACATTCTATCGCCGCGTCGAAAGGGCACACGCGGCGGCCGACAGTCACCGTCGTCGGATACGGTACGCCGCGGCGGCCCGCTGCAACACCGCCGTGGGACGACGACGACAAGGTGTGTGTGAGTGTGTGTGCGTGTGTGCGTGTGTGTGTGTGCGTGCATGTTCCGCGGTACGGTGATGCGCGCGCGAGGGGGAAAGAACAAGGGTCGTTGCACTCTACGCGTCGTGGCAGAGGGGTTGGATCGCGCGCGCGTCTCCGCGTATACGCACGGACTTCGGATACACTGCACCATTATATATATTATTATATTGTATATACGTGTTCACCGTGCGCTCCGTGGAATCGGGCGAGAAAAAAAGAAAAGAAAAAAAAGAGGGCGCGCACCCCGTCGTCGTCGGCCCGTTCCCTGTATGTATAAATGATAAATGGTCCCCCCGGCGTGACGGCGACGGCGGCGGCGGCGGTGACGCGCGGTAATTTTCTTCAGTCTTTTGTTTTTTTTTTTTTTTTCCCTTTTTTTCCGTTTCGTCCCACCGTTCCCCGCGCGCCGTCCACCCGTCCCGTCGCCGCGTGCCGCCCGTCCGTCGTCGTTCGTCGTATGTACGGTATTTATTTTATAGATACGCGGAGCAGTGGCGATGAGGAATAACGCATCGGTTTTACTATAAGACGCGTGCTTTTTTCGGAGGTTTTATTTTTCTCTCTCGGCGTGCGTTAATAATTTTTCAACCGGAAATCGTCAACTTGAGCGGTGGTTTCTCGTAGCGAGTTCCGTCCGCGGGGGGGTGGTCGTTTTTACGTAGTTTACTCGACAACGGTGAAAAATCGGCAAAAACCGTCGGTAAAACGGGAAAATTCACGCGGTATATTAGAATTTTGTTAATTTCGAATTAGTTTTTTGTTTTTTTTTTTTGGTATAATTATTCAGTGAAAAATAATTCTAGAGAGACTTTAACCGAATACTATTAATACATCAACACTTTCAGGACGCGACGAAATTTTAAAAATATTCTGACGATTTTCGATTTATTTAAAGCTATTCGGAAATGTATATTTTTGTCGAATTTTCCCCCCTGATAATACAATCTATTGCATTGTGTCTGTTATGCCTAAATCTTTTTCCCGTTAAAATTGAACACTTTCAGCGATTCCTACTTGGCCGAACGTGCTCAAACTCAGGAATTTCGCTTGAATTTCAATATGGAGGTGGGTGTTTTTTTTAACTTTGTACTGTTTAATTTGAAACCAGGAAGATGACATTTTGTTTATGTATGGGTGTGAGTACCAATCATGTATCTTTCGGGCAATTAAACTTTTAACTGTCTCGTCTCAAATATTTATTTGTTTTGAGTTGAAAATACCCCTACAGACTAAAACATAATAAATCTCAGGCAAAAATCTCAGGTCAATATTGTAAACAAAATAAATTAAATATTTTATAATTGCGACAAGTCGGTTGAGGGAAATTCGATTCTAGTGGCCGAAGTTCAGCTGCTCACGGTTTTTTTTTTTTTGATGTTATGTGCATAGAAATGTTGCAATTTATTTTTATTGGTGTTTTTAAAACTCGTTAAAAACAAGAATATTGTTACCGTATTTTACACACTGTAGTTACAAATTAATATAACGTTACATTTGAATTTATATCAATAACACGTTGAACCGGACGTTGCTCAGAGTCGTTTTCGTTTGAAACGGTTTATGGTTATATATATATATACATAACTCTATATAACGGATAATTTTCCCGACTTCCCATTTATATTTTGTTCCGTTTAGCTTTACGCTCGACGACTGCACCGTGTCCCAAAAAAAAATCCGAGAAAAATATTCGAATACCTCGTGCACATACAGCTCACGAGTTCATTGCCACCTCGCTTTGATAAATATTTACGACGTACTTATTGATAGTGCAGTGGGCCGCCTCTCATTTCGGGCCTCGAACGGGTGGTTAACGACCTTTTCAATAAAGTTTTTAGCGTTTTTATCCATACGAGTGTTATTTTAGATCCTGAGTGAAGCGAGAAATGTTTTGGTTTAATTATTGTGTTTTTTTTCTTTTTCAATTTTTCGTGTCAATAAACAACTTTTCTACCGGAAAAATTATATCAGTCCAGAATCTTAAAGGTACTTACTTGAAGCATTTTTAACCTTGTCAGTGCGATGAGGCGGTCATTTTTTGATTTAATTTGGAATTTTCTTATAATACACGGGATTAAAGCCGACAATTGTTTTGTATAATTTTCGTTCATCTACGGTTTACCTTGACAACTACAAAGGCGAAAATATTAATTATAATAACACCCCGCTCAGAATCGTTTTTATTCTTCGTTACATGTATTAATTCATTTGTATGTAAACGCATCGAAAATTTATCACGATATGAATAAAATGAAATTAATGTTACTCTTATATATTCATATGATTATATATTAAATAAAGGAATTTCAGTTTTCAGGCAGAACGAGACAAAATTTTTCATTTGACAAATTAATGAATACAGCCTAAATTATTAGTGGTTTGGGACAGTACTGCAAGGACGCTCAAAATAAAATAAGTATCACAGATCCCGTTGCCATTTAGTGTCATATCAAGCCCCGCGCCCTCTCATATCCTCTCTATATTCACGTTTCTTGTAATTCGCTTAATATTTATCTTCTGACGAAAACAAGGGCGCCCAGAAATGAAAATTTAGAGGCAGCCTTATCAACAATCAAACACTTTCATTAATGTATATTTATGTGCAATTTCAAAAAATTTTAAAGGTATTATAATATAATATTAAATTGTTTACTTATAATAATTATAATTGAACACAAATTGCAATATTATTCTTTTATTTATCCAAAATTCGTCACCAACCTTTTCTGCTAAACTAACTTCTTCGACTTTTTTCCTATGTAAACTTAACATACATAATCCGGATAAATGATTCCCACACATTAGAAAACCGAAAGTCAGCTGTCCGCGAAAAATATCCACAAACGATCGGCTGTAGTGGTTGCGGGTACAAACTTCAAATCATAGGACAAAAAAATCATTGTGTGTTGTGATAATAAATTAGCGGAATTCTATTATCACGATAAGTATACCTACTGACTATAAATATAGGTATCGATCCAAAGTGTATTGATCAATACATCTTGGAACTAATAATGAATTTTGGGATTTTGAGACATTCAATTGAGATATAATTATTTTTGACTTGCTGGAAAGTTAGGGATAGGAGTTTCCCCCTCCCCTCCCTTTGTGGGCACCCTTGGACGAAAATATTATCTTAAAATTCACGATTGTACGTTTTATTACTTGCGGGATACATCGGAACATATAATATTATCGTGCACGGTATACGGATAAAGACGATAGCAAATTTCGTTAACTGGAGCGTGTATACGACGACTTTCTATAACAGGAGCGTTAAATAACAATGCGCAAAGCGTGTGCACCGGTGCAGTGTAATAAAATAGTATGCGAGCGGCGGGCGAAAGACGAAAAACGTACGCGTATATTCACATCGTCGTCTCCGAGCCGCACATGGTCAAAGACCTTTCTATTTCTAGAACGGTCGCGGGGGGAAAAGGAAAAAAAAGAAAGAATCGTGGCGTCTTTTTCCGTCGGCGGCGGCAAGAATGCGTCGTCGTGCCGTCGCGTTCCTGTGGCGGTGGCCAGACGGGCCGACGACCGCTCCGGGCGGGCGAACGTCGCGACGGCCGAAAGTTTTCTCGGCGGACCCCCCGCGAACAGTATCCCTCGAGTGCCCCGGCGGACGTGGAACCCCGCGTCGTCCAAATACATGCGTGCGGGGATAGGGATACGTCTGCTCGGCGACGAATTCCGCAAACCCCTCGGACCGATGGGGGGAGGGAGGAGGAAGGGAACGACCGAAAGGTCACGCGGCGGCCCGAACGTTTCGTTTTCGGAAATTACATCCAGAAAACGGGTGCGCGCACATACACGATTATTTAATCAATCCAATCTTCGGTCCCGGAGACGGCTCGAATCAATTTTCGGAATTTTTATCACATTTCTCCTCCTCCCCCTCTCGAAAATAGAAACTATTGCGCTGCGTTGCGTATGTATCATATACAGCGGCATAGCCGCGGGGGGAGGCTTACCCGACCCCATTAGACGTAATTTTAGCACTTTATACCGATGTTTTACAATTAATCTCAGTGTACACAATCGCACCGAAGTCTTTATATTATTAGATCGGTCAGAATTACAATATGAACTCCACAATGGCGTCACTGGGAATTGTAATGCCCGTGGAAAAATATTCTAGATTAACCGATTCGGGGGACCAAGTGCACCGTCCTAGTTGGGGCTTAATTTACACAGATTGGAGCGAGAAAAAAGGTTCATCGTCTATTTTCATACTCACCACTCAAAATAACGCATTGACTCTGATTTAGGGACCCTAAATGGTACGGGCTCGTGGCTCGTAGCCCGTCTGTTGCTCATACCTTTTGATAATTGTTTTTATATCATCTCGCGTAATTGTGCAATTTGTTTCCCTTTATTTTTCCGTTTACGTAACACAAGTAAGTATACGTATCTTCAAAAATTTAATTCATATATATTGAAAACTACGTATGTAAAAACGACTTACGACCTTCTTCCTTGCAATGGGACCAAAGATTAATATCATAGATATTTCTCTATTTTCTTGAGTCCAGGAGAATTAAACAAGATTTCTGGTTGAACGTTAACAGATAGACGAAAAATGCACACATCACTTGAACTTGAAGTATAAACTATTATTAAACTTTTGAAATATTCGTCGAAACAAGTTTTCAATTTTTGATATCATTTATTTTTTGTTTTAGCGAACAACTTTTCTACCGGGAATACACTCAGATCTTCGAGTGTAGTGTCTTTTCTGAAGGATTCAATTGTATTTTCTTCGTAGTTTTCTTAATGATTCGGAAATACCTGCGGAAAAATCGGGCTAACGGGTTTACAGTGACACAACCGTAAACAGTTTATGATACTGACAGTAGTATCGGCTCTTTTTTCGGGAGGTAGCCGTGTCGTCGTCTCGTCTCGTAATATTTTTTCGTACTCGTATCTCACTTATTTGCGTTTTTTTCGTCGAAAAATTCAATGTCTATACATGTATTTATAATAATTCATTTCTGCGTATTTCGAAAACTCCGTTCCGTCCGGAGCAAACGCAAACACGTGTCTCGCATAGTTTTGCCGCATACACTACTATATAATAACATATAAGAAAATTGTAAGTCTACAATACTGTTAGACTCACTTTGATTGAACGTTATTATTATTATCATAATAATAATAATAATAATAATAATAATATACGCGATATTATATAGCAGACTACCGGAATGCCGAACGCGAGGAAAACATACCGCCGCCGCCGCCGATGCGCCGGTGCAGACCGTGGCACACTTTTAAAAAACGCACTAGTCATTGATATAAAATATTATTATCATTATTGTACGTTTACCTATACTCGCCCGCGATTATTCAATGGACTAAAACTAGAGAGCTTCTATATAGACTGACTAAACCGTGACGATAAAAATCACCGTCGTCGCTGCTCGCATAATATTATAATATTATTATTATTATGACACACACACGTACACACACACTCACATACACGCATACACGCACACACGTGTTGGACCTAATATCACTGTTAGCGGTGAATCGATACGGATTTTTCCTCTGAGATTTGATATTTGCTACGGACACATTATACAACCGATAAACGATACGAAATTTGAACCTGGAAACCATGTGTGAGCCGATGTTAAGTACAAGGCGATTAATTAAGCATGCTCACCCCATTGTTTCAGTTAAATTTTGTATATATTCAAATTCTGATTTTTGGAATTTCTAAGTGAATAGTTAAAGCCGATATTTTCGAATATTTAGATTTTTGATAGCATTTAAGCAGTATCAATTTTGGTTTTTCTAACGAGAATCTATATTATGAATTCCATGAATAGACTGTGTATTACTTTAAATACATTTAGGTGTCAACATTTTTGATTTCCGTCACCCCGTTAACGAGATATTCCACTTTTAAGTTTAGGTAGTGGCAAAGTAGTGGAGTATCATTTGTGTGGTAGCACGGTACACGGCGTTTTTTTGGTACGCTTAGCACTAGGTGAGCACACTTAGTAAATCATCCTGTACATCGAAATTATAACAACGATGTATCGGTTTATTTTTCAACGTTTTTTCCATGTCCGAGAAAGTTTTTAGACGTTTTTTTTCTGGAAATATCGGTTTGAAAATAAACCGATTCCGATATTCCGCGATATCCACAATTTCAGTTTACATACAATTATCACCATTAATTATAGTAATCGAAAGATTAGAAGAAAAAAAACTGTTTGACTGTCATTTTTCGTTTAAAATTATTATTATTATTATTGTTATTATTATTGTAGGTAAACGTTCATCAAATATTGAGACGTCGAAAACCTAATATTCGACAGTCCCTTTGACTTTTGGATAATATTAGATAAACGAAAGAAATAACCACTTTTCTCACCCCCATATTAGAGAGAGGATTTTTACCCCCCTCCTCCCTGTAAATACGCCACTAGTGTTTACATATTGTATATTAAACTCTCAGAAATGTTCACGGGAGAGACTGACGCAGAGAGAGAAACTGAGTAATCGTCGCACATGTATTGCGAAACAATTTATTGTTATCGGTTACAATATTTAAAAACAATATAATAACGCATTAATGCGATGCATTGATCCGCAATTTGCCGTCTATTATCGTAAAAATAATATTATCGAAATCGCTCGAAAATTACAGACGACGCGCACAGACGTTTATAATTTTGTTTTTCAACGACGATGACGACGAAGTATTTATATTATTGTTCATTACATCACGCACACATATTATTGATATTAATATTATAGTAAACATCGGCGTACGTGAGTTTTTATATTACATTATACATAATATACGACTACAAAAGAGGAGAGGCCGTGTTTACCCGCCGTATTTCTATATTATATGGTGTCTCGGTCTGGCTAACAGGCGACACAAAGTAAATTTAGGTTACTCGGTACATAAATTGCGGTGGTTATGTTTAAATTACAGAGTTTAAACACAGCTGATATCGAAATTTATTAACGAGGCGAATATATTATGTTAAGTAACTGTAACTTTTTTTTGAAAAATATTCTAGACAAACTGCGGTATAAAACCTCCTCGAAATATACTCTCGAAAATATTGTCTTCTTTTGATTTCGCGATCTGTGTTTGAACTTTATGATTTCAACCAAAAACACCTCGAGTTTACGGTACACGTAACGTAATTTGGCCAAGTCGTCCGCTATAGTTAGACCGCGACAGTAAATGCGAGTATTTTATAGTCTTCTCTTAAACGTCGGCATGACGCGAAGATGGATATTATTTGTATTATACCAGCTTCGTCGCATAAAACTTAAAGAAGGTCGTAGTTATGCAATTTTCCGAGAGTTCTTCTTTTTCTTGTTAACCTTGTCGGCCCGTCGAAAACTACTGCTATCGTCATGAAATCTCTTCATTCCTCTTCCTTGTATGCCACGTCAAATGTCGCGTTCGTTTCTACATCATGCTGTCTAATACATCATGATGGACAATAACAGCCACTTAGTGGGTCATTAATATTCCTAATGGTCGTCTTCTGGTTATTTTCATTACCAATAACTTAATCGAGGATAGAATATTTGACGTGTCGCATGACTTTTGTCTCATGTCTCGTCAGTTATCAATGGTAATAATATTCCGTGAGCGGTTGAACGTAATAACATTTGAACGTCGTTGAATCGTATTAATGTAGACTTTGGAAAACGACGATGATAAATTAAAATCAGAAAAAGAAACTATGGGTATACCAACAATAAATTTCGGCCGACTGATTTTACGGTCGCGATAAGTACCTACGCAAAGAACACATAATATAATCGGGCTATTAACTCGCCACGCGGCGCTTATGATTTCCGGTTGAATTTTTTTTCGAAAATTAATACGTTTTTAACGACGACGGCACGCCGCCGAGGAGGGTGGCTAATTGAATTTCCCGTGAAACGGATACCTATATATTATTACTATAATTTATATCATATTGTCAGAGATATTCGTAAAGTCGTCAGCGTATTGGTCGTGTAATAAGTATTAGCAATCACTCGTTAGAAGGTCTAGAATTTAAATTTTGAGACAGGAGGACCGACTTAGCTCGTACAGTTCAGTTTAAGTCCCATCGTTTGACCAAACTATCTGCTTCTATAACAATGTTGATAGTTGGTACTAGGCAACCGAAAGCAGAGGGTATGGGTGACGCACAGTCCATAAATTAATATTTCTATATAGTATAACTAAGTCGATTATCTCCTAAGACAATTAGAAAAAGCGTTCTTTTTAAACATTTTTTTTTAAACTTAACTACTATTGCATTATATACAGTTATCTATAGGCTCATATAATCACTTTTTTAATATTTCAAAATTGTATGGTTTTTTAAAAGTTATAGAATATCATAATATATAAGAAATGGATGACCATTTCTGCAGTGTGCCAAAGAAAAAAAAAAAAATGTTAGTTTTGAATTTCAAATTCAACGATCCAAACTTTTTGTGTTTTTTTTGCTACGTTTAAAATATATACCAGTGAACGATGCTTATAAAACTCACGGATAAAAGATTCAGTCGCTTATAAGACTCAAAATCACTTGGAACGGTCTGGACATATCCAAATGTATTATATTCTTTACACCACTTCGTCTATATGGTTCATTCGGTTATAAGACTCACTTTGTGCTGGTCCCAAAGTAAGTATTATTAGCGGCAGTATTATTTGTCATTATGGGCCACTTTAAGCCACAAGAAATTTATATTCGGTCTTTTTGGAATACAATTTATTCAGCTGTTTAGCAAAAAATACGGCAAAATTGCAGACGAAGCTCGGTTTTTAAATTTGAATTTTGTACACCACAATATGCTCTCATCGCGTGTGATTTTTGAACAGTTTTCATTATAATTATTCGATGACACCGATTCGCTATACGACACTTGCCTATTTTCACTTGTTTTGGAAAACAGAGTATTTTTTTTTTTTTTTGTTTTTTAGTGTTTTAGATAAAACTTTAATTTGTAGGGAAAATATTTTTTGATTTTTTCATATAATTAATCAGCAGTTTCTAACGGATATTTTTGTGTGTATCTCCCCTATTGCATAATAACTTATAGGCTCCCCATAGCAGATATAATGCACACGATCTAATATAATAATCGAGGGTAGATACAAATGACGCATTTTCGGGGAGGTCAAAGGAAATCGCCACTTTCCTATTCTCGTTTTTAATCGTCTGATTGGTTCATTGCCGACGTTGCGAAATTCTTCACCTGGAGGCAGGAGTTATCATAATAACTGTCCTTATCAACGGTCTATTGTTAATTTGTTTGCGTCCCTGGCCGTCTCTTCCCGTAATAATATGACTACGGCCTTTCGTTAAACCGCCGTAAACAACTCACTCTTATTTATATCCGGAGACATAATAATAACATTGCGAAATGGCTAAAACTGACGCATTAAGTACACCGCCACCTCGGCGGCGGAATGCAAAGTGAGTCATTTTTCTATTTTTTTTTCTCCGTTATACCGAAAAATCCATTTAAAACCATCGACCGCGGTGATGACTCTCAACGCGGGCTCCCCTTCCCCTCGGTTCGGTTAGTAATACTATTTATTAAGTGATAATTTTTTATTCGTTTACTGATTTATAATGTACGCATAAATTATATCGAGCGTATATATATATAGAATACAGTATACTGTACGTTATATTATAATAAATATACCGATCGCGGTTACGAAACGTGTGTTCTCGGTACGACGGTCGGTATACTCCGAAACTACTCGTATATTATAATGTACATTTATAATAATAAAATATTATAGTCACTGCGCTGACGTAATCCGACCCGAAAAAAAGCCTTCGGTCTTCGCGGAAACTGATTTCTGAAAAGTGTAAAAAAAAAAAAAACACTATCCGGTGTTTGTGCGCGCGCGCGTACGTGAACTTTTATACCGCGGCCAAAAAAGTGTGTACACAAATGAAATACTGCGTAAAATTCTTACGGTATATTTACAAAATCGTCCTTGGCCAATAAAAAACGACCGCGTGCCGGAAAAAACACACACGACATATACGGGTTTTTTTTTCGTAACGGAAAATCATCAAATTATTATTATTATTATTATTGAGTTGCGGAGTCGGGCGCGCGTTCGATTCAGACGGAATCGTGCGGCGGGACGACGGCGAGGAAGCCCGCGGCCTGGGGATCGACAGGACGAGTCACTTTTTGGGTATTCTAGACGGTTATACGGAATCTCGGTGGTAGAAAAAAAAACAAAACAAAAAAATCGAGAATATTGCGACGATAATGACGACGATAATCGATAATAATTATTATTCGACGATCGTGTTTGAAAAAAATACGCGTCGACTATACGGTTCAAGGTCACGAATATTTTAATAATATATACGCGTTTATTATAATAAACTTCCGTACGCTATATATTATAATATATTTATTTGCATTGTTGTTGTTTTTCTTTGAAAAAGAATATAATATAATATAAAAGTATGTACCGGTAACGAGATATGGTCGGCGAGTACGTGAATTAAAGACAGAAAAAAAAAATGCTAACGATAAGTTACTGTAAGAAAATAAGTATAATATCGTATCAATCATCGATATTGAAATATAGATGTAGATATTTCGTTGTTCGATTTTTTATTTAGGTTGTATTTTATTGAAGTTTCCGATCAACGAACGCATACTTCGTTCGAAAACTCTTAATTTCGTGTATTTTCGTATAGCGAGTGGAAAAATAACGAATTGGTAAACCGTGAAATATAATTGTGAAATAAAATGTTTTCCGAGGAAAACATATTATTCAGTTTGATATACTTGAAAAAAATTATCCAATACTGTTCAAGGAAAAAAAATCCGATAGGAAAAGATTTCAGCGAAAAAAAGTATCCAGAAGAAAAAAGTTCTGGAAAACAATATTCACTAAAATTCAACTTAATCATATGTCTTGATAATCATAATATTCGGATATTTTTTCCAATCTGATATTTTTCCTTTGAATATATTTTTAAACAATAAATCAGTAACCATACACGTCAAACACTCCCTGCTTGTATGCAATAATATTATACAGGGTGATCAACACGGCGTTAGACACTCATTACCTTGGAAAGTAATCACTTTTTTTGGTGATAAGCTGTTTAGATCATTTACGAAATTAGTAGCTCTATAATTTTACATAACTTTATTCTTTGTCATTCTTATTTAAATCCCTATCTACTTTTCATTTCCAAATGGCAACTTATATTACAAATTCCGTATATAGAAGAAATATTAAATTAAATCGATTTTGGTGTTGACATTTTAAATTTCCGTCAAACTGTTAATGAGATATTCCATTTAATACATAGGATACCGTTTGAAAATCAAAATAGTGGTTTCACCAACTAAAATAATGGTAACAAAAAAATAGAGAAATTTAACATTTTTAAGACTACTGATTTTATGAATGTTCTAAAAAACTAATTCTGTAAAAAGTTAATATTATATGAGATAATGGGCGTTTTACGTAATGTTGAAAAAAAAAACATATTAAAAACCGTTGTTTTCAAACAAACGAAGAGATAACCTCTTTTTTAAAATTTTTTTATATATAATTTCTTCACACTTTTATGTGACGTTTGACGGAAATCTCTATTTTTAACTTACTTGAGTGAAAAATCGCTACACGAACGATACCCTCCTATGATCACCCGAAAGGAAACAACGTTTTTACGTCGGACGTCGTCGCCGGGTACGCCGGAATCGTGTGAAAAAGGGATTTCGGGACGCGGTTCATTCGCTGCAGTGGTTCCTAGACTTGGTTCCGGGTAAATATTATTTATCACTGCACTAGGGGACTCTATAAGTATACATATATATAATTGAGAAAACCGCGGTACCGTGGTAAAAAAAAAAAAAACTGAGGAAAAAAATAACGAAAAAATCCGTAATACGCGGACTATCCGCCGAGTGTTGCGAGGCTATGATATTATTTGTATATTATTATTATTATGACGGTGTACGTTTTACGAGCGGGAAGAATCGTTGCCGTAACAATATAATGCGTAAAAGTGCCTCGAGGGCGATAACCTCGAGCGCGGGAATCGGGGCTTCTCTCATCGTCACCGCGTGTCTACCCTGTATATATATATATATAAAGACCGCACCACGTTACTGGGGAGAGTCCCTTTCCGTATCGCAGTTCTCCTGTCGTAGACCTCTCCGGATCCTGCTCGGTTTACAGCGACCAGAAAAAAAAATATATCGTTAAAATATCCGCACGTGTATAATAGCATGCGTATACCTCAGTGAAAACGCCGTTTGTAAAACGGAAAACTCCGACGGGCGCCGAAGAAAACGTCGTTTGTTTATTAAAACCGTCAAGAGTTCAAATAAAAAAAAAATTTTAAAAAAATCCATACAAAATTCCTATGTATTTTAAAATCGTTTCCGTGTTGTCCGCCTTAGCCGCGGAGGAGAGGGGGGGAGTATGTACACTAAAATAATAGGCTAAGTCAACGGGTCTGCAAGAAGCGTTGGGTTAACGGATTGACTTGAAAACACACAGTTCAGGTTAAAATATGTAATAAAAAGTAGCGTTATCTGTATGAAATTGGGTACATTTCCCCGGTTTATATATATATATACTTTTTTTACTTTGACCAATAAAAGCCATACAATTCAAATTCCGCGAAAATAATTGTACTTACACATTACAATGAAAATATAAAATGTCTATTAAGTGAAACGGTCAACGTTCGAGCGCAGCGATCGAATCTCTTTTCGTGTTGACGGTCGTTTTGATCAACACTTTTCTGGAACACAAATATTTTATCAACATATTCGGGGAAGGGGGGAACAACGTTGGTCCGGAATATTATTGTCGTTATTGTCGTTTCGAAAACTCGAAAACCGCACTTGTTTTCTCCCGTAGAACACGATTTGTTTACTAGGACGGAAATATGTCAGCTACAGTATACTATATTCGTGTTTTTATACATTAACGCGCGATAAGCGCAAGTTACAAAACATTTTATCGTTTTATTGTCTATATAATAAGTACATTATGCTATGCGCGAACAACGCAGCAATTTCTTTCGGCCATCGTATCGTTCAATTGTATATTATATAGATACAGTTATTATTTAGCGCAATAATTATAAAAAAAAATTGACTAAATATTACCGATATACATGACATGCACACAGGTATACCAGAGGCGATAAACAATACCTGCCGACATCGTATTGTATGGAATTTCTGTACCGGTGGCGCCAAAGTGTAACGAGTTAACACGTTATTGTATTACGTTCAGAAGACGTTTTCGTATACGATAAAATGTCCGTATCGAACGCTGTATAATATTACTTGTGTGATATTATGTACGAGTAGGCACGTCTGTAGAGCTCCTCAAATTGGATAACGGCACACTCGTGCGAAATCACACTTACGTGTGTTTTTTTTTATCCGTATCGCGAATTCGAGAACGTGTGGACGTGCTTCCGGAAAACATGCGTATATTATTCGTTAAACCTTAACTCGCAACCGTCGCAATAATAAAAATGTAAATTGATTGGTAAATATATATACAAAAGATACAGGGAAAGAAGGGTATAGCAGTAAATTCGCTTGCGATTTCGGGACAATGGTGCCGTACGACGACGGAGCTCCGAGATTATATTATCGAATGCTGAGCTTATTCGGCGAAAAAATAAGATTTCAGTCGGATAATATCGGAGGTATGCGAATATTGAATTATACTGGTTAAAAAAATAATATTATAGTCCATGCAGCTGTAATGAAGTTGAATTTGTTCCGCTGAAAATGGTTCGAAAATGTACTATAATACTATATTTTCCCACATGATCTTCGTGTGTATCACGAAAAATCGCTAGGCACCATATGTAAAAAAAAAACATCATCTAAACCAGAGTTAAATTAGCAAGGTGTACTACGATGGTCCTTGTCGTACAGATAGGGTGAGTTTTCTCAATTCTTTATCGGGATAAATCCATAATTGTGAGTACTCAAAGGGGTTAAAGTTCCGAAACATGTTTTTTTTTTTTATTTTTACAATGCCGCTTAAAATATTTATAATATCCAAAAAATTAAATTTCGAGTATTAAACTGTTGTTAACATTGTACTTTTCTTATTAAACAATTAATTCGCCCACAAAATAGCAAACCAAGTGTTATGAAAAAACTATAATTGACAATTTCTATTTTCTAATTTAAATTAGAATTTAATTTAATTTCAAATTTAAAAAAATATAATATTCTGTACAATTCTTTTCTATCATACATATTTTAGATCTTAATTGCAAAAATTGAACAATGCCTTTTTTTAACTTCAACCTTATTGAGGCACGTATATTAAGGTTGACCAATGTTTACGAAATTGTATTTTTTTAACCTAATTTTAAACAAAATTTGTAAGTATTAAATTTAAAAATAAATGAAAATAAAAAGGAATAGAGGACAAAATATACATCTTTGATATGCTATATACTGCACAGGACGTTTTAAAAACATTTCGGATTGTTATCGTCTCGTTTTTTGCAAGCATTGCAGCGATGACGACGACGTTTCGATAGACACATAGTTCCAACGTCATAACTCGTAATTGACTATTATTTATTTTTCTAGAACTCACGTGATTCGAGTGAGCCAATTTATAAGTATGTGCCTATTGTTGGGCTGCAGTTATATAAAATATACACATTTAAAAAAATCTAAAAATAGAGAATATTTCAATGCATAAGTACTTAAAAAAAAAATATATATATATATATATTTAATACTTAATAGGTACTCGTGAACACTTATTTAAGCGCTGTCGTATACAGCGAACAGCGAAATGTGTGACTTTTTAGTCATCAAAACTTCAACGAACACTATACCGATTTGCAATCTTGACGCGTCACAGCATTCCTGCTAATAGCCTCTTATTATTCACGTGTCTATGTAATTGGGCTTTAAGTACTATAAATTCCCGCGACGATTGGATTTAACTGCACGTTGTATTGGAAACCAGATAATTACTATAAATTAAAATTTAACGTGCCGAAAAGAAAAAATCACTATAGTTATTTTAGATTCTGAACGAGGAACGTATTAGTTTTACTAGGTTTTATTAATTTTTTTGTAGTTTCATAAACGACTTTCCTACCAAAATTCTAATTCCATTCATATATTTTACAGGAACTTTCTTGTAGCGGTTTTAATCTAGTTGAAAGTTGGAGAGATTATTTTATAATTTTCTTAATAAATCTAAAATATTGGCAATTTTCGGTACAATTTTTGTTTGTTTCTCGATTACTTTGGTAATAAGGGATGAAACATGACTAATAATAATTTACTCGGAATCGTTTTCCATTGGTAACCATGGTTTATCGTTCCGTGTAAATATAAATTAAACTAGTCTATTTATCTTCTCTTCCATTTTACTTCTTAAAATAGTGCATCCATCAGTAGTATCGGGCTATTTTGATTTTCGGAAGGTTTTTTTTTTTTCGAAAATCTATATTTCGAATGCGATGGTAAATATTGATGATTTTCCTGTTAATACGGATTATGAAGTAAATTTAACGTTAGTAATTTAAACGTTTCAAGTAATTGCCCAGTTTTGGATACGCGATAAAGACGCGATTAAGTGTTTTTAACTAGAAATGTATAGAAAAACGCGAATTGATAAATCGCGACTGCAGGTACCACTACCGATACCAATGGCACGGTATACAGAGCTTATGGAATTTCGACTACGACGGTTCTTGTCCGGGTTCCGGCGGTAAAAGGACAATAAGAACCATTTCTTGTCGTCAGTAAATGTATAATAATACTATATATATATATTTTTTTTTTTTGAAACCAATTTTGTCCGTCCGTCCGACAGCCGTGACCGGTGAACCGTGACTTTTCTTTCCCTCCCCCGTTCAGTATTATTAAGCGGGTACCCTCGTGCAGGAAGAAAACAACTCGCGGACGCGGTAAATTGTCGTCTTCGGTCTTTGAAGCGCGGTGAGGTGACAGTGTATAGGTGACGGTAGCGGTCACGGTTACGCGCGCTTTCCACCACAACAGGGACGTTACGTATTTGTATACCACGACCGCGGTATACGACGGCTGTGTACCGCGTGTAATGCGTATGCAGAATGCGTCGGGCGCGACGATGCTGTATAATACATTACAGCGTTTCGTCCGCAGTGTTTTAATCCGTGAGGATTAAGCGATAAATTTCCGTGCTTCATTGTCGTCGGCCTTTCTCGTCTTCGTGTTTCTCAGGTGTGAATTACAATTTTTTCAACTTTTTGTACAATCCAGATTATGTACCACTACCGCGGTCTTCCGGTTTATTCCGTTTACCGTTCCTTCTGCGGTCAGTCTTGGCAACTTTCCGTGTTTGAGAATACGACCTATCCGTTCGCTCTATTAATCATTCCACGACGATCTTCATTCCGAAACCCTTTTCAAAATGACTTCTTTGGAACCCTATTATATCGTCTTAACTAATTTTTTTCATTCTTCTAAAACACCACATTTTGAATGCTTCTAATCTTTTCCCCTCCCCTTTTTTGCAATAGTTCGTGTGTAGAAGGTCATGATCGTCGCGCTAAGTTCACTTTTCATTGTTTCTACTGTTGTAATTTCTAATAGACCCGTTTCGAGCAGTGGCTAGGCGGAAAGGGTTTGAAAATACGTTTAGGCATCGTGGTCGATATTTGGTCGGTTGGTGGGTATTTGGTAATAATATCAATATAGACATATTTAGTCGACTATCAAGTATTTTCTATACAAATCTATACTGCAGGTTTTCCACGAGAAAACTATGCTCCAGAGATCTCCGTGATTAACGCTTGCATTGAATTAATCCAAGTACCAAATTTCGGCAATCGACACATTAAAACTGGCAGTACAATTTGGCGCCCAAAATTTTTTACGTCCTTATAGACGCGTGACACGTATAAATAGGTATAAGATAAACTATAAGCGTTTGCTGACTCGAGACCGCACGGGTTTAAAAAACATACCGATTTAGGGTATCCAATGGCAGAAATGCCGTGTACAGGGGGGCTCTAGGGGCTGCAGCTCCTCATGAGCTTGATAAGACGGAGCTCAATCCCTTACGGTTCTCATATTATAAAAAAAAAAAATCAATTTTTGTCATGTACATCCTCAAAATATTAATTTTATTTATAACAAACTAATTGAGAAATATAAACGGTTTTTTAGATATTGATAGCAGAAAAAAGTGTAGATTTTAGAAATCGACCAGGTTCTTGATTAACTGGTGTCTGGAGTTGTTTGGAATGTTTTAATTTTTGCCTTGTGATTTTTCATTATGTCATTAAAATATTGTAACATGCTTAACAACAAAAAACTATATTTTAGTAATTATTTAACGAACAATTTAAGGAAAATAAAAACAGGCGAAATACGGTAAGATTTAGGTAAAACTGTACATAATGTGTTTATAGAAAAGTGAGCCCCCCGTGATGTTTTCAAAACCTGACGCCTTTGTCCAATTGTTTTCCGTTAATCGAATTCGTCCGGACGACGACAATTTAGAAAAAAAAAACCACTCAAGGGTAGGACGGTATTTTAATATTGAGGGGGCGGGTAAAACATACGTTGTGCGCCGCGGTTCGTAAACGATCGCTGCGCCACCGCACCGGTTTCGCGTCCTTCGAATAGCTAGCCGCGCATTCTCAAGCGCGTCCCTAACGCCGAGTACAAGACGTGCACCCGCCGTTATTTCCGTCTCCTCGCGGCGCGATAATACCGGAAATACTTGCAATTTTTTTTTTCCTCCGCCGTACACCTACAATACTATACACGTATTTCATAATTTCCACGTAATAACAATGACGTACAATAAGTAAAATTCGTAAAACGCCCGGCTTTCGCGTCGCGCCTATATTGATTTTTCGCCGCCGCCGCCGCCGCTGGGGTGTGTCTGCGTCGTCGTCGTCGTCGTCGCCGACGGCATTACAAAACTGACCCGGGTACGACCGCGCCCTTTTCACCCTTACCGGCGTGGCGTTTTTGGCGGCAAACGCGCCGCCGTGCGTGCACGCCGTCGTATACGCGAACACCCGCCACCGGACGAGGAATCGGCGGCGGCGGTGGCGGCGGCGGCGGCGGGAAGCGTTACTATATACTATAATAGTATACTACGCGACGCCGCCGCCGTGTTACTATAAAATACGCGGGAGGACGACCGAGCGGAACGAACGGACGGACGCCGCCGCCAGACGAGCGAGTTCACTGAACCTTTCCCTCGCTCGTTATTACGACGCACGTGCAACGCCGCCGCGGTGTTACAGCCGTCGTCTGGGACGATACATGTGTATGTATAATGTTAGGCGTACAGGGTGTTCCAGACCGGAGTGTACGCGGGGAAACAACAACCAAAAAAAAAAACAACAAAAAAATAGGTGAACTGGAGTCGGGCGGACGCCACGCCTGTACGTATACGTGTGTGCGGACACGGCGACGGGTTTAAAAGCCGAATACGATACGCTCGATTTTTCGAAAAAGTCGTTTTTACATTCGATCAACGAAACTACGGAGGTATAAGTCCGTGTGTATTACGATCCGGCCGGATGTTCGAAATTATTAGAACCGGGTCATTTATTTACGCACATTCGGCATGTTTTTTTCACGAGCCGTTTAAAGTCCGTTCCGTTTCCGCTCAAAGATTATTCGAAAATGGACAAAAAAAAAAAATAAAAATATTTTAGAGTTTCGGCCGAGTTTAAAACTGACAAATAAATTGTTATTTTCGTCCGTTTTTTCGATAATCCCTGTGTGAAAATTATCTATACGATGATTTTATCAATACAAAGTATATTGGCCGCGATTCTCACGACATTTTTCTACCCGAATCGAATTTCTAAAATAGGCTTTTTCCGAATTTAATATGTTTCCTCGAACGATTCAGGGGGGAGAGGAACAACTTCTTCCAAGATTTAAAAAAATTCGGAAAATACTAAAGAAAATCACAAGGTTTATTTATTATACATTAACGTAAACTAATAATGATTCATATTTTTAATAAATCGGATTTAACAACAATTCTTTTGATTTCTAATAGACATTGGGGTTCTCTCCTTCCCTTTAAATTTGTGACTCTACAAGTCCAATTTTTAAAGTTTCTACACGCTAAGGAAGACTTCAGCCCCCACAGCCAACTCCTTTTTATCCCCCTCTAGACCCGAGTGATGTTTTCCAGTAATGAGCCGAAAATGGTTATGCTACCTCTTGCTTACATTATTAATTTTATGAAAGCCAGACAGGGTTTCTTGGTAGTTGGTATTGATTCCAAGTGTCGTAGTAAACCGTGGACGAACGGATTTTCTTCTTCCCTGTTCTGGCATATCATTTTGTTATATTCCGATATTTTTCGGGTAATCTACGATTCGGGAAGAATAACATCTAGCAAACGAATTCGAAAAAATTATACTCGGAAAAAAGGTGTTAAGGAATTTGATTTAGGAAAAATACCGTGAATCTTCCCCTGCAGTTATTTCATGCCGAAGAAAAAATACTTTCGTCAACAGCAAATCTCCCTGCACTAGAAACAATTTTTTTTCCGATCGACTTTTAACCGTTAAAATATTCCGTTTATTTTTTTAACGTATTTAATCTAAAATATTTATTGTTGTCGGAGTTTTATTATGCACTCGAATCCTTAAGGGTATAAGAAATCGGCGGTATTAAGGCGGTGAAACCGTACGACTCGAGAGCATGAATATGATTGGTATAGAGGTCGAACGTTTTTTTTTTTTAGCTTCCGAAGTCACAAAAATAAATCCCATCTCTGTCAACACCACGTTGTTGCGAAGTTCGTATTGGAATTTGACCGAAATGTTATCACACGAATATTCGCCTGTAAAACGAATTGCGCGTAATAATTTCCGAATTCGGGCGGATCATTTGTATCGGTCCAGACGGAGCCGCTAAATCCGAATGCGGGAAACGCATACACAGAATATAACAGACGCGATAAAACGGCGCAACAGTGTCGGAATATGGTCGTCGGGGAAAATCGTCGATAAAAAAAAATACACGGCGACGTTCGGCGCGCGTAATATTCTCGTCCGAAAAAAAAAAAAAAAAAATGGGTCACGCGCCCATAGCGCTGTAACCGTATTACCTACAATTATTTATAACCGATCACTCCGTCGGCACGACAATACGGAACACCCTGTATGATATTATGAACGGCGTCGGCAAATACTGTAACGTAACAGTGGTCGTCGCCCGTTATTATTTATTAATAATAATAACACAATCGTTCGAAATTTTTCGAATATTCGGTCGGCACCGACACGCGCGCCCGTGCAGCGCCTATAATAAAATAGTACGTACACGACCAATACGGTTATATAGGTGCGGTCGATCACCCCGACAAAAACTCCGTCTATATGTATACTTACGGTTTTATTTTTTTCACCCCCCTAATATTTTGCCGCTACAATAATAACGTCGCGGTCCGTTCTCCCCGTCGTCGACGACGACGACGTCAGCTCGCATAATAATAATATAGCGTAACGAAATTATCGTCTCCCCTAACCATCCCCCCGCATAAGTGAGGTCAGACACCCCGAGCCGTTTTTTTTTTCTTTCTTTTTTTTCTTTTCGCGGGATGTTATATCAGCTTTCCCGCGGTCCGGACAGACACGTGTGCGCGTCGCCCGTTCTGGTGTGTTACAGCTGGGCTACCGCGCGGTGCCATCGCTGGGTCGTCCGCGACGCGATATAATATCCCCGAGTTGAACCGAGACGATTTTTATGCGTCGTCACGTATGTAATATTACGTGTATATAAAGTAGGTTAGCTTGAACAAGCTTATAGCATTGTTTAGCTTTTAACTAGAGCTTTTAATGCCCGTGGTATTGTATTAAAGGCTGAACCGATAAGCCGAGAAAAAAGAGTAATTTAAAAAGACCCTCACCTCTCCTGAAATAACGCCTTGGGTCCTGGGCTAAGTCGCTGGACTAGGGCCCTCATCAATTGTGGCCCCCTGGCCGTGTTTCCTACGTTTTTCCCAGTTTTTCCTATTTATTACGAAAATCAAAAAATAAACACCGTTGTAGAACCAATAAATTCCTTTCTCCGCTCAGAATTTAAAAAAGGAATTAAAATTTAAAAATTAAAATCACTGGGTGTGATATGTCATCCATATCACTTCTTGTAAATATGCCATTGTAACAGTAGGTAACGTTCATTTGTTTAAATCTGTGTATAATACGAGTAATACGTAATAATAACCCAGTAACAAAATACATTTCTGCGCGTTACCATTATTATATTATTTGTTTAATAGCACGTGATACTGTGCTGATTTCTTGCGAATGGGTTCGATATACGGAGTATTATACAATAAGTAATTTCTTATACTTCTTATTTAGATGTCATCGCTTGTTACCGAGTTTGAATCCGAAAAAGTCACACAATTTTATTTGTTTTTGCTACCGTTTCCAATTTTAACGGGACATAATACAGTCGTCTGCGACTAGAGTTACGAATTTTCAAAATAATATATCGCGATGATGCAGACATGCAGTACAATCTATTCTGACGAAATCCAACAACCCCGACGGCGATGAATTGTTATCTCGGTGTTATAGTCCAACATAATAAACAGCGCACGTTGAAAAAAATTTGTCTGTCATAGATTTCCCGAAGTTTTTTTCCGAATTCAAACGTATCTTATAGTTAACTAATCTACGAGAACAGTCAGGAACAAGCTGTATATACGCGCAGGTAAAATAATAAAAGACGCGGTGGTGGATTCGTAATATACAGACAATTCGACAATATAAAGGAAACCCAAAAGAAAAGCGGAATAATATAATATGCGGCTTGAAAAAAAAAAAAGATGAACTTCGTCTCCATGTTAAATTTTCAAACATTTTGGCTCGACAGAACTATTATATTCACATAAATCAAAAATTAATTCAAGAAATACCGCTTTTTTTACGATTTTCGTGAAAATTTTGAATTTAAATGCATACATATAAAAAAAAAACTACTACAGTATGCTTTAATTTTTTTTTATTCTACTCATAAAAATGAAAAAAAAATCACTCTGTAATGTTCTAACAAGATCTAGAATTACATAAAAAAGATCTCTTTAGTTATTTATCTTTGATTGGAGCAAGATTTTTGGTAGAAAAGCTGGTAATAGACAGAAAAATACTCGCACAAATTATTGTAAAACCAATAAATTCCTTGATTCGCTCAAAATCTAAGTAAACCGTACCTAAATATTTCTTGCAGCGGGCGACTCGGTGGTTTCTCAATAACGGCACAGCGGGCAAACGTCCGTGGTTTTAACGGTATACTAAGGTTAGGTATGTGCCATTTGATCGAAGCTACCCAAATCCAAAATATGATTCTTTTGGATCAAATAAAAGAAACCTTTTTGAACGAACAAGGAGCACTATACAAGGAAATAAAACAGTTATCATCTTTTTACAAAAAACGCGAGTTGTTTTATTACGGTTTTCGTATTTCCAATAGACAGTCAGAAAAATGGAACACATCTATTACAGTTTACGGGACATTTTTATAATATTTCGTACGTTTTTCATGTTATATAAACGTTGAAATATCTAACAACGACGAGGGACTAGTTTTTGCTGGATCGAGGTATCGTTGTAAATAGTGTTTCCATCATCTCCCGATAAAATCTCATGAGTTTTGTGATAACGTAAACTTGTCGAGTTTGGACAAATAAAAAAGTAAATACTGGCTGGCTAGGAGTGTCGCGAAAAGTGCAATTTTGGAGAAAATTCGACGGTATAATTTAAGATCTGATGAATTGCTACCGATTATTTGTAGCCTGCAGGTAGTACATTTATAGGTAAGTTGTATGGTGACTTTACAAAACGGTCACCCCGCAAAATTTGGCCGCTCGAGGTGTCACAGCCTATAACACTCTGCCAAAAGAAATAATTTTAGAGTTAACGGATAAGTAGGTTGTTCGATTAAATAGGTTAGTTTGTCCAAAATTACATGTCGCGAGTCCGTATAATAATGGCCAGAGGAAAATACAACGGCCGGATAAAAAAAAATAAAATTTTAAATAATTTTGTTTTTTAAATTCTAAAACGTTCAATTTTTTCCCCCGGCCATATTTTACCCTCGGCCTGTTTTCCCCCGGACGCGTTTCTCCGCGGCTATTTTAGATTGGTCGTTATTGCCACTGCACAGGCTCCTCGTGCGTCCGGATCCTAAAGACGAAAAATTCGCGAACGTGCGACCTCGGCTATCGCACGTCGTCACGCGCGCGTGTGATCGCGACAAACTCCTTTACCGCGACGGCATCTTTTGCCCATACAGAATACTTTTATCGTCGTCCTTCCTCTCTCCTCTAGCCCCCGGGATCCCGTGACGATTTCCCGTGATGCATATACGATCGCCATTAAATATATTTTAATATTATACACGCGCGTGCGTTTTTATTTTATGCGAATACTTATATAATTGCGCGCGTGTATACGATGTACACGCGCGTGGTCACCGTAAAAAGTTCGTTTGATAATTATAATGAGAGAAAAAAATTAAAAAAAAAAAAAAAATTTGTCGCCAATGTTTTGTATAATGTCCGTCGACCCGATTCCGGGAATCGACGATGCGCCGCCGTCCTCGGAGTTGGTGGGCGCGCACGCGGTAAAACGTCGGACGTTTTACGCGCCACACGTGGAACCGCGTGTACGCACTCCACGCAATAAAAACGCGTCGTTAAATCGGAAAAGAAAATAAATAATGAAAAAAAAATAACGCGTAATTTTTTTTTTTTACGGTCGTAGTCGCGGCCGTCCACGATGATTGCACGGAATCGACGGGGCCACACGCGCCCGTAGCCGCGGCCAGTCGACGACCGCTCGATAATATTTACGTACGTCGAGGTCGACGACGACGGCCAAAAAAAACATCGGACCTGTGGTTAAGACCGGAATATCTATTACGAATTCGCAAAACTCAACGATCATAATATTATTTCCGATATTCCGAACGACCGCATTTTTACGGGACTTTTCTAACGGCAAAATCGTCAGCCCGATATTACCGATCATCTTTTAGGGGAACGGCCCCGTCTTGACTCAACTCGTGAATTGTCATTAATCTAATATGTTTACACTCGCCTGTTTTTTATTTTTCAACCGATAAACAACAATAACATTCAGCTGGCGTTAAACTACTTTTTTTTTCAAAATCGGGCTGTGTGGTGGCGTGATTTAAATCCGGGTTATCCGACAAATCTAGATTTCGGTTTTCAAATTCCGAAAATATCAGAAAATTTCGAACTTTAATTTTCAGATATTCGAGTTTTTGAGTTTTTTTTTATTAACCTATAACCTGGTACACATTTGTATTTTCTATATTTGTTTTTTAATTTTTGATTTATATTTTTTAAAAAAATGCAATACTATTATTAATTTTTGAATTGTATAAAAATACTTAAAATTATCCAAAATCCGGATTTTACGTGTATTTTGAATTTCAGATTCCAAAAATCCGTATTAACAAAATTTGGCAAATCCGGATCAGTCTTCCTCAGTTCAAAAAAATAAATAATAATCATTTCAAAATCGGACCATTGTACGAGGCTTGGCAGTATTTTCCGTAAGATACTTAATTATTAGAGGTAAAAACGCACTGACACCGGGCTGTTTATTAAAGCCTACCAAATACTATAAATTTGCGATGTTTGTTTTTAATTGTGCACACGAGGTCGGAGGAAGCGATCAATCTACAAAGCGGATTAAACATCGAAAAATGTATGATATTTTATACTTTATATCCTGTTCAATTAATTCGAAACACAATATAATATACACACGGGATACATAAAACTTGGTATTGATTAGAATTAGTGGTGGATTTATGGGGAAGGGGTCTGGATTTCTCAGACATCGAAATAATTTCAATAAAATATCGCCCAAAAAAGTGGCATCTATTAAAAGAAATGCCTTTTGAATACATATGATTTTTCAGGACTCTTCCCAGAACAATCCGCTACTAGTAATTTTTAGCCCAAGTGTTCGTATAATGTGTTGTCCTTTGGGTGCACAGATGTCGATGCACTATATATAGGTGCACAAAAACTATAATATCTTTCACACCGTTTCAGGCCATTAAAAGGCTATTTTTTTGTATCCGTTTTCCCGAATTTCTGATTTTTTTTTTTTGATATCAAAGACAAAAACCGACGACGTAATTTCGGATAGTCCACCGATGCGATTCGGATTAATGTTACAACTTAAAAAAGTACTATAGTATTTTATCGCGGATTAATCGGAATTGATCGTGTAATTCGGATTATAATGTTCGCGGCACTCGTATAATATTTTGTTCGTTAAATTCGACCGGCGAAAGTCTTTTCGCGAGAGTTTTTAACGACAATGTAACGTGCCGAGGGCATATTTACGATTGACGCATAGCGAGCCTCGTCCCCGAAACGCGCGTATTTCTCATATACCGAAATTCGGATTCTACGTCATATTATAGTGGCTGGAGGATGATTTTTTTGTTCGTGAACTTTTTCGTTTGCCCGGAGGCGATGCCGCTATATCCTATATAATATCTCGGGAGAACGGTGCGCGTCGGGCTTCAAAGAGCGCGTTTTTACGAGCGGGTTCGAAGATTATAAGGCTAAGACCGGCCAGAAATAATACGCCCGTCGCCGTAGTCGTCGTGCGGCGGCCGACCGTTAAAATCTTAATATACGAAATATTATGTAAGCGTATATGATAATGTATAAAATACGTGTTTAGCGGGGGGGGGGAGGGTGATGGAAATAAAAAATAGGTACTCACACGCTATTCGATTCCGTATCCGATCGTGTACGTGCTTTCCGATCGTTGAGCTTACCCGCGAGTTTATTATTATTATTATTATAATATCAGCAGGTGGTGGGTATAGATACTCGTATATATGTATGCTGCTGTCTTGCCACCGCCGCGACTCGAGTGGTTTTCCTGAAAAACAAAACAAAAAATATTAACAATAACGAAATAAAAACTGTAAGCCGTCCGTTTATAAAATCGTTAGGTATAAATACGGCCGCGATCGGTGCAACTATATTATAATGTTGCTTTCGAATTTTTTACTATGACGCAACATCACGACCAACGCGTATTGCGAACCGGCGAACGAAAAATACGCGCCCGAGATCAATAACAATATTATAGACTTGAAATCGTTAACGTTATATTTCATTATCGTGTTATTTTTTTCCGCGTCTATGTAAACAGCTTTTCTACCGGAAATCTCGCTTCGGCGCAATAACATTACCTACACGACCTTTCTGGTGGCGTTTCCGAATTAGCCGGTACGGTCGGGGATTTTTTTTTTCGTTTCGCATGCAGTCTCCTTGATAAATTTAAAGAAAAACATCAGCGATTCCAGTTGATTCCTGGGTTTCCTATAATTAACGATACGCGAAAAGATACGGACTAATATAATGGGCGAATGTAAGTTTAATTTTTGAAATAATATTTACCGTGTCTGTCGTAACTCGTGTTTTCGTAGAAGTTTATTTTGCAAAATACCGAAAGATAAATCGTCCTTATCGAGTCGTCTTCGCAGTTACGCGCGCGAATTTAAGGAGAATATTTGTTCAACCGATGATTAAATCGTACTGTGTACATTTTAAATTTATTATTTCGTTAAATATTCAAAATAATTATTTGTAGATCATTTTTTTTTTTTTTCTAACTTGAAAGCATATTTTTTTTCGTCCATGTTTTGATGTTTTAGTACATACATTTACACATGTCTAAGATTTTTCAGCGCATATTTAGTCGGTTTTTAATGAAAAACACAATAGATAACTTTATAGGTAACAATTGCCAATACAAAAAATCGCCCGTGGAAAAATTACCTAATTTTTCATCTGTCCATTTTTGCATTCTTTGACCATATTTTCCTCGCGTCATTTTTGTATTTGGCCATTGTTATCGGCAGCCTGTTTGCGGATACCCGTACGTATTTATTTACTGTATACTTACTATTTCCTTAACAGAACGAGTGACAGTGTATATATATAAATTACTACCTATCTATGGGCTCCGAAAATAAAAATGCGTTACCGTCGTCCGTTTGGCTTAGTTTCAGGTGACCTTTTATGGTGCGGTTACGGATTTTCAACGCCCGACACTACGTACGTATATAGAGTAGCGAAACCGTTTTTAGTTTACACCATATTATATAATATTATCTTAACTTTGACGCGACTTTTTATACAACTCTAAACTGACGGTGACATTGTATTTAACCAGTGTGAAAACCACCTGTGGTTCGGAGGGGGGATTACTATCGCGAATAAATAATGTCTGGAAATTTTTAAACTTCTCTAATTATGTAAATCCGACTTGAGACGGACCGTCGTCGTTGTATAAACCACGTGTGTGCCGAATTTACGATTTTTAAGATTTCTATAGATTCATAAATTAATTATTACGCTAGAATATATGATAAATTTTCTTATAAGTAATATCTGCATTCAGTGACGACATTTAATTGGTTAAACGGTCTAACTTTTAGCCTAGTCGGCATTTTGGTTGATATCTGTGAAAAAAATGTTAAAATATCGAAAAACGTTTACAAATGTCGAATACAGGAAAAAAGATTGTCATCTTATACCGTAGGTATATAACGGGAATATATAAGAAAAAAATTTACAAAATCAAAAACATCGGACTTTTTCCTCCGGAGTATTTTTACTCTACGTATTTTTACTGTAGACATTTCGGTATAGAATCCGCGGCGTATGGGACAAAATTTAAAGGTGTTTCTACATGGGGCTGTTCAAGGCTTATACCAGTTACTCTTGCTACTAAAACCTCGCGTTTTTTAAGAGTAATTAGAATTAACGTTTTCGAAATCCACACCCCTCAACTCAAGCACATGACGTAGACATGGTCCGCTCGTTCGGATAATATATTTTACACGCACAGTTACATAGGGTATCTGGATACGGTCCAATAATGATAAAACTTATAGTTGATAATAATAATAATAATCATTATTAACGCCGACACACTCGGGCGTGCTCACAAGTCATAACATACTCGTAAATTATTGTTTTTTTTCTTTTAAATAAACACAAATGTTTTATTGTTTACTTCTTGTTTTTTAATCGGTTTACCTATTGCTGATTGTCGTACAGTGATAACAGAGAGGCGCGTGGAATATTATAATAATAAGACATGCATTTCATTACGATCATGTGACACGTGCACGTGGATAGCGAGTGTACGCTTTAATAATTTACGTAAGTATACTAATATTTAATATTTATTCGTTTTATTTGTATACTAATATTTGTCACTCGCGATGAGATCTCACGTACGGGTGTTTTCTTTTTAGAAATTCGTACGATACATTACTGTGGAAAAACGGCATATTATTCAATCATTATTTGTTTTAGGCAGAATTTCGTTTTGAAGCATTTAATTCGACGAGAGCGGCGATGACGGCACACTCGAAACGGTATGCCGACATGTAGAGGTACTCTATTGGTTTCCTCGCGAGCGAAACTTTGGTCACAAAAATAGTCGATTTTTAATATTTTCTGATTTTTAATTCCGATAAATCTAGCGTTAATATTGCAAAATCGAATGGCTAGTTGACTGCGAAGTACGAACATCATCAGTAGACTTTTAGATTCTGTGTGTATAGCGAAGGTGTGTACCTATTATGTGCGCTCAATAATACATTATTTGACACATTTTCGAAATTCCCAATATTTTTTCCAAACAAACTACTTCTTGTTATTTGGTATTATTTTTATTGTTATTGTTCTTATTATTTTCGTGCTAAACTTACACAATATGGGTTTTTTTTTTTAATTTTCATGTCACATTATAGGGTTTTGATAACTGATCTCATCGATGTCACGTGACATATTTTTATATTGATTTTATAAACGAAATAACTACAACAATCACACGGGACTATGAGAGGTTGTTAAATCGTATGTGAGGTACACTTAGATAACCCAAAGAAAATACTTAAATTTTAAAATTGTATATTTGGCACACAGTTCCAAAGAGGTTATTTCGTCTGGCCTAAACTTTCCCTATATATTATATCCTATCTTCCCAACTGCCCACCTGTAGCAGTGGCCTGTCCACGGTGCGAAGTAGGTACGGCTTGAATAAGCGTTAGAATGACCTCACGTCCAAAATAAAAACAAACAGATATCGTTACCGACGTATATTATTGTGTGTTGACTAATAAATTTATCAGAATTATATCGTAAAACTCGACGAATGATGCATAATATGGGTAATACGTGCCCGATATACTATGTGCTTGGATGACCGTTTTAATACGAACAAACAATTTTATTATTCGCGTATATTTTTATTTTCGTACCTGATATTATTCTAATTCAGACCCATAAATTATATAAGTAGGTATTTACACGTAATATGGAAAATAGGATATGCAGTATAGCTAGTGATATTGTGCTTGTAGAATGTGTTTTTCCTATTACTCGTGCAAAAGTAATAGTTTATTGAAATTCGCGATAAACAACTTGTTATATATCATATTTTCGATGGACAACTGAAAAAACCGCGCAGAATATATCATATAATATTGTAACACATACAAGAAACCGTTTCGAAATTATTATTTGACTTTTTTAGCAAAAAGCGGCCAAGTGTAACTTTAAAGTTACAGCGGATAAACTACAATTTAATATTCGTAATGACTTATGACTTAATGACAAATCAATAAATAGTTTGACCTTTAAAACAATTTTCTCAAAAAAAAAAAAAACTAAAACAAACTTAAAACACCTAATTAAAATTTATATACAAAAGAACCTCTAACTCACGGTTTATATTTTGAATTTTCAGTCGGTCAGTGAAGCTTAAAAAGAGCCTTAAAAATAAAAAATAAAAGAATGGGCGAGTGGGCAGGTACTTTTTGTTAACTCCCGGTGTTCTCGAAGTTCCTCTGTGCGCCGCCGCATGATATTCGAGTGGTTCGTCTATATCGTAATAATATAAAAACGCCGATGGTAAACAAAATTATAAGAAAATCCAACGAAGCCGGTTAAAGTTCGTTATTGGACGTAAATGCGTATTTGTTTTTACTTTGCACCAACTCACCACAACTACCGCA